GGCACGCAATAGCTAAAGGAACGGAATACATCCTCCAACTACGAAGACTCTCAAGGCCAGCAAACGGAATATCGGCAAAACTCATGCATCAATTGTATCTAACTGTAGCAGTACTGAAGTTCACCTACGGAGCGAATCTGTGGTTCAGACCTATCTACCGAAATGACCTCATAGCGGAACAAAGAGGATCAATGGGAATAGCTAAGCGATTAGCTAAAGTCCAAAGAATTGCAGCGTTAAGTATCACCGGAGCCATGAGAACAATGGCCATGGACAACCTGGACAACTACGCTAACCTAATCCCACTTCCCCTCCTCCTCCAAAAGATATGCCACCGTGCAGCACTACACTTAGCCACCCTCCTACAACGTCACCCGCTATACGATCACCTGCAGCACATCACCAGGCATCGCAACATAGCCTGTCACTGCTCATCTCTCCATAACCTGTTAGACACTTACCAAATCTTCTCCAAGGATGTCGAAATGTTTGATCCCGCCAACAGATCCAACAAAAGGAACCCGAATGCCCACCACACACACATCACAAGGAAGGTAAAGGACACCATCAAGGAACAACGAAAGCTCAAAGACAAAGTGCAAATATTCACAGACGGTTCGGGACACAACGGAGGAATAGGCGCAGTGGCAGTTCTAATAAGAGAAGGACAAGTACCCAGAACATTGAAGTACTACCTCGGAATGGACCGGAAACACACAGTCTATGAAGCAGAAGTAGTCAGCCTATCACTAGCAGCAAAACTAATCGCTACAGAAAGAAACATGACCTACCCAGCATCAATCTTCGTGGACAATCAAGCAGCCATACAATCCAGTGAGAGCCGGTATATGAACTCAGGCAGCTATTTAGTAGATCACTTCTGCAGACTCACAGTGCAGCTTGCTAAGAGAAGAGACGACAGAGGCCTCAACTTTGACCTCACAGTAAGATGGATCCCAGGACACAAGGGAGTAGCAGGGAATGAGTTAGCTGACACAGCAGTGAAGGAAGCAGTGGAAGGAGAGGAGAAAATGAGCCTGAGAAGACGTCTACCACTATTCCTTCAAGATGGAAAGCTCCCAGACAGCATATCAGTGCTAAAGCAATGGTACCAATCAGATCTGAACAACAAGTGGGCCGATATTTGGAAAAGCTCACCCAGATACACACACCTATCAGCCATAGATCCCAGCACACCATCCAACAAGTTCATAAAGCTTGTCGCTACCCTCCCAAGATGCCAGACCAGCATAATCACTCAGCTCCAAACCAACCACTCCCCCCTCAACCAGCATCTACACCGCATAGGAAAAAGTGACTCACCATATTGTCCACACTGCCCGCAAACAATAGAAACCGTACCACATTTCCTATTCGACTGTCACCAATACACTAGAGAATGCCACTTTCTCAACAACGCAAAGCCAGCTCCCTCACCTACCTGCTCACATCCGAAAAAGCCAAAGTCCATTCATGTGATACGTCAACAGCACGGGAAGATTTAAGTCCACATTCGGCGAGATTCAGACTGACTAAATGTACATGACTCAAGCATGTAAAATAATGTAACAGGAACACATACTCAAAACAAAACCAATAACTCCAAGACAGAAGGGAATATAGGTGCGGGTCACCTAGTAGAGGAAGAGAAGCAGAAGAGATATCAATAGTCGGGTACAAGCATCAAAATGCGACAATGACAAGAAAATCACCACACCCGCCTTCAATCTCCAAAGTAGCTCACAAACTACATCATCATCATTCCCCTTGTATGAAATCGGCGTCAGCCTTTGCCTGACAACAAGCTGACAGAGTACGCATACATCCACTCACCAAAAGCACAGATTACTATAATTACATATGTTAGATAACAGGAGTAAGCCCCCTGAGTATAGGGCTATGTCCAACATAGGGTCTACAACCCCAAAGGACAATAAATTGGATTTTTTTAAAAAAAAAAAGTACTTGGGTGTGACACTGTGTACGAAGGGAAAGATGCAGCACAGAGATTTAAGTAAAATAAGGTAAGGAATACGGGAGGTCTAGCTGTGTGTTGATCTGCAGCTAGGGAGCTAGAGGGTCCTGTTTTCCAGCCAGAAGAACTTTTCTCCACTCAAATAATGGCCTGTTGAGGCCATTGACTGATCTGCTGGAGTAATGCAGTTCCTGTCGTCTTCGAGCGATGATTTTTGAGTTGGCGTCCTGCGCCTCTATTGCTTGATTGATTAACATGAGGATTGTCTGTAATAAGGTATTTAGGCAATTATTGTCTGTCATTGTGGATTTGGGGGGAAACATCACCAAAGGTTGAGCCCAAATGTCCTGTGCTGTTGACATAATGAATGAGTGGTGTACTTGCTTTAGGGTTGGACAATAAATATGATAGAGAATAGGTGCGGCGACAGAGGCTCATTCCTGACTAGGCTTGTAGATACTGTCTTTACCTTATGTTTGCTATTTTGTAGCTTACATAAGGAAGTTACCTCTTCACCAGTTTCCAGCACCTTGAGTTTGAGTCTTTGTAGTTTCCTCTCTCTCTGAGCTTAGAGCTTAGTACAGAAACCTTTTAGGGTCGAACACTGTCTTCTAGACAATGTAGCTAGGCAGCAAGACCCAACATTATTCAGACTAACCATCTGAATTGTTGAACCTTCAGCAGAAATACTGCAGGGGAGAACTACTTTGCATAGGTATGGTGGTAGGTGTCACTTAGGGCTGGATTCCCTAGGTGATTCTGCAGCTCGTTTGGCCTCTCGATCTGCTATCTCATTCCCCTCCACACCATCATGCTCCAAGATCCATCTTACGGTAACCTTGAAGTGGTGGTCTCAACTAGATTTCTTAAGGTCAGCTATTAGGCTGCGAAAGTGATCTATCAAATAGTGACCTGGCTTAGTTGAGGAAATGTCACCAGATTTAATGGTAGCCTGATTGTCGATGAAGATAGAAACAGGATATATGATGTCGTCTTCTGATGAGAGTAATTGAGCGACCAGAGTGAGACTGACAGCTTCTGTCTCGTAAACAGTGTGTTCATCCTTGGAGCCCAGGTGATATTGCAGAATCTTCAGCTGTGGGCAGCCATTATGAATGAGAATGGCCGCTGCTCCCACCTTGTTGTCAATGCCGGAGCCGTCACTATAGATCTTAATTTTGTCCCTATTCTCATCATGGTCCTGAATGGCAAGTTCTCTTGAGCTGGCAATAGCGGTGCAATAAGGGGTCTGAGAGCTTGGAGGGTGCCTGTTGTGTGTAATGATTTCTATGGAATTCATGTCAAGTTTGGTGGCATAGTAAAGATGATGAAGGGAGGATCTGTGACAGTGGGTGGCAGGGGGGGGGGGGGGGGGGGGGGGGGTGCCACTAAGTGTATGGTGGTTTGGTAACATAGGTTTTGAATCCTGTGGTCAAGGGGGAGCAGTTTTGCATGAGCTTCCAACATGTCCAATGCCATCGTGTGCATGGCTCTGGTGATACTCAGGGCTACGAGGTGTTGGACTCTCCCTAACCACTTAACGACACCCATTGATCCATGCTGTGAGGTGTCACCATCTCCTACAAATAGCAGATAGCACCAAAGACTGACCACATACAGCATTTTTGGGAGGGCTACTGCTAGATATAGCTGTCTCATTAGTGATAGTGGTATTCCTGATGAAGTGGATGAGAGACAACACAGCTGAAACACGTAAGCAGTTCTCTTTGCCAATGTGTATGCAATGTGATCCTTCCAATGGAGTTCCTGATCTAGAATGATGCCTAGGAAGCGAGCGATGTTGTTGGGGTGATCGTGGTGCCTTTGGTTATAAGGGGAGGGTGTTCCTTTTCTGAGTTGAGGGAGAAATCTACTAAAGCAAACTTGGAGTTATGAACTGCGGCCCATTCATATCCACCACCTGGTCATTCTAACATGTGTTTGAGGGTGGTGTGAGTCTCATGGAAGGATAACCCTATGGCAATGAATGCAGTGTTGTCAACAAATGCGAGTGTCTTTTCATTCTTACCATGACCAACAGCTATATCAACAAGGTCAGAGTCATAGATGATATATAGAATGATGGAGAGTGGGTCTCCTTGGCTGATTCCATTTTGTATCAGGATCCATTCAGAAAGATGACTGTCGAATTTGAGTTCCAGGGACTTACATCTTTACACAACCAACAAAGTGGATTTACTGCATATTGAATGCCCCTGAAATATGTTATCTTAGCTGACGTTGTGTTTGACTAGCGGTGTAGAGCCTCGCATCTCCACAGGCACTTCCCTCTGAATTCTCCCACTTTCCCTACAAACTCCAGCTCTAATCCATAGGATATGTCTGGCGCATTAGCGCACTTATATTTTATTTCACAGGTTCCACGCGCGCCCTTGCAGGTTCACGCACTTTGCACATCCACACTTGCAATGTCCATGCACTCGTCCGTCCATCCATCCCATGTCCTTAGATGTTCATTGGTGCGTTTTCCCATCATATTCCCTTTTTGATTAATTAGTTTCCATCGCTAATACTCAGCTCTGCACTTCACGTGTAACTGAGACCCTGTTACATACATTGCATACTATTTTTAGTCTGTTCAGCTCGTTACATTGACTGTCTAAAGTCGCGCGCTTCAGTTCTCAGTCTCCGTCTTAGCATCAGCCAACCTTAGTTGGGGTGTTAACACTCGTCTTGCCTCATCTTTCCCCTGCTTCTCTTGCTCGCGCGTGTTACCTTCGCATCACACACCTCAACCTTTGCCTTTCGCACTTGCGTGTTCACCTTTTGTACATTGCATTGTTTCCACTTTGCGCGTTACTTAGCCCTAGTACTTCATTAGTTGTTTGATGTCCCTCTTTTTACAAAGAGAGGTTTCCTTTACTCAATTAGCTGCCCTTGGGACAACGATTTCACTCGCGCCCGGGTCTATCTGTGTTTGCTTAGCTTAGCACCAACTTTCCCCACAGTTTAGATTTCTCATCTTCAGTGGGTCAGCATCTCTGTGGTTGAAATTCTCAATTTTCTACAGTATCAAACTGTTAATGGTATAGTGGCCACTCTTCCTAGGTTCATTGAACCAAGTACCAGATAAGAAATCGTGTGAATTCCTACCAGCCAAATGGTTATTGGTCGAGATACTCATGGGCAGATTGTCTTGCCCGAAGTGGAAGCCACAGCAGCAAGTCTCGCGATTGTAAACTTTCTGAGCCTCATCAATTTCAGAACGACGCATCGTCCCAAACTCAGGCCTTCGAGCAACTAAAGCTTGAAATGCTAACAGTTTGTCGCCGGTAAGCGACTTCCCAGAGCTAGTGGTTACCTGGGTACTGCACACAGAGTGTGGTGTTGACGGGCAAGGGGGACTTTCAACCAGAAGAGCTGCCACAGCAACCTTAGGTGTGCTACCTGCTTCCAGAACCAATTTTATTGCAAGGCACCCCTTTTCCTGTTGTGCCCTCTGATCAAGGACCCTTCCACTTTGTAGCTTCAGGAATGAAGATGAATCTTCACCAGACAGTACTTCAAGGAGATATACAAAAAGTGTTCGCTTCACCATAGGAATAAGCGAAGGGTGGTCAACTCCGTGGAGAATAATAGAAGTGGCAACTGAAACATACTTTTGATGTTCAGCGACTTGCAGCGTAATCCAGTTGAGGCAGCCAGCCTCATCCTTCATAGCCATGGTCACACAGGACCACAAGTTCTCACGCTCAACATAGAACCTCAATCTCAAAATATTGAGCATGTCGAAACAACTCAGTTCGGGGAGGGAGTCGGGAGTCTTAGCGTCTTTGGTGGAAGACATGATCTCGAAAAATTTCGGAGCAAGGCTCAATGGCGTCTTTAGAGTAAAGAGTATGTTGGTTTGTAAGACCAACACAGAGTCAAAAGAAGAGAAGATGACAAAAGGATAGAGAAGAAGTAAAATAAAACAAAAAAAGTTGCTGTTCAGACTTTAGAGCCACCTTTGTGATGGCAGGTAGAAGTCCTTTCGAACTTTAGATGATGGCACAACGATAACTGAAGAGTTCCTTTGCAATGTTAACCAGATACAAGCCTAGTTGTGATTGAAAGAAATCTGGGGACTTCCTACAAACACGATATTATATACTAGGTAGTGTACGGAGTCCGTGATAAAATAGAATAACAAATAACAAGAAAATAAACATACGCTTGAACATACGGTCCTCGGCTACTGACGTTAGCCGAGTCTGGAGCGTTCTAGTCCTTCGATCGTACTCGTGTGCGGCTGAACCTTTCCATAACCGCCACAACCTTTCGACACTGAGGTAATAGCGTGGGAAAAGTACTAGTGTTGTCAGAACTATTCAACTGAAACTGAATGCTATCACAACGATTTGTGCTTGTTCATCGTGATGTGGTCGGTAGCGTACCGTCTTCCATCCATCTCAATGCGGCATTCATTTTCTCAATTTCAGCAAACACATATTCAACGCTCAAGTTTCGATACGGGCTCCATGCTGCAAGCGATGGTTTGATTGCGCCGAGTGTCACGCGGAGTCGGAAGATCATATGTTAAGGAAGACAGCTGAGATGGTGTTCATGTGCAAGAAGTGCAAGAAGGCCTTTAGGAAAGACATGTCAAACTACGAGGAGAGCGATGAGTTTTGCCCGCACTGCGACAATCACTATGTAAGCGACGACGCGTTCTTGCGACCGAGATCTCATGACACTACTCATAGGTCATTGATGCCAAGACGCCGCAGGCAGTGATTGGAGTTGAAGGCGAAGATGCGCGAGTTGATGCACGGTGAGGTCTTTTTTTTTTTTGGCGAAATATTGCTCATGGGTTGATTCCTTTGCATAGGATGCTCAAAGATGATCGTGTTCAACAGGATCCAACGCGATCCATTTTTTCAAGGGATTTTACGGATAGAGTGGGATGATATCTCTCTCTCGATACCCTTGCGTTCCCTGCTTTCTGCCTGTGTTGCATGCTATCACTTTAGATCGATCACTTGTTCAGCGCTGCAGCACCTAATACTCAGCCATTTACACACTGTGGGTCATGTCTGAGATGTGACTCAGAATGCACACTCCCGGAATCCTACTCGACTGTAACACTCTCAATCATATCTAACGCGGAGTAACGTTTAGTCGATCAAAACATATGCATCTCACATGCAGCAACACTGACACCATCAACTAGTGAAATTCCATCCACAGAGTATAGGATGGAATCACGGTTCACCCGCGTGTGCTGACTTGAGTAGTGCCTAGCTCCCAACGTGGACTGTAGACATCCCCCAATCCATTCCATCTCTCACCAGTGCCTGCTACTACATTGTAGCGGAATGCTTGGTACGGGTCTCCATGCCGCAGTCCTGTCGCTAGATGCACATCTGCCGCCCTGGGTTAGGGTTCGCCCTGCAGTCTCCGGAATGCTCGTGTGAGTCTGCGCCCGGTTCAAAGTTTAGTGAATATTAGACTAATATTTTCATGCTGGCAGGTGTTTTTGGCACGCTCAAGACCTGCCAGCAAAAAGCGATACCAGGATGTATGGGCTCGGCTCGCATCGGTTGTTTTGCCGTTCAGATCACGATCTGCGGTGGCAATGGTAGCCTGCTAGCAGCTATATGCAAATCTTATGTTGCGTTAGCTCCTGGAGACTGCTACTGGCAGTTGCTGCATCATGCTTCTTGACCCCTGGCTTGATCAAGGATTGTCGTTTTCGTACTGGAATCAAAATTTCCAGTGGATCTGGATGAATCGGGATACCCAGGGTAATGCAGATGCGGCAGCAATCGCATATGTGCACTGGAACCACATGGGACAAAGTGTTCAATTCACGACATGTTCATTATGTAAATGACGTCATGAGCTAGTATGTTGAAGCTCAATTCTTACATAAATAATACAGAATTATGTGCATCCCATTAGGGATGTTCAATTCTAAACTGTCGTTGTCAATGTCGACTTGACCTTACGACCGTCCTCTCGTAAACTACTTACGCAGACCCTGAACCTTTCCTGATTTAGCCGCTACCGTGTCGGTTAAACCTTCGCATGGGAGACATTCTACACCTTATCGCAGAGTATCCTCGTCCCAGCCCAGGTTAGCTACCTGAACATTCCCATGTAGGAGTAGTAATTTTCCTAAACATTTATTCATGATACTTTTGAATCATTGATTTGGGGAAAGATTTAAAAATTATTGAGCAATACTACATAGAATGGTTTACTAGGAATAGGATTAGGACGAGGATACTCTGTGAAAAGTAGATTTCGCAATAAACATGAAAAGCTTTGAGTAGTTAAATTGGGCTCTAACAGCAATTGCAAGGAAGGATAGTGACATAGTCACGGTAGAGTGGTAGACGCAAGGTTTGACGACTAAATCAGGAAAGGTTCAGGGTCCACGTAAGTAATGTACGAGAGGACGGCCGTAAGGTCAAGTCGACATTGACCATCCCATTCGCACAACGCGGTCTGACGTTGGGCGGGAGCGTCATCTCAATATTCTTTGCGCGCTAGTCCTGCCACTCGTCCAATCGGATTTCAAACGAGTTACGATACATACATTAACCAGTACTACTAGAGTTCAATCTCGGGGTCACTCTCGGAGATGCGGCCACGTTTTCGTTGCTCGTGGGACTAATATTTTCCTACTCGTCACTGGGAGCCAACGGGCCCATCGGGAGCAGGGTAGACTTGGATTTATTACACATCAAGTGAAACAGGTTTGTCCTCCCGCCCTCTCTGCTTGCACCATCAGCCCACTTGCAATGAAGGCTATCAGCAGTAGGACCATTGTCCTTGCTTCGCTTGTGGGATTTGCTGTGGGAGGTAAGATCTACACTCTGAACGAGTGTGTTCGTGGTGAAGGCTTCTATGACTCCTTCAATTTCGAGAACATCACTGACCCCACCCACGGGCGTGTGTATGTCCTATCGCCATGCATGTAATTCGTTCATTTTTAATTGAATGACAGGACGTATGTCAACCGAACAACGGCAGAAAGCCTCAACTTGACTTATGCCACGAGTGACACCTTCATCTTGCGCGCGGATGACACTACGGTTTTGGGCGTCAATGACACGGGTCGAAATTCGGTCAGGATTCGGTCCAATCGTTGGTACCATGAGCATGTTGTTGTGTAAGTGGTTCCTCGTGGATGAGTCTCACTAACTGACGCATTGTCATTAATAGTTTTGACATACAGCACATGCCCGAAGGATGCGGGTGAGCTTATTTAATTTGTTCGAGGGTCCTATCGCTTACATATCTTGAAATAGAACATGGCCCGTAAGTAGGCCGTTCCGATGACGCAAGTTTATATTAACAGATAACAGGCTATCTGGGAAACCAAAGAGTCCGATTGGCCTGCCAGTGTTTGTTCCTTTTCCTTGTGTGATAACTCTACCATCTTGACGTACATCCCTTCACCAGGGTGAAATCGATATCCTCGAGGGCGCAAACAATGTGGTGCCTAACCAGTCGACGCTTCACACTAGCCACAGTTCGTTCACTATAACACTTGTAACTGTGCTATTTTTCAACATAACACAGATTGCTCCATGTCAAATCACACTCACCAAACAGGGTATGTTTGATGATCTTGATCCGTCACTGCATTGAAATTCGTCCGGCTAAAATGTTCACTGTTTAGAACCTTTCTAACAACCAACTGTGATGCTTCAGGTGATGTCGCCACAGCTGATTCCGATCTCGTACTAAAATGCAATAGTCGCTTACAATGTTGGGTGTGGTGTACAGCACACTCGAGACAACAACAGTTTTGGTCCAGGATTCAACCGCATTGGCGGAGGATGGTGCGTTACGGGCCCAGAAACTTACTTTCAGTGCTCTTGCGGCTTACAAGTTCATCTGCAGGTATGCCATGGAACGCACACTTCACTATATCAAGGTTTGGTTCTGGGAGAGAGATGACCCATGTGTTCCCCTCGACGTTCGTACCGGTGCATGGATCATCGATACTGAACACTGGGTAATAGTTTTCGCATCTTTTTTGAATTATGCTTACACATGATTTGACTCCCAGGGCATTCCTGCCGCCAACTTTCGTAACAGCACTGAGTGTGACATCCGGTCTCACTTTGGAGCCAACAACATTATCATTGATCTGACGTTTTGTGAGTCTTGGATTGTTTTCTAGTGGTCTTGCATGCTCATGCCCCGCGCAGGCGGCGACTGGGCCGGCAACCCGGCTATCTACAATGCTTCTGGATGTCCGTTAGACTGCGTGACTTATGTCAACAGTAAGTATTCCTGTGCAACTGACCAGTATAACTGCGAACCCTTTTCAGACAACCCTAGCGCATTCACAAACGCCTACTTCCAGATCTCGTCCATGACCGTCTACGAATAGATGTCGCAGAGCGGGCGTTTAGTGTGTTGTTTTCTTATTAGTAGGTCAAAAATAATCATTGTCGATGGTGCAGATTATATACCCATGGATGTTACTTCACTTACATACCGTAGAATGCGAGAATATTCGTTCCGAGATTCTGCAGATTGATGGGAAGAGCGTATGGCTCCCTGAGACCAATGCAAATGGATAAAATGTTTGGTTGGTTTCAGGTCAAAATCAATGTGATGTATCCTCCCGGTGAACGGCACTGGCGTCATGATACACCCATGGTGTATTACGACGTCAGAATTATTCACTGGCAACGAAACTTTAAAAGCGTGTTTCATCATTGTTCTAGATGAAAGAAGGTTGCGTGGATTTACAGTCTGAGATATCAGCAGCAGAATTTGCAGCCAAATACCACACGCATAAACACTCCTGTTCGTGTATCGCTCTTAAAACAGAAACTAAGCTGATGTAGTGCTAACAGCCGAAAAGTAACTACTAACCTGTTATCTGAGAGTCTTGCACATTTAGGAAGGTGACCCGAGATCCAAGAAGGAATCACCGGCAAGGACAGGCTCAACCTTCGTTCCGATATGTGTCATCTACACAGCAGAAATTATTTAGTCTGATACTGATGAATTCGATGGATAGTTACCAGTTGGTCATGCCCCCCCTTCCGCCACCGCTGCCGTATCCGCTGAGGGAGTATGAACATAAAATTTAGAAACCTGCTCTTCCATTCTCCCATTCTTGCTACATTTCCACTGCACCTGACTAAATTCCTCTTGCTGTGCGCCTCTAAAACTGTCTTCCGGTGGCTTGCAACGCATCCTAATCAGGTTTCAGAGGTAGCTGTGTTTTAAGCGCAACAAAGCCTTTGATTCATCTTGAAGTGTTAATGGCGCTATTGAAACAGCTTTGATGGCCTTCAATGTCCTTTGAACGAAATTCTAGAGCTAGAGCGTACTGCCTTTATGAGCGCTATAGCCACGATTTGAATTATCAAATTCGCGTGGCAGTTCACGCACCGAATGGCACCGCCACTGGCAATTGAGGCGTGTATACGCACTCTCAAGAACAAACTAACGGACGACTCAGTTTGCTTTGAAACGACGACATTCCGTACTTCAAATTTAATTGTTGCACTTCTCCTGATTGTCATTTTCGCCATAAATCACGAATTATGTCTGCCAGGAGGCAGTCATCGACAACATCTTTGGCCAAATATGCACGGACCACATCACCCGATGCCAACATTCGCTCTTTGGATTTCTGCAACTCTTTTTGGGGTGTTGACGATGGAGGTGTAAATGTATTGTTTGCTCGAATGCGCGGAGCAGCAAGGACAATGGAGGAGTTGAGAAATTTCTGGAAGGAGAGGTAACTTGACTTTCGTATGTTTTTCTAATTGACCTTTACACTTGTCTGCAGATCTGCGATCGAGGAAGATTATGCAAAACGGCTTGCGAAGTTGGCCAAAATGTCAATCGGCAAGGATGAAATAGGGTGAGTTCCTCAAATTCTTTGAACCCTGACTTTCGCCTGCGGGCCGCTCTTGTCGGTCGGGCGGGATGACATAGGTGTGGCTCTGCAAGTTGCAGAACTACACGTTGTTCCACAAAGCACTTAGGGATATGTATTTCCCGTCTCATTACTCGGGTCGAATACACAGCGTTCAGCTGCGTGGTGGCGCAACTTTGCATCTTGACGTGTGGCTTACGCCTGGGTTTCATTACTGATCGCAACTCGCAGGGAACTACGGAACTCCGTGGATACGTTGCGTTTGGAAACCGATAAGCAAGCTGGGTTTCACCTGCAGCTTTCGCAGCAAATACGGAATGATCTCGAGGGTCAGGCCGCGGCTTTCTCCGCAAGGCAACAACACCACAAGAAGACGTATCAAGCCGCTATCGAGAAGGAGTTCAAAGTGAAGCAAACACGCGAACAGCACGCAAGCAAAGCTCGGGAGAAATATGAATCTGATTGCCTTCGTATCAACTCCTATACTGCTCAATCGACGCTGGTTCAGGGCAAAGATCTCGAGAAAATTCACCTGAAGCTCGAGCGTGCCCAGCAAACAGTGCAAGTGAACGAAAATGATTACGCTCAGTTTACTCGGGTGTTGCAAGAAACTATGCAGAAATGGGAGCAGGATTGGAAGGCCTTCTGTGACACATGTCAAGATCTTGAGGAAGAGCGAATGGAGTTTATGAAGGATAATATGTGGGCCTATGCCAACTCCGTATCAACAGTATGTGTCTCAGACGATGAGGTAAGTCTTTCACCGTATCATTGGCTATCACTGTTTAGCAATCGGTCCATATAGTCTTGCGAGAAAATGCGACTCGCCTTGGAACAGATGGAACCGGAGAAGGAGATGGAGAATTTTGTTCGTGATTACGCAACGGGAAATGCGATACCCGAACCACCGGCGTTCGTCAACTATACCAGTTCCGATGCAGTGCCCTCATCTTCTGCTCGCATTGCTACTCGTCCTGCAACCTATGCTCGAACATCCCAGAGGTCATCGGCAGGGCGTAGTGCACCACCTCCGGAACCCGAAGACGCTTACGACGATACAAACCATGCAGGTGTAGGGGCGATTGGTGCAGGAAGTCGCAGCTCTCCTGCTGAATCTACTCTCGCAAGAAGTCAGACTCAAAAATCTCAAAGTGGACGCTCTCAAACGAACGGTGTCAACGGACACGTCTCCCCTCTCCATGATGTTCAATCTCAAGCGTCCCAAACCCAGAGGCGTGATAGTACAGCCTCTGCTCTTCGGTCTACACAAGATCTTAGGCTTACACGAGAGTCCCATGTGGATCCAGTTGACCCTACGGTCTCTAACACGCAGTTAGTTATCGGATCGCAGACTTGGAATGTTGATCCGAACAAGGACCCGCAACAGCAGAGAGGCCAACCTCGGACTTCGCCTCCTGTCGGAGAACAAAATGACCCATTAGTCAGGCAAATGGCTGAGCTGAGCACTGCAGCTGCCCAGAACTTGGCAAGACGTCCCACCGTTCGCAGGGATACACTCTCGGGACAAGATCCCCGCAAAGCCACTACTGAATCTCTTGTTACCCCCTCTTCAGCTCACTCCGGCAATCGCGATTTCCGCAATTCAGCTGAAGTCGTGGTTGGGCCTTACCCTCTGGCACCGTCGCGATCGAGCTCTCCAAATCCTCCTAAACCTGTTCTTGCAGCCCCTCCGCCTCCTTCACTTCCACCTTCTTCGAATCTCCCAGTCGAGCAAGTGCTCAATAACTATGGCCGTACGTTCCCAGGAGAACAACGGTCTCGTAGTAGGGCCAATAGCTTTGTTGGTCCGCCACCTCCTGTTAACAATTACCAAACCCAAGATCCAAATGGGGTACGCCCTACTAGTAGGGGGGGTTATCCTGGTGTTGGTACTCAAAATCTAGGTCCTCAGCCTCCAACAGGGTCACTTGTTCGTGCGCCGTCGATGGCTCAAAGACCAATCACGCCCAACAACCCAGTTGGCATTGCTCTCGGCCCAGATGGACGTGTTGTTGTGGATCATATGGCACATCAGCCCCCACGACAACCACCTTACGTCCAAGCGCAACCACCCAGCGCTCAATCATACCCAGGGTATAATAATAATGACAGCCGGCAGCCGCAGCCTCGCGTAGATTACGGTACTGTGGCAACTTATGGTGCGCCTGCTCCACAACCGCAACCTTACAGCAACTATAATCACCCGCCTCAACGTCCTCAATATGATTCTCAGCCTGTTGTTCCCTACCAGCCGCCGCCGCCGCCGCTGTCATCGCAGCCTTACAACTACGGTCCGCCTGCGCGGAATCCATCAATTACGACTCACCCAAGTCAAAGTACCATCAATCATCAACACCCTCAGCAACCATATTATGGTCATAACACGAATACCTACCGTGCGCCAAGCCCTGTCATGACACGCACACCTTCTCCACAGCTCCCACGTCATCCACCACCTCCTACAGGCGCTTATACTGACGATGGCCGCCCCATCCTATTTTACGGTATGTTCCATGGCTTGAAAATGAACATTGGTGTGTTTATAACATAAATCGTACCCTCACAGTAAAAGCACTGTACGATTACGCAGCAACCATTGACGAAGAATTTGATTTCCAAGCGGGCGATATTATTGCCGTAACTGATACCCCAGAAGATGGGTGGTGGAGCGGAGAGTTGCTTGACGAGATTAGACGACAGGCTGGTAGGCACGTGTTCCCAAGCAATTTCGTATGTTTGTTCTAGTCATATAGCTCTCACTCGCTTTCAGCGCGCTGCTCATTTACACCATTCTTTTGCTTACTTCACATACCTGCTATGTTTCCTTACTGATGCCAAACCCGTGACGAATCTCTTGACGCTTGTGATGTGGTACACATTCTTTTCGTCGACCTTATCTACTGGTGGATAAACATTTTGGTCCATACGTGCTATATTTCATGTTCGCTGATAAGTCCGTGCGAGTGGCAGCAATGGATCTGATAATCTTCCCGAGCCTCTCCTCCATGATTCTAGAAATTGTGACCTCGTCACGCGATGTAACGTTAAAGTGTGACTTGTAGGGGCCCGATAGTAAGTATTTCACATCAGGCTGCTGTCACCGATACGACACGTTACATTAAACGTTCATTTTGAGATAGCTGTGCAGACTCGTGCGCGTTTCTGTCTATATGCAAACTAGTGCCATCTCCAAGTCTCATACTTACCATCAACTTTCGAGTCTAATAGTACACGTGCAGGCAACCAAGGGGTAACGATGAGTTGTCCTTTGTCTCATGATCATTTGCACCAGCTGTTTATGTCAAACTGCAGAATGCTCATTCTTTGCCAGCGCCTCGAATAAGCCGGTTATGACGGTTATTTCCCAGCCCAGGAACCATGCTGAAACATGGCAGTGGAAATTGTGTATATTGGGAGAGATTGACATACTTATAAGGCTCAGCGCTTCATATCATCGGCTCTGGTTCAATTCTATCCGAGCAAGGATAACGGTCATCGCATTTGTCTTCACCCGAAGTCGGCTCCGGTGACATCTCGAAGTATTAAAGGCCCACTTCTTGGTGAGTTATCTGTAGTAACTTCGTAGCTTCGCACTTTACCTTATCTTGAAATCGTTACAGCTCTTGTGGTTCATCAATACTCGAACGTTGACCCTTGACGCTCCCGACAATCCTTGAACATACAAACCATCATGCGTCCATACGCCATTTACGAGCACCCCGATTTCAGCCTCTCCACTGAATCGGTATCAACGCTACGAAAGATCGCAGCGGCTTTGACTGCCGTTGCTGCATCCAGCGCAGCTGTATATGAATACATCGCCTACGCTGGGGTTGGGCGGTGAAGGTTAGTCGCACTTAAATCGGTTTTTGGTCGGGTCATTGAGTTCCCCTGCAGTTCTGCGCTTCTTCAGGCCTGAGGCGATACCAATGGATGTCTGAGTGTTCCGTGAAACACGAGACATCGCCTCCTGTCAATCGTCGGAGAGTCGATTTGTAGGATCTAGAGCATATGAAGACTTCAATAGAAGCAGGGGACGGGCTTACGCAGACCCCAAATCGGATCGAGGGGTAAAGCCAAATGTAAGAGTCAAGAGTTAACGGTGTATGGTTAGATGCGGTTACTGCAGACGGTTGCCATCCGGTATGGATTCTGAACCACTATGTATCATCAGTTAGGGCATTCTTTTGTTGTACCAATCATCTCCCCATCATTCTTATGTCATATGTGATACAATGCCATGGTTCTTTTTTTTACTGCTATCATAACAGTCACTATTTTATAGCGTTTCTTGTGCAATCTGCTTCCAAGCTCGGTCAGGCAAGCCTAAGGGTCACCGCAAAATGCGAATGTTCTATGATGGAGAAGGAAAGTACAAAAGATGGATCTACAGCTGTTGTATCCTCTGCTGGACCTTTTCCCTGACAGTTTGATACGCATTCATAATCGTCTGCTCATTGATTACAATCTCAGTTGTGTCGGCCTTTGGTCGACTAACTCTGGATGCGATTGTCGTCGAATCCGTTTCCACAATAATTCTGTGAAGACGGCGGTGAGTATGGGTTGGATCATTAATCAAAAAAACGCTTTACCCATCATCGATTGTTTCATCTAGGCACAAAAGAACCATGTCGAGGTTCTCCAGCACAGCCCGCTTCTCAACTTGATTCCGCAACAGCAAATGTACAGCGTCAGAGAACGCAGTGAGAGCAGAGTAAAGCATGATTTCGTTCTCTGTTGCACCGCCGATGATGTAGAAGATGAGGTCTAATGTATGTCGGAAGACTGCAAGACGACCGTCGTAGAGTATGATATCGGCTGAAAGTGTATGCATCTAGCTGTGAGTAGGTTTTGCTGTTGCACATGCAGCTACGCACCTCCAGGCTTTTTTGTTTTCTGCCACAGGCCCTTTTCAAATGCTCGTTGGTCCTTCAATGTCAAAAGTTCCTTGGACTCGCCCTGAGGATGACCTTTGGGTCGGTAGTACTTGGCAAGGACACGATGTCCTTCAGCGTCTAAGATGAGGAACGCGTTTACACTATATAATGACAGATTCATCTTCAAAAATGAGACACAAAGTTAGCCTTGCTCTGTTACAGTAGATGAGTCCAACCTTCATCGACGTGGCCAACAAATCGTTAATACTGACCACTTGTGGAAAGCATCCGAATAATGTACTAACGTCAAAAAAGGAAATTATGACATTGACTCTAAGACAGACTACACTAGTGCCACCTACTGGCGTTAGACGTGTTTCATTTCGTCTGCGACCTCCGAGAAAACCCTAAAATTTTCAACTTTGATGATGTCACTCCGGTTTAAGCTTGTATTTTTTACGCCAAAAACTCATACCGAGGCGATCCTGAGCATGCTGTTCAAACAATGCCCAAATGTACTCGGTAAGATTGGTCAGTATGAGGAATGCGCGTTCATCACTCCTGGAGTCGGTGAGTCTTGCTGAGGCAGTGGCTGTCAATTGATTACGTCTGGACAACCTGTCTGAGGTCATCCATAGGGCAGTTCAAGCCAGGACCAGGCGCTCGACCTCTCACTGGAGAGCCTGGCAAGCTCGAATACGTGGATGAGGATAGGGTAGAAATTGTGGTTAATGACCAAGGCGATAAAGTACAACTCAAGGATGCGATCAGTCATTTGAAAGCGGCAAGATATGTTTTTCATAAAATTGGACGTGAGCGTCCTGACATTTGGCCTTCAGGTTCATCCATACGAAGAGGTTGCATATGATGTCTACAGACTTGAGGACGTTTAGGTCACGCAATCCCTTACTCGCCTTGGCTGTCTCTTGGACGGCTTGTCGTTATCTCAATTTGAAATACAGCTGAGCCAAATGACCCAATCCGCTTGTAGCGGGTACCACTGGTCGGGTGAAGACGTCTTGTTCCTCCACCACCTCACACTTTGGTTATGCGAAATGAAAAACACGTCTTGGTCAACAGTGACTCATCTTGCATCGTGGTGCGGGATTTCCCTGAAATTGATGCAGCTATTACTAAAGCCGTCCCGCAAGTGTCCGAATATGTGTGCTTATAGCCATGGGCGCGACTCATATTCCAACTTCGGCCGCCCCGCAATATTTGATGTGCATTGCTGCAAACATGTTCACATCCCATCAGTCAAATGACGTTTTCTCAGCTGGTTCAAAGGGCGCGTGGTTATCTGCAAGTGATATGTCGCATCCCCAATCAGATTGCGGTTTTTCGTGTCACTTCTGTTTCAGAACATACTTACAAAGTGGCAGACCTGATGTATCATCGCACGACCAGTGGAGCTACCACAATACTCAATATCGAGTGTATTCGAACGTCCCTTATCGTCGCCGCAAATGCTGTGCATCGGAGTGTTGGACCGCTGTGCTTTGCAGTCATTTAGGTGCGTTTACGAGCGCTAAGTTCAGTGCCAAAGGTCACAACACTGCCTAGTTGACACCTATCAGCGTGGTTGGAGCGCTTGACACCCTTAGGTTTTTCTCGCCTCACCTGTCCCGTCAGCCTGATCGTGCTGTGGAAGCATGCGGCTGGCCTTATGAACCTTTCATACTCCCCGAGGGGTGTGTTCGAGGCACGGTGCAAGATATAAACTGGAGTTCATCATGGGGTTCACACAGCTTTCAAACGAGTAGCTATATAGAAGCTTCATTTCCCTGCTTCTTGTCACCTCCTTCTTTTCACAGAACCCGGCGATGGGTCTAGATTATTCCACCTTCTCCATCAGGTGCGTTGATAGGCGTCACTGTCGAGTATATATTTGACGTCATTCATTGCACTGTAGAGATGCCTTGGGTCCTCAGACAGTCTTACTACAGCGTTCGACGACGACGACCAGCGTCGTTTCACGGGATCGCACTCTTGCGAAACAGGAAGCCTTTCTGCCACGCAATCAGGCGGATGCAGCGCGAAATCTAGATGACGTCAGTTCCACAAGGTGATTATTAGCAACAGCTATCGTCATTATACAGCGTATTAAATCACGATGGCTCGGCACCGCAGTTGTCCAATACATCAGTCCTTTAATACAAGTCTACAACACACACATTCCATTTCTCCGCTACTTCCATTTCCAAATATGTCCGAGAGTTGCATCCCTACCTGCCCCTGCTTCGCGATCCACAATACGTCATCTGCTCATGTCTATCAGGAACACCGCTTCCCAGATCCGTCCATTGCATGTGACACAAACCATCAGCTCCTGCTATATGATTCAACATATCCTTCTCAAGAGATAGCCCTGGCACCTGTAGAACAGTGTTCGTAAGTCATACGTTGCTAAATTTATTCCAATTCTTTACTGATGCTCTATGAAGCAATGGGAACCAACCCATCGAGTCTGGAAGCTTCTCAAGGACCGCAGGTCAGGGCTATCAGTATGACGCACTATCCCTGGACACCACCTTCGATCATTCCTATTTAACCACCGACGATAACAGCGAAATGACGCATCCTACATCGCCTCCCTTTTCTCTGGATAGTTTTGACAGCACGCGTCCTCCTTGGATCTGCCAGCATCCTGAACCACGCAATCGTCCCCCATATCCTTTGCGCGCAGTGCCTTTCCCTCTTACCGACTTGTTTCCTGGATCTTCTTCCCTCACCGCACAAGAAGAGACAGTCGGCGTCTCTCATTTGCCTCAGTTGAACGCTCAAGAAAGCGAGCAGCTTAACAGCTTCGGTGATACCGCTGGGTTATCTCGGTTATCACATCACATTCCTACACACCTACCACCGCGCCCTTATTCCGCAGATCCCCCGCGTACCGGAGTCCTGGGGAAACGATTGAGGAGAAGGTCCTCGGATTCTGACCTTACAGATCGGGACACTACAATAGCTGCACCGCCTCAGGCATGCGATTCCCGCTCAGAATCCAGGATTAATCTTACAGTCGCAGCACCGCATGGTGCTCAGCCACCTGTGCATCTCCGTGCACAGCACGCTAAGGTCACTGCCGTCGTGGAGCCATCTCGTCATCAACAACCAGTACCAAAAAAGGTGGATTGTGATAACTGCTTAGTCGACGAGACTGTCGTGCGGATGAGAGAACGACCTTTCCTGCATGTTTACGAATGCCAATGGGACAAGAGTCACTCCCCATGTGGTATGCATATCGAAGGTGATCAGGCCAGCGTCACAGATCATCTCGCTAGGTTTCATGGTTTCACGGGTGGTGAAGGAGATACCGCTTGTCTCTGGGACGGATGTACCTCAAAAAAGCGCACCGCTATGAAAGGTACCAGCATCGCTCGTCACCTCGTCACGCATATCGGCTACAAAATAAAATGTACCGCCTGCAACGTCGAATATGCGCGTGAAGATGCGTGTAGGAGAAGTCACGCAAACGCGAGATCAGATTGCCAGCGGATGCGGATAACCCCTGTCCACGGTACCGGGGTTATTACGCTGAAGGTCTCAACCTACGAACACCCCGCAAAGAAAAGACATGTCGCGGACGCGCAGACCCAAAATTCTATTTATCACAGCCGTTCTACCTAATCACTTCATGATATGCCGACCTTCCTTTTGTCTTTCTTTCTTTAATTTCCACTTAGATGCTAGGGCTCGTATACCCCGTTCTCAAACCTCATGATAGAGCCCGTCTCATAACTTATTGATATCTATCGACACACATACTTGTGTAGTCCATTCATTTCCGTATCCATATACTAATTAGATTCTCGGGTTTTAAAGTTATATGGATCTCACCCTCATTGTCGTAGTGTTATGCTTATTATGTAGTCGTCACTTATACCCTTTATAAAGTTCTAACGCGTTTCCTTGATCGAGTGTAATCTAATGGATGAATAACATTGTGATTGCAATTTTCAACTACGCGAGAATCAGACTAGAAGGAAGTCGTGCCTTCTAGTATATAGGAGGATCATTTCGGACGCACTAGTACGTTGTCGTGCTACTCTTGGTGCGATCCTGTCCAAGTGGAACAACTTGAACGTGCAGGTACTTGACGGTGAAACTCTTTTCAAGCCTTCACTTCGGCAGCGTTATGAAGGAGGCGGCCTGATGCTTCATTCCAGGACAGTATTTCTTCCAAGATTAGAGTCCTCAAGGTAAACACACCTGTTATTGCTAGTCAGAATCATTCAACGTACATGATAAAAATCCATCTCGAAGCGAGATGTCAGTACGAACTACGAACCGAGCTCATGTTGCCCGTCCGAGTCAGCGTCGCGTTACGACTGGCCAGCCCCCGATGAGACCCCAAGTGGATTTAGTGGTGAGTTTGAGTCCCTGTTCGTCCCGTAATCTAGTAGTCGGTCCCTTGATAGATGGAGCCGCCCGCGTTCAAGTTATCTACAGGTCAAATATTGGGTTGAGCTGAGTTCGTCGGGATCATAAACAGTATCCATAATCGGCTTAGGTACTATACAAATAGTAGTAAATACCTGCTGGAAACATCCCTACATACATTTGAAATGCAAATGCCTCGTGATGAATACTACATGCTGAACTTTGCCGACATCATCTCATCGTACGCCCCAAAATTTACCCTGCCAAACGGACACTCGCAATATATAGGCGGCGGCCACTGTGTCACGAGTGCGCAATCTCTACAGCCAACATGCTCGAGATTTTGTCTGGTGGATTAATCGCAGGTACAGTAGTTCCAAGGTAGTTTCGGGATATGTGTATGGGCCAGACTGAAGTATCATCAACACGAACAAATGCTGTGCGGAATGCAAATACACTTCCGTGGTTTGATCAATGGGTTTTGCTTGCCACGCCACTTTAAAATCGACTACACCAACTCTCTCATTTCGCGAAGACGACTATCGATCAATTACCAAGTTCAGGTTGGTCAATGAGTCTAATTATTAATATACTAGCACGCCCATACTTCGTATCAAAACCGGCACAAATATCTTCATGGAAAATCTCGCTGGACCATCAACTCGCCCCAGTTCCCGTCTCATAGCAATCCTGTCATCAACCTTTTCTTCATTTCTAATCAGAAGCAGAAGTTCTAGATATACCTGCCCGATGAGGTTTAGGTACGGAGCGACTTCCAACCACCGACAAACCATTGCACCGATACGATATCGCTATAAGAGACATGCAACAGCTTGTGCGCGCCTTCTATGGGAAGCCTCCCATGATTATCTCTCAAGTCTTGCTACAATTCCCTGACCTGTCAATTTCTGTCAAATTCCAACAACATGCAACTCGTCCTCAGTGCTCGGAATGTGTTGTGGCGGTAGAGGTTGGCGTTCGGGCTTATCAAAGTGTGCATTAAAATGTGTCCTTCCTCTCCCGCCCTTGCTTCCCACTTGGACACTTGAGGGACACGTCTCACCCCACAAATAAAGTTTCACATTTTACTCGCCTGGATATATTTCCGCTGGGATTACAGCGTTTGTTCGCCACTGGTAAGCATCATCTTCCAATTTGCGAAAGATCCAATGTGGTCACTACGCCAGGACCTTCTCTCGAGACTAGGCTCATCTTGATGCATTTAAGCTTCAATGCTGGATTAACGACGGAGATCGTATGAGAGACGATCTCACATTTTTTCCCTCACATGGGATGTATCGATGGCGTGACATCACCCGTCCCGCTATGCACTCTTGAGTTTTAAGACGAGAATCCTGGCACAGGAGTTCAGGCGTATGTTGCAGAATTATCCCGAAGGCGCATGAGAAGCTTCATCCGGGATGCCCCCTTCAGGTACGACGTATGTAACTGCTTTCTTGCAACATAATGCTGTCTGTACAGATCGTAGATGAACGATAGAATGCAAACTGAATGTGGTGCCACTGTTTCGACTTCAAAGCACGAGGATCAGACGTCTTCGGCGCACGCTTGATACTTACAGTGACGCCGAGACTAAGTACTGAATACTAGGTGTTGGCATGAAATGTTCAAGGCCTCTTGATATCTAACCCAAATGTTGTTGACTCAGAATGTATTCTAGCAGGTGCCAGATGATTGTGGAGAAGAGATAAAATACGATCACAGCATACTACGCATACTACTAGCCATTCAGTTAGTTCCACGCAGCCTGAGCATACAGACCCAGTGCTGCGTCAGCCAGTGTCGGACTGTACAGCGAAACATCAGCGGTTGTGTAGTTCTGCGCATTCTGCAAGCTGTTGAGAATGGTAAGAACTTCTGCTTCAATGAAGTCAACGAAGATAAGATCAATAACCGTATCGTCTGTCGCATTAGGGGGGTTCGAGCCGATATAGTCTGGAACCGAATAGTAGGGCAACGCCAAGTGCAGCGTGTCGTCCCCAGCACCAGGACATGACTAAGTCACTGCTGTGAGCATGTCAGAGCGAGTGCGAGGAAGGGTTACTTACATCGGTCGTGACATATCCAAGCGTCAAATTGCCTGCCATTGCTTCTCGTCTACCCAGTCCAGCACGCCGATCCATCTCCTCTAACCAGGCTCTGTACCGAGTGTCAACAACCCCACGGCTCCAAAGTTCCTTTTCGATTTCATCTCGCTTCCGTTTCTCGCTCGCGCCCGCATTGTTCAAAGCTGGAAGGACCTGGTTTGCGATGCCAAATGATATGTTGGAGATATACAAGAATGAATCCGTGAATGGCGAGGCGGTGAGCTGATCGTTCTTTGTGAATGGCCCCTGCAAGACATTGAAGCGTAGAGATCCCGAATTAGTGATAAATATGGCTGGGATGGAATCACGCGTGTTGTTAATAGAGAGAGCGTATGGGACAGCCTGACAATGGCGTTAATAATTGAGGTTTCTGAAAAGTCAGGTCTTACATCTGCAATAAAAAGAGATAGAATGGATTCGTTGGAAGGATATGGGTTCCTAGCATATGATTGAACTGGTAACTTGTGCGATATATACGGAGTACCCACTGGTTGATGGTATAATCTTGTGGGGCTGTTCCGTAGAGATAGGATAAATCAAAACTGACCGCAAGCGCCTGGAGGCCGTCAGTGATCGAGCGTCCGTAGGCGGTGTCAAACGTTTGGTTTGACATTTGGGTGTGGTACTGATTGTGGCACGTGGATTAGTACATCATTGCGAAACTGATACCACACTTTACCTCGTAAGTCACACGGTTCTGGTCCAAATACCTCCTTGTGAAAGAAATGTTGTTGGCGTTGCCCATGGCAGTTTCAAGGTCCGCGCCTGAGTTCCTGGGTCAGATCTTGGAAATATTGTTTTCGTTAAACAATGTACTCATCCAGCCTAAAAGAATGTAAGATGCTGCACCAACTGATCTTTGACGCTCACATACCGATTGTTTCCATGTAGCGTCCGCTCTCGAGAGCCATAGAACGACCATCATACTGTTGACAGTCACGAATGTGGCTATGTCCTAAGTCCGCGGTGAGAAAGTCAGTTGAAAACATTAAATGGGTGGCCTCCACCTCCAAAGATTAGGATGGGCGTCAAAGGGTGCACAGCACGAACAGCGTTAAAGACAGTAGGCCCTAGAAAAACCAATTCATCGTATCATCAAACCTTACAATTGCTGTAGTTGGCCTACAGTTGTCATAAGAAACTGGCATGTGTCTGAGATCACGTTAAAAATATTTTTTCAGAAATCATCAGATCAACCTACCCAATAAGTACAAACACGTCAGGTTCTTCCGCGATGGCCTCGGCGAACTGTGAAATTGATCAGAATCTGCTTTGGATCACCTAGACGCCTGGGATAACGTACCCATTGCTCATTGACCATATCAGCCACAGTTTGTACAGTCGTGTTCACATCATTCCCAGTGAAATCATATAGGACTCCAAGAGAAGTGATGCGACGACCTCTGTTACACTGAATCAATAAAGTCCCACCTTGAATTCATAGGATCTCTTACTTCCTTGTGGTGAACTTGGTGTAGCGATCTGCGGAAAAGACTTGAAGCGTAGTCAAACTATTTGAAATTTGATCTTACTGCCAACTGGCACACTCTCAGGCTCGCCATCCGAGTTGAAAATAGTGATGTTGACATTGGAGGACAAGTACCGCCCATCAAGATGAGGGACAAAGTTCGTGTACCTGAGAGGAGGTTAGTCCATTTTGCAAATATAGGCCATGTTTGTGCAGCATCGAACAGAAGGTGGTGATTGGATTAAACATAGATATCGCAAAGGAAACCAAATAAGATGCAAAAAAAATATTGTCAGTCAAACCGAATCTTGCTCAGAATGTTCAGAACCCACATATCATATGTATTCGCATAGATGTATAGTTCATGGCTATAAAAGTAACCTTGTCAGTTCAACCCGATATCAACGGGAGGCAGATAGGGAGAGGGCCAGGACTCGATACTCACTTTCCGATAGCCATGACATCGTATGGAAGGCGTTCAAGAAACTTGTTTGACTTTTGAAGACACGTGGAAGGGATTAATTTTGAGACCGTAACAGCAATAAAACAACAGACCTCGTGCGCGTCGACACCACCAGGAGGGTAACCATCAGATAGCCCAGTTCCTGAAAGGTGTATTGGATAGTGTCCTTGACAAATGCCAGATCGATACATACCGTCGTGTAGATCCCCCGAGTCAACCAAAAGTAGGTCGACATCCTTTTCCTGCAATAGGAAATATATACAACAAAGTCAGGATCCAGACTGGTGGACGAACGATGGCGATATTCTTCATATGCGTCACGAAACTAGCAAAATCTCCAAGGTCCCCACTACAATACGCGCAAAGTGACGCGGTTGAGTTGTGCCTCAAATTAGTTTCTCTAAACACTCACCTATAGTCTGGTTCAGGGAATGACAGCTTTTGGTGTCCGAGTAACCAACCATGAGTATCGGTGGTGTGAATCACATTGAAATCTCCCCAGACGAGAGGTCGGTAGGGAGGTGTGATTGGAACCTGCGGGTACTCGCGCTTGTTTAAATGTCCATGAGCATGGGCATCACGAGCCTGCAAGTGATCGCCTGTGCAAGCAGCACCGCGGAGCGCGAGACCAAGAAGAACAGCGGCAGGCAAAATCATGCCGGAAGGGGCGGTTGAATCCAAGAGCGCTTTTTCCAAAAGAGACTCCGAGATGCGTTTAATAGCAAATTCAGACAAGCTGAGATTAAGGCTCCTCTACCAATCAAAAGGCCGTCCCTAGCCCATAGATGAGCGGCCGCATCTAGGAGAGAGATAAAGTATTCGAACCGCATGATCATGATGTGGTTTTTGCGCAAGTAGCACGGCCCCGGGTCCAAACTCCCACAGTTTACCACCATCCATGCGGTCGTGACCCAGTGTACACCTGGTCAAGGACACACGTTCCTACTTGTCACCATCTTGAGCCGTCTGATATAATCCCACTAATGACAGACGAACTTCCTTCCAAGTTGGAGGGTATCATTCATACTGCCGACTAGCATAAGATCATGCCTGAGCTTTGCGCACTTTCTCACACAAGACCTTCACTCATGCTTGAGTCCTTTCGCGAGAGTTCAACGGTTGCCTCCAAGTATCGTATCGTACTAAGTTCAGAATTCTGGTGTAATTGGACTATCGTGGAATATTTTCCTCCGTCCGCTGCGGCACCGCATTTCGTAAAATAATTTTGGGCGAATACGACAAGGCGAGTGCACGTGTTAGTAAGTATGTAATGCTGTGCGGACTTGGCCTGTACCACGTGACTATTGTTCTTGCCTCGTTGTCAAACTCTCCCCCTAGTTCATGCACATGCATCATGCATCATGCCTCAGGCCAGCCCATTATTTTCATAGCAACCTATCACATCTGCTGTAGAACCCTCTGAATCTAATCCGATACTTCTGTCGTCGGCGTTCCACATACTCAGCGCTCAGCACAGGAATTCAAGCGATCTGAAACGACTATCGAATCTTTCTGCCGTCAACACCAAGCGCTAATATGCTGGGACGTAGCGTATATCCACCATGTGCTGCCTTCCACGATGGAAGCACATCCAAATACAATCACACGGGCTTCCGCGGGATCGCATAATGGCATGGTTTGCGGTACTGGCACCGCTCAGCATTACATTTATGGTTTGGTGCAGTTCATTGGATCTTCGCCTTACTCAAAGCTGCGCTGCCATGGACAAGTTACTACGATACTTTCACTGGAAGTAGAACAACACTTGTTTGTCTCCACAGTGCAACGGATCTGGAATTGGAGTGAGGGAAATGTTATCGCCAGTTCTTGTCAATTCACACTATTACGTCGGACACCACCTCGTTACTGGTAGTCACTTGTCGGGTCTGGCCTTCATCGGTCTATTCCGTGTCCGATTGATGCATTTCTTGATATCCCTGTTATCACAGGTCGCCAGCCTCGTACTGAATTCAGGTCCCTCCACCATCCCGTTTACCTCGGTACACTTGGCTCCTCCGAGATATCATAACACACATACGCAAGATATGATATGCATACGTTATTTTTCCTATGATGCGTGCTTACAGTTGCTCGTTTAGGAGACAGGCGATTTGTCTAGGTCTGTTTCCTGTATCTGCAGCTAGTCGTTCCGCCTACTGGACCTGGGAATCTTAGCTGTTGTCAGTGAAATTTTAAGGGACGTGTCAGTCGGGTGGTTGCTAATCCCATCCCCAATAGACGGATCAAAAATTGATCTACCCGCCGGTGCCACGAAGGTTTCCAATCTGACGCTCATCATACAGAATTCGTTTCAGAAAACCGTCCAACGTGAAATATTTATTTCCCGGTTTGCTTGTGTTGATCCGCTCTGGGGTAGTAACATTGGCAGATCAGAAGTGATTATCGTCCATTCAACTTGCCTGTTTGAATGTTGCAACGACACAGCGCGTAACAACCTGTCTCTTCCACCACCAATGTAACGGGATGTCACAAACCCGATAGCTCAGTGGAAATCTGGCGATTATAGCCAACACTCGTGCCTCTTGTCGAGCTGCGGTGGGGCACAGCGCCAGAAAGCAGACAATAAAAGCAACCCATCTGCAGAACCCAGAAGACACAGAAACCAACACCTCCCTGATCCGATATGAACACAGTTCGGTTAGTGGCGACATTCTTTGACATTTCTTTTTGGCTCACTGTTAATTATTTTAGTTCGTCTGAAACCATCATGGTCCATGATATGCTCGAGGAGTATAACATGTCGAGTCCCATCCTCATTGACCGGGATATCCTACGTGACCGTGACGCCAGGGTCACAGTGCACCCGTGTGAGTGGGACGGCTGCACGATCCACATTGCTGTGGATCACAAGGAGGTTTCCAAACATCTCCAGCGTCATCATGATATCAACACAAGTGCCACGAGCGAGGACACGCAGCAAATTACGTGTCGTTGGATGGGGTGTCTCGATGCTCATATGAAACCAGGAAACCTCACCCGTCACATACTCTCACACCTTGGAGTACGATGGGTCTGCTCGACGTGTGAAGCTTCGCTTTCGCGCGAGGATGCCTTTCGAAGGCATTCTCTCGAAAAATCAGGCTGCCAGCATGCGAAAGCCATCGTTAAGTACAAAGACGGATCATTAGTGATTGACACAGCACACCTTGAAGGGGGTTGGTCGGCTTTACAAAACGTTATTTGCATCTAATGCAGTCCTTCGGTGTTATCTTACAGTGATATCCTCATCGTTTTGTGTTCCGGCCCCGCATGCATCTCCCTATAGCTCCTGTTCGTTATCGGTAATCGTGAAGTGTGTCCTACTATATACTCCTACTAATTAGTTGATCTACGCTATTTGTACTGGAAATTGTATTTTTACTCGAGTTTCGTTGTGGTATCGACCATTAATTTATGGGATTAAAGTTTTGACCCCACTCAGCCACATTCCAAGGCCTGAATTTGACCCCTACAACTCAAGTCATTCCCTTGCTTCGACGTGGCAGTGTACTGGAAAGCATAGGTTCGGTAATTCGTACATCCAACATCTGACTGAAGTGACAAAAACGAGCATACATGTGTAGCGGCACTGTCCTGCGCCGGCGCATAATAAGGCTGCAAGAAACGTATAATGGGAAAATCATGGCAACGACAGACGACGGCGTTTGGCACGACTATCATCAGATTCGGATTCTCTGCACTCCTCTCGTTTTGAATTCTTTAGGTGGCGCAGCTTAGAATCTAACCGAGCAAACTGCTTCCCACAACTACCGCATTCCGTTTTGTTGCTCAGATGAACCGCAACGATGTGCCGTGGTATACTCTCTTTCTTCATCTCCTTTCCGCAGCCCTCCCACTGGCACGGCATCCTGACTTTGTCGCCGCCAGGTTTTATACCGTGGAGTAGTTGGAGGTGCTTCGTCACTTCGGACTTGTCGGTAGTCAGAAGTGAGAAGCAGGACCCACCATCCCAGCGACATAAGCTTGGAATGTCGTCCGTATTATCCATCAATGACGTACAGTCGCGCTTTGTCTCCTCTGACCACGGCGGTGTAGGCGAATGAAGATCAGATCCGCTACAAAAACTAGATGGATAGATATCGCTGGAGTTCTGTGCGTGAGGTTGTATGTCGTATGATGGTGGTTCTATGTGAAGATCGTGGGTGTGCTCATATCCCCACTGGCACTGTGCATCATAGCAAGATGAACTCCCATCAAAAGATGATGCATCAGGCGACTGCGGGAGAGGATAGGAACTCCACGTCTGGGATAGAGCGTCATCCATAGAGGGGGTCATGGAAAGCTCTGGAGAGAGACCATTGGAAAAATCGAAGAAAGGTTCCGAGTTGAGGTTGCAACCTTCCAAATGGCCAGACTCGCTAGGATAAGAGGCATCCATGCTGTTGTCTGGATCAAGAGCAATGTTTGAAAGGGGCTGGGGAATGAGATCGGACTCGATAGGAGATATATCACTAAAGCTGGACAACTCCGAGTCAAATGCAAAGGGCGCCTCCATGATGCTCGTTGTTGTGTTGAACATGTTCCAATCGGAGTCCCCGCACAGTGTCCATTCATCGGCAATGACCGAAGGACATTCATGACGTTGAGTTACATGAGGAGACAAACTGCAATGAACCCCTCCGTAAGCACGTTCGGATAGGCGGGCAATCACACGAACCAGTGATGGATTAACTTGGGTAATTGGTCCAGCACTAAGTGTTGCACTATAGGATAGCAAGGGCAGGCATTTGATTGTCCCTGTCTTTCAGCCGCGTGCAGCCTGAAAAGGATGTAAGACCAAGTTATTCTGAGAGTATAAGTATTCATACTTGAGTGACATTGCAAGAATTTTCAGCGCATCTTGCCAGAAGGAAACGAGGTGGAGTGTGTTGGTCGACATTCTTTGACTGTGTATCTGAAGTACGGATACCTGCCAAGAGAGACTTTATATCTGCCCATAGTAGCCATATCAGATGGAATGGCTGGTTGGCTGGCCTACGTGAAGTGATTGGCTTCTCTTCCGATGGCCCAACCAATGCCTTGATTAGAACGTGTAACCTGGCCATAGATATGACTCACCCAATAATGTGTAAGTTTAGCTTGGCCGATTGCGTCCCGATCAAAATCTGCCCTCCTTGGCTGTTGATTGTGGGGTTGGGGATATATCGGATTTCCAAGGCCAAGTTACGAGTTGGCCGAGGGAATGATCCGACTAGCCTGCGCAAGGCCAAGATTTCGTAAAAAAAAATGACCATATATTGCTCATTGTCGCACGCCTATTTGGAGTTACATGTCCTGGTTCATCGCTAATTGACAGTGTAATGGAGAAAGTCACAGTGAAACACAGGATTACATGCCTTTAATGCCACTCACCATTCTACTATCGATGAGGCTGGCCTTCATTGACACATGCGGGTCACGCGGCATGGCTGGCTTCCATGATGGGTTGAGCGCTAAGCGCAAAATGGCATAGCGAGACACATGTCTGGGGCCATGGCTGCAGGCCATCATGGCCATGGGAATGGCAGCCAAGCCACATTGGTTGGCCGGCGTTGGTTGTTCATATGACTGCCAACGCCATAATGATATTAATAGTTTGATAATAGAAGTTAGGGCCATACCTGTTCCGCTGGCAATGGCAGTGTCAAGGCCAACACAGCAATCTTACTTCTGTCACGTGAACGTCACGTCACGCTTGGGAAGTTGGGTACCCCTCATGCTTCCGATGAATAATAGGTAGTAGTAGTATTAGAACAAGAAGCATAGCGAAATGGCAGACTTACAATAGAAGAGTAGATAGAGAGCGAAAATATGCACTTGTCTATGCATTTGTCCCCAAAGCGGGAGCTTGCATCTACGTGGAGACAGGAAAAATACAAGAAAAATTGTCAGTTGTAGTTCCTTGCACCACAAAACGAACTCTGCACAATTTGTTAGAAAGTACGCTCAGCGTTGGTGAACAACGACTGAAAACAGAGGACGAAACTCCAACTCTAACACAATTCACTCGCAAGAAGCCAACGAAAGAGAGAGAAATGTCGCTTTTCAGGACAGGTGATTCCAACGTACTGAAGTCATTGCAATCTCTTGCAAGTGAAACGTATCAACAAGAGATGCGGCGAGAGCAAAAAAAATTGCATTGATAGTCGTGCAGCTGTTGATCCATTCGATATCATAGAATAGCATGGTGGTGGAGAGATAGATATGAGGCAAAAGGTTAAAGATAAGTTTTCAGCCTGAGGCTACAACTTCTAAGCGTGAAAGTAGAAAAGGTGGGATAATGTGGCTCTATTTGTAGGCCGCTGGTGCTAGCCTGCACAGCCGATAAAGGTACAAATCCCCCACCATCATGGCTTGCTCGACCGATAGGAAAGATTAAGAAGGCAGAAGGCAAAAAAGGCAGACCATGGGTTGCAGTTCCAGGACAATCGGTGCAATGTCTGAAAAGCGGAGAGAGCGGCGTTGGGTTTGCATTTTTGGGGTGTTGTACCGTGGCCCAGTAGGTTTTTTTGCACCGCGCAAATAAGTGGTGCACCCGTCGAGTTCGAGTATACATGGAGCAGACGAGATTCAGGCAATTTGGTGTCGTACGGCGTGCAAATTGGGTAGAATATATCGTATGTGACCCATTATTTAAATGGCTCACCTGTGAGGCTAAGCGCCTGCATTACTTGAAGGTCAAGACTTTTTTTTGACATCGAATGACACATCTATAATCAGATACACTTCCATCGCAAAATGAAACTCAACTGGAATGCGTTCACGGCATGAACCCTGCATCACGAAAAAGTCTCAGGTTGATTCTTGCATCGAGATGCCAGAGGAAATGTCGATTCTTTCTCATTACAGTGGTCATTCTCGATATCCAATGCTGAGCAAAGTGCCGTGGCTCACTCGAGTTTATGTGGCACCTTTACTGCCTCACCAGATGGCGCAAATTCATCGGCGCCTCGTGGACATGAACCCAGGCTCGACAGCAATCAGTCGTCACCGCTGCCTTGATTATGGTCTCATGTTCTCTCAAGGGTGGCTATAGCCTATCTAATCACGGAACATGAGTCACGGCGCACCCGCGGCACGGACGGCTGCGTGTGCCGTTGGCGTCGCAGTGGGGCCTTTTGGTGCTGCTATACGATCGATCGTGCAAGAGAGCAAATAACCCGGAGTGCCTGAGATGAAGAATTCGTCACTCAACCAAGGTCGGGAAACTGGCATCGAGTCCCGTGTGATATTCAAGACGCACCTAATGAATCTAAATGCTGATCCGTGTAGCATGCCCGTTTCTTTCCGTTGTGGATTAGGAACCTCAATGCAACGACGACGGGTTTGGTGCATCACACACCTAGCGTACTACATCCGTCCAAGACTCCATATCCGTCCAATCGGAAAGGTCGTAGGCCTCGACGCTATCCGGCGTGTTTGACGGTCATATAAGCTTGTGGGTGAGACATCATTCTTCGGTACTATACCAGCGGGGTTGATGCACTAGGCAGGGGTCGCGTGCTGCACCTTTGGGCGGCAGACTGCCAATATGTGCCATCACCGCAAAATGATGGTGATTTTCAGGCTTAAGTTCAAGTTAAACCAGCGGCGATTTGTGCATTCAACATGAATGGCACTGTGGATGTCGGACAGCTGGTTCCTTGACACCTCCATAGATCTCCGGATTTTGTGGCGCCGCAATATTCATCGTTTCTGCCTCCGTCGTCGGTTTGAGGATTAACGTATAGTACTGTGGTATTGGCCTACGTGACAACTCAGCTCCAGTTATTGAATGCATGCCCGTTGTTTCTTGGCCTTACATTAATGAATGGCATGGAACAAATTTTTCTTCAAGGCCTTCTACATCGACTGTCATCCAAGCTTCATGTTTTTCAGATCTCCAGATTATGGGCGACAAAGAAATGATGTCCGAGTGGTCAACGATGTCGTTTCAGAGGGCGTGTACAAGGCGTGCATACCTAGTACTGCAGTTGGTACAGTTACTGCGGTATTGCAATGATGAGCTGTGACTGCCACGTCACCGTGACGTCCTTCAACACGATCACCAATTATCCGGCGGAGGCATTCCCTTCGCGATTAGTACGTACATTCTCAGTTCTGGCTCTGGCCTTGCTCTGGCCCTTGTATTGGGCAGATGCGGCCTTTACAAACCTACATCTCGGTTGTACAATCCTACCCATCTTCATTCATAAAAGCTTATCAGGCCTTCGGCCGCTGCAGGCTGAACTTCAGCTTTTTCAGATATGTCAGCGGCTCGGGTGACTTTGTGTGGTTAAGAAACCGTTTTCCACTAGTGATGGTGACCAGGGACTTGTATATTCTCCCTTCAATGCTCAGGTAATCATGGACTATTTCGAGCTCCTTGTCTCGCGTCTCTTGAACCACTGGGCCGGTGATGCTTGAAGTTGACTTTTAAACCCGTTGGAATCACAAGTAGCTTGGGTCATTAAATTCAAGCGACGAAGAACGTTACGTTGGTTACTACATATGGGTAATGGCTTCACTCATTACATGTGTGCTATAGGGGCAATGCGCTTCGTACATGATAAAAACCTGGTCGGCAGCGAGTAAGTTCGACTGCTTACATGATATCTGAAATGCTCACCCGCGCCAGCTGTGCAATTTAGCATTTGCTGCACTAGCGTTTCAGACCGAGTGATGACTATGTTCATGCTCCCTCAAAAGATCTGAGCGGGCAAAGACTTTGTCGCATTGCCCACATGGCCAGCGCAACCCCAGATGCTTGGCTATATGGCGAGGCATATTGCGACGCTGGGATTCTCCCCCGCATGGGGATTCGTAGCCTGAGCGGAGTACAGCCCACCTGCACTCCATTTTAGTTTTCTCTGAACCATTAACATTATGCACCGTATTCAGATGCGAGAGCATCGATCGAAGACCTGCTGGTACGAGCTCAGAGCACTTTCGATGTGTGGTCTCATCCATCCAGTGACATTTTTGCATACTATCTGGGGCGCCAATCTCCGTGGAATCGTCTTGGGAGGGTTCGGGGTGGTCCTCTGCACCAGAACTGGCCTCATTGGGCGGATGAGCTGCCAAATATTCCTCCAACGCTTGCAGAAGCTCAGCTTCTGAGATCTCTTTTGGAGTTTCTCTGTCGTGGATGAACTTTCCATAGAAAAACATGGCGAGCTCCCAGTCCTACAGGAAACATTGAGCCGAAAATATTATCCGTCCCCATAATGCACGCACCTCCTCGTTGAAGTGAAGTGACATGTTGTCAGCTTCATCATCCACCATGTTCAGTAAGTCTGCCATAGGCGTATTGCTGTTGAAACTTCCTCAACCCCTCTAATGGTTACTTACAGTGCAAATTAGCTCACCTGTCGAAGTCCTGGGACCGATAATTCCTGAGAACGAGACATCGCTCGTTCTTTATGGACCAGTGTCCCCGCCAGCTGGTAGGTCACAAAGTCACTAACGATCGGACTATTGGAAGGGTCCCAGGTCTCATATGCGATAGCAGCCATTGGTTTCTATTGGATGGCCAAGGCTGGCATGACCGAGTTCCATGGACGGCGGGGCTCATTAATCCGCAATCTTGTAGTGGTCGTTCAACCAATTACCACCGAAACCGGTATGCCGACAGGCTTGGTTAAGCAACACGCCAGGAACGTGACCAAGAGAATATCCAACAGATCCATTTGAGGTGCAAAGTGCGCATCACTTGGGTCCGTTTCGTTTGTGAGATCGAGTCATCATCATCTTATCGGGCCTACCATTCATAACATGTTGGCCAAGTGGCACGTACTACACGCATCCTCCGACAGATCCAAAAGGAAAACGCAAAGAGCGCATCGCTCCGAGTCGGGTCCGTCCGTCCGTGTAATTGAGTCATGATCTTATCGGGCTTGCCATTCATAAATTGCGGGTCAAGTGGCACTTACTACCTGTATATCCCACAACAAATCCAAAAGAAAACACGAAAAAAACGCATCGGATGGGCGCTGCGATGGTAGTTTTGATGAGAGAACCTGGTTGATTTTGACGCTTGGCGATGCGTGAGAGCAACTTGAACTCGAACACCATGATCGATAAGCTCAAGTACCCTGCCGAAGGTTCGCAATGCGCTCCCAACTTGAAACCCATTACGCACAGATTCTGTCCTCTTTGCATGTCTGGTAACGACTATATTGGCTCGATGTTCACGAATAGATTCGCCCGAGACTCGTTCGTCTGCAACGACTCGTGGTACCCAACCACTGCAGCGGTCGATTAGCGCGCAATGGGCGGTAATTCGAAAAGAAGGAACAATTGTCACCTTTCTTCCATCAATGTCTGACTACGGAAGACTAAGGCGATAAAAAAATTTACCTGAACCTTTTTCTTCCACAACTACGACGAGCTGTCACTTGAGTCAAACACATATATTCACCCCAGGGTAAGCGTCAAATCTACATCATTTTCAATCAAGAGCATTTACATCCATGACAGCATTATAATCATTCAATCCTTTCGCACCGTCGATGAAGAGATCATCCCAGATGTGTATTAACACGCTGCCAAACTCAGGAACCTTTCCTGAGTCAACTGTAAGCACCGACGTTTTATATTGACACTATCGTTGATCATCGGTTAGGATCCGCTCATGATGTTGGAGCTGAATACAGAAGCATACGCAAGGCAAGAGGTATAAAAAACAAATCTCCCCTCGCGGTGTTCAAAAGCAACTCCCGGCTAGGCTCTCTTACCCGCTGTTCCTTTTCCGCTGTAAAACCTCAACAATGTCTATCGAGCTTGTGTTTTGCCATCCATACAATTTTTTATACTCCACGTAAGCACTTATTCTTTGCGAGATTTTGATTTTGGGATCTGGACGATTGATTGAGTTTAACCAAGGTTGCAAATTAACTAGCAAGGAGGCGGATTTTTTTATACTCAGCGACACCGTGATGCCATCTGACTACCAGAATTCAAGGTTGAAATTGGAAAGCTTAAGCCGTAGATAGCATGTGAAGAGGCGGCCCCAAATCCCTGTAAGTTGAATTGACGGTTCCAGATGGAGCTTATCTACGAACATCGTACTGGAAATCGTCTGTTCGAGTGGTGTAGCTTCTGATAACTGACTCGCAGAGGAATCGGGCGACGGCCTACTTATGCACAGTTTATATAAATAAGTGCGAATCCGGAGACAGTGTCATGTAAAAGAAATAAATATGCTTCGGAATGAGTATTTGTCGAAGAAATGCAAGTAAGACCTCATATGTACAGGTAACGATCAGAGTCCATGTTCAACGTGTTTTACGTGACTCTGCCCCGACTAACAACTCACTTTCGATGTCGATATGTCCTGATGTCTTCAACCTCTCAATGAGAACGTCTCCAAAAGCAGTCATGGGAGTCAAGATGCCACCACGTGTGCTTATCTGAGGCAAGGTTGCACTATCCAAAACCAACGCAAGCGCACATTCTGAAATCATTACTGAAAGGTTGAATGAACAGCTAATTAATGGTTCACTGGGAGCATAAACGGAGCTTACTGGATGATAAGAAGTATCCAGGGTCACCTTGACCGCGGAAAATACTTCGTACAACGATCTTTTCTCCTTGGGAGTTGGGACTGGACGTAGTTATGTTAGTGATTTTAATAGAGCCACCGCGTAGTTGTCTGCATGTGGCATGACATGAGTTGTAAGATCAATAAATTTAATTGCACTCACTTCTCAGAAGGGCCTTCACCAGGACCGGGAATTATTCTCCGGGCTAACATTCTCGCCTGTTGAACCGCACGCATTCATTTCCTCTGCTACAAGGACAGGGAGGATATTACTAACAGGCGGGAAGTAAACAAGCAATGCCGCCAACGCGGCAAATATGATTGAATACATCATAGCGTATATTGCACTCGGCAGAATCACGAACTCCTCGTACTTGAAGTTCGGACCGTAGGACAATGGAGCGACAGCAGTCTCATTATGATGGTTGAGACGGCGCGCGAGTTCATACAGACCCCATGAGCGCTGCACGACCTGAGAATTGGTGATTGCCATGAAATACCACGCCCCGTAAACGGGTTGGTCAGAGTATGGCAAGGTATAAAGCATGCGGGGTCGAGGAGAATGGGTGCCTTTCACTGGTAAACAACTTGAAGTCAGCCCCCACCGCGTCCATCTATGCAGCGAGATAAACCTGGGCTCAACACGAAATTCTGCCTTATCGCGAGCAGTTTGTGCTTTGGGACATCTTCCAATGCAGTGAGGATTGTGGAGAAAGTGCCTCCTGAAATAGAAGCACCGCCAAGCTTCCATGCCGAAGTAGAGAGGTCGATTGTGGTAGAGGGCCCACCGAAGGATTTAAGTGTTTTGTTCGCGACGAATGCAATAATATCAGAAGGTACCGAGTCTAACCCGCAGCAAGGCACCACAATTGAACCTGACTTGACAGCTGCGTAGTCGAGTCTAGAAGTGGTCAAGTTGGCACTTCTCAAAATCAGCACGGGCTTCCACATACTCGAAGATAATATCCTTTATCCAGTGAACTTCGCCAGTCAAGTCCACGTAATGTTTCCCATGATGTACACAAGCTCGAACGACAGAAGTTCCCCACCGCCAGTATGGACCAATGGTGTTAATTACAACCCTGGCCTGTTGTACCACAGCACCCACATCACTGGGATTCGTAACGTCCATAATGAATGCTGGTACATCGTCTTTCGAGAGATTGAGCCTTTTAAAAACTTTCTCGAGTGCTGACTGCGACCGTGCAGCAAGACCAAACGTGAATGACGAACGCTGCGGATGTAAAGCGAGGTACTGAGCTATGAGACGACCAGTATAGCCTTGAGGCCCGTTAGTTGACTGCTGTTGTACAATATCATGTGTAGCCATACCTGTCGCACCAAGAACAACTATGTCGACCATGATGAGAAACAAAGATTCGCAAGGCGTCACAGGTGCAGTGCAAGTACCTCTGCATACGTAAGTAAACCGGCTATTAATTTCCGTGACTACCATGACATAATTTTTGTCCGCGAATGTTCGACTTTCTGCAGGATAACAGCAAAGATGTACACATTGTATTAATACCTTAAGAGTTAGGATAGCCTCTACCTAGTACCAATCAATCATCAAACATGGTTCTATCCATCCGAACCCCAAAATTTTGTTTTACTTCCATACCCAAGAGTTTCATCTTCCCAACCTGACAAATGTGATATTGGTATCTTAGCATGTCCGTATTGCGAAAAACTCACCTCAACTCTTTCACTCTGAACCTTCCTTAGTTCCATAAGCTCTTCCTTGCTCAGATAACTTTCGTGCTCGGCAGGTGCTTTCTTGTGTCGTAAAGAGTGAGCCCGTAAATCAGCCTCAGGATCATAGGAGTCTTCTGCTGGTGGAACGAACTCGCCGGCTCGCAACGACGTCATTCGTCGTTCGTATGCCTCCATGTGGTAATATTTCTCGTGAGGGAGGGTTGCTACCAAACGCTAAACGATATCGGCGAAAAGCTACATGATGATGTTACATACCAGTGTTATAATCTTCAATAAAAACAGCGAATTCTTTGCGCTCCTGGTCCTTGGATATGGCCTCCGGATTAATTTTGCGCTCTTCCAGAAGCCACGTGCGGAATTCTTGGGTTTTGTTGTAGAAGCTAGGGGGAAAAATTAGCCACATGACTGCGGCTGTTGCAATTGGACTGACTCGGTTTCGTTGATAATTCCGTATTTACCCCACTGAGCACCAGAGGCAGTCCCATGCCTTTTCTTCTGCGAGAAACGGGTTCGCTGATGGTTATAATTCTTAGGATTACTCACTTTCTTTTCCTTCTTTTCTCTTCTTCTTTCCCTTTTCTCCTCACGGCTGCGGTGCTTATCTTTCTTCTTACGACGCCTTCGCTCCGAATCAGTGTCCGACAAACTTGACACAGAACTTGATCTTGAGCGTGAACGCTTGTGTCTGTGCTTTTCCCTGTCTTTAGGACGTTCACGCCTTTCCTCAGAGTGTGAGCGCTCGCGGCCACGAGAGCGGGACCGAGACCTTGGCCGTTGACGATTGTGTCTGGGGCTGCGAGACCGTGATCTTGAGCGCCTACGTGAGCGAAGGGGGGAACGTGACCGACGAGGTGCGTCACTCTCGGTATCCATTCCTAAACGTCGGCTATGACCAGAAGTATTTCTGTCTGCTAAGAGAGACTCTCTGTTCCTTGTAGTTCTCCTGTCATGAGTGTCTCTATCCTGACCTCTAGATCGGCTTCGACTCCTCCGAGTTTGATTTGAGGACATGAGTTTTCCACAAAAGATCTAAATTCGAACAAGGTGATTCAAGTAGCAGCGTGAGAATATTCCAGCCACAATTTAATTGCGGTTGTTTGGATCAGAAGCTTTTGCCAAACAACAACGTTCATGATCTTACAAGGGTCGACCAGATGCCATCAACCTAATTTTTTTTCGTGCAGGTTCGGCACTCTACGCGAAGGACTAGTCTTATTCCCGCTTCATCTCATTTTGGCTTTCCATCGTTCGGACGCTGTCATATCGGCAGGCGCTTTGCCACTTCTTCTTGATCTCCTGTATACTCGGTACTTCTCATGAATGGCCATCACCACCTCCTAAATCATATACGTCTTGTTGTGTTGCCTATCATATGTCAGGCCTGTTTCTGGGGTAGCACGAGCTGAACACATGTTACCACGTGGGGGCATTGCGCCTCGGCTTTAACGTGATCGCGGCTTGGCAGACCTCAAATTTCATATTTTGTGGCATGTCTGCCAACTTGAAATGGCCGTTATGAACCTCCTGTGCGTCACATCTGGCTATTCACCACGACTAAACTCTATAAACCGATCGGTCGCAGTCTTGCATACTGCGGATTGCATTGGTTACAGCTCCATTTTCGACTCATCTCTACAACTGGCTGCCCGAGTGTTCGTCGAATGGCCGTATTACTAGTGGAAAACAAACACGTGAACCTCCTGCCTGATATTTCCGAACAGGAAAGTGAAAGTTGCACAGAATGGGCCAAATAGTGCTTCTTTGACATTTCACACATCGCAGAGTGTGGCCTAGAAACCACATCCTTACAAGTATAAAACGCTCCTTCTTTCCCGCTTTAGCTCGTGCTGGCTCACAAGTACTACTCATTTGAGCGGTATTTTGAAAACTCAAGCTTCGCTTCTATTCCTATGTCTTTCAAAGAAAGACCTTTCTCTGATTCCTGGTACGCTTTCGTTGCCTAGCGATTCATTACTTCCTTGAATTGCTCATCATACATTATGACAGCGGTGAAGATCCCTTCAATTGCTCACCCATGCAGGAGACAACGTCTCTGACTCCCCCAAGATCTTCAACCATTTTCAGTGTTGAAGCACCATGGTTGTTGTACGCTAGTCTCTTTGCTGTTTGGCGAGTTCCACTGCTTATCAATGTTGCTTTTGTCTAGCTCCACCTCCTACACAGATGAGGTTACTACACTGTGGGTGGTAGGATCTTTCTTTGTTTAAGCCCCTCTCATGAATGAAACAGTAGAACTGGGATAATTCCATCTGATGATCCTTTTCTCCCGAGAAGCCATCAGAATTTTCAGGGCGACTCATTTATTGATTATGGCGCATTGAGGCACGATGATGATAGCTTGCCTGCGAGTTCCCCTGGGAATATGGTGTCAACAACCATGATTTCTCAGACTGCTGACAGTGCCTGGTTGACCAGTGCATCTGCAACTCTACCTCCGGAACTCGAGACATATGCTCACAATTCATACCAACCAATTCATTCACCTCTTTCGCACGTGGTAGCTAGCAGCTCTTTAATGTGGCCTGTGCATGGACCAGTCCATACTCGGACCGTCCATTCATTAGACGTCTTGCATGAAGACCACAGGACTTCAATGCTGCAAGGAAGTCCTCAGTCCCCGGCGCAAGTACTACCCAACATCTCATGGTATCCTCAAGTAGTGGCTCCAGGCAGCTCCGCGAGCGCTGTGTTTCATTCTCCTTCCCTCCGATCGAGGCCGACGTCATCGGCTCTTGGACATGAAAGTGCACCTCAATGTTCAGTTTCTCGGCATGATGAAACCGCTACAACAGGTCCATGGACGACTGGTAGTACGGAGTCAGCTGGCCATGAACCTACGTCCCAATCACCGCGTCGGAGACGCAGAGCCTCATGGTCGAGTTATGCCGATCGGCCCACAAAAGCTCTGCGCTGCAACGGGATTGTCCTTGATGAAGAAGACGTCAAGGAGGCTAGGAGTATTAATGACGGTCTCGTTATCACTTATCTCTGTCGCTGGACCCACAACGGGCAGGAATGCGGTATGCACATCATAGGCGATCGTATACGATTAGCAAGGCATATACAGAGGTGGCACAGGGCTTACGCGGAAGACAGTCAAAAGCAGGCCCCTTGCCGCTGGGGTGGCTGTGGGAAGGTAATGAAGAGAGAGAATGTCGTTCGACATGTTATAGTCACCCATCTCAAGATGAAATGGCGCTGCTCGGTATGTCGCATCAGGCTGTCTCGCGATGATGCCTCTACAAGGCATTTCGAACGGGTGAAACCCTGCAGGCATGGTGTTGCGACGGTTGAAGGAGGGCCAGAAGCGCAGGAGGTGAACGTTTGTCAAGGTTTGGAGTTGTGATCGACCCTCACACCGATGACTTTAATGCGGACATATCTATCTCAAGCGAACAATAATTCTATGCTACAGACAGCACTGATGAATATTTTTGATTCGATATATGTGTTGTAGTCGTAGGTTCACCGGTCACCGGTCATACACTGGCACATGCTTGAACTTGACTCCCCCTTAAACTCTTGGACAGATTTGCATGTTCTACAGTCTAAGTGTTATAATATTTTTTTATTTATGATATCTCACTTGCCTCACTGAGGCTGCAAATAATCCTTTGTAACAACTGTCAACTTCTTGTCGCTCGAATGCAACTCAAATGTCTCTGAAACAACTTCTTGCGTTCTCCTGGAATAAGAAATGCACGTTTTTCCCTTTTAACTCCTGCCTTAGACCGCGTCGTGTACTAGTAATAGTACTAGCAGTACAAGTTTCAGTCGTCGCTCACTCCAGCCTTGGACACATTTAATTAACATGTCACCATCATAATACATCGAATTATTGTCGACCTCGTCCTATACCCTTCGATTGTTCGACGACTCGACTGGAAGAGCTTATCAACACCATATATCCTCCACACGCATTCGCACTTTAATTCAGAACGCGGCGCCACTCGAAGTTTGCTTCGTACTACCCGCCGTCGGAGTAACCTCGGTCTCCCCTAGACAGACCTTTATAAATCCTTTCTTCTAACAATAACGTGCGTCGTCGCATTTCCTTTGCTTGAAATTTACGCGTGCACTCCTCACTCACTTGCTAAACAAGCCCCGAAGTAACATGGACGGTTTTTAAAAAATTCTGCTCACCCTGTTAGTAGACGGTATCCGAGCGCTACTAGATCACAAAGGCACTTTCACTCAATACAAATGGGTTGGTGACACCGACAAGCGGCGCTCGCCGGTACCTGCCCCGCCTCACCAACACATAAACCACATCTCTCAGTCTGCTACTGGTCATCCATTCGCATGTCATCGGTCTTCTGAAATTCTGGCCAGTACCCGTGACATATCGCGCAGGGCAGGTTATAAAGTGTTGGTGTGTGTGTGTGGTGTCGATTTTGGAATTGGTACACATACCAGCCTCACTCGTGACCGGGTGGCCCACATACTCGGCGTGCTGCGCCATTTAACTTCTTATGCATCCATTTTCTGCTGGCAACCACTTCACCACAGAACGTTGATACATCAGACATTTGATGTCTGTAATACTACGTTGTCTGAGGCAGGAAGTCTAACTGCCGAGATCTTTTGGGAAAAAAGTCCGCGTGTATGAATATCGGATAAACTCATATTCCTCAATCCTCAAGATAAAGAACTTTTGACTTATGGCATGACGCACTGACCCAAGCAGCTAAGCCGCATCATCTGCTTTACTGGTTCCTTGCGTCATGCCGCTACCCGCGGAATTTAGCATGGATAACACCATGAGTTTGCAAGTCATCTTTGATCATGCGCTTCAAGCCATCGCAAACAATGATTTCGATACTATTTCGTCATCGTCGGCAAGAGTATGGTCCTCTGTCGCAAGAATCCGTCGGGGTCGTCAATGTTATGGCAGAGCCTCCTGTTTCTCCAGGTAGAGTTTGCTATCTTCGCAGCCTTCCATTCCAATTTACCATGTGCAACGTCCAGACTTGATGGTTGTCAGTTCCATTAACCACATCGTACCGCCCCTCCAGTCATCCGTAGATGGACATGCCACAGAGAGGCTGACCACATATTGCTCTTCAGCCAAACGCTACCCACCTGTGTCTCTCCATAGTGCTTGGCGGTCAGGAGAAAGTCAAGTGCACGTGGCTCCAGTGCTCGAGTATTCTTTATAAATATAGCCACACTTGCCATGTGGACAACATTCATTTCCGCAAGGTCAAAGCTATATGCACTCGTTGTAAAACAGAATTCACGCACACGTAGGCGAAGACGAAGCATGAACTTACGTGTTCTAGTGCACACTCCAAACGTAAATGATGAACCCACTGTGTCACAGTATCATGTTATTTCACCTAGAACACACCTCTTCCCCGATTCTAGAATGACGATCTACTATATTATTGTACTCATTCCCTGTATTAAAAATACGTACTTAATACTGAGGTTGCCGATAAGGCATCTTCTCCGTCCGTCCGAATACCCTATAATCGAGTGCAAGTTGCTGACCCGTGAATCGACTTGCGTGACCGACTGACCGGGATAATACTGAGTTATGGGCGAGTGAGGTAATTATTATGACCATGAATGCTCGAGCAGGTCTTTCATGATTGACGCTCGCTCGCTGCCAGGTAAGAAGAGAACCCCAGACGAAGACAAGCGATATGATTGGTAATAGCAATGTCAACTTTGTCAAGGAGATACAGACGGACTATTTTCGAGCAGAATCTTGACCATCTTGGAATGTCGTACCGTACTGGTGACCGTCGGCGTCGTATATGATCTGAAGAATTAACATCATGCTGTGCATTCGGTTGACCTGGTTGCCCACTGCAGCCTGCACCTTGGTCATCATCTGATGCCTGCGGTGGGCCCAAACGGAGTGGTTTCAATCAATAATTTCGGTGAATGACAATACTGATGAGTCGTGGCCAAACCCTTCTTTCCTTTGGGCGAAGTTTGAACTGAGACTGAGAGTTCTTGTCAGCATAACATCAAATTATGTAAGTCAGCTTTACAACGAAAAAGGAAATAATGGCCGCCGGCATCCCAAAAAGTCGATTCGGTCGACACAGGTCAAAACTCAAGCTACATTTGGTGTAGGTCAGGACAGCGCTCGTCTTGTACTCGGCGGTTAAGTCTGTTCCACCAATAGCGTCGTTTCATCACCAGCGCCGTAAGCTCACTGTAAGCATTAAACTTATTTTTGATAAGCGAAAATTACGCCTTTTGCTGATGCCGCGATCGTCGTGTCTGTAAAGTTGCGCGACCGAGTTACGAAGTTTGCAGAACTTCAGAAGCACGCCAAACAGAAGAAGATCTATTTCTCGTGCTGACCAACAAGATGTCCAAGTCGCGCCGCTCTCTCTCAAGTGCAGTGGGCAAGCGTTCATCCCTGATGTTCACCTCCAGCTCCAGCGCAACCGCCAGCGAGCTTTCCGTCGTTCCGGAGTCATCCGTCGTGTCTACATCTGCTCATTCTATATTACCGGTCTCGTCTGCTCCAATGCCTCAGGCATACGCATATTCACACCAACGAAGCCCTTCTCCCCCAGCTTCGAGTTATTTCCCAACTGTGTCCGCTATACAGAGCGGTGAACCACAGCCTACACCAGGCGCCTCTACACATTTTGCATATAGCACAACCCTTAGAAGACATCATGCCGAAGGCCCTGTTCTTCAATTACCTTCGAATTTCAGTGGGGTGACTTCTAGCGACGGACTACCATCACTCTGGCAGAAGGCAAAGGGTGTCCTTGCACGCCGACTCTCGGACAGCACTGCGGAAACCCGTTATGAACTGGTGTCAGCGGGAGAGTGGTCCAGCCAGTCGAGACTTCGAGAGGATCGAGATAGAAGGGACACTCCTTCTGCACGTTTTGCTCATTGGACAGTTGAGGCGAGTATGTCCTTTAAAATTTGTTGACCTTGCATACGTGTACCGCACTGCCCCTTCACAATGTTTCTAGAAATCCAGGATGGAAGCAAATGGATTTCTGATTGCGCTATTTTTATCTTCGCATAATCCGAAAGGGGTGAAAATAGATGCGGTATCAATGAACTGACACAAATTGCCTTATTAGGACACTCTCGCACACTTCAAGACATCAGCAGTCTCTGGTCTTCCTAGTTCATCAATTCTGACGCTGCAGGATACCCATGGATACAATGAATTCTCCGTATCTATGCCTGAGCCAGCTCTGCTCAAGTTTGCTAAGACCATCTACGAGAGCCCACTCATCCTGCTTCTATGTGGCAGCGCTGTGATTAGTGCGGTCATGGGAAATACTGATGATGCAATCAGTATCACGGTGGCAGTGCTCATAGTATTGACTGGTAAGTATCTGCGGGATATCATTGACGTATCTCATTTTCTTTAGTTGGCTTTGTGCAAGAACAACGCTCGGAGAAAAGCCTGGAAGCGCTCAACAAGCTTGTGCCACACCACTGCCACGTAATCCGGTGCGGCACGAATATTTTATCAGATACTCCATTATCTGAATCTTCACAAATATTCACAGTGATCAGCGTGATATTCACATTCTGGCCAATGAGCTGGTTCCTGGAGATATTGTTGCGCTCTCATCGGGAGACCGTGTTCCCGCGGATATGCGTATCATCAAGGCAGTTGACCTCGAAATCGACGAGAGTAGTCTGACTGGTGAGACCAACGCACGTCGAAAGGATTCCTATCCTTGCGTCTCTCAAGTTTCTATGCCCGCAACTGTTTCGAGTAGCCCAGATATCGCGCTAGCTGAACGGTCATGCATTGGATACATGGGAACTTTGGTTCGGAACGGTGAGTAAATACTAAGAGTGGCATCCGTGTACTTAGGACCCACACTACCTTTAGGTCACGGCATGGGTGTCGTGATCGCGACTGGCACTCAAACAGAATTTGGTGTGATCTTTTCCATGATGCAGGATGTAGGTGGCTTTTGAACTCTTGATCAGGAGCATTCTTAATTCTAAATAGGTCGAGGAAAAACGTACGCCTCTTCAATTGAGCATGGACGAGCTGGCCAAGAAGTTGTCGGTCATGTCTTTCGGCATTATTGGGGTCATTTGCCTTATTGGCATGTGGCAGCAGCGGCCCTGGTTAGACATGTTCACCATCGGAGGTAGCTGATTCCATTAACGACACCTTTTCTCGTTTAACTTTTTATGCAGTATCTCTTGCGGTAGCAGCCATCCCAGAGGGCCTCCCTATCGTCACGACTGTCACATTAGCTCTTGGTGTATTAAGAATGTCGAAGAGAAAGGCCATCGTAAAAAAACTTCATTCCGTCGAAGCCTTGGGCTGCATTTCTGTCATCTGCTCTGACAAGACTGGTCAGTCCATAACTGCATTCTTTTTGTCTTTTGCTGCAATTGATGTTACAGGCACCTTGACAAAGAATGAACAGACAGTTACAGAGGTGTATGTCGTTGATGAGAACATTCACGTGGATGAACCTCGGTCAACAATATCCTCGGCAGTTAGGAAGCTTCTGGAAATCGGCTCTTTATGCAACAATTCCTCGATGTCCAAGGATGGCGAAGGCAAATACGTCGGACAGTCGACCGACGTAGCATTGATAAATATTTTGTCTTCATTCAATATACCAGATCAACGGCAGGTATGTTTGCACCAACGGCGTCATCAGTGTTCTCTACTGAAATCGATCCAAGTATTTCACCCGCCTTTCGGAAAAATCTTTCAACTCGGAACAAAAGTACATGGCCGTCAGCGGTATTCACTCCTACTCCACAGCTGTCCATTCAGGTCCTCACAGCGAAATGTACTACATCAAGGGATCCATTGACGCCATTTTGGATCGTTGCAAGTACTACTTTGTTACGGACAGCTCAACACCTGTCTTAGACGCTAGCACGCGCAGCCTCATACTGAACAACGCTCAAGCAACAGCATCACGGGGCCTCCGAGTAATTGCTATGGCTTATGGATACGGATCTGTTGATTCTCCACGTCAAGATTCTGCACAACCGCAACACCGTGCCACCCAATCGGTGTCAGCGTCGCGTACCCCGGTGCCTGACGAGGACAAGACCAATCTAGTATTTGTTGGGTTCCAGGCCATGTTTGATCCCCCACGCAAGGGAGTCGCGGATGCTATCGGCTTGCTCCAGAACGGCGGGGTACAAGTTGTTATGATCACTGGGGACGCCGAACAGACAGCCTTGGCTATCGCCCAAAAATTGGGGCTCCGTGTTGGCCCTACACATGCTCATGATGCCCAGCTCCGCAAATATTGTCTGACTGGAAAGGATCTCGACCAGATGAGCCGTTCACAACTCATCGAGCGGGTAGGCAGCGTGAGCGTGTTCGCGCGGACAACACCGCGACACAAAATGGCAATTGTTGAAGCCTTTCAAGCTCGTGGAGCTGTGGTAGCCATGACTGGGGATGGGGGTGAGTGCTATCTATATCATGCTATAAGTAAGCTTATATAACTTTGCCTACTTTTCCTTCGACCGATTCGCTAGTCAATGACGCGCCAGCGCTTAAAATGGCAGACATCGGTGTGTCGATGGGGAAAAGTGGCACCGATGTTGCGAAAGAAGCCGCCGATGCTATCCTTGTGGATGACGATTTCAGCACAATATTACCTGCTGTTGAGGAGGGTGAGCAATCTGTTCCTCGAATCATTGCCACGTAACCAACCAAACTGTTCTAAAGGCAAAGCGATCTTTCACAACATCCAAAACTTCTTGTCTTTCCAGCTCAGCACAGCTGCCGCTGCATTGACGCTCATTACACTTAGTACGCTGTTTGGGTTCAGCAACCCCCTCAACGCCATGCAGATACTTTTTATTAATATTTTGATGGACGGTACGTTCTCTGGATTGCCCTCGCATAGCGAATGTCTGATCTGGTCCTAGGACCTCCAAGTCAATCGTTAGGTGTCGACCCAGTAGATCCAGCAGTTATGCGAAGACCTCCACGGAAGAAAAACGAGTCAATAATAACGAAACGCCTGTTATACCGCGTCCTTTTCTCAGCGGCTACCATTGTCTGCGGAACCTCTTTCATTTATACCACTGCGTTGGGCGATGATCTTGTATCGAGGCGGGAACAAACTATGGTCAGTTCTTGTACTTCTGAATTCTGCTTGCCACAACTTATATGTTGAATAGACTTTCACGTGCTTCGTCTTCCTTGATCTTGTGTCTGCAGTGCAGAACCGCGGTCTTGGATGCGGCTTGATACAAAACAAGATGCTTGTGACAACCGTATCGGTGTCATTCCTCGTCCAGCTGGCACTCATTTATGTTCCATTTATGCAAGCGATCTTCCAGACAGATGCTCTTGGTTGGGAGGACATATTGACCATCTTTCTCATAGCTGTAACGTCTTTCATGTTACATGAGGGACGGAGATATTTCGAGAGAGCGGTCCAGTCAAAAGAAACGTATGCTAATCTCGCGGAAGAGATGGCGTGATATTTCTTTGATGGAGAGGCTTAGTATCTAGGCACGGATATATAACTGAATAGAGAGATGGATAACTATATTGTCTACATTGTACTACACATTATAACCTTTTACATACTCGAGATCAAACTACCCACACATAACTATAGCACAATTGGAAGCATCTAAACTAAGTCATCACTTTATAGGGAGTGAAGGCTGGGGGAATAATCATCCAGGATGGCGCGCCAAGAGGGACTGCTCGAGGAGCAACACCAGTAGCAAGACGAGATTGCGAGTAGCATTCTGTACGGAGTTCCTAGATGAATAAGTCAGTGATGTAAGCAATGTTTGACAAGCAAGCTAACGTACCTCAAAACTCCATGACCGAAGACCTGGTGTCGCCGAGATACTCTGAAATATATCGGAGGCATCTTGCGCCTCTTCATCGGTACAGATTTGCATATCATGTGACATGTTGCCATCGCAAGAAGTGGGATCGACCAGAGAAGGAGCGACGACGACATGACCTTGAACAGTGCCTGTGGCCATGATCGCACGTGCTCGAGCAGGAAGAGGAACCATTGCTCTCTTAGGAATAGCCCCCTGCCAAACCGCTGCTGCCCTCGAGATAAAAATACCCTCATCATCTTCTGCAATTTCAAAAGATAGGTTCAAGGGCGTATCTTTTCCTCCTGCACCGCCGGTCAGCTTAGAGCTCGTTTGTTCTGGAGGCGTGTAGTAGTGGCCGTAACCGTTGATGGGTGGTGTATCGTTGGAGACCGTCAGACCGAGCGTTCCGACAGCAGGCATGATTGAAGAGAGGGAATTTGGGGGTGGAAGATTGTTTTTTTTTGCTGGTACGCTAGAATTTTTTATAGGTGATGCTCACAGGGAAGTTGCTATAGTGGATTGACGTCAATTATTAAGTTCACCCCAATCGGTAAAATGAAGAAGAAAGATAACGCAATCAAGCACCTCATTAACAAGGCATATGCGGTCAGAACAAGACCAGTTGGTCAATGAGATTGACGCCGTCAACGCATAAATCGTATGGTGGCGTGGTATGTAGTGCACGATTGTGGGCTTGTGGCTGGCTGGTGGTGGATAAGACCCAAAGGAATTAAAGAAAATATTCACACATCGTCCGTCCACTAGCCGAGCGCTATTGAACTATCAAACACGTGACACGCGTGGCGTCCTAGTGCGCGTCGAACTTTTGTAAGCTTTTTTTGACCATCAGGACATTGATGCTACTAGTCAGTACTAGTCCTACATTCACCCGGAATATGTCACCTGGAATGCCCAGGCATAATCTACTTGGTCGACTTGATCCTGAGGCACCACGACAGTCAAGATACCCGATCCATCCATGTTCCACTCAAGGCTCTGCGAATTCTTTGATGGACCCAGCAGCACAACATTGTCTCCCTTTTGAATTGGTAGCACCACGCCACCCGCATCCACTGTGACTTTCCCATTGCTCGGTTTGTTGAATGCGATGATGCAAAATGTTTTTGGTGTGGTGAGGAACCTAAATGATCCCGTCGGATCTTGGGACGCTTGGTACCAGTAATCCTGATACGCATACTCAAGAAAGAGTGCCAAAGGAGTATTCGTGACATACCGTTGCATAGACACAGTCACCTGCATACTTCAGCCATTTGCCGGCAGCGCGGAGGTTGTCTGCCATCGGCGCAATGATGTCACCCTCTGCGGTGGGTCCGACATCGAGTAAACTGTGGAATGAAATAAAACGAGTAGCAAAAGCAATGGTGTCGTTCCCTTACTAGTTTCCATTCTTGCTCACAATATCGACCAGTGTCTGGATAATGGTCGTTCCGTTCTTGTACTCGCTCGCATTGGTGGCAGAATTCAAGCCGTAACTAAACGGGTCCATCCCTTCGCTTGTCTCCCAGTGGCGAGGGTACAGGGTACCGAACGTCGCGTATTCCGGTGTGTCAAAATCCGGGACCGCACCACAACCTCGAGTGGTTATTACATTAGACATACCTGACAGTTCGCAACAAAGACAACCTACGATCATTCATGGTAACCTGATAGCCATTCTGCATCGCATGGTTATAGAACTGTGCAGCAAATTCCAATGTCTTATTGGGACCTCCAATGTCGCACCACTAGCCCCCGTCAGCGCATACCGAGAAGTCAGTCTAATAACAGGGCTGACCATGATCTCCGTGTCATAGTCCAACGCTAAAGACAGCATCTGGGGGTATTGAAAATCCTCGATGTAGTCGCTTATATTCAATATTCCAGTATAAGGCTCCAGTTCAGACGTATTGAATGCGTTGTGCGCCAAGCCTCCTGGCCATGCACTAAACCCATACTTGGAGAAGTATGGATTGAACCTGCAGGAGATCAGAAACAGGAGCCATACTTGTGGAATCGGTACTCTTACCATTCGGGAAGTGAGTAGTATGTTCCACGATGAAGGTCAGGATAATCGGATTTGGCGGTGTCCATGAGCTCTTTGACAAAGTCACGATGTGGGTTAAGGTATACACTACTTCTATGTGTGGTATTTTTTGTATCAAACAGTGCATAACCGTCGTGATGTTTCTGCAATGCGGCACGGTCAGACCTGATCGACGACCAACAAAGAGCAGTTCGCACAGTAACGATGACAAAGTACTTTGCCCCAGCTTCGGAGAACAGATCTAACCAAGCACTGGGATTCCAATTAGACGCCGTGAAGTTAGCAATAAAGTCATCATATACGACGTCCTGAAGTGCACAATCATGAATGTCAATGCTGACTGAAAGCTCATTACGATTACCTTCCCATAAGTGTCTAAGTGATGTACCCACGTCGGCGAATTAGCGTTCGAAGGATTATGGAGACTCCAGCTGCTCTTGTGTCAGAATTGCCCGCGTATGATGGAGATCCTCCTTACTCATACCACTCGGCATATGAACTAGGCGGGCCCTATCTAAAATGCATCAACTAACGTGAGCGTCAAAGACAGCGCAAACGCACTTACCCAAGCAGGAACACTGTAGATGCCCCAGTGAATGCTGCGAATGCATAAGTTTATGGATCACATGAATTCTCGGGAATAATCTGGTACTGACAAGATTCCATACTTCGCCTGGTTCCACCAAGTGGGCGTCTCATGTGTAGCCAGCACATCAGTGTCCGCTGTCCATTCTGTCCGCAGCGGGATGATGGGCCAGCCTACGGAAGTCCCAACAACATTCCCAAATTCATCTTTGATAGTGACTGTCGCATTTCCCCTCCCGTTGTTATTGAGAACGAAAACGTCCAGGCGAGCCTGGTCTGCAGGGACCAGGCGATACACGAGGCCAGGTGTGATTGTGGAGACCCCCTCGCCTGTTACTGTAATCTCGTACCGCGAGTTTAAAGATGCGTTCGAGGACGTCGCGTAACTTGCTGGGAGTAGATTCGCGAGGGTGATAGCGACGGCTTGAGCTCGCTGCCCGTTGATGTCCTCCCACCTCGTGCTGAACTGGGCACTGCGAATAGAGAGCTGGGGCACCAGAGGACCACTGGCAGGTTCAAAAGAAGGTGTTATAGAGAGTGCAAATATATGGAGTCTGTTCGAGGTAGAAGATATTTTTGGGAGCGTGATGCTTTCAAGCGGCGCACGAGAGGGTACCGACAGCGATAATTGAAAGATTCGGCTAGAATTAAAATTCTTATTAGGTGAATATCCTTCGAAATGGTATGGTCTGTTATGGGTCAAAGGTCAGTAAGAGTTGGAAAATACGAGGCGCATTTTACGTTTGAATATCTCCTGCGTTGACATTAGACCATGTGAACCAGTCTTTCCCGATGACTGAATGCTATCCGTGAGCTGGCAGAGTACGCACAGGGTTCAAGGGAAGCTAACATGGCAAGGACTTGACTGAATTATCCGCATAGTTGAGGCTGAATGTTCCGCTTATTCCGCCTGAGAATTCAACTCAATGCGTTAAAGGTTGCGGATAGTTGACTGCACTTACCACCAGGCGAACTATCCCCTGCATATATGATGTGCAACTCATGAACATAAGTTGCGTTCGAGAGTTTCACAACTTGGCCTGCAGCAATGACATTGTCTTTGGTTTGTCCCCAAGTTGATGGCAGATCATACTGAAGATCGCTGAGTGAATAGATGACACGTCATCGTTATTCTCACCGAGATTCCATTATACAACCACGGGCCCTCGGGTAGGTACTCTGCTGGATACGTAGCGCCATTCCCGTCGAAGTTGCCAGTGGTGCCATCTAGCGAAGCAGCTTGGTTATCGAAGAGACCGTTTAGTGGAATGACAACAGATGGAAATGGGATGAGGGAAGACTTTACAGTGCTAAAATAGGAGAACAAAGCCGAGCACAGTAATGGCACACCAAAGACTCTCATGGCGGCCTGGAAGGGAGGCTGCTCGGCGAGGATGCATGCCTTTTCTATCCATAGCTAGGCAAAATATCGGTGTTATGCCGCTCGGACAAACAATAGGGTCTGACCATGGTCATAGTACTAGAAGTCATGTTCACGGCATATGCTTGTGACATGCTGAAATGATTCGAGAACTTGGAGACGAGAATGAGGTTTGACGTGGCCGCCCTTGTGTTAATTATGCTATTAGAAAGGTTTTTCCGTGCGAGATTCAGCAAGCCTTGGAAGTTCCAACCAGAGATATCTGAAGAATTGCTGGGGAAATGATCAAGCATGATAAATCAGGCGGGGACAGGATATCACTAAGACTAGTATACTTCACCATGAATTGCGTTCTGGTTCCAAAGCAAGTGTAATGTTGCGTTGCACCGTGATAGACGACGGGTTAGGTGTTACTAGTCGAGGAATGCATTGAGCCAACCTAGCGGACCGTGCGGACCGGCTTGTTAGTTCAAAAATGCACGTGATATTTTTCACACACACTTACAATAAGATCCCCAGTTTTCTAAATGCCTTGCCGCCCTTGCGTCGAGGGAGGGGATGGGCCATTCGAGGCTTCCATGGAAGTCCGAGTCTGTGGATAAGTGAGTCTGGAGACATGATCAATCAGCCTGATTTCATTTGCAATTAAGTAGTCAGAGCCGCCGCTCATCCGACTTGGGAGTCTGGACCCCCACGGGCTGGCACAACGATGAACAGCGCAGAATGTTCAAGAATATCTGGATTCCTCTCCTGGTCATTTGCAAGTCCCGCATAGCAGCCACTGACACGCTGCTGGGCTAACCCCTTCCCATATGAAATAGCGAATCCTTTCCTGAATTGGCGTTAGGTCACCGTGCGATCTTATCGTAGGTATAAATGATCATGCGTCTACCATCTAACTGCAATCATATACCATCATCACTCTTACGAAATGGTCAAGTTATACGGTTTTCCCGGTTCCACATGCACCCGCCTCGTCGCTCTCGTCTGCAAAGAAAAGAACATTCCATATGAATTGACCCAGGTCAACTTGATGAAAGGTGAACAGAAGGCCCCATCTTTCACCGCCATTCAGCCATTCGGTCAGGTCCCATACATCGTGAGCCAAATCCTGTCCAGATCTATCCCATTCGCTGATTTGTGCCCTCAAAGGATGACGATGGTTTCATTCTATACGAGTCCCGCGCGATCGCAAGATACATCATCAAGAAACACCCTAACCAGGGCACCCCCTTGATCCCCAGCGACCCCAAGGCCGAGGCCCTGTTCGAACAAGCAGCTTCGATTGAGACGTTCAATTTCAACGCTTTTGTCGCCCCCATCGTCGCGGAAAAAGTGTTCAAGCCGTAAGTAATTCTCTTCCTCGATCCAATGTAGCTTAGACAATTTCTTAAGGCGCCGTGGTCTGCAACCAGATGAGGCACGTGTCAGCGAGCTGTTGGCGACCCTCCAGAGCAAGATGGATGCGTATGAGGTGATCCTCAGCAAACAGAAGTACCTTGCTGGCGACGTGCGTCTGATTTCTTTCTTCATGGTCTGCTCTGGTTATGAACTAACAATATCTGCTGGCTAGTCTGTCACGCTTGCTGATTTGTCCCACCTGCCGTATGGCACTGCGTTCTACGGACTCGGAGGTGTCTTTGCTGAGGTATTTGACAGCAGGCCTAACCTTGCTAGGTAGGAATTCAGACGTCAACTGCCCTGGATATGATTTAATCGTTTGATGCCCAGGTGGTGGAAGGACATCTCTAACAGGCCTGCTTGGCTTGCCGTCAAGGATGGTGCATGAGCCCATGGGATGAGTTTTTGTTCAACAATTGATTGTAAGATACCTTCGGAAAGAAGTGCAGTGTCGTTGTATGTAACACCAGTAGAACTCCAGTTTGATATCTACTGCTCCGAGATTCATCGCAAGGAAAACGAGAACTATACTACTTGTATTGTGGCGAGGATCGTGCAGTTGATTTGCAGCAAAATTGGGAGTTCGACGTACGCCAAATCATATTTCACCAGCTTCGCTGGCAATCCAAGACTCTGAAATTTACGTGTCAGTTTGCTCTGTTCACAGAGTTTCAAAGTTCCACCAGTTCGATCAACCAAGTATGGTACCGCAGGTGCGTGAGAGCAGGAATCAGCACCCTTCTGACTCGACGACTGTTTTACAAAGCCAACATCCTTGCCGGCTTCATCACAGTGCTCGTACATGAATATTTACGAGTCCACACAACTGAAGTGTTCATAACTGCGTAGTGTCCATTTCCGTGTCCTTGAATTATATCATCGAAGATCACCATGAGGACATAGACGACTCCGACAGCTACCGCAAACCATGTCGATATCAATTATCAACCATGCTCAGCGCTCAGTTTTAGCACCTGCAGGACCACTCCAAGCGCATACAACACTCGCAATATCAGTTATATGTGTTATGGTAGCTTTCTAAAGGACGTTTTACTGCAGTGAAGGCCCAGACGTGCAGGAAGGCCGGGGACGGATGGGCATTGGGATCATGGGAAGGGTCTGGCAGAATGAGAAAGGTGGGAGGGAAGGACACGTGAGCGTAGACTTGAGGCAGTGTATGAGTAAACATCTCGTCACATTGGTAATTGGAATCTCGTATTCATCGCTGCCTCTGGAGTTCGAGCGGGAGGCGGTGAGCGGTGAGCAGATTTAATGGTACCGGTAGGTGGTTTTGTCATCAAGCGGTGTTTACATAAATTGATCTGAATTTTGGCCAGATCCTTTCTGGGGCTTGTTCTGAGCAATCGGTAACCCGCCACTGGTCAAAGTACTGCGCATGCTCACCTTGCCATCAATAAGACTTGGTAATATATTCGTTCAGAGCGCGGCAAAGCAAAACGCTTTCTATGGGGTGAACCGAAAACCGCTGAGGCGACACCAAGCAGGCACTAGTAACGCTAGGATTCATCACACAAGTATCATACAATCACCAGCTCGGACTCGTAGCATCCAAGTCTGGTGTTTGGATCGCTCTTCCTCACAAAACCTTTACCTGAGCCCTGCGCGTATAGCCTGTTTGATACATGGTTACCTAGATCAAGATTGGTAAGTAACTAGTTCCTCGTCGCTCGAGTCCTCCATTTAAGTACTAGCAGGGACCTAGTTCGAGGACAAATTACTCAGCATGTGTAATATTCTGTCGTCATTGAGTCATCATCCATATATTCATGCAGAGCCATACAAGAGCCATCAATAGGTATAAATACTGATGCGTTCACTGAATTCTATCATTCAAACACTCAGCTCGCATATCCTCCTCATACCCAGCTAATCTCGCAAAATGGTCAAGTTGTACGGCTTTCCCCTGTCCACATGCACGCGTCTCGTCGCCCTCATCTGCAAGGAAAAGAATATCCCATATGAGTTCATCCAGGTTGACTTGGTGAAAGGTGAACAGAAGGCTTCGTCTTACACCGCCATTCACCCATTCGGTCAGGTCCCATACATCGTGAGTCAACTCATGATCAGATTTTATGATGTGATTGCTGATTTGCCCCGTCGAAAGGATGACGATGGTTTCATTCTATACGAGTCCCGCGCGATAGCAAGATACCTCATCAGGAAATACCCCAACCAGGGCACCCCCTTGATTCCCAGCGACCCCAAGGCTAATGCCCTGTTTGAACAAGCCGCTTCGATCGAGGCGTTCAACTTCACCACCTTTATTCAGCCAATTGTTTATGAAAAGCTTTTCAAGCCGTGAGTAATTCTCTTCCTTAATCCGACGTAGCTTAGATGACTTCTCAAGGCGCCGTGGTCTGCAAACAGACGAGGAACGTGTCAGCGTGATGTTGGCGATGCTCCAGGGCAAGATGGATGCGTATGAGGTGATCCTCGGCAAACAGAAGTACCTTGCTGGCGACGTGCGTTGATTCATTTTGTGATGGTCTGCTCTGGTTATGAACTAATAATATCTGCTGGCTATTTAGTCCATCACGTTAGCTGATTTGTCCCACCTGGCGCTTGGCGCTTTGTTTTACGGACTCGGAGGTGCCTTTGCTGAGGTATTTGACAGCAGGCCTAACCTTCTCAGGTAAGAGTTGAGATGTCAGCTGTCACGGATATGATTTAATGGTTTGATACGCAGGTGGTGGAAGGACATCTCTAACAGACCTGCTTGGCTTGCCGTCAAGGATGGTCCGTGAAGTCTTGTACAATAAGTCCGGAAAGAAGTGCGGTTTCGTTGCATGTAACACCAATAAAATTCAGTTTTGACATTTGCTACTTGATTCATCGCAAGAGCGAGAACTCCGCCATTCATGAAATGGCGAGGATGCATTTACAATTGAAAATATTTGCGCACGACGGTAAATAAGAATCTACATCTGCGCATGCCTCAGATCTCAGGTATGAGTAACAATGTCGGAGATCGTGTACGACTCATCAGTAAAAGTAGCAGAACATGACGGGGCCTTACAAACGGCCTGCAGCAAGTGTAACGAAAAGGCGACAGAGCATGCATGCAGACATTCGACTCAGACGAAGCCTTAGTTGTATACCCTCTGAGATCTCTCCGGACGCTCACAAAGGTATTGAAATACTTTGCGTTGAAACGACATTATAGTTGCTTTGGACATTATTATTTGCGAAGGTGGCGAGTGAGAATTTCATACGCTACAACTTTGCGGGTGAAATGACGGGCCTTCAGTCATAAAATAGAAGACCTGTTGAGACCAGCACCACCACGGAGTTCTAGGAACCACTTCATCTCCAGGAATCAGCGCCCTTCCGACTCGATGACCGTTATACAAAGCCAACATCCTTGCCGGCTTCATCATAGTGCTCGCAGATTTATGAGTGCACGCAACTGAAGCCGCGTCACGGTACTCCTTCTAGCCAATATAGTAGTACGAATGCAACATTCATGCGAGTCAGGCTAGAGCAGACATTTGACCCAATTGACGAACCTAAATTACATGCTGGGGGATACAGTGTGTGAGGCTACTGCTAACCACGTCGATATCTGATGACCCATGCTCAGTGTTGGCACCTGCGAAACCACACAACACTCGCAATATCATATATTTGTCAACCTTGCAAGTTCTATACGCCATGCTAGCTCTCTAAAGGACCTTGCGCTGCAGTGCAAATAAGGCAGGCACAGGCGACAGGAAGAGGGATGGATGGGATCATGGGACGCACAGGAAGGGTCCGAAGGGGGCATCATGAGAAAGATGGATGGGAAGGACAACGGACGCATTAAAGTAGACTTGAGGCGATGGTATGAGTACAACATTCCGCGACAGTCGCAATTAGAATCTCGTATTCATAAGTACTGAGATACTCTGCTTCCACACAAGCGGATCCGGAAGGTGGTGAGCAAGGTAGTTTCGTCATCAAGCGATGTTTAAATTTATATGGAGTTTGCCGGACTTGCTCCAGACTTTCAGATCAATCGGTAACCCGCACTAACAGTAAAAGTACTGCTGCGCATGCTCACTAATATTATTGATATCAACGGTCGTCGGTAATCTATTCGTTGGCACAGCAAAGCACATCACCTTCTATGGTGTTAACCGAAAACCGCTGAGGCGACACCAAGCAGGTATGTACTTAACGCTAGAACTCATCATACAAGTATCCTACAATGACCAGCTTGGACTCCGGAGGACTCGCAGCATACAAGTCTAGTGTTTGGATCGCTCTTCCTCACAAAAGCTTCACCTGAGCCCTGGCGCGCATAGCCCGCTGACACATAGTTACCTAGGTCAAGATTGGTAAGTAGCTAGCTCCTCGTCGTTCGAGTCCTCCATTTAAGTGCTAGCAAGGACCTAATTCGAGGACAGATCACTCAGCACGTGCAATATTCTGTCGTCATCATTTATCATCTGTATATTCATGCAGAGCCATACAAGAGCCATCTACAGGTATAAATACTCATGCGTTCACCGAATTCTGTCATTCAAACACTCTCAGCTCGCATATCCTCCTCATATCCAGCTAATCTCGCAAAATGGTCAAGTTATACGGCTTTCCCAACTCCACATGCACGCGCCTCGTCGCCCTCATCTGCAAGGAAAAGAATATCCCATACGAGTTGATCCAGGTCAACTTCATGAAAGGTGAACAGAAGGCCCCGTCTTACACCGCCATTCAGCCATTCGGTCAGATCCCATACATCGTGAGTCAACTCATGATCAGAAGTCATGATGTGATCGCTTATTTGCGCCCTCAAAGGATGACGACGGGTTCATTCTATACGAGTCCCGCGCGATAGCAAGATACCTCATCAGGAAATACCCCAACCAGGGCACCCCCTTGATTCCCAGCGACCCCAAGGCTAATGCTCTGTTCGAACAAGCCGCTTCGATCGAGGCGTTCAACTTCAATACATTTGTTCAGCCAATTGTTAATGAAAAGCTTTTTAAGCCGTGAGTAATTTTCTTCCTTGGTCCGACGTAGCTTAGATGATTTATCAAGGCGCCGTGGTCTGCAATCAAATGAGGAGCTTGTCAGCGTGCTGTTAGGGTTACTCCAGAGCAAGTTGGATGCGTATGAGGTGATCCTAAGCAAACAGAAGTACCTTGCTGGTGACGTGCGTCTGATTTCTTTCTTGATGGTCTGGCTATGAACTAACAATATCTGCTGGCTAGTCTGTCACGCTTGCTGATTTGTCCCACCTGCCGTATGGCACTGCGTTTTACGGACTCGGAGGTGTCTTTGCTGAGGTATTTGACAGCAGGCCTAACCTTTCCAGGTAAGAGTTGAGATGTCAACTGTCGCGGATATGATTTAATCGTTTGATACGCAGGTGGTGGAAGGACATTTCTAACAGACCTGCTTGGCTTGCCGTCAAGGATGGTGCGTGAGGTGTTTTTCAATAGATCAGGAAATGTCCAGAAAGCAGTGCGATCTCGTCGCATGTAACACCAATAGATGTTCAGTTTTGACATTTGCTACTTGATTCAACCCAAGAGCGAGAAATCCGCCGATCATGAAATGGCGGGGATGGATCTACAATTGGAAATATCTGCGCACGAGTGTAAATGGGCCTTCTCATGGCTGACTCGACAAACGGCCTGCAACAAGTGAGAGTAACGAAAAGGCGACAAAGCAAGCATTCAGGCGTTCGACTCAGACGAAGCCTTAGTTGTATACCCTTTGAGATCTCTCCTCTCTCACAACAGGACGTTCACAGAGGGATTGAAATGCTTTGCGTTTCCCAGACACGACATCATAGCCGCTTTGGACACTGCTATTTGCAAAGGTGGTGAGTAATAATTCTATACGCTACAAATTTGCGGCTGAAATGATGGGCCTTCAGTCATAAAGTAGAACTCTTGGGACCGGCACCATTGCGGAGTTCTGGGAACCACTTCATCGTGCACCGCCTCGATGTTGCATCTACAGCTGTATTTGGTACCGCCCATCATTCGTATATGCGGTGTTAATATCCGAGGATCGTTTTATGGTGCGAATTTACATCTCAATGGTAAATAGGTGAAGGACGCCGCTGGTAGTGCAAACATATCTTGGTGGTATGCTCTACAGCTAGGTGGTTTTATTGTGTCGTGCATCCATCAAAGATAATGACTTATTAGAATTTGCAAGACATATCTCTCCCTAGAGATTCTGCTTACAATCCTCGATCACGAAGAACAAAGGATGACGATTATTACTCACACTCAATAGGACTCGGGTAAGTAATCTTCATATCATATCGATTCTTTCCGCAGTACATACTTGTACTATCCGAAACTCAGATCATCCGAATCTCCGCTACTCTTCGATGCACGGATCATGTCATTCACAGGTATGTTTGCTGATTGTCTGCTCGTACCTGCTACAACAACAAGTGTCCATCCACTTATTCACTTCTTCCTAGTATACCAACTATCCGGACTGTGATAGTCTTTTCCCTCCGGTCTCGGGGTGTTGTGTTCAATGGTGGTACAGGTATGTGCATCTGACTTGACAATATGATCTCATCGGAGTTAGGCTGTATAATTGCGTGCGTGCGTCGTTCTTTCACCTCCCACACAGAATATAGTTTTGCCAGTCCGGCTGGCAAAACTGCTTCAAATAGTTCTGCCGGTAACACTGGTACTGAGTGCATTTTTCCTTCAGATCGGTGGAACTAGATATAGCCAGTAAGTGCCTCGCTTTACCCAAAAAAAAATCACGTGTTTACATACATTCCAAGAAATGAAACGGCGTAAGATGGATTGCAGGATGATATTTTGAAACACGAGGGCACGAACCACCGCACTGAAGGAAAAAGATATCCGAATTCAAGGGCCTGACCAGGTCATAGTCTAGTTGCATGTTTGAAAAGGGACTGCAAATGAATAAAAAGTTCTTCCTGCGTCACCTGGACCATGAGGAATAACATTCGGAAATAAAGTATAAAAAGCCGTCTTCCTAGTGATTGTCTCATTCAAATCGTCTTGAACCCATATCACATCTCCAGGCTCACAAACAATGCGTATTTTCTCTGTCCTCGCCGTTGCTACCTCTTTGATGGCGATAGTATCCGCCAGTCCCACCAACATGAACCGTCAAATTGATCCTAATGGAAAGTGCCCTGCATTGTGTACAACAAACAATGCTGCTCTAACCAAATTTGTAAGGCGCTGGGCACGTTCGTTGTGAGTATAAGTATTTTTGCATCTTGGTTTAACCACATGACCCACCTGCCTGGTAGATCGTCTGGACGTGTATAAACCGCAGCGAATGAGTGCCATGTCGCGACAGTGAAATATAGTGAGTCGTGTTTCTACTCCAATCAACATCGGTGCAGATGATGGCTTATGGCATAATATCAGGGTTACTACTAGCTTGATGTTGAGTTGATCAACGTCTTGCTTCTCACTGCCGCTGGAGCAATCATTGGAGTCTTGGAATAGGGGAAACCCCAGATACTCGATATGACTTAAGAGTTTTGCAGTCAGTGTATATCTATATCGAAAGTTGTCATTGTCGAACTGCGAAAGATCGAGGTCCAGAAATCTGAAATCATAAGGAAAACCCTGAGGTTGCCCTGAGGCCCCATTTTAGACTAGCTATAGCTAGTAGACGCGTTTGTTTTGTCACGATTCTGTAACGATAATCACGTGACGTTCGTTAGTCACTGACTGCCGCAAAATTTCAAGTACTTATTATCTTGCTCAGCGACATCAACTGCGGTCGAACGTGTCTTCTCGCAGGCTCGGCAGCTCCTTCAATTTACTCGCAACCGACTCGCACCATCAAATTTGCGCCTTTCTCTGCCTTGGAGTCTGTGGCAGAAGTCGAGTTTCCGACCAGTGTTATCCGTGCGGAACCCCTAATACACGTGAGTAGCCATACAAGAGCCATAGCCTGGAGTATAAATAATCATGCAAACCCCCAGCTTGTATATCATCATCATTCATTCCCAGCTAATCTTGCAAAATGGTCAAGTTATATGGTTCTCCAATTTCCACCTGCACGCGCCTCGTCGCTCTTGTCTGCAAAGAAAAGAATATTCCATATGAGTTGATCCAGGTCGACTTGTTCAAAGGTGAACAGAAGGCCCCGTCTTTCACGGCCCTTCAACCATTCGGTCAGGTCCCATACATCGTGAGTCAACTCATGATCAGAAGTCATGATGTGATTGCTTATTTGCGCCCTCAAAGGATGACGACGGGTTCATTCTATACGAGTCCCGCGCGATAGCAAGATACCTCATCATGAAATACCCCAACCAGGGGACCCCCTTGATTCCCAGCGACCCCAAGGCTAATGCGCTGTTTGAACAAGCCGCTTCGATCGAGATTTTCAACTTCAACACTTCTATCCAGCCAATTGTCTTCGAAAAAGTGTTCAAGCCGTGAGTGGTTGTCTTTCTTGATCCAACGTAGCTTAGACGATTTCTCGAGGCGCCGCGGTCTGCAACCAAATGAGGAGCGTGTCAACGAGATGTTGGCGATCCTCCAGAGCAAGTTGGATGCGTATGAGGTGATCCTCAGCAAACAGAAGTACCTTGCTGGTGATGTGCGTCTGATTTATCACTTGACGTATACCTTGGCTATGAACTGACAGTATCTGCTGGCTATGTAGTCTGTCACCCTCGCTGATTTGTGCCACCTGCCCCAAGGCACCGCGTTTTGCGGAGCTGGCTTTGCTGAGGTGTTCGAGAGTAGGTCTAACCTCGCTAGGTAAGTTTGAGATGCTAGCTGCCGTAGATGAGATTTGATCATTTGATACGCAGGTGGTGGAAGGACATCTCTAACAGGCCTGCGTGGCTTGCCGTCAAGGATGGTGCGTAAGATCTTACCCAATAGGTTAGGAAACGCTCGGAAAGCAGTGTAGTCCCGTTGTACGTATGTAATATCAATAAAAGTACTGTTTGATATTTGCTGTTTGATTCATTGCAAGGAGAACGAGGACTGAGCCATTCATAAAATGGTGAGGATGCATTTACAATTGGAAATCTCTACGTATAAGATCTATGCATATATAATGCGAGGAGAGGATAAAGTAGGATGTTCCCCCCGTTTACGGTGGTGGCCCTGGACAGACTTCGGCTTCAGGGTGAGCGACCGCTCTGTCTCTTTACGTGGCGGGAACGTACCGAGGCACAAGTGTCAGGAACATTGAGTAAAGAGTGGACATTTCGAGCGAAGCAGACGCGTCTCGCCGCTTTCGCGTTACACTTATCATTTACTAGATCCCGCATTTCGCAGCTCAGTTTATTTTTTTATCATATTATACCAGGCTAGTACTCATATGAGGTTAGCCTACTTTGATTTTTCACTAAACAACAAACACAGCAAGTGGTGAGCCACCATCATGACAGCCATGTCTGTTATCACGATGTTGATGTGCGAGCGAACAACTTTTTGACAGTTCTCACTGATATATGTAAGTGGAGAACTCCGGTCAAGATTGAGAGCGTGGTTATGCAGGTGATGATCATAATGATTTACGAGATGAACATGCTCCTCTGAGAATCCTTGACCCTGGGAGTGTGTGCGTTGTTGCGTAGAGTTGGCATGGACTGCTTCCATCTATATGAACTTCCTGATAATATCGTCCGAGCATATGGATCTTCTCACCAGTTAATATTGGTCCAAAGCCAGGATCGACGACGTCGCAGTGTGTCATGCCGCCGGCGGGTGACGCCGACTGTATAAATGGTACGACTTAACTTCGACTTCTGATCATGGGGAACGAACGCCTAAAAGACCGGAAAATGTCCAAGTGGTCGACCGTTGTCCGAACTACGTTCGATTCGTTGTCTGGTTTACATACGCCTCGGGATCATATCGCGATGGGATTCGACGACGACGCAGACAGACTTAAAATTACGAACGCGGTTGTCCATGTGGTATCCTTCTCCAATTGAGTTCACGGCTCTTGTATGATGTGTTGGTCGTCGTGTTTAGTACTATTTTGAATCAAGGGTTCAGTTAACACGCCGCCCTTATGTACTATATTTTCCCAGATTGACAACTTGTCTGAAAGTACTTATGTCCGTTTGCTCCGTTTCCCATTTCATCCTCTCTCTTGACTGTCACGCTTCATGAAACTTTGCATGAACTTGCCCAGGACAGTGATAACCAGCTGTGCGTTTCTCCTCGCTTTCAACACTGACGACCTGATCTACGTCCTTGAGCTGATCGTCTGAACCAGCAGAACGTCCTAATCATTGTAACACAATCCGGTCTCTCAAGACTCTCATCGCTCGTTTTTAATTGCTTACAATATGCCACCTCGACGTGGCACTCCTGCTCTCAATTCTCTCAGCCCCCAGGATGCCGCAGTGCATTCTTCTTCTACCCCGACCTCTCCTGCCCACTTCCAATTTCCTCAAGCACGTTCCAATTCTCCATCTGGTTTTGCTCATCTCCTCTCTAAACCTTCAAGGTGGTTTCGAAAGCCATCTGATCCACGCTTGGCGTCGGGAACAACTGAACCTCGATGCAGTACCAGCTCAGTGGCCGTACGCAAACCAAAGATATCCCGCCCAACAGACCCACGTCCTATTTTTCAGGGTTTTCAACCGGAACCCTATGTTAGCGACGCGAGCAAGTGAGTTTGATTTTGCAACTTGCATTTGATGACCCTTTCCTCTATTATACCTCATTTTCGGATAAGGTCACCGCTCGTGCCTTGAATATTACGCGTACATTGAATGTTCAACACATATTTTCTTGTTTTAAAGTTGGCTATGCGTCGTAATGCACGTACTGATAACTCAATGCGCTTCTTAGGTCCGTTCTAGATCTTTCGTCTAAGAAGTCCTTCGATTTACAACGTCCTTTTCCCACTTCACAACCATCCTCTCCTGATACCAACGGAAGCCTTGGCGATCTTCGCAGCATATCCCGTAAAACTTGGTCAAAATCCGCAGATGATCTTGGAAGCTTCTCGGCGTCTTCGTATTCTTCTGCAGACATATCTTTTCAACACAGAGTGGAAGAATACAGGAACAGAAGCAATAGCAGTGCAACATTGCATCCCACTTCCGCAGGCTCTGGTCCCGGAAGCCCCGTGAAGCATATATTCCCAACCATTGTCACCAATAGCCCTATCTCATCTTCACCTCCTGAGGGTGGGCTCGCATCTCCCGACCCTGGCATTTCTATCTCTGTCTCCTCGCCCCCTTCAGACACGTTCTTTTCCCCTCCAGCAGAGGAGCCACCTCCTGTTCATTCCCGTAACACGTCATTTGCGCCTCGATTACCTTCTAAGCTATCCGCATCTAAGCTAGGCTTTGCGCCATCAAGCCCCAAAAGGAAGGGATCAGGTTCCGAGCGAGACGCCGAATCTACAAAGGATAAAGATAGTGATCGAAATGGTTCCAGTGGCGCGCGTGGTGTCTTTTCCTTCACTCTTGCGAGTCCTTCCAGCAAACATCCATCACCCAACCCAACCCCCCTCAGCAGCCAAAACACAACATCGTCGCCTTCACCGTTACTTGCGCCTACTATGCTCAAGCCCGATTCACATGACAGTCGCGATTCACGTCGTACATCTCAGATCGTCTATAACGCTGGCTTTATCAATCGCATGGGAGATGCCGCACCATCAATCTATGCGCACTATCGGCCATACAGTACTGCTACGAATCTGACGCTGTCGAAAGGATGGAAGGCAGCCAAGGCAGAGCTTAAAGGGTCGAAGTTGTACTTCTACAAAGTGCCCAGCGACCGTAGCGCTGCCATCAAAGAACTCTTTCCTACTGAGATCGTCCCTGCCCTCGAGGAGGGTGAGATGGAAGGCGAAGCTGATAACTTGGATGATCTAAGGGCTAGTAGGGGCAGAGATGATGGTACAGGTGGCAGGAAGAAACGTGCATATTGGGGTCGAAGGACGCATCCTGACCTAGTTCACGGCGACAGTGGCATCGAGAAAGGGACCTTTGAGGCTCTCTCACATGAAGCCGTATTCGCCACGACTTTCCTCCAGCCTTCCATAGAGGGCGAGGTGCAAGGTGCTTCTACAGGTGAACCTCGTAGATCGGAGTGGAGAGATTTCTGTTCTGCTGTGTTGCTCTGCTTGCCCATCCTTGTAGGGCGAGAATCATTTGAGAACGAGTTTACTCGTCTATGTGAAAATCTCGTAAGTGGCGCCGAGGAGAGGACAAAGGATTTTGAGCGCTCGTGCGTCTCATGGATGGCCGGCGAGTATCTCCGCTACCATGGTACGCCTGCTGATGAACCTGGTTGGGATGTTTGGCGAAAGGAAACGATACCCGCTTTTTCATGGAATGAAAGTTCTGCCTCCGGAATGCCTAAATCCACTTCTACGCAAGCCGTTTTTGCGCCTTCTCCAAACCCTGGCATCTACTCTCCCTCAATGACTGGAACTACATTCTCTCCAAACCTAGGTACATTCTCCCCCCGTCCAGGCGACGACGCCAAGATGGTATCTCTAATGGAAGCCTTGGGTACAGGATTGCAAGCCTCCGCATCACCCGTGAAGCCTCTTCCCTCACGACAACAGCGCTCCCAGCATCCATTCACTGATCCTAAACAGCGTGTATGGACATTACTAACGCAAGACGGCTTTACCCGTGAAGTGCTCTCTCTCCTTGACCCCACCACTGTCGCCCATAGTTTGAGAGTCTTCCATCAACGTATCCTTCAGCAACTTCCTGACAACCTCACAGCCGACCATATCTTGAAGGCAGATAGTGATCCCATCGCTTCTCCAGATTCAGGTGATTGTGCACCGGCCGGCTCGTCGCCATCAGCAGCACTATTCGGGAGCGACGACCGGCCGCACTGGCTCACACGACTACTTCTCATGCAGATTTTAGGTGCTGATTCATCGTGCAGCTCTGGAGTGGAGCGCAATGCGTCGTCACGCACGCATTCGCGCTCTGAAGTGATATCCATGTGGGCGAGGATTGGAGAGCTTTGTCGGGTTGCGGGTGATGAGTGTTCGTGGATGGCTATCTCTGCTGCGCTGTGTTCGCGACCTGTCGCACGGCTTAGCAAAGCATGGAGGCGAGCGGATCGTCAGAGTATTATGTCCGTGGAGTCTTGGATCTACCCTGGAGGTGATGGGCAGGTCGCGTTTATCAACGGGCCTCTTTTGACGCCTTGGGGTGGGGAGGTTAGGGATCGAGCGAAGTATTTCCTCGAGCAAGCTAGAGAAGAAAGGACGGACGAGGTGTGGGCGGCAAAGCCTCTTTTACAGACCAGGAATTTGTTCGAGGGCTTTCGGACGAAGATTTCGTTATGCCCTAGGAATACCCTGACGGACAATCTTCCTCATGACGTCGAGAAACTCCTCAGCTTTTGGCAAGATTTTGCGGAGGAGAAAGGTAATCAGTCCTCCATATTAGCGTCCAAGTTCCAACGGTATGTTGAACAGCCGACATCTTGAGGCAGAAACATGTTGACCTGCAAATAGGGTGGATCAATTCATGTCGCTTTCGTTGGCTGCAGAAGCGAGGTGCAAAGGACTGTTTGAGCCATTTTTCTGGTCCCATTCCATGTCTACGCCACATACGCTTTGTCATCCCCTTACGCCCCTGCTGTTCGTAGATCCGCTGCCGACTGTCACACTCCTTGATCGAGGACAGATTTGGCGTGGCCGGCTAGAGAGTGGACCGACGAAGCTCAGTGTTGACGAGCTCCAGCGTCTCCGCGGACTTGATGTGACGCTGACTCCCGCATTTCGTAGGGCGGATGCCTCGTCCAGTAAAGACAAGTTATTCAACATCGGTGATGTCGACATTCGGGAGACTGCCATTCCTGTTTATGAAGGAGAACTTCTCCTCGTTGCTCGCAGCGACCTAGATTCACTGTCCTCATCCCGGTCTCCTTCTCGTGCGCCATCAAGACCTCCGAGTTCTATAGTGGAGGGGTGCAATCTCGACAAATCTATGACGCGTTCACCTTCTATCCGTGTAAAGCCTGGATCGTCTCAGGGTCTCGAGCGGAAGAGCAGCATTGCACGCCGAAGCTCGTTGCCTTCTATATCTTCTCGACCTAACGCTATCGTGACGGAAGTATCGTCAGAGCGGCCCATTCGTGTCATCGTCCAAGCTGGAACTTTGGACCGCCTGGTCAATGTCCTCGTGCATGGCCTTCAGGGCGTTTCAGTCGCTGTAGCTGATGATAATGGCGAGACGTCTTTAAGAGACGGCAAAACTAGAGACCTTGTTGTTGATCGGACTGAGTTTGCGCGGGTGTGGTGGCATGTGTTCCGGAGTTTTGTGACCCCTATCGTCTTTTTCGAGGTATGGTAGCTTCATCTCTATGTTTGAGATGGCTTAATTTATATATTCTATAGCTACTCCGCAAACGCTTTTTGAGCAGTCGACCCTCCAGCCAGCCCTCTGCAAACAGTTATCTCCACGTGATACAATTTCGGTCAGAAGTGCTGGAGGCGATTAAGGACTGGATAACGTCTGGAGGAGGAGCTCAGGACTGTCTCGATGATGTTCAGTTGTTTGAAGCTGTGCGGTCTTTCTTGGATCGTCCATTCGATCGCTCTTCCTTTGATGCTCCGAGTACGGTTGAAAATGACGTTAGCCAAGCTTGGGATGTTCTTGACAGCGCTCGTCAAATAACATACACGGCGTTCGTAACACAGACTCGACGCCCTCCTTCTGTCTTCTTAACTGATACCCGAACGCTAAAGTCGACACCTCGGGCGCGATCCTTTGGTAATCAACCACCGGACCTTGATGCGATCAGCGCCGACGAGCTCGTCGAGAATTTGAACGCTATGGGTTCAGCAGCGTTGAGCAATATAAACGAGGAGGTTTGTCTTCCCCTTACTAACTTCCAATATGGGTGCTCATTTTTCTTTCAGGACCTCTTCATCACCGCTGATCTGTTAGAGGTGCAAAGCGCAGACCGTACCGGCTGGTTCTCAACTCGGGAAGTTCCATCAACAGATGACATTGACATACAGTCCATGTATTCCCACCTAACGGACGTTCAGCCATCTTCGTTAATATCCGAGCTTTCTCAGGATACTATCTACCGTCTCCTACCGCCTAGCATCCGCAGCTGTATCCGTGCCTTTAACATCCTTCGGAAATGGACGATTTCTCAGCTCATCGCACCGAAACTTGGGATCCGACTACGGCAGGCAAGAATGGACCTTTTCCTTCGAGCCATCGAGATTGCCCGTCTAAGGAGCATGAACGCTGGTTTTGCGTCCCTCGGGTGTGGGGACCGACCTTGTGTCCGGTCTTTCGTCGAGGCTGTCCTAACCTCGGCCATCGTCAGTCCAGAGAGCCGTGTGCACCATCGTCCATGGCAAAATGTTGCGAATATTCGGGGGGTTCAGTGCGATAGCCTTGTAGGACTTCTCTCAAGACCGGCTATGCCCAAGAAGTCGTATGGAGATGCTCTCGCTGTAGATATCAGCTGGATTTTAGAGCGTATTCTCGAGTTGGTGAGCATACCGAATGTGGTCATGACAACGGGCGAGAACAATCAGTGCATCATAAACTTGGATAAGCGCAGGTAAGGTCAATTATGGCCATGAGGTACAGTCTGCTGACAGGTTTCTAAGGCATCTTTGCAATCTTATCATGACTACTCCGTCGCTCTCGAAGAGGAGCCGTCCCCGCGAAGAGGTTGATCGGAAAGACTTTGAACGGTTGAACAACATCGAGAGAGAGATGAACTCGGTTTCACTCGACCATCGAAGTATCAGAGACGAGGCCCAGCGGGAGGCTCTACAAGCTCAAGGCAATGGTTCGGCATCTGTCAGGAAGACCGTACGCCCATTCCAGAAGTTAGTTGCGGCACAACAAGAGAAGTACAAGCGAGACAAGTATCTCCATGACCGGCTTAGCAAGGACAAAAAGCAGGAGCAATTACGCAATGAGCGGAGAGATGATCAAATTAACAAGGCGATGCGGTCGCGAAAGCCGATGACTCAGGTTCAGAAGCAACACCGGATGAAGAAGAGCTACTCCTCTGCGTTTTTCCAATTGATGAGGCCTATCTCTAGTGCATTTACTGATAGCATGCACGCTACGGCATTGAAGCGATCGCCTGCTGAATTGGACTTCTCGCCCTCTGGTAAACCTTCTTTGGTTCTTTCGGTCGTTGACGCTCGAGTTGCCCAATTTATCAATAACGAGAGGTCGTTCACATTTCAGCTGGACACCGAAGACGGCGGACATTATTTGCTGCAGGCTATTTCTAAACAAGAGATGGTACGATGGATCGAGCAAATCAACCGTGTTGCGAGACTTGCTGCTAAACGCCGCTTAACGTATCTTGGAAATTCACCAAAGCCGCAACTTGCAGACCATATCCATGATCATCCATCAGCTACTACAGCTTCGCGGGATCCCAGAGCTGGTAAGGTATTCCATCACCTCCATGTTCCTGTCTCTCATAGGTTTCTAGTCTTTGGAGTCGAACTGGAGTTCCTCCTCGAGCGTGAAGCTAATGGCGCACAGCCTGAGATTGGATCGATACCGTCGGTTATTCTGAGTTGCCTGTCTGAAGTCGAGTTCCGTGGCCTTAGTGAAGTTGGCATCTGTATGTTCTAGTGTCGCTTTCTCCTGCAGAGGCCTGACTTTTTCGTTTACAGATCGTGTTGCTGGTGCTACTTCTGAAGTTAATGCTCTCCGTGACGCCTTCAACAGAGGTATGAATTCTATCTAAAATGGGCTGCAGATAATTAAGTGATGATTTACTAGGCGAGCGGCCTATCACCTCCGATAACGATATCCATGCCGTGTGCGACTTGATCAAGTCATGGTTCAGGTTGCTCCCCGAGCCTGTCTTCCCATCGTCATCTTATTTCAACGTTATCGAGGCAATGAGTAAAGTCCATTCCATCGCTAGTCTTTTTTCAATGTTGATGTTCTTGCAGAGCTAGAGAATCTTAATTCGCGGCTTGCATGCATACGAAGTGTTGTGCACGGACTTCCTCAGGCAAACTTTGACCTTCTGAAGAGGATCGCTGAACATCTCGATAGGTGAATTTTTGTGCTTGTCTCATTCGTCAGCTGAATGATACTGATGCTACTACTCTAGGGTGACCGACTATGAGGAACACAATCAAATGACAGCTGAAGCCCTTGCAATCGTTTTCAGCCCGAACCTCCTTCGTGCACCGCAAAATGACTTTGCCCTGATCTTGTCGAACATGGGACATACCCACAAACTTGTGAAAGCCCTGATCAGTCATGTACGTGATGTAGCACCATTTATTGTTCCTTCACTGATTCTTGCTGCAGTTCCATGTAATCTTTGACGACGAGCTTGAAGCTGACCACGACGTAGAAGAGGATGAAATGGAGGAACCTATCCTCGAGGAAGACGAAGAGGAGATAGACTCTCCAGCTGCGGGCGATGAGTCATAAACCACGGACGCTCATGTATACGGCCACACCTAACCCCCCATCTACAACGGACTCCTTGTTATCATCATAACCCTTACCCTTTTGCATTCCGTTCTCTGGGTCACCTACGATCGTTTGTGGATTATCTATCATGGACATTGTACAGTACCACACTCCCCACAGTACAGTATTCTCGCTGCTCATCCTGACGCTCTTTTGGCTTCATCCTTTCTTTATTCCCATTACTTGTGACTTTTCTGGTGTGCGCAAAATTATTGTAATGCAGTCTAGATGCTCCTGTAGCACTGTCTTAATTTTCATCCCAGTCACTTGCTTGTTGACGGACCTTGAGTGGTGCTGAATGTGGATTTATCCGTCCTCAAACTGCTTAATATTTGTCGGGAGTGCATTCAGGAGGTGGTGAGGGAAAATGACCATTGAAAGAGTCTTGGTGGAAAAGTGGGGATAAGAGGGCGCGACCCCGGCTGTGTAGAAAAGGTTGACGACGTTGATGATTCGCAACACGGTCGCATTCGGTGAATGCGACCAAGAGGAGAACACCAGTCGTTGGCAGAACTGGATGGGAACCTGGCTTGTACCTAGGTTTTTTTTGAGACTCCGCGAATCAAGTTCAATCCATCCACCATATCCTTGAAGCACACCTTGGACCTCCTCAAAGCGAATGACGGGATTGTTTGCATAAATTTCAGATTTGTGAAACTTCGCAATGGTGCTTAAAGTCCTTGCAGTGGCAGTCAATGCCATGCTCCCATCCAAATACTACGTGCACGCGTTCATTTCAATCCTTGTCATTGTAGTGGTTCGCGCATTTGCACGAGGGCGCACAACGAACCGTGAACGGGACATGCATGCCAGGGTAGTCCTCCTTACAGTATGTATGCTACCCTCCCACGTGCATCCGTATCACTCACTTGATCAGGGAGGGTTCACTCCGTTAGGCCTAACGCTCATGCAGAACCTTGCTCAGCGAGGCGTACATATCATTGCTCTTTCTCCCAAGCCAGTCCAAGACTCTGAAGTAGAAATTCTCATAAATCTCTTGCGATCGACCACCAAGAACGACCAGATATTCGCAGACGAGTGTGATCTGACATCTGCTTCTTCCGTCCGTTCTTTTTGCTCCCGTTTCCTTACAGCAAAGGAGACTAGACTAGATGCTATCATATTTGCACACGAGTACCAGCAGCTAGGCTCCATGATCGATCGCCAGAATTCCGTTGTACTAACCCAGGAAAGACAAAACGCTTCATTAGCATCATTCTTAATTCTCACTCTTCTACTTCCCGTCCTCCTTGTTGCGCCCGCCGAACGCGACATACGCATCATCAACGTCGTGAACCCTTTCTACGCAGCCGCCGCACCCTCTTTTTCCCCAACGTCCAAGCCATCTCCATCATCCTCTCTCTTTCACCAAGAAGGCTGGCGCTCCCTTCAGATGGTCATTTTTACCCGCCACCTCCAGCGTGTCCTCGATGCACTACCATCTGGAGGGCAAGTACCGAAGACAGACGACTCCACTATCCACGTTGTCAGCGACAAGTTGCAAAAGTCCAACATTGTCGCCGTATCCGTATGTCCCGGACTCTCTAGATCAGATACCATCGCACCGCTGTTGAATGCAGTTCGTGGACCGAATCAATCCACATTTGGCATTGCTCTGTCAGATTATTCATTTGATTTGAATACCTAAATACTGACGATTCTCCAGGTACATACTCCTTCAACCGTTCCTTCGCCTTCTCACAAAATCCACGACATCTGCTATGCAGTCCGTCCTACATGTACTTTTTCTCCCAACACCTTTTAAGAGCAATGCCCGCCAAGGCACAAATGATCCAGAAGAAGTGCTCAAGGCAGGCGCACTCTACCGCGAGTGTGCGGTTGTTAACTTGCGGATACCAAGCCCTGCAATGGCTGACGCTGACGATGCGCAGGTACCGGACGATGGGGAATTGGGGGGCGTGCATCTTGGTCAAGCAGTGTGGGAGGGCCTCGAGGGTGCGTTGAAGGAGTGGGAGAAAGTGGGCCTGCAAGGCGATGAGAAGGCTAGGTGTGATGATGGTCTGTCGGTTGATACCCCGAGCAGTTAGAGGTGGGTGAATTTGGTTGGTTGGTCTAAGACGATGCTGATCATGGATGGATGTAGGATGCGGACTTGTGTATATTAGATTAGGGGGAATACCATCTTACTTGGATATCATCGCTCCATCTTTATGGAATATCCTGTATTCGGGAATATTTACTACTGCTGCGGCATCACTCCCTGCTATGGCTCACATAATCAAATTTGTACAACACGATACCTCGTGAGTTATCTATGCTCCCTGTGTTTCGTGGAGTGATATGTTCTGGTTAATGCACATGCGTGTGCATAGTGGAGCGTAGATGCACCAGGAAGTTGCTAGCCAGTACTCAGAGTTGGGCGAAAGGGAAAGTCAAGCCATTCATCAATCTGAGCCTCGAGTACCTTGTTCTGACTCAGGAGGCGTACATAGTGGACTTGGGTGATTTGGTTGTGAACTACATGAACGGATCCTCCGACCCTGGAGAAGGACTGGTCGTGAAGTGATGGAAGCCTTGCTTACTGAGAACGTCGTCTGGCGTATTGCTATTTGCAGAGCTTTGCAGCGAGTGTTTTTACTGTTGGTCTTGACCTAGTCGAGTTGTACATATTTCAATGCATATATTCAAGCTCAAGTTCCACCGTATCCCCTTTCTCAGTCTAGTACACGCGTTCTTCAATGTTAAATGTAATAAGACCTTGCTGATCTTAGGGGAAGCCCGACAACCACTTCTAGATGACCCAATGATACTCAAAGTGTCAAGGTACGTTGTGATGTAGGCTCGATTAATGAGTCGAGAACAGGACACGATCAACAAAGGCCGATCCACTACTGGAGTGAAAGTAAAATTTTGATCAGCATCAAATAAGCAAGCGAGTTGATGTCCACGCTACCGGAAAGAATTCTACGCGTGAAGTGGGCGACCGAGTGAGCGCATGTATGCATCAAATTCTCTTCCTTCCAACGACGAGTCAGTGCGAAGACAAGCGCTGCGCAGAGGTCGACCCTCTACAAATCTCCCAGTCGTGTTCGTTTAGTGAGGCGACACGCCTGATCACCAAAATTGATCACGGCTTGTATCATGTGGTGGTTTTAAGTGTAAATTCAGATACTACTCACTGGTGACATTTGTAACTCTGAAAGTTCCAACAGTAAGGTTAATGTTTACAGAGCGCTCTCTAGTAGAGGGAAATCTATCTAGTATGAGCGGCATCGAACGACCCGACGATGACTCAAGTTCACCATTAGTCAGTATGTAAAAATTGTTTTAATGGAAAATGTTGATGATGGAGCAGAAAGACGAGGATGAATAAGCAATGAGCCTACCCTTGTATGCGCGCTATGAAGAAACCTAATTTCTGTTGATGTCGATGAACTTCATACATGCATGAATATTATATGTTCAGAGTACTGTGATAAAGTTGAGTTGTGAGTAAGGGAGAACATTCATGGAGGATGTGACGTACATGTATTAATATTGCAATGTCATAGACTATCATCCAGTGGCAAAAACATCATCGAGACAGAGCGAGAAGATAAATCGATCTCTTATGCTGCTGCTGCAACCAATGCTGCCGATGGCTCGGTGAGAGTAAGCTTCTCAAGAGCATCCTCGAACTGGTCGTCATCGCTATCCTCATCATCATCATCATCATCATCATCATCATCATCATCATCCTCATCTTCTTCACTTTCCTGCGATGCAGACCCGTCGTCATCTGGAGATTCGTCTTCAAAATCAAGCTGTCATTCATATTAGTACATCTCACGAAAGAAGATCCACATAACATACAGGATCATAGACAACTCTAATGATCAGACTGCAGCTCGGACATGTCGCGATATCCTCATAGTTGGCGAGCTGCTTGCGAGAAATCTCGAAGCGGTCACCGCAGGGGCAGGGATAGTGATAGACACCTTTTACCTCATCCCATGCCATATCTTCAATTTCAATCTCGTCGTAATAAGCCCCCATGAGGGATTCGTTGCCAGATAGCCAGTGGTGGTCGATTGACTTGAGTCACAGCTTCACAGCCTGATCTAAATTCTGAGTCGGCGGTTATTTGTAATAATCACGTGATACCACTGATTCACGCCTCTTCACGAGTTAGATTAATATTCAATCTGCGAATGTGTCTTCGCACAATTTATCTGCTAAACCGTTGCGCCATTGGTAACACGAGCAACAACCATTCAAGTTTGCTTAGGATGAGAATACAGTGTAAAACCTACTCAGGGTGACGTCGTCAATCTTTAAAAAGTTGTACGAGTTGCCATATGAACTTCTAGGATTCTGGCGCTTCGTAAAACTTACATTGCGCTCAACGATCTCGTCTCTCATCCCTGAAGAAATTCCGAAACCAATGCAAGATAAATCTGGCTTAGGAATTTGAAGTCTGTGATGCTGTTACAATTCAAATTAGATTAGTATTCATCGAGCGCCTACACTGTACACACCGAGATCCATAAAGGAGGACAAACTTGTTTCCGTCCACACCCTCGGAAAGACTCTTGATCTTATGAACAGCTAATTTTGGGATGGAGGTCTATACTCGACCGTCCTGCGACGATTCTGCGTGTCGACGCCTTCACGTGAAAATAAATGCACTTGACTACAGCATTTGCAAAAGGCGGCTTGCGCGTGAACATCCATCGAGTCAAATAGATGATGACAGGCAGAATTCACTCATGCATTCGGAGATCTTGAATCAAGTTGAATTGGCCACGTTGTTGCTCCTACAGGAAGCAAAGGTTGAATATAAAATATATAAGTCTATCACGCACAAAGCACGCATATCCTCCAATAGACCGATCACTGACGAATGAGGTTAAAACACGCATGACATTAGATTGGAAACGCAACTTGATCACTGGGATACTCCGGAGCAGCCGCCAGCGCTGAATGTAGAGCAAACCGTGAGTAAAACTTGTGATAAAAATGATGATAGTTAGTGATCTGCATAACTGCCCATGCGGGAACGATCACACAAGTTGAACATTGAACATTGAATGTTGAATGTTGAACGTTTGAACGTTTGGAACTTGGCGAGAACTTCTAAACATTCAAAAGGTGGTGATGGAAATAGCGTCGGCAGGACCCGACACCGCACAACGAATTTTCAAACACCGTCACATCAACAATATTATGGCCACTTGGAATTAACTTAGACGGCCTACCGTGTCTAGTATCTACAAACTACTAATAGCATGTCTTGCATACTCTGACCGTATGTGGTGGGCATAATTGACGGCGAGGCGAATCCTTACATCGTTTAGATGTGAGCTCTTTACCATCAGTGCTGTTGCTCTAACAACTTGAATACACTCACGATCATTCGTATTTATCGAATAACATAGGTGCCACCTGTCGATTTCTAGCGAACACATGCAGTCTCAGCTTTGTGTTTAGGCTTAGGCTCTACGTTACTATGTTGCCGGACAGCATTTACATGCTGGGTCGCCCCACATTTTCGCCAGAATGACCCTTTGCTGCTCTTTACCAGTTAGGCTCTTGTCCATGTTATGTTTTTCCTCCGAAAGATTCATACATATTTTTCCTCTGACAGAATCATATACATGTTGGCCAATCTGCCCGTATCCCATTAAGGTGATGCCTTTTGTGGCAGTCAATGCAGCTGCCGGCGCGGTGCTACTGATAATAACAAGTGCCTCATGTTGACTCCAGACAACCACCGGGTAGAGGGGCGTGGTTAATCTTTTGGCACTCGCGAATAACTCATATTATCGCTCACAGTTTAAAGAACACTTCCGGAAGATGCTTGCAATATGTCCAATTTCATTTCAACCAACCAGTAAACGCCCTGTGGCAACTACCGCGGACCTCACAGCCGTTGTCAAATCATGATGTTGAGTTATTAATTTGGGCGAGACACTACGTCGAATCTACCATATCTGATTATATACCAGGGAAATTCAAGTTTCATACGCCAACATCCATCACAGATCTGAACTGACCGTGAGTTGAGGGTTCTCTTGCCAACAGTGCTGAGAAGCTCTTGATAAACAGTCTATAGGGATCATCCTGCGAACCAATCAAATCTCCCGACGATACTGCCATATTTACCCAAGTTCTGGAAAGTTTGCTAGCTTCAAAAGCTCGTGTTATCATGGAACTCACGTATCACCTATTTCACCAACCTTATTCTCTATGATTCCTCCTCACGCTGGGTTGCTGTTATGCAGCAGAATGACCAAATCATCCTCTCAGACAAAATATATCTCTTCTATTTCAGTTTTGCCAGATGACCTCCTCCTTGTCATCTTTCACGCAGTCGCAGACGACATCTACGGCACTGACGGGCAGCTGCGCCTCGATTGCGTGGCGCTCGCAAGTGTTTGTCGTGGATGGCGGTCCCTTGTTCTCAGTACCTCTCGTTTCTGGACGCGCCTGCATATGATGACAAAGTTCGGCGCCCTTTCCAAGGAACATCTCGAAATGCATGTCACGAGATCCGCAAATGCGCTCGTTGACGTCGTCATATATATTGCAAGGCCTCCGGACCCATGGGGTCAAGCTGCTTGGACTCTAGTCTTTGACGGAGCCAAGGTATGCCTTCAAGTCCTGCGGGAGTGTAGCCACAGATGGAGGAGCCTCAAAATTATTAATGAGATCGACAATCACTCGGGCCTTTTCGGCTGTGTTCTGTCAGAGCTGGGTCTCCCTCACGCACCAGCACTGAAAAATATAGAGATTATCTGTCACAGCAGCGGTTGGATCACTTCATTGAAGGAATCCTTCCAGTTTCTATCGACCACGTACACTCCCTCACTGAAGATGTTGAAATTGGAGGGATGTGACTCAAGCATACTGCCTGAGCAGTTCGATGCATCATCCCTGAGACATGTCAGCCTCAAGTTCTTGCGTCAATTTAGCCACACTCCTCCAAACAGTCTCGATGTCTTTCGCAACTTCCTGTCATGTGCACGGAATCTCGTTTCTCTTGAGGTGCACCGACGGGTCTTTTTTGTGGAGCACGCAAAAACAGACAACGAAGTAGATCCCATCATACTTCCTGCCCTCCGAACTCTCCACATCATTATGGGCGCAGAGAAGCCAGCCTATCTCAGCGGCATCCTCGGGAACATTACTGCCCCGAATTTATGTCACCTCGCTATCCACGGTGATTCGCTGGCATGGGAGGAAAGTAGTCTTATCGACTTTTCCTCGCCAGCATTCTTCCTCCGGCAGGACGAGGTACCGAAGTTCCCGACTGTGTGCCAGCTGACAATGAAGAACATGCTCCAGTCGGTCTATGGGCCCGGGAAGAATTTGCACTCTATCTTCACCGCGCTCCCTCATGTGACAGAAGTTGTACTTGACCATGATGTTAGGGAGATCGCCAATTCCCTCGTAATGGAATTGTACGATAAGAAAGTGCCGCCACTATGGCCGTACCTGCGGCAGCTCACAATCGAAATGACACCCACGACAACATTCCACTACCTCCCGCAGCTCTGCGAGTGGCTGCGTCTCCGGCGCGCGAGTGGGCTGTCGCTGCCTGCGGTGACCATCCGCTACGGGCTCCAGCGAGCTGGGGTGAAGAAGGACGCAAGGGATTTGATGATCATTAGGAAAATTGTAAATGATGCGACGGGGTACCGCGCATCTGATACGAGAGAGGTAGTGAAACAGCTTGGAAAACTAGATGCGTTGGTGGATCTGAGGGTTGACTCATGGATCTATGACTGAGTGAAGTATCTAGTATCGATACATACACGTATGCTATCTTATTTTAGTGACATCCACCACGAAAATGAGACGTAGACTATGTACATTTTAATCTTCAGTGAATCTACTAAACACATTTTGTTCGACAGCGCTCAAGTTTGCGCCCTGGCATGATGAGACGCACTGCGTGGCCATGGGTGTTGTCACTCCAATGGTTATATATTGCATGACTGTATAGATTAGACTGAATCGTAGTCTACAATTCATCACAACATCCAAATACACGGATTGCTTGTACACGAATGGGATCTGGTGATCAGACGCGAGAGGACGAGACGGGGAGAACGAGATCTATATATAAGAGAATGTATTCACTTCCTGGACAGCCCTGGACAGAGTCACAGTGCCCACACAAGGGGTTCTCTCTGCACAACTTTGTACAGAGTTGTACAGAGTGTACATTAGACTGTTACAGAGACAAGACAGAAGGCTACAGAGGCGGGACACAAAGCAAGATTAAGTATCGCCTTGCTTGCAAAGCGGTATGCGACAAAATCTGACGGACTATGTGCCAATGCAGATAGATGTTACTCAGAATACGAGACAACATGATATGCGATGTTGGTAGTGTTTGAATGAGGCCATATATCTTATTCTGATACGAATATTACTGCAACCCAACAGAAAAATCCAGGTCCATGCAGGCAAGCAAGCCGAACCCTAGTTAAAGTAATTAGCTGCGATAAAAATTTGGTGAAGATTACATAATCAGCGTTGGTACAATGAGCATAATTAATATTGTGAGCGTTGAACCAGAACGTTCAACGTTCAACCGTCAAGGTGAAAATTTGGAGCTTCCCTAATCAGATCGTCTTACTTTGTGGTGTCTATCCCGCTCGTCACGTTCGTCGTCAGGATATCATTATTACTCTTTGCATCTTTGTATGGCTTCTCTCGATATCATCATCAATACAACCATGATCAGTGGCATGATGCCAGTCATCCGTTTCGACAGCCTTTCGAACTCAGGCTTAGGCACGGTCAATAAATTCAAACAGCCACTTTTCTCAGCAGTACGACCGTCTGTCTAAGAACAACTTCAAGTATACTAATTCACTCTGAACTAGATATTGCACCATCAACCATGATACCAAAGCGAAGGCAGAAGTATGACTCGCTGTGGTGATATGCCGCTCGGCTCAAATGATCACTGGTTTGCAGACTTTAATTTCTTCAAATTCATCCTAAGGCGCGCAGGTGAGGCATGTGATTGATTCTTGGTTGCAGAGTGATCTGCTCATACTCACGTCGTAAACACACTCGTAGCCGTCACAGCAATTTTGTTCTATCCAGCAGAAGTCGGGACACCAATCGAAAGACCTAGACGATGTTATGAAAGCAAGAACAACAACGGCGAGGAACGATAAACGCATTAGTGTGAGTGACGTAGAATTTTCTGAGGGGGTTCTCGAATGATATCTTTGAGGGTGGAAACACTGGGACGATGAACGACTTTTATACCCTGGTTCTGGTCGATTTGGCAGAATCGTTATTGCTGTCAGATGGCACAAAATTGGTTGAACATGCAGGGGCGCATTCAGTTGGTCATTACCATTTGTCATCACCTGCTGGCAATATCGACGACTTTCTTCTTACGGTCATCCCAATCTCTCACTCATCGTATCATCATTTGGTACCATGGCAGAGTCATGTTAGGTAGTACGTGCGTCGAAATGATAACCAAAAGCACGCTCGTTACGCACTCACTCCGTACATTGTTCATGCTCGCTGTTGCACACAGCGAGCTCGATTATTTCACCATTTCAACGAATTTTTGTAATTCTTTCACTGTACCATATTAAATAATGTATATCTCGCACTTTTAGACCTAATTGAGTGTACAGAGTTGAATGAATATGGCAGAGGTAGGCTGCCAAGTGACACACCTCATCCCTTGAGCCTCAAGGATGTCTCCGATATTACAGGATCGAGATGTCCTCGAAGAACCTAGGCTTTCAGTCTAATTTCTACATTACCGGAATATAACAAATATTACAAATGGCTGTGCCTTTGGGATGACCGTCGGCCGCCTAAGAAGTAAGTTGACGATGTTGCCAGCAGGTTATGACGAATTGTTGTAACCAATTGGATCCGCCCCTCCCTGTGTTCCAATTTTGTGCCATCTGACAGCAATAACGATTCTGCCAAAGCGACCAGAACCAGGGTATAAAAGTTGGTCATTGTCCTACAGTGTTTCCCCATCCTCAGAGACACCATTCGAGAAAGAAAATCTTACGTCATCTCGCACAGAAAATGCGTTTATCGTTCCTAGCCGTTGTTGTTCTTGCTTTCGTATCATCAGCATCGTCTGTCAGTGCATGTGTCGGCTATGGGATCATCTGCTTGACAAATAAAGATTGCTGTGATGGATATGAATGTATACCTGAAGTGAGTATGCGCAGATCGCTCTGCAACCAAGAATCAATCACATGACTCATCTGCGCGCCTTAGGATGAAAATGTCAGTTTCTGCACACCGGGGATCATATAAGCCGAGCGGCATATCGCCACAGAGAGTCGTGCTTCTGCTTTCGCTTTGCTATCATGGTTGATGTGGTGCAATATCTAGTTCGGAGCTAATCAGTACACTTCAAGTTGTTTTTAGACAGACCGTGACGGTCATAGTGCTGAGCAAAGTGGCTGTTTGAATTTATCTGAAATTGATCAACCATGCCTAAGCTTGAGTTCGAGAGGCCGTTGAAACGGATGATCATTGCTATCGATGACTTATATAGTATTAGGGGGGGCTTGCGAAGATGGAACGCACTGCGCAGGTTGAATCGGTTCGTCTAATGTCGACATCGAAGGCTGCCATTAGGAAATCTCGAGTTTAACTTTTACTCACCTTTATCCAACTTTTCGCATCAAATAGTAGGGAGGCGGAAAAAAGTAGAAGTTACTTTTTTAAGTAGATTTCTCTACTCCCAGCGTGAGGAGGAACCATAGAGAATAAGGTTGGTGAAATGTTGGATGCGTGAGTTCCATGATAACACGAGCTTTTGAAGCTAGCAGACTTTCCAGAACATGTGGGTAATATGGCAGTGTCGCAGGATGATTCCTATAGACTGTTTATCAAGAGCTGTTGGCAAGAGAACGCTCAACCCAGTGGCGGTCAGTTCAGATTTGTGATGTATGTCGGCGTATGAAACTTGAATTTCCCTGGTATATAATCAGATATGGTAGATTCGACGGTTACTACTGGGTAAGCACGCTCGTCACGTGCTCACTTCGTGCATTGTTCATACTCGCTGTTGTACACAGCGAGCTCGATTATTTCACCATTTTAACACATTTTGTGATTCTTTCACTGTACCATGTCATATGTCATTGAATGATGTATATCTCGCATTTTTAGACCTAATCAAGTGCACATAATTGAATGAATACGGCAGAGGTAGGCTGCATAAGTCCGATTGTCCTCGAAAAACCTATGCTTTCAGTCCACTTTCTACATTACCGGAATATTACAAATGGCGCTGTGCGTTTTGTCAATGTCGTCCGCTCTAAATCCAACAGCTCACTGGAGGTTCGAATGATACGATGAGTGAGAGACTGGGATGACCGTAAGAAGAAAGTCGTCGATAGGTGATGACAAATGGTAATAGCAACTGAATACGCCCCTGCATGTTCAACCAATTTTGTGCCATCTGACAGCAATAACTATTCTGCCAAATCGACCAGAACCAGGGTATAAAAGTTGTTCATCGTCCCACAGTGTTTCCCCATCCTCAAAGATATCATTTGAGAACCCCCTCAGAAAATTCTACGTCACTCGCACAGAAAATGCGTTTATTGTTCCTCGCCGCTGTTGTTTTTGCTTTCATATCCATAACATCGGCATCATCTGAGTCTGGCAGTGTGTGTCGCCAATACGGAGATCTCTGCTGGACAAGTCGAGATTGCTGTAGTGGGTTTGAATGTATACCCGACGTGAGTATGAGCAGATCGCTCTGCAACCAAGAATCAATCCTATGACTCACCTGCGCGCCTTAGGATGCAAAAATCAATCTCTGCACACCGGGGGTCATTTAAGCCGAGCGGCATATCGCAACAGCGAGTCATACTTCTGATTTCGCTTTGGTATCATGGTTGATGTGGAATGTCTACTTCAAGTTGTTTTTAGACAACCTAGTACGGTCATACTGCTAAGCAAAGTAGCTGTTTGAATTTATCTGGAATTGATCGACCATGCCTAAGCTTGAGTTAGAGAGGCCGTTGAAACAAATGATCATTGCTATTGATGATTAATATTTAGGGAGGCCTTACGAAGATGGAACGCACTGCGCTGAATCTGTTCGTCTAACGTTGACCTCGAAGGCTGTTCATGGATCTCTCTCTTGATGGAGCCAACTAAACGCCGATCATGATTCGTGACAGACATATTATTTTCTGGTATGCAGTCAAAGTCCATGGTCATATGGCCGGCGGGGACCATCAGTGAACCTGTGAACAGATGAGATCGGTATTCAAGTTGTTGAACATCGCAATAATAAATGTAAAACTGCCAACCACTCTCACATCGGATTTTTTGCACTGGCAGTGTCGAGGAAACACCGATTTGCAGACACACGACCTGGTACAAGTATAGGTAGTCAAGAGGATTCAAATTGATGTTGGAGAGCAGACCCATGGTTCTTCCAAGGCACATTTTTTAGGAACACTTTGTTTCATCTTCCATGGGCCTATGCGATTCAGCAAATTTGAGTGTGAAGGGAGCCTTTTGGTAACGAGTCGGTATATTGACGAGTCAGTATTTTGGCGTAGGCATGTTCGTGAGCTAAATTGCAAAGAGCATTGGTGTCCGGACTTCGAACGTGGAGAGCGGAAGAGACACCACGAAGTAGGACGATCTAATTGAATTCAAAAAAAAGACATGTGCTCTGGCAAAAGCTCTGCACTACTATAGGTGGGAGCTGGTGGTGGGAGCTCGCGGAGGAAATCACCTTGCTTGCGGATCGTCTACATGCACAAATAACGGGAAATCCCGAATGATTCTCTTTTGTCACCACTTGCTCTTAAAATCGTGACTACAAAGCACGATTATAGCCTGAGGATAGGTCCCCATAGACCAAACTTGTCGCAACGGTCCATGTAAAAACGCCAGTCATAAAGTAAAATCCCACGGACAATCTAAGCAAGGTCATCGCCGGCGACGACGCCTAGTGCAATAACTTGTAGATAATAAATGAGATTAAAAAGTGTGTCTGATATAATTTCAAAGCCGAATGTACTACAACACCTTGCAGCGAGGAGACCGATGAGTGAAGCTCATCTTTGGATAGACATGGCAGTTTAATCATCTCATGCATGTTCGGGCCATTCCATCGTGAGCATTGGATGACACAATGCTGACATAAACTGATTTTGCATACACGTGACTAGACGCGTCGCGATCAAGCTTGTTTATTTCGTGGCAGTGCTGATTAAATCGTAAGGTAGAGTATAAGAACAGCAGGCCCGCGAGATATACCCCCCCATTTCCTGTCCTCGATTTACGTGCATTACTCTCTTCACGACTTATTCTCAACTTCAACTCGCCTTACAATATGATTTCCGCTATCTTCGACAGTGCTGCCCATGTCACCGTCGCTGGCTGCCTCGGAGCCTTCTTTTTCAAACATACTGTGGTGGATCGCACGACCAAGGCCGTCAAAGAAGCGGAGAACATAACCGCTGGCCTTGTCATATCCGAGCTATGTATATCTGTCGCGGCTCTAGTTCTAGCTTCCCACAGGACCGCCCACATAATCCTCAGTAAAGAAGCTCAATCCTCTCCGAAGCACAATTTGGCCGAGCTCAACGCGCCTCTCATCTGCAAGAAAGTTTCTGATATCTCTACTGCATCAAAATTAATTCCATCAAATCCAATTTTAACCGAATCTTGCAGCACTAGTACGCCATGCCTGTTAACTTCACCGAACCCCATTGCAAATGACTCCGACTACTGTACTTCGCCATCTACATGTTTAACACTATGCACGCCAATACTGCCGCCCTCACCTGTTCAGAATGCCAAGCGCCTCTCAATCGATTCCGACACCACTCTTGTTGACCACGATAATGATTTCGTGAGGGATCTCTCTGACGCAGACATTCAGGAAAGCACTTGTCCCCAGGTATGAAGTCGTACAGTAGCCTCAGCTTTGTCGCTTAATGTTTGAATTTTTGTAGGACGACGATGACTTGACTGGACCCTCTCCGAGTCAGCGGACGCAGCTCCAGCCGATCATCCTAGAGGACGGACCCCTGACGACCACCGACATTTCGCTTCTTGTGGACGCTTCGACTCAAACGACCACAACGCTCTCTCTTGGCAGCATTATGCCTCAGATTGTCTCGCCTCAGCTGAACCCCCCGGACACGAAACGGCATCGGAATTTCCGCCCGGGCAGAGACAAGGTATGGACATTCTTTGTGAAACAAAGTGCCGCACTCATTGTTTTGTTAGCATGCGTCTAGATCCACACGCGTGGTCGCTGTCCGTGGCAGCATCGAGCGCGCTTACGCTAAGCAACAAGTGGAACATACTGCTATCATAGGTGAGTAATTTTTGGTAACGTCCACTTTGTTTATTGACCTAAAGTAGATCACCTTGAACAACTGCACAACGATCTCCTTGCCGACCAAACTGCTCTTGTCGACGGTTGGGCAGCTGCCATGTCCCAGCTTGGACTCACCTCTGCGCTGTCGCCTGCCTCACTGCCTCTGCACCGGAATACCCCCAACTCAGGAATCTCGATCAACATTATTCAAGACTGACATCTTTACTATGCACATCATTACTCCTCAGGTCCCCTACGACCAAATACCGAAGACCTGCAACGGCCTCCCTCGCTGTCCCCTACGACCTGGAGCTTCAATGCCCGCGAGGTTGAAGGCCACCGCTGGCCGCGCACGAACTATCTCCGCGCCGCCTAGATATCTCTGCAGTCTTCGATGTCGGATGTCCCCTACGACCGAATCCGACACAACCGCAACTGGATGACGGCCTCCTTCCTGTCTCACGATTTGGAGTTGAAGGCCACACCTGCGGCTCCCATCCATCTATCTCAAGCTTCTTCTCTTATCTTCGCCATCATGTAAATGGCTCGATGTATCTCTTTTGTCTTTGTATTTCTCTTACCGGTATTTACTTGGCAGGTCATGGACCGCCTGTGACTTATGAACGCATCTTCCTTTTATCGATATGTACTCGACAGACGTTAGACTGCTCATTTCTTTTGTAACATGTAGGCACGATTTCTCTTGTTTCTTTTATCTCTTGGCAATGTTTCCATATTTTCGTATATGTGCGACAAATGTATGATGACCAGTATTGTATATCGGCAGTTTGTAGTTTTTGAATCCAAATTTCTTTGCATAATGCGCCCTCCGGAACCCGAAGACACGCAGGCTGATCGTGAGCGCAAATGAAAAGTGATCAGTTTTGCATGTAGATCAATAGCACAAATAAAATATGTCAAAGAGATCAATTTGATATTGCAAGGTAGACGCGCAAACATACCTTCCTAGTGGAAATAATCATGAGTGTGCATCGTCAGGATTACAGGCAGGAATGTGGAATTCAGACTCGCCTCAAGCATCGCAACTTGTCTGCGCACTATACGTCGATTTCACGACCAAAAGGTCATCTCAGGACTCTCAATCCTCGTCTATGAGATTTTACGCGTATGCAGTGCTTCGAACATCAGCGAGCTTGTGTCTGTTAAATGGCCATCGCTGCCCTCTCGACCCCAAGCCAACCGAAGAGCGCTTACATGTACTTACGCAAGCGACCTGCATCGAGCCTTGCGACCTCGCCCATCTCCGCAAATTGGACTCGATCTTTCTAACCCGGAAACCAAAGCCAATTCCGCACATCCACAAATTGTATCGGTGCTTGACTTATCCAGAGCTCCTCGTACTACTTAAGAGTAGTTGTTTCCTTAAATCTGATATTACTGGTGAATCAAAAGTATGGAAGATAAAACCAATAGGTCCAATTGTCGAGCAAGAGGGTATGAAGTACTCTTTTCTAAACTTCTAAATTAGCCTTGTCTGTCCACCAGGAAGGAAACTGCGCCGCCTTCGTGCACGTTCAAGCGGTGGCAGGTCATCTTCGTCTTTGACAGACCTGATGCTTGTATCTGCATCCTTTGCTGAAAGATGCGGCGGATGAGTAACCAGGAAGAAAGGAAATACCGGAGAATGTACCTGGTGGGCTACTGCTATCATCCGGCCGTCGCTGTCCCTCATTGTCATCAGCTTCAGACGAGGGGTTGGTTGAAATGAAATTTGACCCAGCACCGGGTGACATATGCCTCGGAAGCATAGAACGCCGCTTCTATGAGATAGAACGACGTGAGAGCATGAAGCACGACCTCGGACGTTGCATACCTTGCTGGTGCCCGCAACATTGACCATTTCTAAATCAACCTTGAACTTAGTCTCATCTACTCTAGATCTTTGCTCGACGCACTCCACCACCCATGCGATGCCAATGACGAATGGCTTAGGATCATTCAGAAGTCTGAAGCATAATCAATGAGGTTGGAAATGATGTTGATAAGAAACAACTGACCTATACCGCGTCAGCGTGCTAGCTGAACCATTCTTATACACAATGTGGGTGCAGCTTTGCCCAACACGAGCAAGTATCTAGAGGGGGGGAAATGATTGAAAGTCAAGCGAGTGACAACTATTGTGACTTACTCTGGCGCCGAGACCTCTTAACATGTCGACGAACAAACTCCCCGCATCATCACCGTCATCCGTCCGCACATCCACAAATATTGCACACTTTTTTAATACTTTTAAGACACCCTTGCTTGCGCTTCCACCTTCCACAGGGCTAGCGGCGGCGTCGCTCTTCGAAGGTGCATTCCGCTGCGAAGTTGCGCCATCCGTGCCTTCGTTAGGTTTGCCTCTGTCCTTCGCATCCCGAACGAACTTGGAGCCTGAACCTGCACCTGGTGCACCATTATACGTACTACTCGATGACCGAAGCCCTGTACGTGTGCCTGCTGCAACTAGCTTCGGCGGGGTTTTCGGAAGAGAAGAGAGTGATTGCGATAGAGCATGCAATGCGCTTGATGCACGGCGCGAGTCCCACCCCTCGGGTTGCTTGCCCTTGTCGGCTGAGCCTACCAGTTCTTCAATCACAAGGTCGGCCTCCTTGTTTTGTTCTTCGGAGGTCTTACTGTCAGACGGTACAGATAGGGTTACCACATCAGGTTGCCTCCTCTGCCCGAGATCCTCTTCCGCACCCCAAACATCGACGGTCGTATTGGCAATATGATTATCGTCGACTATACCTCCACCTTTCACTGGACTAGCCATGACACTTGGTAAGCTTGTTTTTCGACTGGCCTTCAGAGATGGCTTCACAAGACCCGGACCAAAGATACCAGTTGCGGTACGCCCAAGTGTTCCGCTCTTATCTTTCATCCGTCTCACCATGCTGATTCGGCTGGAACCAGAAATAGTAGCATGACGTTGTAGCGAAGATGCCGTCGGCCTCGCAAAGGTTTCCGACGAGCCAGTAAGAGCACTATCGTCCTTGACCACTAAATGGGCGGCTCCTGTGTGTTCGTGTTTGTCTGAATTGATATTGAAGCCCAAACTCGTATTCGGCCGACTCGGTGGAGGCATTGCAAGCTTCTCCAAGGCTGTTGACAGTGTGAATAGTGAAGACTTGGGTTTTGATGGAGCAAAAATGCTGGAACCACTAATAGATGGCCTTTTTACTGGCGAGGTTCCCGCACGTTGCTTAATCGGAGACGCCGGAAGTGGAATCCTAGAGGGAGATGAAGGTGGCCGCTGCACACGGGTGGATGACGATGGGCCAGTTGTAGATGACGAAGGTACAGGTTTGGCCTTCATGAAAGAGGCGAGCGATGTTTGTTTAAACTTGGCAGGGTCTGGGAAACCTTTGACTGACGAGCTGTCAAGATTTGAATCTAAAAATGAAATTGTCAGAAAGGATACAATAATGATGCGCTCGAGTTTACCCTTGAAAGTAGAGGCCTGAGATGATGATGTCACACTGGCAGGCTCATCGTTTGCACTCAATGAAAGATTTATAGTACTAGCTTCGGGTGGTGCGTCGCTTTCGTCAAGGCTCTCAGGCCTCTTCTCTTTCATTGACACGCTACGTGTAACACGGCGAGGGCCAGAAGATGGAAGCATGGCCTTCTTGCCATTCGATAAAGTTCCGATAGGCTTTGAGCGTGTTGTATGGGAACTGCCAATAGTTGCAGAGCGTCCCCGTTTCACTGGTACAGGCAGAGCAGGCATATGCGACGAAGCGGACGTGGATGGACGCGGAAGACGAGAGGGAGCGGCTGAAGAGGTCGAAGATCCTGCAACATTCAGCGACGAAATATTATCCGCAAAATCTTGAGATTGCTTGGATTTCTTCTATCAAACGGGGATGTTAGTTCTCTATAACGTGTTCAACGCCCAATGTTAAGTGCACCTCAATAGCAGTAGCAAATAGACTTGGTACGGCGGGCTGGCGACCTATGAATGAGGTAGGCGGTAGAGGCGTAAGAGGGGAAATAGACATATGTGAAGGATATCCAGTCGAATTTCGTGGCGTTGCAGACTCAACATGAATTATCAGGTTGGTTGTATCAGGAAGCTTGAGGTCAAATTTCGGTACGTTAGTGAAGTGGGACATAGCGGACGCAGTATCAAAGTCCATTACATGCTCCGTGCTGGGAGCACCCAAATCAGTGGAAGAGGGTGATGTAAGAGGAGAGGTCTGGACCGCCTCTGTGGGTGGAGAAACAGGGGTGATCTTCAGTTGATTGGGCGCCTTCCGAGGTGAACGTATCGGAGAAAGGGCTCGAAGGTCGAGTTCTGGAACATGATCTGTAGGAAGCGGAACAGAACGTGCACGCCCAGAAAAAACAAAGCATGATTTGACCTTGCCGTTCATAGCATGACATGCCGATTCAGTGGCAGCGCGGACAAACGATTCTGCCATTTTCCTGGGAGATTGTGATGCCAATTCACGATTCTCTACAGAGTGACCCATTGACAGCAAGTTCAACGCTGGTAGTGGATCAATTTTGATACGCTTTGCCTCACGATGACTGGCTGGGCTGAGCAGGTCTTGGTGACATGTATCGGAGGATCGTTTGTTCTTCTTCGGCGACAAGAGTATCTCGTCGTTCTCGTTCCCGATTTCCTCCTCTTCGACATCCATATGTTCCTCGCTCTCCTTGTGTTCATTTAATTCTAAATGTATCCGATTCTTCGATGTGACTCTGGCATGCTTGAGAGGAGAACGCGCGAGGGGTAGCCTCAGGACATGATCAGGTACGGCGAGTTGGGATCGCGTTCTCTTGGAGTTTTCGACAGGCATGTACGTGTCACCGTGGAGCGAAGTCGCGTGCTCGCTGTCTAATGCAGTGAGCTGAAGCGCTGTAGGCGTCAGTGCCGTGTCACAGATGATTGTTCGTTGATGAGTTAAACGTTTGAGGGTTTACACTGACAAGGTAACGTGTTGAGGCACGTGATAGGGTCCACGCTGGACCATGGCCTGGCTTATTACTATGGCTTCCCACTGAAAACCACAATTCCCATCTCCATGTCATTGAAGTTCCAACTTACAATTGTCTAGTCATCGCTATATTGAAGTCGATTCCAGAAACGTTTAGTGAAACGTCTTTGTTCACAGCCACTCCGAGTCGCCCATTCTCGATAACGCCGACGGGGCCTGCTGTTACTCGAGTCATGTCCCCATGTCGGACCACTGAGCCTTACATACTAATACCAAAGACAACCAACTGGACAGCTTAAGTCTCAATTCATACTTTCCAGAATATACAGACCGGTGGTTTTAGAATGGACACGGACTCAATTCAAACCACTGCAACTTTTAAGCTTTATAGGTGACGTGGTTCTTGTACTACACAGCTCTTTCAGTCGCCGCCTTCCCGATAACCAGATGTTTTTTACTCCATATACTCAGAAATTTCTTATGGTGTTATGCTGACCCTTATTACTCCGCTAGTGAGATATCAATTTGTCATTGACGCGCGATGATGCTGCCTGCACCGTCTGTACAGCATGTGTGCCGAGAGTGTGTTTGCCCAAGTCAGTCTCTTCCATAAATCATGTTTGTCAGACATTGATTTACGAGTACCACTGCTATGGCGCCTTTGATCTGCCTCCTTGGAAGAACCGAACCACCAGCATCTGTACAGGAATTCTTCAAGTGTCAGAAAATTCCATAGATTTCAACGTCAATCAACCGTTGGCGAATCATCTTGTGGGTAGCTTCTGGACCCAACTACGTTCCTGTCTGGGTAATTTATTTGACCTGTGTCCGCCAATTAATTGCTTGCGTATCTGGCACATGGCCCCCACGTCCCGCTTATAAATGCACGATGACTTGGCAAGCTGTCACCGCAGTAGTCTCGTTTGGGATTATCATCCCACCATCATCAAAGGAGCGAGCTCTCATTGTTGTCGCTGATAAGGCTTGTCTGCGCCGTACCTGGTTGCGATGGAAGAACTCTGCCAGACTCTGCCCCCTCAGACTCTTCTGGTCATCCACACCATTGCTAGCTTCTGTTTGCGTCGATGCTGTAGCCAACCTCATGACCCCAAATCACCTTCCTTGTATTTCCTATCTATAACGCACCCCCTGACAATCACTGCCACACGGGGTAATTTGTCGATTGTCCTGGAAAAACTGGGCAAACATGGAAATCTCCAAAGTGCAAGACAGCTCGCATTGCTTATATCTATGTCAAGGGTCAACCAATACCATCCATCTGCCAAAGTAAATTGCATCACATTAAGCGACTGCTCACTGATTATTCACGCTTTTTCAGATCGCTGGAACCAGCGATTAGACCCTACTTGGTGTGGGGCGCTTCTATTGAAGCTTGGCTAAAAGTAATTCATCAAGAGTAAATTTAAATATCAAGCCGCGTAGTTCGTGTTACTTGCTTACACAGTACCAACTCGCGGTTCTGGTGAACCAACTTGTTCACTCGTGCTTTGGCGCGCATAGGAATTTTTTGAAAGTATCAAGAGCACGATTTATGTATTAATAGTAGTAGTCTCTTGCAATCTCATATTTTGCCAGAATTTGGCTATCCTAAGTTGCCTTTTTCGTCGCCCGCAGTGCCGCCACTAGGTCATGGACTTGTTATGGGCGTTCATGGCCTTACCACCTATCTGCGAGAGAATCTGCGAATTCTCGCCAAAACCATCGAATTTCCCTCGAGCCCGCCTGGCGTAACTTCTATCGTGGTCGATGGTTGGTCGTGAGTATCTGATGATGTCGTCGATTGCTTGGTGATAACAGTGATTACGCCACGCCCTTCAGGTTCATCTATGAGCTTTATGCAGAGTCTAAATTACCTTGGGTGTATGGTGGCGAGTACAAAGCGTTCTCTGCATGCGTTCAAGGTGTCGTGAAAGCGTGGATGTCTGTGGGACTCAGGGTATATTTTGTCTTTGACGGTATGTCCCTTTACTTCCTCGTTGTGGCGCATCTAAGCGATCTTCTGAGAAGGTTCTGCCCCAGAGCTGAAGATTCCAACCCTCATCAGTCGCCTCAACCACTCGATCGTTGAACGGAGCCTTCTTTTCTTCAGAACTTCAGAGACATCACGCTCAACTTCCCGCTTTCTGCATGAAACGCGGATGATACCACCACTTGCATATCATGCATGTCTACATGCACTTCTTGAAGTCGCATCATCATCAGATACTCTGGAAGTGCATTTCGCAGATGAAGAAGGCGATCCATATGCTGTCGAACTCGCCGGCAGGCTCGGGGCATTTGTTATTGGCAATGACTCGGATTTTGTCATTCTCAATTCTGGGAAATATGCAGGATATATTCAGCTCGATGACATGCTGTGGGCAGTACCCAAATCCGTGGACGCAGGCTCTGGTGACGATGACGGCGAATTCCGCACAGTGAAGAAGGCAAAGACAAAAAAGAAAAGCGCTGCCCAACAAGGGACTCGCAGGGGTCTAATACCTCCCGAGCATAGCACGAATCTCACTCTGTCAGTTTCGGTCTACACACCTGCTGCCTTGGCGTCCCATTTCAAGATTCCAGTCACGCTGTTGCCCCTGCTCGGCGCACTGGTCGGAAATGATTTTTCCAACCAGTCTTCTACACAACGGAACGTGCAAAGCTTATTTTTCGAGCGCCATCTAACGTTATCGCAACGCATTTCCCGTGTCGGATCCACCTTAAATGCTATACTCTCCGCTGCCACCCAGAAACGAAAAGCCAGACATCAGGTCGGTTCAGTCATGGATTTGATTGACAGATCTGTGCACGCACTCCTCATCAGACAACCGAGCACAATGGCTTCGGGAGAAATAGATGCCATCGTTGATAGGATCGTTAACGCAGCATTGCAGTACGCAATTGACAAGTATGACGGAGATACATGTGGGCCGGATGGTCTCTGGCCTAGCAAAATTTGTGCACTGCATCCCGCTGAAACTTGCCGGCTGCCGGGACTGTTCTCCCGTGCGCTATTACTATCTGCCGACAATGAAGTAGCCGACAACAACGCAGCAGAGCGTGATAATCAACTATCCCGCATCCACTCTCTCTATATCTCTGCATACCGGTCGGGTCATCTGCAGCCAAAGCTCATGGATATCTTGAATACTGGGACTTTCTGGCCAAGGCTATTTTTGGAAAACCCCGACGCGGAGAATGTAGCGCGGAGTATCGGCAGACCTATCCGGGAGTGGATCTATGCCATTTTGGAAGATGCCGTGGGGCTGCCGGAAGCACCAGAGGGGAGTGGGAACTCTAAAGTGGAGCAATTTGACACGTCTCAGATGGACGAGGAAGACGAGGATGAGCTCATTGACGTCGTAGAAGAACACTCCGAAGACGATGAGGCCGATCTCCTCGCCCCATTACGTGGTGAGCTCCAAAAACTCCGCGTGCCAGATGAAGGGCCAGAGACTCCGGCGTCGGTCATATCCCAATCCCGGTCTCACTTTCCACCGGGACCAAAATGTGTCATGGAGTACGTCAGGCGAGGAACGCGCGTTGCCCCGGAAAGTGTGACGGTGCCAGATATTTCCAGGCTGTTGGTGTCATCCGTGTTTCATGGCCATAGCCAAGAAGATTGGACTCCCCTGCCACTCAGGTCCGCACTGGAGCGGATGTCTGTTTTTCTGCATATCCTTTATAGCAGTACTGTTGCTCTGGAAGAGTTACCGAGCGAGCAACTCGTGTGCGCCCTCGTTTTGCGATGGGTCGTCCGGGTGATGCACCTACGAGCCATAGAATCCTCAAGTAAAGAACGGGAGAAAGAAAAATGGACTAGATCGGAAGCAAGTGCCTTCATTGCATTTTACACGTCAGAAGGGCATAGTCTCGATTTTCGTACTATGCCTGCACCTTCCGGCTCGGAACCTAACGGCGGATCTGAAACTACACCAATCAGCAGTCGTAGCATCCAACTTATGGCACAGGTGCTTATGGCAATCGAGAGCATACATCATTTATCCCAAGTTCTCTTGGTATCAGAACGAGTCCCAATCCGTGTCCATACCCTGTCAGGCCAGGCCTTTCATATGTTCCTTACGCAAAAGGGCTCGAATTGTCGAGACACTTTACCGGTCGGACTTTGGGATGCATGTACGGAGGGATTAGATGATGCTTTTGCGGAAGAACGCCCAATTAAAGGCAAAAAATTGAAGGTCAATGGAAAGCCCATTGAGCGACCATCAGTGAGGAAAGCGGCGCGTGTTGGGACAGCGGGTAGTCAGTTCGGGTTGCTGGCTGATCTTCAAGTTTAACGTACATGTCGACATCCTGTACTATTTTCTGGTATCAAAGAGAACTGAAATGAGCTGAGAATTCTGTAGACTGAAAGTAGTTGGTAGATAGCAGTGCAGTGGGCCGTGCCAGTCCAGCATCTTGCTGTACTATACAGCTTACATAACGCATTTGCACTTAGCATAAATATTTATTCATTTACGCACCGCCACATCATGTATTCTCAAAATGTACAGCATGCATGGATCTAGATATCGGCGGCTTCGCCGTAACAATGAAATTGTACTGCACCACACTGGCCCTTGACACTTATAAAAGGCTAGCTATGCTCCTCTGATTCTGCACCTCTTCCGCGCCCTCACCATTACTCGCCATGCGAACCTCTACCAGACGCCAGTCCCCAGCTCCCGCAGATCTTGTCACGTATCGTTTTAATAATCAAATGATGTACGTGCCTCCGGCGGAGAACTTCGACGTGAGCCTTTTAGCTTAGAAAATTAACCACTGAACTGAGCGCAATCATTATAGCAAGCAGTCACATTTGCCAGATCAGCATTTGAGGGCGACCTCACTGGGATTGACAAAAGCCGGATATCCTTCTCGCTGAATGTGCTGGCGAACGGGAAGCAGAGTTCTGTGGGGATAAGCCGTGTGGCATGGTCGACAACTATGTCGCATCTGGCACAATATGAGATAATAGACGTGCACGTCCAGCCAGAGCTCAGAGTACCCGGAAGTCCCGAACCCCCTCCGAGTTATCGGTCTTGTGGCTCACCTAAGGACAGCGAGAAGGAGCAGCATTCGTCATCACATTCATCATCACTTATACACCGTCTCGTTCCAACTCGTCTGTTTCAGCGGCTGAGTCCCTGAACGTGGCATGATACCGGACACCTTTGGGCTTCCTGTTTCACTATGTAGAGCTACCTTAACATGCGGACTATTATGGAAAGCAATGTCTCATTGTAGTAAATTGTGTCAAACACTCATTGTATTACATTCATTCAACAACGGTTAAAACGATCTGGTGCTATTGTTATTTCTATGTTACATGTATCACTGCTGTATCGATTCAGATGAATATGAATAAAGACGTGTAGTACTATGCTCCCATCACATCACATGAAGTGTTCAACAAGCGCGCTTCTCAATGAATGAGTTTCAGGTTCACTTGTTATCTGAACTTCATTAACAAGCTGTATCCCAACGAGATCGAGTAATCAACGGCGCATAGACGCTGACCAGTCAAGTCACTCACGGAATGTTTGATCATAGTAAAATCCTTGATAGTTTGCCGCTGGCATTGCACTGCAAAGGACAGCGTAGGACTACACGACTAAGTACCGAAAGCGCTCGATCAAGCGCCATCCAAGATCGAGCGTCAATGTAAGCGCTCAATTTCCTTCGTAGCCAAAATCAAATACAGGATGTAACGGAAGAACGACATCTTCGGGCGCTTACCTCAAACCTAGTGCTTGCCACTATAACGAAGAAGCGCTTTGCTCCTAAACGTTGCATTGTACTGCAACAAGTTATTGATGTCCCGGACCCAATCATCCTCTTTTCCGGGTCCAACGCCTTCCTCGCCTGGTTGTTCGTCTCCATAATCGGATATGGAGGAGCGGTTAACGCAAGGCACTGGGTATGGTGAGGCCTGTACAGTAACGGACTCCCCTGGATTAAGAACATGCGATACACGCCCGTCCATTGAAACGCCGGCCGCAGCACGGGAACGATCACCAATCTAATAGCGTTAATCAAACATTTGAGTAATAGTTTCCACGTGTTGCCACGATACACCAGGCGCATGACTCACACATAGCGTTAAAGATGAAGATGACGGGAAGACGAGCGGTCTAAACGATAAACTTCGTGGACATATTGGCACGAGCACTACAGCACTCAAGGAAGGATGTACGATAGGCCCTCCAGCTGAGAGAGAGTATGCAGTTGATCCTGTAGGTGTTGACACAATCACGCCATCCGACTACGGAAATCAGTTACGCGCGCAGTGCTTGGGAGATTTAATACGCACAACAGCCTCCGTGAGATGTTGCCCGTCTACATAAATATCGATGGTATTAAGGTGTGGACTTGACCCACGGTGTAACGCAATCTCATTCATAACCTGCCATTCTAGAATTCGGTCAGTATCGTGGGTACATACTTGTATTGTTTTATCCCAACCGTCATCGCCGAACCCTATTTTTTTGCGATCCTTGTCATAGAAAGTGCACGACAAACGCATGCGATCGAGGATGGTTGCCTTGCCCTGAAACACTGCTTCGAGCCCTTTTACAAAGTCATCGATATCTGTCGCATGTTCAGTGGCGTCCTGATGTTGAGCGCGTGTACATACGGAATGGAAGGAGAAATCCAAGGGTGCCCATTGAGAAACTTAACACAGGAGGGACCGCTCCAAGACTAAAGAGTGATGCAGCATGGAGAATGGTACCGTCACCTCCAAGAGTCACTACAAGATCAATTTTTTCGGCATGAGGCCCTGTGATGGATTCATTCAAACAGATTGTTTCAACGTGTACAATGTACTCACCGGGACGCCACACTTGTGTGCCGAATGGAATGTCTGGGCGGTCTTCAGAGAACACCTTCACACCCGGATACGTCTTCGCTATATGACTATTGTGTGTTGAGCACCACCTGTTAATCGGCTGAAACAATGCAGGAGCATTATTACGCACTCCAATAGTTCATCAATTGCCCGAATCACAGGTTCAGTTCGGAGCTTGTTCACAATCAAAATAGATCGTGGAGGGTATGCTGCTTCATGTAGCCTATCTTGTTGAGCATTAGCGGTGCACGATTGTGAATGGGAGACAGCAGACAAACGCTTGGGATGATAAGGCGCGAGAAAGACGTGATTGTGGGATGAACGGATTCGCTCGCAAAGTCAATGGTAGTGACGGTCGATGTCGTATTCTAGCGTGGAGACACCGTCGAAATGGAAAGAAAAGAAAAGCTCGTTGCGTGTGGCGGGCCATAGCGGTTAACATGGCTGCCAGTATCGAAGTAGGCTTGACTTCAACTTGTCTTACATAACTTCACTATGCAGTTCAAGTGCTTGTACCGATCTTTCTTCTTGCCACAACCTTGCGAAATGTTTTCTCACCCGGTGACCCAAACTCGACCACAAAAACTATCTTTCGTTGAATCCGAGGGCACTATATGAAATCCTGGAACTTTTCTATCCTGCCACTTCACTGCCAATGTCCTGTGTTGATTATCATACGAACGAACTTCTGATTCGGTTAATCCTTTCAACATCGACTCATGGTCACAGGCTCAAGCGCTCACAGCCTCTCAGCCATTGTGACAGGGCGCCCTGAACCAAACATAGCACGTGCTACAGCATTTGGTTCAAGCGGAGAGGCATACCCCATGGCATACAATGCAAGTACAGCGCACGAGTACCCAGATCCTTGGAATACAATTTCGTGGAGCTCTCTTCTTTCTATGGTCTGGACCGGCTACTATTACTAGGAGCGACTAATTCAAACTGGGAGTAGTTCCTTGACCTGAAACACTGAAATCGAGGCTCTACGAAGCTGCATTAGGCTATCTCCTTGCGTTCTCGGCGACAGATGTGTCACCCTTCACCCAAGTCGGCCCCGCCTAGCTTAGCTAAAGTATCGAAGCATGTTGGTCGATACGCCCTATATTCAGGTCCGAAGAGGAGCGCCTTCTCAGAGGCTTCTGGCGCTCGCATAGCGTCAACCACAATTTATATGTCGATGACTCGTACAGGAGAAGCAACCCCAAACATCTAGAAAAATGTTCATTAGATCGTGCAGGTCCGAGAGGAGCGACTTCTCACAGGCTCCTGGCGCTAAATCTTATCAGGATCTCCACAATCTATACGTTGATGACTCGTACAGGAGATGCAACCACGAACATCTAGAAAAACGTTCATCAAATCGTGGCGATTCGATCGGATGCTATTTGATTATTTTGCTTACTTTTGGAGGCCGGTTTTGTGGATTTTGGCAACACACATCAGTCATAGACCAAGCAGTGACCAGAGTGATTTTTGCCATTGGTGAGAACCGTGACTCTTTGGATGCGTGCATCACTGGTGTACATGCTTCTCGTCAGTTACTACTACCTGGTATCACTTGACTTTTCAACCTAGATGAATTCGACAATTATCTTTCGCGGAGCCTCCCGTTATTTCACGCTGCCACGACTAGTGGCCCACGAGGAATGTACCGATGACCAAGTGCTTGCCATTTTTCAAATGTTTCGACGATAACAAAAAAAATCGGCGCCTCCGCTTGTGTAGACTATGCAACAACCCTGGTATGTTTGGTGTCATTCCAATCCCAGTACCATTCTTGATAGTATCAGCAGTGAGCAATAAGAAATGTCACCGAGACACAATTTTGGATGCGCATGAATATCAGATACCTTGCAGTTATGTAGAATGGACTGGTAGGTGACTATATTAATATTGATAGTTGTTTCTGATCGCTCGGTAGATTGACCCCATTAAAAGGGTTCCTCGGTGCAGATTTGGAAGTCCTGCAGCAACGACTTTATGAGACTCTGAAAGGACAGAATAAGTGATGAGTCATTAGTGACTATATTGTGCGACAAATATTCCAGAAGATCTCCGTGCGAGAATGAGCTGCGATGTCACTTTCATGGTGCTGATTACACCCTGAACCAGGCATGGACACGCTCATTGCAACGCGGCAGCCAGCACGCCAACCTTTGTAATTTCGATCCTTTCGGTCGCGCCATATAACAGTTCAGGCAGAGTCGTTGTAATCCTTGCGAACCTATCGTTGCTGTGCCACATCTGTGAGAGATGATGTGTTGGCTATCCTTGATCGATACCCTCGCGTACTGGTAAGGTATCGACGAATGCTTTCATCTCGCGATCATGAGTATGACATCAAAACGTTGGCAAGTTGCATTTGCTCTTGAATTAAATGATCTGCAGAATGTCGTGGACTTGGAGAGCAGATTGTTTTGTCGAAGTGGAATTCAAATATTCGAATAGGAGTTTTATTTGGTTTTATTTGATGGTATGGCATGCCTCCTGTAAGCCCCTATACTTCTCATGTCTTTCAGCAACAATATGTTCAGAAACTTTGAGAAAATTAGCCGTGCGTTTCTCATTTTTTCAAAGAAATGTACACGTTAATGATGATTTGAACATATCTATCAAAAGATCAGGAGCACGAAATACCCCTCCAATTGGGACGGCATAACAGTCAATTCGTCTCACAGCATGTTGATGATGGTGTTGAGCGTGACGAATTGTCAGACGGGTCCGAATACAACCCGAAACCTCGTTATAATAACCATCCAACAATAAAGAAACCAAAGGTATACAATTTGTAAGTATGGTCATATACCTCACGGGGACTTCTGTGTTAATTATTTGTAAAGCCGTCGAAATAAACTCAAGCTTGACCGAACAAAACGAGCAATGGTTCGTGCACTCGCAAAGCGTGGCAAGTGGCACCACAAAGATATCGCCACTGTCTTCAGAGTATCGCTTCCTCTCATTAAAAGGGTCATAGCCAACGGCTATACTACGATACCTGACGAAGTATTGGAAGACGCAAACTTTTATAAGCAGAGTGACCTTGAAGAGTTAATTTTGGAGGTTAGTCTTGAAAATCGTGCTCCTCGAACTCGTTCATGACATCCGTAGCTTGAAAAGTTGATTTTGCAGGTTGGTCTTAAAATTCGTGCCCCTGGAAGGCTGGAACTTACTCATGACATTCGCAGGAGCTACCGCCCGCCACGGATAAACAGAAAAAACGAAAGATACAAGTAATTATCAGTCATGATGTCATCGCACGTTTCTCCTTACTGGTAAATTCACTAGGACAAAACGTATGCGAGATCCACAAAGAAATCTGTAGTTGCCGCTTCCCCTTCTGCATTAGCTCCTATGGAGGTAGAAGTAAGTTCGCTTGCTTGTTCAATCATGCTGTTGCAGTCTCATGTGTACCCCACTTGTCAGCCGGATCTAAATGCAACATGCAGCCTATTCAGGATGTTCCGAGACGAAGCGATACTTGCTCATGGGGAAAAGGTCCATTCTATTCTCAAGGAAACTGGGATTGAAGATGATGAGACAATGTTCGCCGCCCTGATTATGGATGATGAACGATTAAACGGTATGCTACAAGAAGCCAAGCATCTCAACGTCGTGGAGAGGTATTCTGTCATTCAAGCGATGAGAAATTTTGGGAAGAAGCACGAAATAGCGAGGACCTTAGAACGCTCATGATCGATGTTTTCTTTTCGATCATCGAGATCGTTCACAAGTTGATGTTTCATTTGTCACCGCTACACGGGATTTTTCTTAACAACGAGAGAAAGTACAGCGGCTTCATACTATTTGAAAGGTTACTCCTGGTTGCAAAGAAGATCATTTAGAGAAAACAGTACACATCACAGGCTCTTTATACGACGAGCACTGCTTGGCGTTAGCCTTAGCAGTGGACAGTCGGAGCAAGTCTTGGTCCAATCTGAGCCGGTCGTGGGGGCATGTCTGATTTGCTTCCCAGCCACTCGTCAATTAGCAGGTGCAGTATAACTTTTGTGAGAAAGCCTATAGCACGAATTTCTCTCCGTGAGCAGTACCTGCATGCCAATATGTATCCGTGGTTCTCTGTACCCCAGTGGCAAATCCAGAACTGAGGCTGTTGCGCTCCTCGATTGTGATATCTCCTGTATTATCATGATTCGACAAACACGCTATCAACACAGACGGACCCCTGTTCGAAAAGCTGGCAGTGTTCATCTCGCATGGGAGTTTGCCCAAATCCACCCAATAGGAAGCAATTTTTCAATGATCGATAATCTACTCAGAGTCTGGGCGTTCGATAAGTAGTGGCACTTGGCTGACGGCTGACATAATATTTTGGTTTGTTTACACCCATGATTGGATAAGCATAAACCGTGAGCTCCCGGATCCCTATATTGGTGCTAACTGGGCCATGGCCCATGGGGAGAATTGACACCACCTCAGGCTGTGCTTGCTATCACGGTCATTGAATGCACAGCCCAAGTAAAGAACGCCTCCAGGCGTCAGCGCTTCAGCCTTGTTGAGCCTTTCGCCTTCAAGTTGTTCCCTTCAAGAATAAAAAATGCCAGAATCAGACAATCCAACGACCCCTGTTCAAGGGGTCCTTTGCTTTTTTCAAGATCTATGAAGTATAATGTATGCTGTGACTACAGCTCCGAAATCTTGTTGCGCCAAATTCTTGATGTGCTGAAGCACTCGACCATTTTCAAGAAACCACTCCCATCGGATGACTGGAATGGCTTTTGGGATGTATACGATCAGGAAGCAGAAGAGTTTGATAAATCATTCGTTGAAAAGTACACTTCGGATTTGGACAATAGTCTAATTTTCGTAAGCTTTTCTGGCCATATATAACGAGTCCATGTCTGTTGATCGAGTGTATCTTTCAGGCAGGTCTTTTTTCGGCCGTCAATGCCACTTTCTTAGGGACAATGCTCCCTGACCTGAGCCCTGTTCCCAGCGACACGACAAATGCCTTATTAACGATGATATACTATCAACTCAATAACACCACGTCTCCAGAGCAAATATCGAGCATTTCCTCGTGGAATGGCCCCCTTTGGATTACCATCTGGACCCAGACCCTCTTGTATGCTAGTCTCTCAGCCAGTCTTCTGGCTGCTCTTGGAGCCGTCTTGGGCAAGCAGTGGCTGAGGGACTACCGAGATAACACACGAGGACCTCGTGAGTCTCGTCGCATCAGGCGGCAGCTCAAAGTTGACGGGATCGAAACGTGGCATTTTGAGACCGTCCTTCGTGCTATACCTGCATTACTACAGCTTTCCCTGCTGCTCTTCGGCACGGGTCTTGGGGGGTATCTGTGGGCACAGCAACGCACTGTGGCTGCCGTTGTCGTTGGGACAACATGCTTCGGTGCCTTTTTCTATATCGTGGCCTCCATCAGCAGCTACCTTTGTGTTAGCTGCCCCTTTACAACACCGGCTCTTGCACTCGTATATCATAGCCTAAGAGCGATTGGATCGTTCATGGTGATATACGTCACGCATCCGCTCTACTGGCTATTTGAAACCACTTTCATTCAACTCGACAAGTGGAAAAAAGGTGTGCGGCGCACCATCGCCCTTCTATTGACAATGTTCCTGTATTTGATGTGTAATATTCCGCTCTATCTACCATGGTGGATTCTTGCGGGCACATTATATTTATTAACGCCTTTTAATGAAAAGCCAGTTATCGATATATCACTCCCCGTGCTCTGGCTCTGCCAGACATCCCTTGATCCCGACACCGTATATACCGCGGCGAAAAGGATTCCTGATGTCACTTTCCCCACTGATGGTCTCGGATCATGGGCAGCTTGGGGAAAACTTTTCAGGCTAGTTCAAGACGGGCTCGAACGTTCTCCATCCCCTGCGGTCTTGATATATGCAAAAGCATTGACTTCTCTGTATTTTACTGCCCACACCAGCAAGAATCGGTTTTCACCCTTCTTTAGCCAGGTCGGCATTAAAGATGTAGCAACACTTCGCATAGACGTGCACTCCAGTCATGACGCATCATTGTGCTTTGTGCTGGCTGTGCTTCAACAATGGTTCAACGTCGTTAGCGGCTCACGGTTCGGTAGGATATCTGGAGGAAATGATATCATCGACATCAAAACGCTTGTCCCAGACATTAATCTCGATGACCTACCCAACGATACTTTGGAATGGTTGTTACATCCTCTATTGCATGGCCTTTGCGGAGCGCCACTGTCATGGTTCGAGGAGGAAAACCATCGCCGTCGCTTGTTTTTGCAACCTCTAGCGATCCATATTATCCGCAGGCTACTGCCTATCGATCGACAGCGTCCACTGCCTTCCCGCAAAGCCATTGAAACATGTCTTCATGTCATCATCGCGATCCTCGGTTGGCAGTCGATCGATCTCAAGAAAATCAGAATCACAGATAACAGGTACTAGGCCTGACCTTGATGTGTGACAAAGGCTGATCATCGATTGCGTGCAGTGATAACATTGAAACAATTTTTCCCCATGTCCTTAATCTTCTGCTACGTCCAGACATCACAGCCGCAATTCAAGATGCTTCCATTGAACCCATACCCAATGTACATCCCGAAGCGACACGCTCCAGCATATTTTCGCATATCCCTCGATTCGTTTTCTCAAGATCATCAAGGTCGCGTACCTTTTCGGCAATCGAAGTCTCGCATTTCAGAGCCATACTGGAGCCTTTAGCACGCCTTGCTAGTGAAACAGAATTCATACGTCATTTCCAGAACAACGAAGTGGAAACATGGTGCACCAGTGTCTTCCAAGCCACTGTACCTAAAAATATTAACAAAGCATCTACCCCGGCACTCTGCCTTCATGCGTGCTGCACTTTGAGTGGCCTTTTCAAGTCCGGAGTCATGCACTCTGCAACGATCTGGGGTCCATGTCAGGCAAATGTGGACGCTTCCGTGCTGCTCGACTATCTCAATCAAACCAATTACCAGCCCCTGCAGCTAGACTTGAATTCTGACACTGCATCCTATTCCCGCAGTTCGCCGTGTCTGGAAGTTCGAAATAACATCGCGAATGCATATGCGTTGCTGATACTTTCCGCTAATAATGACATCTTCACCCGCGATGAAGCACGCAGAATGCCCTCTTCACAGACATGTTGGACTGAAGATAGCTCACGTTATTAAAGAGCTTCTGGTGAATATCACAGGTGGTGTCCGCGACCAACTCCTCCCAGCCTTGCGTTCCGCAACCTTTGAAAATATCCAGAGCATGCCAGGTGACACGTCACCAGATCGATTCATCTATCCAGAGCGCGATCTTCATTATTTGGAAGTACTCATTGCCCTTGCAAATAACGAGTATTGGCTCTTGCAGCTCCGCCAAGACAGCTGTACCCACATGCAGTGCTGTATTTCCATAGCCAAGGCTATCCATGCACCATCCCATGATGAAGACTACAGAGAACTCTCACTACGACTAGTCCTGATATTTGCTCGCATTGCCTGCGTTGACAATTATCTTTGGCCGGAGTGGGACCTCTGGTTTGAAGCACGCCCGGACAACCAGGTGCTGCTCGTCAAACAAGCTTGGGAGTATCCACGGATACCCGACGAGTGTCCTGACGTCATCCCTCTTCTCATCGCATTCACAAACAAGATGCTGTTGAGTCTTAGAGGTGTGAACGAAAAAGGCTTAACAATACTTCCCAAGGACATAGTGATTGCCGCCCTGGATGGCATTTCGAAACAGATACAGGACGCTCGTATGAATGTGGACAAGACGCAGAATGCTTCGGATGTGCTCGGCACGAGAATGGTGGACGCCCGTATGAATTCAGATGAGTTGCAGGATGCTTTGGGGGTACTCGGCATAGAGGTGGTACACTCAAGGGACGAGCTGTTCAGGCGTTTCGGTGCACAGTCATTGATATCGAACAAGCGCCGGCAGTCCGAGTTCATTCCCTATAGGATCTTGTAAATGACTAATTTATATAAGCTACTGAGAGAATATCTTTGACGTCAAAAGCTCTTCAGCCGTGTCGATAATTTCCACCCCCGCCTTGGTCATCTCGATCCATTCTGTGCCCTCATCAGATACACTCTTGACCGCATCCTTGATCACAAATGTCCTGAACCCGTGTTTCTTTGCATCAAGTGCAGTAAACTTGACGCAATAATCTCCCGCTATTCCGACCACGAAAATATTTGATATTTCCTTGTTCTTCAGCTTGTCCTTGAGTCCAGTGTTTGTGAGTCCCCATGGATCTTCGAATGCAGAATAACACTCGACCCCGACGTCGCAGCCCTTGCGGACGACTTCCAGGCCCTCATGCTCTAGGCCGTCCACAAATGCTACCCCAAACGTGTCCTGAACGCAATGGACAGGCCACAGCACCTGATCTAGCGCTTCAAGTGGCCTTTCATCCTCAGGCATCCCTGCTACCAACTCTGCGGGAGGGAATATGGTGATCTTGTCAAATTCCTTTTTCCCCGCATGATTGCGCGCAAACGATATGTGGTTGGCGGGGTGATAGTCTTGGGAACCAACTTTAAGAGCGAATGGAAGCGTCAGGAGAGCGTTGATGGTACTGATGATCTGCTCTGCGTCGCGGACGGCGAGACTGCCGCTGACGAAGTCGTTCTGTACGTCGATGACGACTATGGCAGAGTTGGAGGGTTCAACGTGTGTGAGGTCTGGGAGCATCTTGGTATTTGTGTGGCTTATGATGAGTTGCTATCACGTTGCCAGCCTGGAGCTCCGTAGTACTTATGCATCTTATCGGAACTTCATTAATTTCGGCTACAGTATAGCAAATAGGAGGGCGGTACTGACATTCCAGAAATAGTAGTTTGTGTAAATTATTTTGCCTAACCACTCGACCAACTGACGACATCACAATAGGTCTCAGAAGAAAATGTGTGATCGTGACTTAGTGTTGTTGTCGAGGTGAGGTCAACTCGAGCTAAACTCGGCTCGGCTCGAAAATGACCCAATTCGTTTCAACTCGAACCTTCCGAACTAAATCGAGTTACAACTCGTTGGACTCGCGAGTTAGAAACGAGTTCATGTAGTTTACATCCATACATCGTAATCCCCTGTACTACATCATAATGGTCATTATTGTTGTATCCCTTCATTGCAATTGGCACACAGATTGGCAGCTAAGTTCCCCTCCAACATCCAAAAGAACTTGGAATCTGGATTGTCACTCTCGGCTATTGAGACCCTAACTAGACACTAAAATTTTCAATTGAAGTAAAACACTTAAATATCATCGTGGCTCAGAGCTATTGCTGCGAGCAACATTTTACCCCATGTCATTGCAGCAGAATCCTGGCCCATGGTCATTTCCTCCGAGTCATCTCAGCCCTGAACACTCTCAACAAGGTACATTGTCTCCACTCCAGACTCCAAGTGGATCCTTCCAATCACTTCGGAACACACATTCCCGCTTCTATTTCGTGTTGCCATGGACGTTCTGCCTACTCAAGCTTCATCTGTGCCTTCCGAGCGCATATTCTCATCAAGCAAAGAGACCTGCACTCTACAGCGCAGCAACCTATCTCCGACCATACTCAAGGCGCTACAAGTTCTGAAGTTCACTTACAAGCAAGACCACCTCAATTTTACAGAGGACCTGGTAGCTAATGAGCAGGACTACACAATATCTGGACCTGTGACTTCAAGAGCAGTTGACGAGCTAATGGCTGCTGGGAATCTTCGCGAGCTCGATCAGTTGCTTGCAAATGCAAGGGAAATTGATTGTAACTAGTTTATTGTAGTTTCTGTCTGCTCATCGTGTATTTACTTGCAAAAATTGTTGTTGGCAGTATCTAGCATCCCTGGCTTCTCATTGGCTGAACCACTGGTTTGCATAATTCCGAACTTGTTAGTAACTCGTGAGTTGAACGAGGCACAACTCATTGCAACTCGTAAGTATCAAACTGTGTCGAGGTACCACAAATTTTCCACCTCGATTCGATTCGATTCGCCTCGTGGCAACACTATCATGACTGGGGTCGGAGTTCAAATCACACGGGCGGGATCACACTTTTTGCTGCAGTGAGTGCGTCAAGACTTGTCCCAGGCAAGCGCCGAATCACGGTTTTTTGCCCTCGATCACGGTTTCGACCAAGCAGGATCACACTTTTCGTGAAGCAGATCACAGTTTTGATCACGGTTTTTTGGTGGGTGGGAGAAGTCTTCTACTTTGGGGATTTCTCGGACAGGGCGGGCAGGTCATGGGTTGTACATCAGGGTGGAATGGTAAGTGAGTCTTCTGGTCCTGCGCTGCGCTGCTGGTGTGATGTTGATTATGATGGCATGGCAGAACTTTCTGATAGAGATCTGGACACAAGCACTCCACAAACTCCTTGAGGCCTTGAAAGAATGCGAAGCTGGTGAAAGGAGCCGCGATCTCACATTGTACTAGGATTAGCAGACCATCATTAGGCACACTATTGTAGCTGGCAGGCAGAAAATGATTTCCAGGTTGTGAATTCATTAATCAACTCGAGTTCGAGGCAGGAAAAGAAAAGTGGGGCTCATCCTCACACAGACGACGTGTCAGCGCTAGCAGCAGTCACTTGTGTCTGTTTCTTCTTTGGCTGGAGTTTTGAGTGGAACTGCAGGACTGACATCGAGCCATGCTGCTTGTCCAGAATTCGAACAGCTTCTGATGCATGATTGCCGGCATCCATTGTAGAGTTGATGTGTGTGATGAAGAACATAAATTGGGACCACTGTCGCCTCACCTGGAATGGAGTCTTAGATGGGAGAGAGAAAATGAAGGAAACAGAGACTACTCACATTGTTGTCATTGTGTGGCCGCCAAGCCTGATGGCGCCCTTTGCGAGTCGAATGATCCTTTGTTCCTCCCCACTCCTGCTCGATGAACTGGAGGGGTGGCATCTGACCCACACCATCAATGATCGTGCCCTCGTGCCAAGCCACCCAGAGTTGTTTGATGGTGTGGTATTCACCAAGGTCGCCAGGATGCCAGCAGGCCCAAAGGAGGGATGGTTGTTTCACCATCTCGAAGATGGAGCTCCAGCTGCAGTTTCGAGCTGTAAACTGAGGGAACTGTGGTACAGATGCAGTGATGGGGTCACAGAAGGCCTCCACTGATGGAATGATCAGATCACGGCCTGAATGGAAGTCGGGAGGCATTGCTGGTGAGAGTGGCAATACATGGAAGGAGCGGCCATCTTGAACAACAGTTACTGGGTTCATACTGGGCTGCAGGTGCAGTGTGGGTGTCGATTCTTCAGCAGCGCAAGCTCTGTGCTTATTAGTCTGAGACAGAGGAGGAGGAGGATGTTGGCAGGCATCTCATGCCATTGGTGGGCAAATATCAGGACCCCCAGTGCGCATGATGCCGCAGCCAACACTGGACACAGCCACAGGTGAGAACCTGGCTCCATCATAGTTCTTCAATGGGGAGAGTGGCTCTGTCCATTGAAGAAGCCGGTTGCAATGAGAGAGTACAGTGTTTATGGTGGTATCTGACTGGCGCTGAGAGTTTGCAAGAGACACGAAGGCACTTTGAGTGGGGGCCTCTCCAAATGAACTGCTGATGGTGAGGTCAGATTGTGCAGTGGCCTCAAGAGCTTCCCTGGCCCTTGGCCATTGCTGAAGGAATGTCTTGGCCTCACTAGACTGAATCACCTGCAGCCGTTTCAGAAGGGCAGAGTCTGGGAATGACTGGTGGATTGCAGCAATGACCTGGTATGCAAAGTATGACATATCAGACCCAGAGACACTTTGAGTAGCTTTGGAGCTCTCACCCGCCAAAAGTAGCCACGAAGCAGCTGTAGCAACTCGAGGAAATTGATGGTGCCATAGTTGATACTAGGTGCCTGGTGGAGATTGGCCAGAGCATCCTCGACGAAAGGAAATATCTGCATCTGTAGCTCAGCCAGGACATTAGTTGTTGCCCATGGAACACTGTACTGCTCTCTGACATAGAACCCAGCCAGGGCACAGACAGCCTATCATTGTAGAACAAAAGTCAATTTTACATTACAGCTACAAAGATTCAGACTTGCTGATTTCAGGATCTTTGCAGCATATGTCTCACGATGTGTGTTTCCCTCCCAGTGGCCAATGGCATCAACTTCGTCAGAATGTACCCTGAAGGCCGTCAGTGAATAAAGCTCTAAAGAATACACTGAAAATCACAGACCCCATGTCCTCCATCATGCTTGGCATTGTACGGTGTAGCAATGGTTGCGGCGTTGGGCTCGAAACCACGTATTTTCATACTCACGTCAACACCCGAAACATATGCGCACATGTCTGATGCACTTTCGCACATGTCCAAGCCACTCTGTATCAGATCCGGCGCACCAGACCTTCGGACATCGCATCGGCCGACTGCACTTCGCGCGCACTTGTCCATCCCATGTCCTGTCCATCCAAACTAGCCTCACTAGGTGCGTAGTTATTCCCGTGCACGTTTTCTGACATTTGTACCGCGTTATTACATGTCTGCAGCACCTCGTGTCTTATTACATAGGACATCGGACCCGAAATATATCACTACTATCTTCGCCTGTAGTATTCCGAATTTCTACGTACTTACTTAAATACTCTGTAGTGACCCATAGCAATCATCATCCAGTAGTTAGGAGCCGTTTCCCGACTCTGCAGATCACCCAGAATATTCTCGTAGTTCTTAGTTGCATTGCAAAATATTACCATTCATTCACCGTCCTACTCCGTCACTCGTTATACTCGCGCATACTGCTCGCAATCTGACACTCGTTATAAAGTTTCTGACCTATTACCGTGAAGTCTGAAAGTCCAAAATCTCGGACATTGCACTTTGGCTTCAGACATTGGATAAGTACCTTCGGACATCATCGGATTACCTTCGGACATCGTTTCACACCATCGGACATTTTGTTATTTGCATTACTGACACATTTTTACTACTAATACCAATTAGCAATCCCTTTAGGATCGAACGCACTTGCTCTGCAAGTATAGCAGCATAGGTCGTGCTAAGATCTACCTAAACATTGTTGACTAGGTAGTACAATTTCTGCTGAGCCCAGCAGAGATTTACTCTTTACAACGGCGAGTGAGATGTAGCTTCTTCTTTGATGTGATTGTTGTTGGGCCCAACATGGTGGTGTACATTTTCCGCAGAGCGTCGCCACTTGATGGCTGTCCGACATGCTTTCCAAACATGAGTTTAACCTACACAGAGCCCTCAGCATGACATATCTGATATACTGATTAGCAAAATGACCTGACCTCACGCCATGTGGATGACTGAGACCAGTCCCAGCCATCAACCTTGCTCATCAGGCCCTCTTGGTCAAATTGATAATGAAGTGAGATTGCAAGGGCCCCAATCGGGCACTTTAGCGGGTCCTTGTGCGGGAGCATGAAGCTGTAGTCAGGCTCCTGCTTCTACAGGAAGAGCAACTTGTAAATACACCAGTTCTTGGCCAATGAGATCACAGATGCTCACACCAGGCTTTGCAACCTTGGTCTCATGGTAGAGTGACAGAACCCCCAAAAAAAACTGCCCACTCCTGCTTCTCCTCCCATCAGCTGTTGTATAGTCTGGAACAAAGACTTTGTATGGTTGGATGCAGGATAGTGGAAGGTTGATGAGCTCGTCACCCTGGTTCAATGTAGTGCATTGCCACGTCCAACACTGATAAGCCTTGATGATAGATGGCACTGATGGAAGCCAAAGATGGGTGGTGATTTTGTGTGAGCATGACTGAGGTACTTACATTGAGTGAGGGTCGTGAAGATGGACTTCTTGACTTGCTCGAAATGTTCAGGAAATAGGTGGGAGTCTAATATTGTGTTCTCCATGACATCAAAGTCTTCGTGCCTAGAAATGAATGTGAAAGTCAGTATAAATTAGCTAAGAGTGCAGAGAAGCTTACTCAAGGCAGAGGCATTGTGCTTGAACCATCAGTGCTTTGTAGAAGTCCAAAATACGTGGAGTGAATGCCGGCCATGCCTGCTTGAGAGACATATTATCATCGACCTGGCGGCATCGAACACAACTGAGCATTGTCATTGTCTTCTTGAGGGAGCTCTTGTATTTGGTCAGCAAGAGTGCTGATGAGCAGAGCGCAGTTGATTGAAAGAAAACTCACCGCAGACAGAGATCCATTTGCACGATCTTGTTCACTGCTGTTTCAGGTGAGCAGTTTGCGGGTGCCAGTGTACTTCAGGTACTCAATGATGTGGTGTGCATCAATGATCACATCCGGGACTTGTCCCAATGCGATTGTGGTGGTCAACCAGCGCTAGTTAGCAGGAATGTCAGAATGTGGCCACTGAAAATGATATTTAACAAGATTTACCTTCCATATGTTGAGGACACTTTTCTCTGTATTCTGTCTGCTTTTCTGGCGCGTGCCCATGATAAATTCATCAACCTTACAATGACTGTCAGTTGACATTGCAACTTCCAGGAAAATATGCACACTGACCCATGCTCTCACTGTGTTGATTGCATGCATGCGCTGGCCTGGTGGCGACAATCAGTGTGGCAAGGCCAGATGCACAAATCACAATGCTTACCACTCACATAAACCAGCAGCTTATCATCATCTTGACCATCAGGGGCATTTGCGCCAGTATCGTCAATATCATCTTCTACGTGGCCATTTTCACCACCATCAAATGCATCTTGAAATGAGCAAGCCAGCTGACTCACATTATGCGTGGCAAGGGTGTCAATCTCGTCAAGCCCCTGGGTAGAGACAGGCTCGGATGACTGGGTGTGGGCTGTGGGACTGCCAGGCTCAGCTGGCACAGGCACAGTGCTGATAATTGAGGGGGTAGATGATGTGAGGGCTGGATTGGGAGTGCTGCCAAGGAAATATGTGATGAAGGACAGGAAAAAAAAACAACTCCACATGCACATACCTTGGGTGTGCTGCAAGCCATGCAACAAGGTCAGCCTTCCTTCCTGGTGTGCTCAAGTTCTGCTTGTGGCACAACTGCTGGAGTTGCTTCACCGTCAATTTGGCACTGACAAATGTCCGTCATCAGTGTCAACGAGTTTTGGATGAAGGATCCACTGACCTGGTAGCACATTCTCCTCTGTCAGGTGAGGCAGCAGGGTTTTGAGACTCGCTGCGAGATGGCACAGTGTAGGGATTAACTGTGTGAGGTTGTTAGTACTAGTACATACAATGAAATTCCCCCCTGGAAAAAAACCCAAGCTCACCTCGTTGACAGGATGGCTGACTTCGCACAGGTCCGAGCGCCAGTGATGGCACACTGTGATTGGCCAGCACAAGTAAGGCGGGGTCAATAGTGTTGTTGTTGCAGTCAATATCCATTGCTAGTGGATGGGCAATGAACATAAATCTTGGTGTGAGATGATTTTCACGCCAATAATACTGGACTGATGGGCTTGAGATGGAGATGGCGACGACGGCAACGGCGATGATGACGACGAGGAAGTGGCGGGCAAGCAAACCAAAAGGTGGGATTCCCTTCCAAAAAAGGACATTTCCAGTCAATACCTGGGGAAACAGCCAGGTCATGTTTTGACCGTGATTTTGCCTGCCATCTTACGGTGCGCATTGGTTATAAACTCCTTGAAAACCACTGTGAAATTTATTAGAAAATGATATAACAATAGGATACAAAAAGCTCACCATCAGGCCCAAAGAAATTCGGGACAGATTCTTGGATGATCTCATCGATGAATCTTTTCTTTCATTTTCTAGAGCATGTCATAGCATGCTTTGAGAATACAAGCCGTGGGACCCTTCCTTTAGTGCCGTTCAGCGTCTGTTTAATCACCTCCAGTGTCAAATGAATGCGATTTTTAGGCAGTGATTTTGTCGTTCTGTGTCCAGAGTCACTGGGCGTATCATGCAGCTCAGCAACAAGACTGGGTTCTTGCACTCTGGTAGCGATAGTGGCTGTTTGTGGTGCGACATACGGTGTTGCAGGCATGTTGGTGCATCTGAGTGTGCGTGTCATTGTTGTCCTTGCAGGTCCTGTTGTCTGTGCATACTTTAAACCGGGATCAATGAAACGAATAAAAAAACTTACATGTACTACTTCAGAGGTAGGTATTTCCCCGTGACGGATCATTGACAGATCTGAAGCTGGAGGAATCAGACCATTGCCTCGATCTATGATACTGATACCTCCATCAGGGGCACCCTCGACCCATCGAGACACAGGCGCGATGCCTTGTCAGTAGTTGGAAGGACCTGCGTCGAGTGGGGCATCTCGGACATTGTAGTAGTCCTGTCCATCAGTGTGTGAAGACGCGCCCTGTGAGTCTCCATAAAATTGCTGCTCCTGCTCCTGCATGTTTCCAAACAATGACAGGCCCCCTGCATTTTCGTAAATTGACGGCCCCTGTGCATCTCCATAAAATTGCTGCTCTGCTCTTGCATGTTTCCAAACGACAATGGGCCCTGTGCGTCTCCAAACGATGTTGCACCCTGTGAGTAAAACAACGGCCCCTGCTCCTGCCCATCTCCAAATGACGACGGGCCCTGTGAGTAAAATGAAGGTCCCTGCTCCTGCCCGCCTTCAAATGAGCCATACAATGACTAGCCTTGAGTGTCATCATAGGCCTGTTGCGGCGCACCTGCGTGACTTATTAGTGATCAGTAGACTTGATCCTCCATGTACTCACCTGGCCACCCTGGTACAGTCTGCCCATAGGGATCAAAATCAAATGCTGACATTTGAGGTCGTTCTGCGGGGAGATTGAGTTGGTCAGCGACTGGCAAACCAGACAGATTGAGGCCTGATCCCCTGGCTGGCTTAGGGACGACAGCTTTTCCCTTGCACTGTGAGCCACTGTCACGAGTACCTTTAACAAACCATTATTCTTTCTTGAATCTTCCTAAGCGTCAATACACAGCGCCTAAATCAAACCCTAACCCTATCTTGAAAGCGTCTATCATTCCTGAAATACCTTTAGCGCCCACAACACGTGTCTTTGATGTGACTGATGAAGAAGAAGAGTTCTTTGATTGTGAATAGATTAGATTAGATATGATAAGATAAGATATGGTCATGTGATGCTTCTTTAATATTCTACGATGTTCTATGGTACGATTCCCTTTCTCTTTTTATGATTGGCTAGTAGTTGTAACTCAGATTCAATCTCCGTTTCAATAGTTGTATATAGGTAGCATGTCTTGGTCGATAATTCCTTAGTTCAAACCTCTTGTATCTACAACTGTAGCAATCCAAGATGTACTTGCTCATCGTTCTCTCCGTCCAATAACCTTTGTTTGAGTCCTAGTCTCTGCCCAGCGTTAATTCGTTATTGGGTTGTGACAGCCACATCCACTTGGCATCCAGGTGGTGGTCGAGAAGAAGTCGCACATCAAAGATGATGTGCGCTGCTTGATTCATTTCCATCTTACATGACGAATAGTAAGACACCAACTTGATACATAGATATACAGACTGGGGAAAATGAAACACATGAAGGTCAAAAAAGGAAATTTATAGAAAAAACTACCAGAGGGGTCAAAGCGTGTTGATTGAGTTTGAATGGATGATGGGGAAAAGGAAGTGTTCTAAAAGTAAACTGAATTGAAGGGTAAAGGGCGGTGTTTCAAGAAGGGCGAGAAGCAACATATGAATGGGGTGATCTGAAATGGCGGGCACTTATCTACTGCGATATGGATCAGTGTGAGGCAAAATGACCTGACAATGACAAGGACAATTACATACCATGACTCGAAGGGCATAAGTACATATCAGGAAAGATTGGACGTTTGCAACTACCCATCAATTTGATCATCGTTATCATCATCCATGCTATCGTCTGTACCAGAGGATTTACCGACAAATCGGGGCAAGTGGGAAGACTCTCCCATGGAACCCAATATATCTGCTTGGACACATGATCCTAAATGCTTTTTGAGAACATCCACTTGGGCAGCTACAGCCCGAAGTATCTTGCAATCGTCGTCATAAATGGCTTGAAGGTAGTTGATATCATTCTCAAGTTCTTCTTGTGACCGGTCAGAAAAAACTGCTTCTGATCCGTTTCAACTCTTCATCACTGGAAAGGAGGCAATCCTTGTTCTCACAATGAAGTCCATTGAGAAATGTTGTGTACTGTTCTGATGCCTCGAGCTCCCATGTCGTCATCACAAGATGTTGGCGTGCAGCTTCTCGGCCAGCGAGCTTGGATTTGAACAATTCAGTACAAAGTCGCAAGGCTCAAGTGCAAGAAGCCTTTGGAAATTGCTTCCTCTCGCTTTTGACCTATGAATTAATCTGCAGAAATATTTAATGATGAGGAACATACCTCGTGAATTTCTTCAGCCGTGAATTCTGGTTTAAATCCTTGCCCTGATACATGAGCTGCAAATTGAAGCTCCAGTGGAGCTGGACGGGAAGTGTATGGAATACTTTTCTTTGACATTCGCTCAATTAGATGCTGACCACGATGGGGAGGAGATACAGAGATTTTGGTGTGAGGCTTTCCAGGCTGCCAGGAAGAAGATTTGAGGTGAGAGTGCAAAGGAGATTTAAGGTGTCTGTACAATATGCTCCGCCTTGCATTCGGAGACTTTGGAGACTTGGGTACATTATACAATATACTCTGCCTTGCCTCATGGGGTTGAGGCACCTCATCAACTGGGGAGAGGGGAACACTGGGAGAACCTGCATCAGAACCAGAGCCTATGTCAGACATCATCAAATGAGGAGAGTTCAAATAATTTGTCTTCTTATAAAAATCAAATGAGATTGGTTCAACCCGAGTTGCAGAACTCAAGTTAGTGGGGGCAGGACTGCTTGATCGAGGAGGAGAGGCGATAGGAGATGAAGGCGCAAATTCCATCATCTGCTGGGCAACTTACTACTGCAGGCTGTAGTATGGCATAGAGATGCGTAGTCTGCAGACTTTGAAAGACTTGTCAATTCCAACTGCAAATTATACACTGAGGGCAAAGTCAAAGCTATACTACAATGTGAGTATCTTCTGTTGGCTCCATTATGATACTGATGTGCACATATGTCTAGCATGTTATGTCCCAACTGCAATTTGGGAGATTTTTCATCCATCGAGGTGCTTATCCTGCATCTTAATTCTGAGTCTACCTGTTGGCCATCCAAAGTGCGACCACAGGACTTACCTGTCCCTCCTGTATTCCGTCGATGTGGAAGCGATCAAATGCCTGCCACTGGTACTTGTTATCCAAAAACTGGATACATCTTTGGCGTCAGCAGAAATATGCTCGATAGGTTGGAAGATGATCCATACGTGTATTGGCGGAAGATAAACCGTTACTACCCTTTCCAAGATGAAGGCAAATGGGAGTTAGGGAAGTTCTTGGTTGAAAATCTAACCCAAACCCAAATGATCAAGTTCCTGAAATTGAAATGGGTAAATGTCCAAGCTACATCTACAACTCTTATTCAAGTTCTTTTGCAGTTTAACACTTGTGAACAACCATCTTTCACTATGAAAGACCAACTATTAGACTGGATGGACTCACTCCCTTGTTTTATGGAGTGGAAAGTATCCAAAATTGAGTTTTCGGGCTATAAGACAGTCCATCCTGTTGAGCCCATTTGGTGTGATGCCCTAGAGGTCGTCAAACAACTCTTTGGGGACCTGATCTTTGTGAATCATATGTCCTATACTCCTCACATCATTAATGTTGGAAACCAGCGTGAATATGGAGATTATATGAGCACTGATATGGCATGGAAAATTCAGGTTGGCTCACTCTGTCAGTCTATTCCTTGCTCAACCACAGATTGACTTTGTGAATTTCTAGGACTATCTCCCTGTCAGTGCAACTCAAGTGCCGATCATTTTGGGATCCAATAAAATGCATGTAACGCGAATCACTGGAGGACTCGAAATGCACCCAGTCTTCATTACTATCGGCAACATTGATTCAGAGGTTCGCTCCAAGGCAACCTTACGAGCTTGGTGATGTATTGCTTATATGCCAATCACAAAGTTCTGCATGCACCCGGACTATCAAAGTATTCTACAGGTGCGGCTATGGCATAAGTGCATGGATCTTGTTCTTGCTAATCTCAAGGCTGCAGCGGCAGATGGATGTTTCATGCCTGACCCTTCCCGACACATTCGTTACGTTTTTACACCACTTGTCGCTCATGTATGCGACCTGCCAAAGGCTTCTATGATTGCTGCAGCTGCAAAAAATGCATCCCCGTGACTTTGGCAGTGCAACAGGATTTTGGCGATGGAACCCTCCATCCCCCCCATACTGGAAAGCATATGCTGCAACTTCTTGTTGACGTATCCTGCCAAGTTGATCCTTGGGATCTGGATAAATTTCAGAAAGTGGCCAAAGCTGTCAACCTGTCCGGAGTTCACATGCCATACTGGCACAATTGGCCCTATGTGTGTCTGTCTGTCTTCCTCACTGGTGAAATCCTTCGCTGACCACCCGCTCAAATGGACCAAGGAGGTTGTAGGTGCTCATGAACTTGATAACTGCTTCATCGTCCAGCATAAGCGGGTCGGCACACGTCACTTCACAAAAGGCATCACACATGTCAAGCAAATGATGGGCTGTGAATACAGAGAAATTCAACGCACCATCGTTGCATCAATCACAGGTGCTGCTCCACCCCAATTTTTTCGCTCAATCTGTGCCATCGTGGAGTTCATTTACCTCACACAGAATCCGGTTCACTCACCTGCAACACTTCAGTCAATGGAGCAGGCTCTTTCAGACTTCCATTCGTTCAAGGGCACTATTATCGAGGCCACAGCAAGGAAGGGGAAGAAGGGCGTCAAAGAGGATTTTTTTATTCCCAAACTCAAGCTACTGCAAAGCTTCAAGGGTACAGTTCAGTGATTAGGCACTTTGATGCAGTTCTCGGCCGATACAACAGAGCGCTTGCTGATCACACATTATAAGGATCTTTTCTCCCGGATGTCTCGCCAAAGCAAAGACTTCATGGAGCAGTGCGTGCAGCTTCTTAACTGCCAAAAATCCATGGAAGTTTTCGACCTGTATGCCCTATCGGCTTCTTGTGGGGTGCCATTGGTCAATGCCATGCATGCCAAGGAGGAGGTTGCGATAACTAACCCTGCACTCTCATGGGTTTCCTGTGTTCTCCCCAATGAAGTCAAGTCGGTTCATGGTCCCTGACCAGTTCGTAACCATTTCCTTAAAGGCATCCTCTCTGGAGACGCGCGGACCGCTTTTCAAGTGAATGTCACTCCAGACTACAGATCAATGTCGCCAACTGAAATATGCACAAAATACACGCTCCCCAACTTCAATTGTGCACTCACCAACTTTATCACGCATTCATCATCGTCCAGTGGCGAACATGCCTGCTGGGACCCCAGATATGGGTGCTACCATGCTTGGAACAAATTTCGGCTGCAACTTCATTCAGCCTTCCAGCAACGCATCATCATGCCAAGCAGAGTCATGCAAGTGCACCTGCCAAGTGATGATTTTCCCTTTGGCAATTGTGACACTGTTCTCATCGACGCCATGGGAATTAATGGCGAAACAAGTATGTATATTCTATGCGCCTACATTCTAGCACTATTAATATCATATACAGCAAGTCATGTTGCACAGGTTCGACTGGTTTTTCAACCGGTGGCTCGATGAGGCTCCAATCTAGAACTACCATCTTATCTATCCAACCCACTTCTCTACATTGAATTTTTCCACTTCATTTCCAGTCCTGATGACCAGCCTGAACTTGTGATGTGGACTGTTGAGTGCACATACATGCAGGATCAAAATGGCAACCGTCATAGAGAGGGGGCTGTTGTACGAGTGACGGATGTAACACTTGCAGTTGAACTCATACCATGTTTCGGTGAGAAAGTGGCTGGTGATGTTTCATCAGCCACTTGTTTGGAACGTTTCAAGTGTTTCTTTCTGAACAACTTTGCGGACAAAGAAAGCTACCATACATTTAGTACTGAATTTGTGTAGATAGCGGCTCGATTAGCTTGATCAATTGTATTGCCCATCTATCGCATCTTATCAACAAAAGATAATCGGATTTATGTTTCATCAGCCAGATGCGGTGAGTAATATTGGTGTTCAGCATCTCCACCAATCGCGTGAGTTCGCTAGTGAGGTCGTAAGCGTTCGTAAGTGTCCGTAACGCGCGTAAGCTAAGCGTTCATTTCAGTCGTTTTGCAGATGTTGAAACTCAAACTCGGAAATTGGACACGTAATTGCCCAGCAGCATATTCTATCGCAGGATAAGCATCAAAGCCGCGTGTTTTGATTTTCTGTCCAGCCGAAGGATGTAGCAAATCCAAGTCTTACTACTAGGCCTGCCCAGTGTGATTCCTATTCGTTGTCCATTGTTTGGTTCGACTAATGTCGTGATTCGCATCTATGCCATTCCTACCCCGCTAAGCTTATGATAAATCAGGCTTAGTAACTGGCCATGCCTCCATGGCTCAGTGTTTAAGAATATAACGAGGTTTCGGCTTCTCTTGCTACAACTCACCTAGTACAAGATGGTGAGCCTGGATCTCTAGCTTGAAATTTTCACCGGGAATAAAATTTCCATAAGACGGCTATAAATTCGCAGATCTGCGTGCACGACCCTCGCCACCGACCGCCATCTCCCACACATCATGCAGGGTTTCACTGGGACTGGATGCCGATGTCGCAATGATAGGCCATCCAAGAGTCGATGCATCTTTTTGCTGTAATTTCCGTGCATCATAGATCACCCAGATCGCTATTTTTCTCATCGCATACTCTTGTATACCATAGAGCGACCACACACAGGGCTCCACAAGGAAACCGAATTGCGATGACCGGTGCATAGCATGGAAGATTGTTGATGCAAGCCTTCAAATCTGCGCTGTCAAGGATTTAACCGCTCAATCCAATTTCGATGTCGTGCAGGACAATGCCGGGAGGACTATAAGAATCTGCTGCTGTAATCTCAGTCTCCATCATCATCTCAAGTTCGCTAGCTATGTTGTCTATCTTCGCTTTACCTCTTCTTGCTCTGTCCGCTGTAAGCACAACGCCCCCTGCCCACTCCACATCCCCCGTTCTAGGAGCTTGGTATGCTAGCTGGCATGCTACTCAAGGATTCCCGCTGTCTTCAGTCAGCTGGGGTAAGTACAATACATTGTACTACTCATTTGTGTAAGTCTCCTGTTATCGGATTAAATGCACATCGCTTTGGTGGGGTGATTAACGCAATAATGTCTTTCAGAATCCCCACTTCGAACGTTAAAAAACTGAGCCTGGACGGCCTTAATGGCGATCTACTTCGTCAGTTCGTTTCTGACGCCCATTCACATGTAAGTCAAGGAGATGTTACAGTTTGTAAAACTGATGTTTAAGGCATGTGCAGGATGTCGCAGCTCATGTTGCTCTTGGAGGCTGGCTTGGGAGTGTTTGGTTCTCTTCTAGTATTGCCACATCTAAAAACCGGACGGCATTTGTGAAGACCGTGACAGATTTTGCTCATGAGTACAAGATCGATGGTGTCCAGTTCGAGTAGGTTGACACTTGTAGCTTTAAACTCATGCGCTGAACTCAACTGTCAACAGCTGGGAGTATCCCGGCAGGCAGGGTGTTGGTTGCAATACCATTAGCGTCGATGACACCGCCAATTATCTTAAATTTCTCCAGGAGCTTCGCCAAAACACAGTGGGAGCAAGTTTGACAGTTTCAGCTGCTGTTTCCCTTGCACCCTTCACAGACGCTAGCGGGCATCCTTCTGCTGACCTCTCCGGTTTTGCGCAGGTCTTCGACTACATCACCTTGATGAACTACGATGTTTGGGGCTCTTGGTCCAAGCATGTGGGGCCAAACGCACCATTAAACGATACCTGCGCCCAGTCTGCAAACAAAGAGGGCTCGGCGATTGCTGCAGTTAAGGCTTGGACTGCCGCAGGTATTCCGGTCGGCAAGATCGTGCTTGGAGTTGCTTCCTACGGCCACTCATTCAGCGTATCTCCTTCTGCCGCCTTCAAGTCTGGCACAAAGACACTAGCCAAATACCCTGTTTTCGACGCCTCGAAGCAGCCCTTGGGTGACAAGTGGGATGACACTAGTAGTGTCGATGTCTGCCATGTAAGCCATGGCCCAGGGGGCACTTGGAGACTTTGGGGCCTCGTGGACGGCGGCTTCCTTACCAAGGAAGCCAAGCCTGCTGATGGCATTTACTACAGATATGATGAATGCAGTCAGACTGTAAGATTTCCATCTTTGATCACGTATCATAGCGGTAGTATTGATTTCACTGCTTTACAGCCATTTGTATACAATGAGAAATCGCAAGTTATGATCTCATTCGACAATCCCGATTCTTTCGCTGCCAAGGGCAAGTTTATTAAGGATACTGGGCTGCGTGGTTTCACGATGTGGGAGGCTGGTGGTGATTACAAAGATATGCTCCTAGACTCTATCAGGAAAGCTATAGGGTATTAATACGCTGCTGATGCCATCCTTCTGCATTCTTCCAGTCGCTAATAGAATGTATTACATAGACTACATGACACTCGCTTGAGATCCCCGGAAGCTCTTCTATATGCATGTCTGCCCTGCAACTCCATTCTGCCAGTGGGCCTCAAATCTGCTATTCCGGACTGATATGTCATACATCACACGGTATGTGACACCAGATCTCGGACCAGCTTGGTCGCAAATTGGAGCAAGGCTGGATGTATCGAAATTGATGAACAATAGTCCGATTTTGAATATATCAATACGCATAACATTATAGGCTGAGGCCCTAAGCAAACGCCAACTATGAATTTAGTAACAGTAAAACACACCATTCGCGATTCCACCAACTGGGAGAGAAGAAAGCATTTTCGTGGTAGGCTTGGTCTCGAGTATGTGTAGGTCCGAGTGTAAGTTCATGAAGCCATGAATCTACAAAAGCTAGCATTAAAAAATAAGAGGTGACACCTGTGGCGTCAACGGAGATATGATACACTTGGGCGGCAAGAAAGAACTATAACACTGGCTGGCAGAACTTACTCATTTGAAAATCATCGGGAAAGCGGGTTGCCTCTATGAATCCATAACGCCAGCAACTTGTTCTCATGAAGCCACGTCTAGAGGAATCGCATTGTTCCATCGGACGCACAGTGGCGGATGCTGGCTGACCATGACCCGTCCCTACATCAGGGAAAACTCCGGATTTTGCCAAACGCCCATAATTGTGTTGCAACTAGCGCGCGCACAATCGCCTACGAGCGGTTGCCATTCCGGGGCTTTTCCTGATAGGCTTGCCGTGTATGAAAGCGAAGCGATGATTTCCAGTTCAGTAACAAAGAACATTATGCAGACCTATCCTCATTCCAGCGCTCACGAAGTTCAGGGAGATATTGAAGGAACGGGTGGGGGCCACTTAAACAAGTCACAGGAACGAGGATCCGACGCCGGAAAATGGCCGGGGAAGAAGAAAACGGTAGCGCTTTGTGCCTGGAGCGGGTCGTTTAGCCTATTGATTATAGCAATGATGTCTTTTAGCATCTCAGTGGAAAAGACCTAGCCATCATGTAAGTCAGCAATGGGCTACAAATGACACATAGGTTAGGTATGACTTGTGAATTAATTCCAACAAAAATAAATACAGTGGCGACTGTAACCAACCACCAGTCAACAAACTTGAACTAACGTTCAAGTCGCGGATGATATGATATGCAGAAAAGTTGCCGACCATGCTATCTCCGTTTCATCAAGTCCAACAATGTGGTAAGTGCACTCCTAGTCTTGCGAGGTTCCGGGGAAGGAAGTTCCCTCACGAATATGTCGGAACCCACGGAAGACGTTTCCCCGTGTCTCGTCCACTTTCGAACCACGTCCACCAAGCGCTTCTCGGCCCATCGCATTATCATGCTTTCTTTTTGCCAGACACCATCCGTCCAGATGGCAAGAGGGCCGCCAATCCTTGCACGAGCGGGTGCATCACTCGAAGATGAGGGGAAGCCAGAGCACATTCTGTTTGCCATGGTCACATCCGTAAATATACGGTCTCCGACTATAACCAGTTCATTGTCCGGGATTGGAACGTGAAGAGACGAAAAGTAGGTGCGTATCGAAGTAATGCAGGAATAACCAGGCTTAAGAGTGTCGTGTCGGAGAACCGGGACAGAGAGGTGATATGACACGGATTCTGCCTGTGTATGTTCAACTTCTGACCATGTTTGACAAATGTTGGCCATACCTGGATTCCTCCGGCGTCAAATTTGGTGCCAGCAGAGTTGCTAACGATGATTACGTTTTCCTCTCCGAATGCCTCACGACATTCCCTCCAGGCATCCTGCAAAAGAAGTTCTCAACACGGACTTCTATTTATGACCCTTTTAACTTACCTTGAGCTGTGGCACAAGGGTGTCTTTATACGGGATCGTCTGTTGTGTGTTCAGAAAAATAGAGACACCAAGAATCTCTTGACCAACCAAGCAATTGTCTTTATCAAAGACTGCTCCTCTGTAACCTGCATTTCGAAGTGCCAAAAAATCAATTTGACGAATATCTGTCTGTGGTTTAGCGTTAGTTGTAGCTATGAGTACAAAAACCCAGGGCGACCTTTTACTGTTACATGGGGAATGACAAGTCTTGGATTTTTGAGCAGGTGAAATGGAACAAGAATGCCTGGGATGTTCAAGGGCATCGATAGAAAAGGTGAAAAGACGGTCTCGCTTAGGCTAAGTACCATAAAAGCTATGTAACATTTCCTGATACGCGGCAAATGCCGTGGACTGCCCAACCTTGAAGTTCATCTCTAGCAACATTAGGATCTGTCAAGTTTAGCACCGTTCTAAGAAAAATGGACGACGACTTTGATTTTGACCGCGCAGCCTCCGCCTTTCCTGATATTGACCTGGACGGGCAGGGTGACGTACCCTTGCCACCAGCCCCCGCTGCCAGCAGTGGCTTCTCATTTGATGATTTCGGGAGTCCACTGGCACAGACCGAAGTGAAGGTCACAGGCGATGATGAGATTGAGAAGTTCGAGGATCAGTTTCCAGAGCTGAACATCGGGCAGGTAAGTAGTGTTCATAGGTCATCGCACTGTATTAAGGTGCCTGTTTGCTTGCGTAGTCTGTTTCTTCTCCCGCACACACCCTGCCCACTTTTGGTGCTCCTCCTCCATTTGCTCCTCGCCCACAGCCATCAGCATTTTCATCTACACCCATCCTCAACCAGCAACTTGATGAGGATGAGCCTGAAGTTATCAGGTACATCGCCAAATTGTTATATACGAACTTCATCGCTGACAGTTGTCTACCAAAGGAAATGGCGCGAGAACCAGTTAGAAGAAATCCAGGCTCGCTGATGAAGCCAGTAAGGCCAAACGCCAACAAACTATTGGGAAGGCGGAACATGCTATTGACCAATTCTATGAGGAATACGCAGCAAAGAAGGAGCGAACTATCCGCGAAAATAAGTCAGTTAAACCTTAGGCCAACTAGACGAGTTCCACTGATGGATTTTTCAAAGGGACGAGGAAGCAGATTTCCTAGAGTCACTATCTTCATCTCTCACCAAAGGGACGACTTGGGAGCGTATTTGCGAGATCGTGGAGCTGCAAAATTCCCAGAGCAAAACAATTGCAAGAGCTGGTCCTGGCACCACTGACCTTTCGCGGTTCAAAGAAGTGCTGTTGCGCCTGAAGCGCGAGGGAACTGCTGCTCCCGGCGCAGCTGGTTATTAGATAGACATTACGTGTTTCTACATGTATATACCTTTTGTTTTAATTTTCTGGACTTTCTTTCCTCCTGATACTGAAAGCACAGACGAAACATTAAGAGCCGCATAATATCCTCAGAGCCTGGATGGAATATTGGAATACAGGTGTGCCTCCACCCAGGTAATACACTCCTCCATGAGTCTCTCCTTCACGCCATCTGGTTCATTGTGAAGTTCATGATAGCCACCCTGTTGAAACATAAGCCTGCAGTTCGCAGCCGTGACATCGCAATTGCTTACTTTGTAAATGGATATTTTCTTATCCTTTGCTGGTACTCGTTGGTGAAATAGCTCAGAGGCTTTAGCAGAGGTTACCTGCGACATGTCAGAGCTCCTTAGGATGGAGTATTCTGCAGGATGCGAACCTTGTCATCCGAACCATGTATGAAGAGGACCTGATGGCATTGGTGAATGGTACAAAAAGGTAATCGACTGAAACAACTTACAGGAAGGTCTGTGGGCCAACGAGCGTAATCAGTGTGCAAGAGGTGCTCGCCCTGAGAACTAGAAGTGAAACGTCAAACAGAAAGATAGATTGATGAATTACCCCGTCTAACATGTCGCTTATTCCACGAAGCGACCCAACTTGCTTAACCATAGGATCTTTCGCATATTCCTCGCCGACAGTCTTGTCATGCGACAAATCCTACGGCAGTACGATTAGCCATCCATGTCAGCAAGGAGAAAAGGTTGTGAGCACCTGACCCTTGACGTCAGATGGAATAGTAAGCCAAGGCGCTAGTAGGCTAGCCTTCCCACCTATCCATCTTGCAGCTTTAGCAGCTGGCTTCGCTTGAAGTATGAGGGGGCTAGTGCAAATCACGCCCGCCAAGCCTGTTACTGTTTCCCTTGCAGGGGGACTACTTGCCCTGGTACAAAATGCAAGCGCCAATGCTCCACCCTAGAGTGTACGTGTCATCTTGTCTGACGTTCAAGATATTTGATTCATACCATTGAATGCCCATACAGAAACACGGGAATGGAACCGAATTCGCTCTTCGCGTGGTTTATAGCCCACTCGATGTCTTGGAATTGTTCCTTCCAGCTCGTCTTCGCATACGAGCTATCCTTGCTCTTCTTCTGCGCGTCTAAGGCCGTCCTGCCAAATCCACGCTGATCATACGCAAAGACAGCTATGCCACGCGCGGACCAAGTAGGAAACACATGCTCATACCGAGCGATGTGCTCGATGAAACCGTGCACGAAAACTACAACAGCTTTTGTGGTGGAAGCTGGGCGATGCGTGCGAGTATAGAATTGCGTGTGCTGTGGACCAATTAGCCATGACTCCGAGAAAGCTGTCATTATCTGCAAGAAGAATTCCAGGACTTCCAGCTGGCGGCTTAAAGGAGATCCCGGACCTTGTATATATGCTGTTTGTTGATATTTGCCTGTCTCTGCGCTATGGCTACTAGTTCATCATCATATCATTCTGTTGATGCCTTGACTCGTTCGGTAATTTCAGATCAAGAACTTCCTGATGATGATGAAAGGTCTGTTGTGTTTTATGGAAGTATTTTGGGGATTCGAATTCGTTTGCAATGAACCAGTTTTCCCGGGTTTTTTCTGCTGGTCACTGCCAGCATCAGGGAAACATAATTTGCCAGAGTGCTCTCGGTAGCACTCTGTGGCACCCTGTGTGTAGTGCAATCCATCCCGCTGATCTGAGGGGCTGATTCTGTCAGTGGGTACCTTTACCCACTACGCTATTCTGTTGCTCTCCAGTCGTCCTCATTATTCCTGATGAAGAACTTTCAGATGACGGAAGCTCTATTGTGTCAATGTGCGTTTTACGCGAATATTTTAATTAGGGAACTACATGGGTAATCCCCCAGGTGTGGGAGGTCGTACTACCCCGTACCCGTGCAGGGTTTACCCTCAGGTAGCACATGAAAATGATATACAATTGGATATTCAAATAATGCAACTAATAAGATACATACCTACGAGCGCATGACAATGAAGTGAAGCAGTGCAACTTCGGAGCATTGAGCGAAAAGACCGCCGGGAGCACGAAATTGCCGAGAGATCGGAGCTCAAACGTTGAAATTCAGGTTGCAGGGTATACGATGGAGACATGGCAGGATGTGAAAATGGGTTTGAGGGTAGGAGACTGATTTCGCAAACACCAAGCCATAAGCACAATGAGCAGCGAGCGAACACAATATACTTACGAATGAATAAACAAACAAAAAAGACACAAGGTGGCGTGTAGACGTCGTGGTGTGGTTGCTGGAAGAAACTAAGAGAAAGGGGCACGGGTGAAAAGGGTCGCACGTGAGCATCCCTGGAGTGAATGTGAGTAGATTTGCACACCTGAATAATAGAGAACGAAGAGGAGACAGGACTTACCGTCCTGTAACACGGCACACCCCTTACCTGTCTCAGCACCCTCCTTGCGAGCTCTACAAATTCTCCCTCCTTTCCAACCAGTGCAGCCTCAGTCCCCACGCGTCCTCTTTTCTATGCCCTTCTACCCACAGTACATTATCTGCTTCTTGTCATCCATGCATTATATGTGGCAGCGGTAGTGGGGACCGTGCAAGACAGCGCTATGAGCAGAGGCAGGTTTGCAGCGTGCGTCATACTAGCAAGTAAAGTTGGGTCGAGGAAGAGGAGGGGTCTATGACAAGTAAGTGAACCCACATCAAGTTAGTGTGGAGCAAACCGCATGGCTCTGAACATTTTGCACTCCTCCCCCGCTACTTCAAGACTATGCTTGCTTGAGGGTAAAGGAACCACCCAATGCAAATTCGAGCTCCGAAATTAGTGTCCAGACGTAGTAGAGTTTACCTGCAAGATCGTTCATGTACAGGCTTAGCCCTGTCATGCCTGCCATCGGTTCCATGGCCTTCTGCAGGTCAACCCTATGAAGCGAGATGATGAAAGTGGTATCGCCGTCAGGAGCGGGTCAGCGATGCCATCGTAAGGGACGTGCAGTTTCTGCGCACAAGCAACTTCAAGACTTGGTACTCCTCATACGTTGGCAAATAGATACCTTTACACACAGGTCCTACAAGCGCCCTCGATGTGTTCTTCAGCCACCGTCTCCAAATTTGTCCAGCAACATTAAGGCAAGTCGCAACCTCACCGTTAGAAATTGCTGTGGAGTTGCCATCGGCTCAAGAAGTGTAAACACTGAGGGTCCTGAAGAGATCTAGTTTCGACGCGTGACCTATGTGGGACTTATTCAAAGCCAAAAAAACTCACTAGACCCTCGGCCCTCATCGTCGCCCATCGAGGGCCGCGCCAACGTTACTCGCCACCACAACAAGCATTAACAAACCTAGTGGAATCAAGGTGATTCATCCCCGCCCGCGCAATTGCGACTCCTTCGTTAGCTGCTGGAGGTGTGCGAGAGCCACCAGTGAAAGCTTTGGAAACAGCCGCATTCAAGTGGTTTGTTGAACGAGAGAGGTAGAGAGCCTCAAGCATAGAAAGCGCACGCTCAGAGGACGGGAACAGTCTCTGGTCTGAAATTTCATGTATGATGTCATATTTCATGAGAAGAGGAAGACCTACGATTGCTGGGATTACGTGTAGACCGTGTTGGTATGTACTGCAATTTTGACAAAGAACCTGCGGAAGAGACGCAAGAGCCTGAGGTAACCAGCGCTAAGAATTTGTTGAAGGAAGGTTGATCCTGGTTATGACACTTCAGTGGCATATGATGGCACAAATGACTTAAACAAACCTCTTGGCAGCGTCACGAGCGTTTTTCTAAAGCGGGCGTCCCAGCGAAGTCCAGACTGCAGAACAAGGTTTGTTCTCTAGAACCTTCAAGGACTTATCAGTCATGTATTTATGTACAAGGAAGGCACCTTCATTACTTCGTCAAGTAATAATCTTTGGGTTTTCTGGCATCCTTCTTCAATCTCAGAGCCTTCTGGAGGTCATACGAGCGAGATAAATCTTCGTAGAAGGCAATTACCGAGAAAGTTCTTCCGAGTCTGCTATACGGCCCAGCCACTGATGTGGTTGGTTAATTCTGCTGCTCCGCCGCGGTTGCTGCCACTGCCGATGACGATCATACGACACGAGCTAGTACTAGAGGCTAATGCACGGATTTTTAAGCCCATTTCCATCTCTTTCCTCTGCGTGTTGGTGCATGTCCGCGGTCTTCGCAGTAAGACTGTGTCAGGCTATATTTCAACAAAGGGTCCTGGGATGCCCGCTGGTGGTATGATGCATCAGATGAGTGCAACACTTTTCATCACACATTATGTAATGCCGAATTAGGAACGTTTACTAGTGGTGGCAAGTCGGCAACTCCTTGCTTGCGTTGACGCGCCCGCAGCCCTTTGCCAAGAGTACTTATGGAGATTTTCCCCACAAGGCCTCTCAATTTGCATTAATGAGGACTCCCATCGCAGTGTGTCGACCAAGAGTTGAATATTACCACGTTCTGGCCAAGTCGAACGCAGTGGCAGAACGGTGAACCCACATTCATAAGTCCCCTACCTCCGGCATATGAATGTGGGTTTATCGATCACACACTCAAAGACCAGTGCAGACCCGGGTGACTGTAGCGTATAGCATATTCAATTTTTCCGATCATCATGACACTACTTGGAGTCCATGCAACCGCATTACTGGAACGGTTACGCATCAAACGAAGGGGACATCGAATAAATTCTTCGTTACGCCGGCCGGACTGCAGGGCACCCATTTGGTATTATTTTCATCATGCGAACGATATGAATGCCACATCCTTCCAAGTTACGTTCAACACAATGCATATCCCATTCTGGACAGCATTAGTGGGTGGGCTCTTTTCGGTAGGGAGAGCTGCCCCAAATACAGGTGGTTTATCATGTACCGTCACAGCGAGCAGCGGAGACGATGGACCGGCATTCGTGGATGCTGTTCAACGTTGTGACTCAGTGACAATTCCTCGTGAAACCACTCTTTCGATAGCAACAAGGATGGATATGACTGGATTGAAGGATAAGAACATTGTATGTACTATGTTTTATCATGTTGCACTGGCAATCTCACATAGTGGGTTGCAGAATCTGTTGGGAACCGTGAAATTCACAAGCAATATGTCATATTGGATTAACGTATGTGTTGGGAATTGCAATGCGCTATCTGTTAATCCCTCGCCTTAGAACGGTTTTCCATTTGAGTTCCAGGACCAAATTGCCTTTTGGATTGTAGGTGGAAAAAACATCCATATCAATGGTGGTGGAACAATAGATGGTTCGGGTCAGGTATGCTAATCAATGCATAGGGTCTATGTGCTGCTAATTTTACAACCTGCAGGTCTGGTACGACGCATTGTGAGCAGGACTTGGAGTAGTCTGGATGTAACATTCGGTTGACTCTGCACTCAGTGCCACTAACAGCACTCTCTTGCGCCCGATCCTGCTCACGGTTTACCAAGCTACTGATATTTCCATTAAAAATATTACGATGATCAACAGCCCTGAGTGGTTCAATTTTGTGAGCATTTCAGAGTTTACTCAATCTTCGGCTTCACCAGTTTACCCCCACGGTAGGTCAATGAAGGGCAAAATGTCATCTACGATGGCATCAACATTACTGCTCTTTCCACATCAAACAACCTTGCGAAGAATACTGATGGCTGGGATATATATCGCAGTGATAGCGTTTCCATCATGAATTCGAACATCAACAACGGCGATGATTGTGTCTCATTAAAACCAAGTACCATCTATTCTCGCCAGGGCTTAATGGTTCGCTCATATAGTCTTTGTCTTAGATTCAACAAATATTATTGCATCAGACTTAATCTGCAACGGTTCCCAGTTCGTAGAAGCTTTCTTTGGACGTGATGCGCACCTGCTCACATCCTGTCGACAGTGGTATTTCCGTGGGCTCCCTCGGGCAGTATTCCGGGGTATATGACATCATTGAAAACTTCACTTCAACGTGCGTTTGAACATGGACTTCGATAATAGCCAGGAGAACTGATCGAGAGCTCTCAGCAATGTCCAAATGTATAATGCCCAAAATGGTGCGCGCATTAAAGCCTTCGCCGGTGCGGGGGTTGGCAGTGGCATTGTGAAGAATATTAGTTTTAGCTTCTTCACCGAGGGCAACGTCGACAACCCATTGATCGTTAATCAGGTTCGCAATCATCTTGTCACGATTTGCAAGAGACTAATCGATTGTTATGCAGTGTTACATGACTGACACAACAGAATGTGCTGCACACCCTTCCAACGTATATATTCAGGACGTTACATTTTCCAAGTGCGCACAAATGTTTCTGTCCTTTTCGTTGGAACTTACACAACTGTGGCCGAAGTTTCAAGGGCACTTCGTCTGGAAAAATGCAATCCGTGGTTGCTTCACTGGCATGCTCTCCGGACGCCCGCTGCAACAATATTAGTGTTAATGATATTTTCCTTGAGTACGTTCTTTTTCTTTTTCTTCTTCTTTGGATCAAGAAAATAATCAATCGCAAAGACCACCTCCACAAGATGGCCATGCGACCTACTCTTGCCAGAACGTGAATGTCACTGGAAACACCGCTCATTTGTTTGGTAACTGTGTAACTACCTAAATGCAATGGAGCACATACGTAGTCAGTGTCGTGGTTGTGGGCTTATGTGTAACAAGCTCGTAGTAGCACATGCAGTCTTCTCAAGCTTAAAATCTTGATTGTTTGAGTCTGTATCTATGTAAATAACTTTAAGAGTTTACATAACTTCTCTTCTCAAGTCGGACGTCTGGATCGTCGACAGCTGTGTACCACTGCACCAATGTCTCTCTTCCCCAGAATAAGATACATGAAAGCCTTGGTCCGCTGCAACCGATCTACTTTCACTGCACATCGTTCAAGGCACTTTTCCCTGTTCCCTGGCCGTGCTCAAGGAACCCATATACCAAAAGGCCAACCATTTTATGAACTCAAGAAGCCCAGTATCTTAATCAAGTTCACCTGGACACTTCTCATAGCTGATGCGGTCTGCACGTGAGTTTTCTGCTCTTGTGCATGCTAGTTTAACTTCAATGGCGTGCAGACTAGCAATGTGCGAGCTTTCCTGGAACCATTTTACGCGTCCTGTGGAACCCACCGAGTCCACAATATCCGATAACTCCAATACGATTGGCAATAAGCCGCAGTATGAACTCCGTCCGACATACCAGCGTGCTGGTCTGGTCTTTATGCATCTCGCGTTTGGAGGTTGGGTGGCATTTATGGTTGGCATGAAAAGTGGAATGAATGTAAAGAGGATATGGCTTACTCCACCACATATCACGTCGACCCGGAAAGCATTTGCGCGTCCAAAGGTCGCGACTTTTGAAGGCTTCGGCAGTTTTGGTCTACGGGGTGATGTACTGGACATGAAAAATTGCCGCTTATCCACTGCAGAACCCGCAAACGAACTGACATTGATTGTTACCACACCGGGGAATAAAATACAGCAACTTTCGCTCGCGACAAAAGGCGTTTATATTGATGGAAAGCCTGTTTCACGCGATGAAGTCTGCACTTCGCTCTCGCAAGTATTCGGAAATAAGAAGCCCGAACCTGCGTCCTGGATAAGTGGACCTATTCTAGATGCACAGGTATGCCGCATGCGTACCCCGTCAGTTGACAATCTGATGCTTATCTCGTTTAAAATAGAAATCATGATCAAACTTGAACTCGGGCAGGATGGAAACTCGAGAGCCTGCTGTTAGCCAGTCGCAGCTGACAGCTTACAACCCATACCCCCTCGACCAGATTGAGGCGATACAGTTATCGTAGCACGTCCTTATGTATCCACTAAGAGGTGTGTGCGTAATTAAGCAAACATGCCGCATCACTACTAGTCCAGCTTAAAACCGGTTCACGTTCACAGCAAGAGGGCTGCCTGAGTCTGGTTATATTCGCTTAACGTATGGGCAATGCATTATCCGAGTCTCGTGGCTGTGAACTCGTATATCGCACTCTTCAGTGAACGCGCAATGCTAGCTGCAGGACCCGAGCACGATCCCATATTGAAGATGAAGAAAGGCTCCCCTGATTCCCGCTCGAACTGCTCGGGCTGCCATGGTTGCTAGTTGTGTTACTGTTGGTGGACGGAGACCAATGCTTTGACCACGCTGTTAATCGTGGTGACGGTGGACATGATTTACGATTGATTGGTCTGTCCGTTGGAAGTTCTCGGGATAAGCAAATGATCACGCTTGCCACTATCCAATAGAGTCAGGACAATCAACTCATGGCCATCGAATGATTGACGATTGCGCTAGCCTGAAGTATCTGCTATACTATAAGCTGACCGTTCTGCGCATACGTCACTAGCAAATCTAATATATATATAACGTGTTTGTCTCTGCTACGAGTCTACGAGTGACTGCATATGCATGGCTGTTACAGCGCGGCATCTGCCGTGATGCACTTATTTCTCTGCCATCATGTCCGGCACTCAGTATATTCCTCACATACTATACTCAACAGCTTTGACCTCAATTTCTATGCACTCGCTGTGGCAGCGAAAAACAGCTGACGAAGACCGAGCAAGGCTCAAGGCTCAAACTTCCATTCTGCAAGACCTCATCGATCAACTTCGTTCGGGCAAGCCAATATCTGACGAAGAGATAAAGAAGTCGCGTAACCTTGCCTGTATACATGGAGAGGGAAAACAGTCTCTCGACAAGGACAAACCTAACATTGGATGGATGGATGTGTTATGGGGCCGAAAAACGCCTGCAGACCTTGGTGTTAGTGATGAATGGGAACGAAAAGACCTGGAGCAAAGTGAGTCACTCCTGCTATCACACACGACAGCCTGCTGATTACCCTGCCCAGTACGGAAAGAAATCGAGGCAGAGCATTGACTTTTTTGAGTTCCTTACTTGGTGAGTATCGTCCAAACGATTTCTACCTGTACACACAATATACACCGGACCAATAAATATACAGTGCATATGTGCGCCTACACGAACTTCTCCCTTTTAACATATGCAACATAAAATCTCGTGCGATTACTTTTCACCACGGGCGCATATTCCTATACCTGAATGGACGATTTTGTTGTGAATCAACGAGAGAAGCCCAATGTCTGCAGCGTACCCTAGGAGGAGGGTGTGCCTCCATTACTGTGCCGGCCATTCTGGGCAGATTCAGTAAACGCAGAGTTTGAACGTATGACAGCCACTTACTGCGTTGGATGTGCCTTTGACGTTGCCATTCTGCTTCTTCTTCCCTCCCGGAGTGGGATTTTGCAACGTCGGAACCGAGCTTCCCTTGGTGTCATTGACTCCATCTGCGGAACTCCCTTCAACAGGCTTCGATGGCTCAGTCGTTGAGGCCCTGGGGAGGTCAAAAATCTCGCATATGAATCTTTTGACGTCTTCATCCCCAGCGCTCGCACTCGTCGGAGAACGGCATCCGTCCTCTGCTGCCTTCTGCAACGCTCTTTCCCTCACCATGGTGAGCTTGAGAATTGTTTCAATGTCAAGCTTTGCAGCCTCTGAAAAAGGAGGGAGCGTGGGGCTCTTTGCCAATGTCGAGTATGATGGTATCAGAAGCTGGGCATCGATCTTGAAGTCGGAATAGATCTTGATCTTGTCGATGGGTTGTAGGTCGAGATTCTCGAGCTGACGGACGACCAGCTTTCGCACTTTGCGAAATCCCCACCGCGTTGCGAGCCTTAAGATCACCAGCCACTTCTCAAGCGGCTGGTTCTCATATTCAAAGTCTCTAAAAGGCCACAGATTTCAGTAATGACATCTGTGAGCATCGGGAGAGTGCGCTATGACTCACTCGTCGTAGAACACCCACAGGAAGTGGGCAAAATCTTCGGGTTTGACATCCAATGTATGATAAGGCTTGGTGTCGTTGTTATCGCTATCGGAAAATATGTCTCTGAAGGAAGTCGGTTCGCGTTCAAGGAAATAACGATGTACATTGAAAAGTACGTTTTGTGCCTGGAAACATCCAAACATTCATCAGCGCTTCATACCCACTTGGAGGGCCTCTCACTAAAAATTGGGTGTCCCCAGTGGGAATGAAATACTGAGGATGTTTGACGATTGCTGAGAAACCACTGGGTGTATCTGACATGATGTCGAAAGTGGCGTTCAGTAGGAAATCGATGATTGGGGGTAAACGGTGCTCGTATGCCGCTTGATCCAATTGTCGTTAATATTTATATACTTTGCGAGCGCTGGCGATGCTTCGAACTCCAGTATATCGATGCATCAGACATCAGATCAATGCAGTCCTAGCGACTACCGACGTAATGATATCACTCATTATTGCGTGAGCCTCGCCTACAGGTATGTACAATAAGAGTACAAGGGTCCAGCGATACTCGCACGGATCTCTGTCGCCGAAGAAGCTGATCACCCGAAGCAGCCCGAAGTTTACTAATGAGAGAGCGAACCAGGCCCACGAGGCTCCTCGAGGCAACAAGTTAACAAGACATACTTACGGAATAAGTCTGGCCAACGCAAAAAGATCCACAATCGAGGACCTGCCATCGACCGAGGGCACATACAATCGTCTCGCTCGCGGATCATTCGCTTGAGCAAGAAGTTTTTGATGCAAACAAAGATACATTGACTCAAGGAATGGCGGACAACCGAAACGACAAAACTTGAGAGTTAGTTTTTTGAAATGGACCAAGCGCCAACATTCCGCTCTCCAACTTGGGCGAACTTAACCTTGCTTCTTACGTGCGCCTCCCCCAGACCCACGCCCGGGACGCTTCCCTGCGCGACTGCCTTAGATGAAATCGGCTTGTGAGATGCACATCAAATTGATGTTATCGCAATGCTCACCTCGCCCACCGCCACGTACACTTTCGCAATCGGACATCACACTAGAGAGGTCAATGTCCTTGGTTTGAGTTTCATCCTTGTCAGCATCATTGTCGGGGTTGTTAGGCTCATTCTCATCGTGACTTTTAACATCAATGGGTGTTGATACAACAGGCTCAGCGATAGGGGTGACAACGGCGGTGGAACTAAGAGAACCAGCCTTTTCCTCCTTTGTTCCCTCCTGCAATACCAAGAATGAGCCGTAGTCAGAAAAAGATAAGTACAGGACTCGCCACCGATGAAGGCTCACCCGTTCCGTTTGACTTGAAGGCACCAGTCTGGGTTGGTTCCGTAGAGGGGAATGCAGTGGTAGAAGAGCTTGTCTGCACAGGCGTTTTGGGCTTCTCCGGCGGCGCGGGCTTGCTCTCAGGCACTGGGGCAGCTGGCTTCGAACTAGGATTTGGCGGTGAAACAATGTGTGTAGTTGTCGAAGAAGCCGGAGAAGTGGATGGCGATTCCTTGGCAGTGTTGAACGTGTGTGTGGTGTCGGTGGAGAAACGAGCAGCCGGGTCAGGGTTGGATGAACCGTTAGCACGAACTGAAGAGCCGCCGTTGCCATTGACATTGCCATTAGCTCTGGTTGTCGTCGACCCATTGCCTTTCGGGCTCGTGAAGGTCGAGCCGTTGGTGTAGCTAGCCGAATGACTGGTCTGGGGAACCGGCGACGGTGATCGCGAGGTTATTCCAAAAACATCCCTGACCATAGATTCCAAATCACTGTCTTCAAAATCATCATATGTAGGCGAGCGGATTCCACTCTCAGCAGCACGCTGGCGAGCCCGCTCACGAGCGTCTGCGACACGGAGAACGGTCTCCATCCCAAGCTGCATACCCTCAGCAAATGACAAAGGCTTATCCCTCTTGCAGACCGCGATGTACGCTGGAATGAGGAAATGCTTGTTGATAGTGTACTCGTGATATATTGCGATCTTGTCGACAGGCTCTATGTGAATCTTCTCGAGTTCACGTACAGTGAGCTCCTTGACGTTGCTGAAGCTCCACCGGTTGGCGAGGTGTAGGATACTCAGCCACGTCTCGAGAGGTGCCTCATAGAGCGAATATTTTCTATTCACAACTGTCAGGATGGCTGATTCGAGCAAATCAACTAGACATACGGGTTGTAGAAGACCCAGAGGAAACGGGCAAAGTCTTCGCTCTTGACATCCTCCAAAGTATAGGCATTGTTGTCTGATGAGCCTCGTTCCTCGCCTTCGGAGGACTGGAATTTCTGGCGGAAAAACAGCGATTCGCGTTCGAAGAAGTAGCTGTGTATCCGATAGAGATGATTCTCGACCTGCGAAGATGCATCCATCAATCCAAGACGTTGAGTAACATAACGACCGTTAGACACTGACCAGTACGGTCATATCACCGCCGCGTATATAGTAGTCCTTGTGATGGATGACACGTGCTAATCCATGTTCTGATGAGTTGACCATGATTGACTCTACCTGAGAGATGAGAGAGGGAGGAGGAAGGTGAAAAGGCTTTGGTTCAAGAGGAAATTTTTGAAGGAAGTCAAGATATACGTTTCTCGAATCCAGTTCGTGATAATGATCTGATCAGCTACACGTGTTCTGCGCGTGTTGTCCATTGTTCGTCTGTCCTTTTATCCCTATCCAATTGCTTAGCCTGAAGGTGGATTGCGTAAACATCATCGTTGTCTATTGTCCAAATACTGGAGTCGCTTGCGCTATCCGACCACGATGTTGTTGACCAAACACCGCGCGATGTCGGGAAGCAGCGCGCTGGAGGTGAGTTGGATGACATCCAGGGACCCGACGTGGTGGAATCCGAACTGAAAATTTTACGAATGCATGCTCCGCGGGAAGTTCCACTATCAAATCAACACAGGATTCGTGATACACGCAACTCGCGGATCATTATTCGATCAATCCTCAGCGCTCAATTTCGGGGTTCCCGCTAGCCAGACAGCAGAAATTGCCTCGAGGCAAGCTGTGATGTGACTCGAACACAAGAACTGTCTAGGCTTTTCGTACGTGAAAATTGAATTTTAGGCGCACGAAGCTCATGCGACACACCTGTACGCAACACGAGGTCAATGCATGATAGATAAGGTGTACGTCAAGGATCATCCATCGTGTAAGCTCCATGATGTTACGCATTCATTGCGTTTCAGGCTGCCGCAGCAGCTCGCTTCTCTAGATGAGTCATGAAGCAGGAGACTATGTTGCGCCATTGATCCATCGAGTGTAAATATGTGGAGTGTGGACGTAACGGGCCAAAATTGAGTGAGTGAATGTTGCCATTTGTTCAGACGAGCACTAGGCTGATCTGAGGTCATTCCAATACCAATATTCAGTTATAGATGTCTATGTATCAGTACTATAATGCTTCTTGAATGACTGCTCGAAAGTGGTAAAGGTATCCTTCCCAAGGATGGCGAATACTACGTGATCAAACGAATGCCGGTATCGCGCACCTTTCACCGTCAATAATTCTGCCCAAATTCTCGCAACAACTTTGACATCGTTCTGGAACACCCCCGTTCCAAAACTGCCCAAGACGAGGTTCTTGGCACCCTGCTGTTCGAACAAGAACAGAATACGCGCCATCCTTTCTTTCATGACAAATTCGATGGGCTTCTCGATCTCCGCTAGCTCTGACTCATCCACAATCTTCTTCCTCACATTGCCGGCATTTACAGCCGCGCTTGTTAGAACGTCGACTTCAAAAGGCGACGCCCAATTCCCTGCGTCATCCTTCAAGATCACGACAGAAGGTGTATAGACCATCGCGTGATGATAAAACCCTCCATTTCTATCATGGGTATGTAGTCGGTAGAAGTTTTGGGCGCTGTCCGTCAATAGAGATGGATAAAGCGTGGAAGATCTGGCTATGGACTCCTCTTGAGCCTGTGCCCCATTTAAGAAACCACCTCCGGGTCGTGTAGCAGACGCAAAGTTCAAGATTGCTATCCGACCGAAGCTCGGGGAACGAGATGAAAGGGTATTGAACAACGATCTAGCGCCATCAAGTGTGGAAATCTCGAGGATAGATACCTCAGATTTCGTGTCCGCAGCGTTACGTGGTGTATTAGACCAGGTGGACAGCAAAGAATCTGGAGAATAGTAACGAGTGTTATGATTGGAGAAGTTGACTTTGGCAGCTAGATCATGGGAGACGTTGGCAATGATGACCGTGCCATTCTCAATGGCGCTTATGGTGCTCTGGGCTATTTCTTGAAGTCGATTACGACGACTCGAGTCTCCTCGGGGACCAGACTTGTGAAATGCAAGTTTTGTTTGTACGCTCATCGTAGTCGTCGTCCTCCTATTCAAAACTTTTTTCAATAGTCTTTGCTTTCCATTTTAGGGGTGACTAACAATTATTTAATAATGGACCTCCCCCACGACAGCTGAAGACGAGACCCACTTTCGTGTCAGGTCCGATCGGGGCATGTTCTCGACTTTTCACACGTGAGGTACTATACTCCATACGTACCTCGACTCATAAACGCCGTCGCAATTTTGCCACTACCCATCACTCTCACGTTTCTGATTTCAAACGTACTAACGACGACCCGCGGCAAAGGTCAACTCACCTTAGACCACGTACAAGACTGCCGAGGCAAAATTCCAACATGCTGTCATCCCTTGAACCCCTGGAGGAGGTAAGTGGCACTTGCGCCGTAGTAAGGCCACAGAGAAAACTAAATTCGTGCAGAGATTCAGACAGGTAGAAGAAGAGAGTGAGAGGAGGGCTATGCAAGAGCATGAACTATCAGCACATGAGCTCGTCGACCCTGATTTAGTCAGCCTAACCAGGCGAGGACATCAACGGAAAAAGAGTTCTGTATCAATGTCACGGTTCGGCCAGGTATGGCTTATTCACTTTGCATACGCGCATAACTCACCCCCAATAGCCTTCAAACAGCAATGGTTCAAGTAGTAGTTCAACTTCACCCACGCTCGCTACTGTTGCCCACAAGTCAACATTCTATCATTCATTAGCAAACGTAAGTAGCCTTTTATTCGTGCCTGCTATCAGGAGCATTTCCTGATCGGAATATTCAGCCCAGAAGCATGGACTCCTTCATTTCCGAAGGCTCAGAAAACGAATCTCACCATTTAGAAGACGACCAGCAGGTGACGCGAATCGAACGAATACATGGCCGTCAGCCTTTCCAGAAGACAGTCGAAGCCATACTACCCCAACGCATGTCTCGGTCACAGTCATCAAACCTACTCTCGCCGAGCACGCGCCTGGTCATCGATGTCTCTGTCGAAAAGGCAACAGTAGCACATCCGCGCTCTGAGGACAATCACACAACCGTTTATGCGACCAAAGCAGGAGAGCTACGACATAGAACGTCTCGGACCAGCGCCCTTGGCGCCAAGCCACCGGCAAACGGGCTGGTAGAACGGGCGAGATCGTTCGCTCGTCACTTCGGGCGTAAGAGAAAGCCCGAATCTGGGTGAGATGAAATGGATGTTGTGCGCACAGTTCTTGAGCTGTCAAGGAGACTTCGGAATGGAATGGACCTAGAGTTAACGATCCGAGTAGTTGCTATGCTTCATCATGGACTAGCTCATCACCCGAGAAAGTTACATCAGAGATTTTTCTTTCCTGTTGCATTTCATGATTACATAATATGATTTCAACCAATCATCGTTCAGTCGCCTTTGCTCCCCGACAATTACAATTAATATCACGTGAGTTCAGTGCCGTGATTCACTTACGTGCTTCGAGATCGATTACTGATTACTTCCAATTCTGAATCCATAATCAAATCGAATGATGCGTCATCGGGGTACGCGAGAGTGTTGCGGAAAAAATTCCGCGTCCTCATAAAAGCAAACCAACATCATGTCACGGGGCGCCAAAGATTCTTGTTACCTCAATCACCTTTCCATTATTCTGGGATCAGTGCAGAATGAGCGGTGTCCGTACTTCAAATCCAAATCCATCTACTATGAACCCAGTAAAACACCATCGACGTGTCGTGGACAAATGCACCCCACGGGACAAGTACGCCAGGACGCACATCCATCTCAAGAATTCATTCCTTTCGAGCACTGATGATCTCAGCGTAAAGACTGTGAGTCTCTCGAAACTTCTCCAGTCCCACTGTCGCGATGTTGACTAGATCTTGCAGCCAAGTCCACCTTGGGTCCACGCGTATAACTCACGCCAACGATCGCAATCTTCCGCAGATACTCAAGGCTGGAAGCATCTGCCGACTCCCATCCGACCAACCTTCCGCCCGCGTGATTACGCATCACCGCGCACTGCGGATGATGTCTCCGCTGAGACCCCCACGAACACTTACAAAGTCCTACACCGCTCGTTGCATAACCTTGATTTTGATCCAACCTGCCTTGATCGCCTCGATGAACAGCTTCTCCTTTCACCTACTGAGTCATTCGTCGACGTTTGTTACTCCGAAGCTGTTCACGACAACAATATTCCTGTTCCTATGCTCGAGCCCATCCAACCTCGTGTGCGTAAAGGCACGAGGCTATATGATCGTACAGCTGCCACTGATGAAGACCCTTTCCACGATTGGGATGAAAATTACTCTGTCAAATTTAAAAAGCCTCGCAGGAAACCAGTGAGTCTTTTCCCAATTATCGTGCGACTTCTATTAAATCTTCGCGCAGTTGCCCTCACCTCCGCTTCCACAACTTCCCGAAGCATCACTTCCCAGAACGAGTCACCAGGACTCGATGCTCGCTCTTCTGGAGTCACATATTCTGTATCACAATCCCAACGAATCTGTTCACTTTTTCCCAGTTTCTACGCGCTGCAGCGGAGAATTGCCCAAATCCTCTCTCGAAGCTTCTCCCTCTCTCACCTCCACAGGGTCGAATGGTAGATTCAGACGCATTTCTGATGCATTGACCGGCCGTTCTCGAAGACCCACTGCTTGAAACCCCGCCAGCTTCACTGAATGAAAAGCCATCATTTCAGCTTTTTTCATCACTCGACAAAAGCGGCAAGCCGTACCACCTCCATCCCCTATTGTTATACCTTAGCCTAATCGCATGCGGCAGGAACTGCATTTCCGACCTGGATACCCTCTGACGTTATTCTAACTTCTGGTTCATTCGTTTGTTCTACTATAGGAGTATATTTTGGATTTCTTTAGCATCTCATGACAACCGACTGTTCAAATTTGTTTCACAGTCGCCTCTTCTTATCTCCGTCGCTAGATACGATGATCAGTGACGTACCGTTCAGCATCGATAACGCCTTGAATGAAATAATGATTTTTGCTTGGAACTTAAACATGACATATGGCCGCAATTCTTTACGCAAGTCTTACCTCACTGATTGGTCGTTTGGTCGGCCGTGCGGTTTTATGGTGAAAGTTCAACGATTCGATCGACTTTCAAATACCGACTCGCTTCGGTTCTACACGGGTGAATAATTAATTGTTTCTCGGAGGGCGTAAAACGATGCCCCGATATCTGGTGGTCGAGAGCCGCTGAGGTGACGGCATATTGAGAGTCGAAGAAGTCGAAGGAGATGAATTGACAGTGACATTTGGACGACGTGGACGTTAGCGACTGGCTACGAGATGATGCCCTCGGAACCCAGGTTCAACGGTCCGGGTGGACTAATCTCGTCCGGATGAGTTCCGTCCTGGGTCCGCCTGGCCATTAGTTTCAAAATTTTCTCCAAAACGTTTTTTTTTCAATGTTCCAGTAGGATGGCGTGATAAAACTCAGGGAACATGTGAATATCACCGGTCTGGATTTACTTGTTTGCGGAAAAGCTTTGATGCTTGAAGCGAAGCATGATGTATTCACAGGGGACAGTTCAAGCCCCGAAGCCTGGAGGTGTCGCCTTAGGCGCAGATTCCGCCGCAGAAGTGAAAATGTAGATGAAGGCAGTATAGGGAAGGAATGCGAATTGAAAGCACTGAAAGAGTCATGCGATGGTACTCCATCAGGCAGAAAACGGAAGTGCTGGAGGAAATGTTGATAGTAGAGCTGAACCCCAAAGTATATATGTGCTGCAGAGCCAGAGGATCGCGAACGAGAGACATATGATAAGGAACGTAGTGGGTCTGAAACAATAGACAAAATTCATGAAATACTGCTGGATAACGAAGGCGAGAGCGGGATTCCGACACTAGGTATTATTGCCTGGCAGTAGGGACTGTACATGGGCTACTTATAATTATACTGTAGAACAGTAAGGGTCCTCAGGTATGGCTTGGCCGAACGATTGTGTGAGAACGAACGCTGACGGGAGTGGCGTCGCGCCTGACAGGGTAGAGTAGAACGGAGAGAAAAGAGTACGAAAATTTGAATGAGTGGCGGTATGAATGGGCATGGTATCAGTATATGACAGAATAAGTATAACGAGAGGCGGCGAGGAATTGGCGGTGGAATTGAGACAGAGACCGTGCTGACTGAACTTCAGATGGTGGTTGCGGTAAGTGTTGATTCGGCAATTCCTGGCGTCAAACGTTTGGTAATCATTAGGATTCCTTATTCACAAGGACCCTCCGGGCATCCCTGTACCCTTCTCTACCTCTTTTCTTAGTCTTTCTTACTCGCGTGATACATTTGTGATCGATTATACAAAAGCAGTTGAGTTCGATTACATTTGTTATACAGGAAGACGCTCGCGAGAAACCCCCAAAAACTTACGCAAAACACAGGATGACACAACAGACACTCCATCATCTGCAAGCTCATGATCACGAGCGACACTGGAGGAACAAGAGTAACAGCAGATGAGTGCATGACTGACAAAGAACCAGAGGCTGCATGAAAAGGAAGCAGGTGAACACTTGATGGGCCGCGTGGTATGATCGAGTCGACAGAGGTTTTTTTGCCCAGACCTCAGCTGTACGCTCTTCTAGTGTAACCAGGCTTTGAATCATAAGTGACCTTGAGCAGTTTGTAATAAGCAGTAAAAAATGCGGTTCAAACTTCCGCACTGCGCAGTCGTACATGGTGTCACAATCCATGAATGATACATCACCCTAGATACCGCTAAGCCATTGTGCCATGACTTTGACGTGTGCACTGTAAACGGTGTAATAAGAACATCATGTCCGGACGCCACCCAGGTTAACCCCAATACCGGACCTTGGATGCTCGGATCATAACCTGGAACAAAAGGTCAATTTCGGAGAAACACCGAGAACGCCCTGGCCCATCAGGAAGAGGAACGCGGAGAGTAAAGTTTAATTCTCGGAGGAAAGTAGGTTCAGTTGGTCTCCAACAGACCATCTGATATGACAAATGAACTTTGATCATGATGGGAGTCGACAGACCTCGTGAGCCGTTGTAAGGGAGACAGACATTAAAATACCATGACAACTTGGATTCCATGCTGGTTTCGTACATCTTCTTGCTCGAGGGTCGAGAATACCACCTGGATACACGCCTATCAACGCCTATCAACGTCTTGTGGGAGCCTGTAAGCGAGAAGCATAATAACGAAACAGGCTGCCGACTCGGACACAGCTTGGTGCTCCTTGGTTGCTGACCTTTTCTATATATGATCATACACATCAGTACCTATCACGATATCTGCGGCTCACCCTGAGTCACCAGTCTTCTGATGCGCCTGACTCGATGAGAACCCGGCGAGGCTAACCCAGGACTTCACGCTAGCCATTCTCCGAGTCAACTAGTATTGCCATCATTTTACTTTCTCGTAGTAAACGTAAACAACCTGAGAGCCGTAAGAACGCTTCGGTCGAGTTGCTCTGCTTTCTCCTTCAATAAGACAGCCTGCCAGGCACAAGGAAGACTATTGTGGTTGATCATTCAGTGACGAGTATTATGCATCGCAAGCACTCACTTGCCGCCACTACTTCATTGCTACTGTTCCTGCAGTCGACAGCAGCGATAATACACGGCTAGTATGCTGCAATGATTGAGTGTGCTTGGAGCAAGTTGCTTGTAAGTTACAAAATGCTATAGCCTGAGACGGTTAGTTGAACTTAGGGCAAGCGGGACTTTTTCATAGTAGGCGCCCGCCGCCTGCACTCTGCCCAACCAGACTGACCGCATATCGCAAGAACGCCAGCAACCTCTTGACAACATGCCTACCACAGCGATCATACCTTTCGATATTCTGCAGCCTATTTTCATACATTTGCATGATCGAAGGCATCTGAGTGCAGTTGCACTAGTCAGCCGGGCGTTCAATCACGCTGTAACGCCTCTCTTGTACAGGAGGCTTGATTCACAAGTGAAACGAAATGTGCGATTACTCTTTATCTCGTGAGTATGCATCTAAAATCGTATTTACTACATTCAGATCCTTCACCATCCCTCCGCAACCCTTCTCAAACGACCAGAATTGGCACAGTATGTCTGGCATGTGACGGAAACAGGCAAGTAGCGTGGTTTCTAATTCGTTACTGGTTTGATCAGCCCCACTACAAGGCGCAGTGCAGCGCTTGCGACAAGTTATTCCTCAGATCACTGAGGATATTGTTGCAGCGCTTAGACTTTGCACAAATCTTACATCTGCAACTTGGGTAGACGACACGTTGACACCAGAGGCGAATTTTCTACCCATACTGGACGTCTTAATGACATTACCTTTGCGGGAGCTTACGATACGCACCCAGTATGATCCAGGAGAACGAGTTTGGTCCCGGCTCAATACTATTCAGGGCATTCGTCGCTTATCAGTGTGGTCTTTGGAGTGGGGCCCCCCGCGTGTACTTCAAGGCTGGGCTGATTCGCTGAGCTCCTCTCTAACGTACCTTGAACTCGGTGTAAGAGAGCTTCTTATTTCCTTCTCTCTGTTTCCTTATTCTTTTCACAGCGTTGTGCAGGTGTTCCCGCCACTATCCTCATCTCTGTCTTCATGAAACTTCCTTTTTTACAAGAGCTTTGTCTCAAGGGTGCTCCAAGTGCCGCTATCCCGGCTATACTTGCTTGTCTGCCCAATCTGATAGCCCTCGACACGGAATATCTGGACTCTGGAAATTACCGCACCCCACTCACATCGTTACCTCGTTTGCAACGCTTAACAGTTCAAACAGGATCAGTGGATATCGATGGGCCGCAGAAACTATGGACATGGATGAGGATACTGCTTCCACACCAACAAACTTTAAAGTCGTTCACGCTAAATGCATTTGCAGTGCATGGCCAAATAACCATCCCGCGCCCATTCATCGTGAATCTTACTGGCAGACACGGAAAGTCCCTTCAAGATTTTGCTGTGGGCGTTGCGCAGTTGACGTTAGATACTGTATCATATATGTGCTCAACATGCCCTCAGCTTGTGACACTCGAATGCTCCGTGGCGAGTCCAGACGTAGTATGTGATTTTCATTAATAAATATCCGGTCAATTACTGATGCGGCTAGGACTCAATCGCAAAAGCAATCGAGGCGGGCCACAACCTTCGGACTCTCACGCTTCATGTCTCTTGGATCCCTGACGACAGCAGTGATTTGCTTCCGCAGTTTGAAAAGTATTTGGAACCCCAAATCATGTATGCAGATTGTTCACATCTTGTCAGTGAGGGGAAGGCGACTCGTTTTACCGAGGAGCACGCTCGCGCCTTGATGCTCCAGACACACCTTCGTAGCATTGGCATAGGGGATCAGTCCTACACAGTGAGTTCATCCCATTTTGCTTGTGCGCCTTTGGTATTTCGACTTTGACTTGTTCGTTGAAAGTGTAGACATTCTCATCTGTCTTCTTTAGGGTCGGTGGGTTCAACGGGGATGTTCGGCCAAGGTCACACAGGGTGTCGGGAAAGAAGAAAATGTTGTGCTAGAAGTCGTTGGGGATCCATTCGTCTGACACCTCTCATACTGAATTCAGATCATGTGGGATATCACCGAGCCCCCATCAGCAAACTAAGTACACTGAAGAAAACTGCAGACCATAATCAGGTCGCATCTGGAAGGAAATGATATCTATATCATTGGGTAAGGTATGCACAAATTTCGATGAACTCACAAATCTCTACTCAAATACGAGAAGCGGTTGAAACCACCATCCACCAGATCCAGTACTCACCACAACGATAGTCCAATTCCTCCTGGTCATTCCACTCACCATGTTCACACGTATGATCATTCCATGAGGTCTCGTGAACTTATGGTGCCAGGAGCCTCCAGAACGCACGAGCGACTTAGTATAGGTAGTAAGCGACAGCATGCCGTAGGCAAGACAGTGTAGTTTTCGGGATATCACAAACAACAATTGTTGTTGACTAGGAACAATCCAGCACAGGGGGGAAACAAGTGACATCACGGCACGAGAGTATTATCTCATTCGTCGTTCAGCAGCTGAGTCCACTCACGATAGTTCGAAGTGTTGACGTCAGAGTCCGCAAAACGACGATCTAAATTTGCTAGGTCCCACTCCATCTAGGAAACAGAGGCACGGAAGGTTGCGCATGCAGCGACCTTGTAACAGGTAGAGATAGGGGTCCATCAAGGTATCGCATCGTGCGAAGCCCAAAAGGCATTTGAGTGCGTGTTACTAGGCGAAGAATTGTGAGCGTGATATGCGTTGAGGGATAATAGATGAATTAGGGGTGACAGAAAACTTTGGACGCATGTACATCGCGTTTTGACCTGAAGAAAAGTTGATGTCTAACAAAATGGGAGTGTTGCCAGACGGCGAGTCAACATCGGTCACACCAAATTCACAGACACGCGATGGAATGGAATTAGAGTTGTGAGCTCTTCCTTCACTCTCAGGGTCACAACAGCAGCTGGCGGCACTAACAAAAGTTTGTACATCTCGTTCGGCAGCAGCTGTTCCCCTTTCTTTGCCTTTAAATTGTTCCGCAAAGGGGCCCACGCATGTCGCGACGCACGAGTTGGAATGCAGGGGCCAGATAATCCGATTGCTTGAAGCTCTTCTAGGTTGCATGGGTTAGCTCACAAGTCTGGGATGGGGCTTTCTGAGTCGGGATCTCGGCTTCCTGGAATTCGGAACATGCGTTTTGACATGGAGAAAGCTATATAGAGGTCACTGTTGAGAGAGACATTCTGACTTGAATTGTTACTTCCCAAAGTCTAGCTTCAGCGGTCCAATATGACTTGGACTTTGCTGAATGGGGAAGGCAATTTCAGGACATTTGTCTAGAATTCGCCGTGTTCATTTTTTTCTGAGGGCATAGTGGAATGAACGCAAAAGCAAGTGAGTTCTGTATGCAACACATACTAGACTTGTAAATATTCTGACCCCGCGCCACCCGACTAGTCGATCTCGGAGAGACAGGGCAATTGAAGATGTCCAGTTGCTGATTGCGCCGCTTTGTTATGGTCCAGCTTCAGTGACAACTGAATCACTCGTTCGTACCGTATGGAGTTATCATATCTCTCTCAAATCACGTAGCAGATGAACTTGAGTCCTGAAATTCGAATAGGACATTAAAATGGTGCCATCTCCTGCACTTTTCCTGCAGATGCTTGCAATATGCATCAGCCGTTCGAACCTCTGGTATGAACAGTCGGTGGTTTTGTTCCTTTTGCAGGAAAATCAATTTTGAGTTGGAGTCTACAGGTAAATGAGTGTTCTTACCGCCAGCACAATCAACAAATTTTTAAACTCCGCGCTCCCTGCCAAATCTCTCCGAGATCGACCAAGCTTGGCTACGCTACCCGAGCATCCGTGGTAGTATACGCCAGGCTGGTTATGAGCCTAAACGCAAACTCGATCCAGGTATCCAGCCCAGAACGTCCGGGAATTAAAATGGCCACTCTCCCTTTCCATGGCTTTGGGCGGAGATTAAACGCTGCTTGACGGTAGCACTCCTGACAGCCGCCGTACAGTCTTCTGAGTCTCTGAATCGGTCTACTACTTAAGTTGCGCATGGTACGAAGAAATCTACAAATCAAAATACTAATACTCCACACTTAACTGAATTAAATCATGAATGTGAGACGAAGGCGCTTACACGAGTGGGCCGAGGTATGTATGCGCAATCGTGACCGTCCTACCTACTATCTCATGCGGTCTCTGTAGGAATATCACTATAGTCAGGTCACCTCTGTTGAGGAGACGAACTATGGCTATGCATTGGTTGCATATTAAACTGCATTGAAATTTCTAGATTAGCCGCATGTTACTCTTTGATCGTCCCCTTTACGCCATTTTCGACTCTGGTCAGGATGGCCACCGCTTCACCGGCCATAAACGCTTTCTCTTTCAATGTTCGTTATGACGCGCTGAAACCTCTGGGGAACTGCTGGAGCAAGGCGGTGCCCTATTCCTGACGCAGTTGGCACGCTTCCGCACGCCATCCCCGTGAACATTCTATGTCTGGTAGCACTATCGCAGTCTTGACGTCAGAGTTCAAACGGTTCAATTTTTACCTTCGTGACGTGTTCGATTAGTCTTGTCTCCGCAAATCCGGCAACTGGCCAAACCAAATGATCGTTTCACGCGTCCGCATGCTTCCCGCTGCCTTTCATTTTCTCCGACCGAATACAGAGGGCAGCCGAGGATGACCCCGTCATCATCGTGTATGATATCCGATACAGCTGTGTTACCTCGATTATCTTGAATGGATAAAATCCTGCCTATGTTTCACTAAACTCAGCAGTGGAACACCACCAGATATAAAAGCAAGGGTGAACTCTAGACTCCCTAACCGTGTTTAGACTACGGGATCAGCCATGTCATACCAAAGTACCCGGAAGACGATAAAAAGCTCATGTTCATTATGAACAGAATCTAATTTTTCTCGGAGGACAATTCGGAAGCTTCAACTGAATTGGACTCCGAGAAGAATCAAGTTCGATCTGCGCGAGGACGAGTGACCAGCCATTTCAGAGTTATCCTCACGCAGACCGAACTTAATTCTTCTCGAAGGATAGTTTGGAGTCTCCAAATTATCCGAGAAGAGTCAGGCTCTGTTGATAATGAACAACGATCTTTTCATCATCCTCCAAACACTTTGCAAGAAGATGGCTGATCCCATAGTCCAAGCCCAGTTAGGGGGTCTAAAGCCTACTCTGGCTTTCGTATGTGGTGTTCCACTGCTGAGTTTACGTTACTTCCTCATGCAGCAGGATTAGTATACGAGAAGAAGAGAGACAATTTGTCTCACATTTACATCTTCTCATACACCCCCACTTTGTTGACACTTGTTCTCATGCGAGACAGCAGGTTTCTCGAGATGCGTCTCACAGCATGTTGTTGCTATCGTTCAGGGAAACCCAAACGGAAGGAAAGCACTCCAATATGTCGCTCCCGCCGCGTCGTCCTCCACGTCGCTCGGGGACAGCGACGCAACAATTCAGGGTGCACTCGATGCACTAAATCATAATTAGTTGCCTCATTTGACCTGCCATGGAATGCCGAATCAACTTGAACAACTGTCTGAGTCTTCTTTCGTAATGCGCGACGGGCGGTTGATAATCGAGGACATCATCCGATTGAACTGGCATGCAGTAGCGTTGCACAAGACTGTGGAATCGTTGCGCAAAGGTTCCACTAGAACAACAAATCATAATTGTTCACATAGATGTCTAGTTTGAAGTTATTAATTCGATCATGTCTGGACTCTGCACAATACTTTTGTTGTTGCATTGCGGACTAATGCAGCATGCATCGATCACGCGATCACGCCTTAGGATTCAAGTGACAAGGCCACTACCTTCACTTTCCTTCTCATAAGTTTGAATGGGCAGCTTAAGCTAGCTGTTTACACAGTATTTTGCTAGCTTTGTCTAGCTTTGTCTTTGTCGATATAGTGACACCAATTGACATGACGACCTCGCAACCAATCATAATTACAGCTAGGGGGACAAAACGGGTCTAAGACAAAAGAATCTTGAAGAATCTGATCCATCCCCTTCCAATCAAAACACCATGTTTTACAAGATCAACCTAGCAGGCGATAGCGTCGTCGATACTTGAACAAGGCCAGTTCCGCCTCCATTATGTTCGGCATCAACCCAGCGCACAGAGCCTTGAATGTTTCCCCTGCTGCGGGATGTAGTGACGTGGCGTTCACGTCCTTTGCCCGTGGGGTCCTCGACTCTATGCTGCTCAAGGGAGGGCCCGAGGAATGAAGAAGATATAGAGAAAGAGCCTTCGAATGCGCTATGCAGGTGTACAGTTGCCGGAGCATTCGCGGTTTTTGCCTTACTATTGAGCTGAGAATAAACTGGCGAGTTGACATATGTGAGTGTAAACGGGGCGTTCGCGGTCTGTGTATCAACTCCGAATTCTCCGCCATATCCTGAGGCAGTAGTCAAAGATACACGTGCGTTAATGGGCCTAGATGTAACGACAAAGCATTTAATATATTGAGGAATGAAAAGGAGCATGGATACTCACGCATTTGCGGTTGTCATGACCAAATCAGATGGCTTCGCAGATTCGTTGTGAAATAGGTCAACATCTGCGTCGATGTTCATGTTGGTCGTGATGAGTTTGAGAGATGACGTCGAATGAAAGTGTCCTTTGATAGGCCCGTTAGCAGTGGTGAAGACCCCTGTTTCGGCTGCTACAGACTATGAAGACTTCAGCTTTAAATACTTGAACTTCTAAGTGACGTGGTACGAACCTGGACGTTGATCGGAAAATTCAAGGTATTTAAGGAAATACTACCAAAGAAAACAGTGTCCGATAAAGCCGCGACCTCGTGGCGGAAAAGAGGCGCAGAGGTCTCTAAATTCTTGATGTAGAGGGCATCCTCGCTCGCGCTGGCGGGTAAAGTCAATGTGACATCAAACATGAGCTGATCTTTGTTATCCTGGCCAGGAAGACGGCTCTTCGAGGTCTGTTATGTAGTATTACCCATGGAAGTTAGTACAACCACAACATAGTGTTCAAGAAGAAGAAACTTGCGTAGATACCGATTCCATTCTGATTTTCCTGGCGCTTGAGGTGGCAAATGTTTGCATTTTCGAACGCCTCTTCTTTGAAGTATGCAGCGCGGATGCGTATGATGACATCATCTGAGGCCTCCGTGGACTGCTCCACGGTGATAGTGCCGTACTGGAAAGCACCCCGAGAGATGAGATACAGGGAGTCTGAGTCAACAGGAAGGGTGAAAAGTGACTCGCTGCCAAAAGGGAATTGCTGTGCTCATGATGGCAATTCATAGTATTCGTCCCAGTCCGCGCTACCAATGCACCTAGTGACTACACCATCGCTGGGATCAGGGTAGCCAGGATCATTTAAGCGTGTTGAAACCTGCAGCGCACATGAGTTGATTTCTAGTCCCGATAGCCAAAGAAAGTTCCAACTTCGTAGTAGTCGAAAACACTGCGCACAAGATTGAACCCAGAGTGGGTAAACACGGCAAAGAGTAGCAAGCTCATAACACCGATACCAAAAAGCCTAGTTGCGACAGATTGGCGCGGCCGCTCCACGAATTGTGGCTCGCAAGTCTGACCATCGATAGTGGTAGTCTGTACTGACCCGAAGTCAACTTGCAGTTGCGAAACTTCTTTCTTGTCTTCGTTCATCCTTGTCAGGCGGCACCTCTATGGAAAGAGCGAGGCCAGATACATAGCATGATGTACGTAACTGCAGATATACAGTCAATCTGCGCGCCAATGTCAAAGAGTCCACATGCATCATGCTGCGGACGCAGCGTGCCGATGCTGCGTTTCGGTGTCAGTACTCCCTGCCCGATAGTTGGGATGACGAAGAGTTCCAGATTGACGCTCGTTGATCACTTTTCTAGAAACAAATCATCGACATTGTCACAATCAAGTCACCTTTAACGGATTTTGGTGCACGGGCCGTAAGGATCAGTGACCGGTCAGGAGTTGTACAAGAGTCGCGAATGCCAGCACGTGGACTCCGGGTCGGACTCTCCTTCGCTAGTTCGAATTTGACTCATAGATCCGGCGGGGCCCCGTTATCATTAGTACCTGCATCCTGCTAGGCTATATCCGTAAGAAGCCAATTGCTTGAATTTCGACTCGCAAGTGCTGTTGTGCAGTGGCAGCTGACAGTGGCTCCGCCACCGAATCGTGGTGACATAGGCCCCATGCCTGTCCTGCTGATCAAACCTTGTTCTAGATAGTCCTGAGTGCCGATTGCAGACATCTACCCACGACAAAGGTGTGAAGTAGTGTCAGTGACGGTGGCAACGGCCAAGTGAGCTCGGGTTCTTCCATGTCACGGTTCTTTTTTCTCACTTCCAAAATTTTCCTGGTCATATGTGATGTTGTGGTGAAAATTTGAATCAACTGACCAGTCCAATACCACATACAGCTCAGTTGCTCTAAACAACAGTACCTGCAACTTTGACAGCCACAGCCATTTCAAGTCTCGACCACATTTCTCCCACGCAGTTCTTGAAGACACCAACCTATACAGGGAAGACATCGACATTTGTCTCGCTTCAGCCTGTCCAGCACGCTCGGATGTTGCCCATCTGTTTCTCTAATGCTGACGTGTGATATGATGTCTTATAAAGTACGTATGTTCCTTGAAACATTCTCTGTTATGAATCCAAGCGGCATCTCGCTCCCGAGTTTCAGATTGCCACCAGATCCATCGTCGACAGGGGATATCGTTCAACCTGCTCAGTGCCTAAAAGGTCCCAAAAGGTCCAGGTGCAGCATCACCAACTCTATTACATTTTATTGTCGGTGCCTAGTCAAGGTGGCCTACAAACATCTCAGGCACAATGAGACTATTTTATCTTCACTTGGCGCGCCCGTCTGTTTTATTTGCCGATTCCTCGGACAACGTGCACTTTAGGATGACCCCAACGGGTCGCATTGTTGTTCCTATGTTTCCATTCAAATAAGTACGTGCACCCTTATTTATTACCCTCGTCAGATCACGAGCATCAACACGGGGAGGGCCATCATGTCGCTAAGATCAGGGGTGTAACGTTTCAAGCAACGATGAAGGTTGCTCAATACACTTCTGTTACGCAAAAGGTCATTGGATCTGTGTCCGAGGAGTCAAATCTCAAATACCGTGCGCATAATCTCCTTGACTATGATGGTACTCCCTGCGGAGGTGGATGAGTGGATATAGACACCTCCGTCGCAGCAGGTTAAGTTATGGTTCGCAGCTTAAATTAACCATTGTGATGCTGTAGCGACCCAACTACTTACAGGTGTGCATCATTCTCTTCCTATTATGGTGATGAAACACTTTGTGCTAAAGAAATTGATACCTAGGAGTTCCTTTCATGCTTCACAGGGAGCCTACCTTGGTCTGAGTCTCACACGATACATGATTCCGCTGGTTCCTTGCCCTCGGAAAACGCTCGCGGGAAGACGTATTTGGAAGTTGGGACTCTACGATAAGGGAAATACGGTGGAAAACTTAATACCAGTGAGCATCTTAATCGCGGTCAGAAGAGCCGAAGTCCTTCAGTGTGCTTGCTTCGGCATACTGCACTGCGTTCCTCTTTTAGCGAAGTTGTAGGGCTCTCTCCCAATCAAGCTGTGGCTTTGCGTTCATTTACGTCTTCGGTGAGCAGTTATTTGGCTTCCCGATGTGGTACACTTAGAAGCATCGTATAAGTAGGCTATGTGTGTTTCGCGTTCTCATATGTAAACTCTCGCTCATAATATGAGTATCGCGAAACATATGAAAGCACAAGGCTGATCACCCTCACTCCCTCAGCGATGACGATCTGCACCAAAGGATGAAGCGAGAGCCACAGAGCGTCTATTTAAAATTTTCCAGTGTCCCGTAACCTCACCGTAAACCGCTATAACAGGGAAGACTAGTGTCAAATAAATTACTAGTATACTTATCGCTTGCGCGAGTACGGACTGATTTTAGTGACCAGTCCATCAAGGGTGACGAAATTATGTTCGATGGCGGACGCCTTTTACGGCGGGCGGTGTCTGCATCTAGACTGGGGTCATCTCCGGGACCAGTGTGTTAATGAGGGTTTAGACTGCGGTAGACAAAGCCTGCAATTCGTATTAGGTGGCCCGGAATCAACGTAGTTAGGAGTCCAGGACGCCTATCATGAGCTTGGGAGGGACCTAGATATGTAGCCGCTGGTCATTATGCTGTGAGGTGCACTGACACGCTGAGTCTGCACGAGTTCTCCTATCAGGGCGTAAGCGAGGTACGCTATGCCTTTCACAGATAAGTTTAGTGATGGTGGCAATAAGCAAAGATTTGGCACATATGACGAAGTGAAAGTCTAGCTGATTAGCTTCAAAGATAATGATGCACGCTCTTTGATGCAGGGCGTTTGGGCAAATGCTTGATAACATGTCGTAGTTTTCAGCGATCGGCAACTTGGACTATTGAAACACTTAGGCGATTAATCGCCGAACAGGCGACGAGCACTGGCGTACACAGGTTGTAGATTTTGGTTGAATGACGGTATATGACTCGTCGTTACGGCGCCTTTTAAAGTGTAAAAGTGTATGACTGGTAGCGGCGACTATGCATGGTGTTGTGAAGGTATAATACCATGGAGGGGTGCCAGGCACAAGAGTACACTGTCAAAATGAAACGTTGCTGAAAATGACAACTGGGTTGCAGCGTGTGTGGGTGCCCTGGTGTGCCTCAGGGCAAGCGGCAAGATGGGAGTTGATCGAAAGCTGGGTCATTGAAACATACTTACTGATAGTATGAAGTACGGGGGGGGCAAGCAGATTGAGCGGTCGGAAGGAAACGGCTCGATAACCAAATTTAGGGTAAAATGGAAATTGGTTGGGGTTGAAAATAAAATTAAAATGTGAAAAACGCACGAAAATATTAACCAGGAACATGGGAAGGTTGATGTGCCTGAGAAATGTGATTGGTTTAGTGGTGATCCTCTAGTAGCGGACCACTTTCAGTCCCACAAGTCCTTTCCCTCCAGGTCCCCTTCCCTTGTCCTTCAGATACCTCATATACCCCCCTCCCGTCCTCATCGTCATTCACGACGCCGACCAATTGATTAACGACCTTCATAAGATACCTCCATTAGCGTTCAAAGGTCCGGACACCTTCTCACTGATGTCCGGCAGACCAACATCTTCAGCTGGAGGCTCTCGCCCCTTCACAGCCTCAGCTTTCCGTACATCCTCAGCCCGTCCCCCAACTTCTGCAGGTGGATTTGACCGTGACCACCAGTATACCTATGATAATGCTTATATCGAGGAAGAAGAGGAAGAGGAAAGCGACACAGAAGACCTTTTTGCATTTCTCCCTCCTTCAACTGCAGACCAACAACGAGACGTAGAGAAGCAGCGTGCAGCTGATTTATCCCGAATATCACCGGACTATGCAAATGTTTTCGCGAACACGGTCCCATCAGACGTCCCCCCGCCTCTATATCCGCCGCCGACCTTTGACCCCTGGGGTCGTTTTTCCTCTGAAACGGCCGGCCCCTCCCGTCTCTTCCCTGTACCCATATCTCAAGTCCCAGTGGAAAGTCCTCCTTCTACCGCGTCAAACCAAGGCGCAAGCGACCCGTATCGCATGCGTCGACTAAGTACAGCGCTTTCAAGTACAACCAATACCCACCATTCGAGACCCAGTGCCCCGCACTCTCGGCAAATACATGTCAGCCTAACCTCCAGCCCACACGAGAAATACGTCGAGGAGGACCTTCGTAACAGTTCACAGAGGACACGACACCCTTCATCAACACTGGGGGATTCAACAACTCTGAGCATAACACCTAGTATGCTGGAACAAGATAGTCGCGATGGTTCAATCAAGTGGGTTTTTGGCTTTTGTACGGCAAATTTCTCAACATTCTGTATTTCGGCGTGACAGGATGGAGTTTGATTTTGACGCTGTGAATGAAGAAGACAGTCCATTTCCTGAAGTTCGTGCATCTGTCTCGAACATAGATGACCCAGAAATGCCCTCTATGACGTTGCGGATGTGGGTAATCGGCCTCGTTCTTTGTATGACCGCTAGGTGTGTTTTTTAGTGTCATTCTTGCTTGTAGTCTCATGCTTTCCAGTGCAATGAACCTTTTCTTTAACTTCCGGCAACCTGCCCCGAGTGTCTCTCCCCTTGCTCTCTTGCTTGTGTGCTATCCAATTGGAAAATTCTGCGCCTTTGTCCTCCCCATCACGACTTATCGTCTTCCACGGTATCTTGGCAGTTACGAGTTTTCACTCAATCCTGGACCATGGAACATCAAGGAGCATGTTTTGGTATATATTATGGCAAATGTCGCTATTAGCGCACCTTACGCTATCAACGCCATTGTGGTCACCCAACTCAACTACGGCGTTCAAGTGGATTACTGGTTCAGTGTACTACTGGTTGTTGCCACGCAACTCACAGGGTTCGGTCTTGCAGGGATGTGCAGACGCTTTTTGGTTTGGCCTGCGAGCATGGTTTGGCCACAGAACTTGGTGACGTGTACTTTATTGAACACACTTCACGCGGAGGACGATGAAGAACCAGGATCAATAACACGATACAGATACTTCCTTCTTGTCCTTGGTGGCGCGTTTTTCTTCTTCTTTATTCCTGGTAAAGAGTTTTTTCAAGCTTAATTTGGGCTGACTTTGATGAGCTTTTAGGCTACCTCTTCAGTGCTCTTTCGGTGTTTTCTTGGATGTGTTGGATACTACCGGATAACGTTCCAGTCAATCAACTATTTGGCGTCGACTCGGGATTGGGCATGACCATAGTGACATTCGACTGGACACAAATCACGTGGATTGGCAGTCCCTTGATGTATCCATGGTGGGCTGAAGTGCACATCTTCTTTGGCTTCGTTCTTTTCTTCTGGATCATCACACCAATATTATATTATACCAACGTAAGTTCCTCCAGCCCTCGGCCCCTGCCTTCTATTCCTCGTTTCTGACTTTGTCACAGACGTGGGATCTCGCCTACTTCCCATTGAACGACAGTAATCCATATGATCGCTACGGTAACGTGTACAATGTGTCGGCTGTGTTGTCAGCTTCCAACCGCTTCAATCTCACTGCCTACGAGAACTACTCTCCGCTTTATCTTCCCGCGACTTATGCAATGACCTACATGCTTGCATTCGCCTTATCGACTTGCGTACTCGTGCATACGATCCTTTACCATGGCCGAAGTTTACTGAACGGGGTGAAGAAGATTCGCGTAGAGCAGGATGACATTCACGCGAAGCTCATGCGCAATTACCCTGAGGTGCCAGATTGGTGGTATGTCGTGTGCTTCTTCGGCTTTTTCCTCCTCATGGTAGTAGTCGTTGAGGTAAGCACACTCCCCTTTTACATGCTGATTTTTGTTCATCGGCTGTTTGCAGGTGTGGCATACGACAGTACCTGTGTGGGCCTTGCTGTTGTCCGTGGCATTACCAACTCTATATGTTTTGCCGTCCGGCTTCATTTACGCAATGACTGGGCAAGGGGTATGCATGCTTCCGCGCTGCATTCGAGAATAGGAATGCTGATGTCCGATCTGTACAGATCACGCTGAATCTGCTTGCGCAGATCATCCCTGGCACTTTAATGGCGGGCGACCCTGTTGCGAACATGGTACGCGGTCGAACTGTAGCACTTTGCGAGGAGTTTGACGTTGACATCCAAATTTGTCATAGATCTTCAAGGCATACTCCGTTCAGACATTATCGGAAGCTACGTCATTCGTACAGGATCTCAAGCTTGGTCATTACATAAAGGTTCCTCCACGAGCCACGTTCCTTGGTAAGCAGTGCTTTTTTGATTGTCACTCGATCGCCTGACCGAGGGCGTTCCCTGCAGTGCAATTCGTGGGCACGTTGTTGGCATCATTCATCCAGATCGGTGTCAAGCAGTGGATGTTCAACAACATTCCGGACATCTGCACCCCAAATCAACCCAGTTTCTTGACGTGTCCACATAATCAAGTGTACTACACTGCATCGGCAGTCTGGTACGTCTGTCTTTCATTTCAGTTCCTGTGTCTTTTTTCAACGATGCATGGTCGCAGGGGAATTATCGGACCCACGCGGCAGTTTGGAAAAGGGACGCTCTACTATCCGGAGTTGTATGCCATCATTGTCGGCGCTCTTCTACCCGTTCCTTTCTGGCTGTGGCAACGGCGGTACCCGAACTCGTGGGTCAGATTTGTGAGCACGCCTGTGGTGCTCAACGGCGTCTCGTATATACCGCCTGCGGCTGGCATCAACTATTCAGCCTGGTTCGCAGTCGGGTTTGTATTTCAATATCTAATAAGAAAACGCAACTTTGCATGGTGGAGCAAATTCAACTATGTGACTAGCGCAGCTTTGGACAGCGGTATGTGGCTGCCTTTCCTTGCTTCACTTTTGCTAACGGCGGAGTATAGGCACTGTTTTGTCGTTGGTTGTAATATTTTTCACGTTAGAAGTACGTTTCCCTTTTGCCCATCATGACTAACGTTTATTAAACATTGCCTACAGTTCCCAAAAGGTGGCCTCTATATCAACTGGTGGGGAAACACCGTCTACAAGAATAGTGCGTTTTTGTGCTAGCCTGATCGATCGGTTCGTTCTAACCTGCATTTGTTTTTCTTTCCAGCCGCGGATTGGAACCGTTTGGCACTGAAAGCCATACCACCCAATGGCATCCCTTAGAATAATGTATTTAGCAATCTGCAACAATATGACTTCATCTAGGACCCAATGCAACAGCGGATGTGATTGGTGTTTTACGTCGATCTCAATCCTAATGAAACAGGCTAGTGTCATCGAGGCGAATGGCGGACTTCGATATATTGGTTTATGAAAAGGCACTAAATTAGATCTAGACCCACCACACCATGATGGAAGAGAAGCACACTGCGTGCTAATGATAAACGCTCAGGAAACTCGTGCACGCGCCGAGAAGCACATTTCCAAAGCAACCCACTTTTAGCAAGATAGAGAGCCAAGGAACACACCTAAAATGTGAGCTGTGCAAGGCTGCGGGTCCGAAGAAAATGCACTATCTGGCTATACACGTTCTGAGTGAATGATGGTTGGGAGGCAACATACTGTAATCATTCTGGCACTGAGTACTGGATAATGACACGTGTGGCATCGAGGACGCATGGGTCATGTAATGACACCCTGAAAGTGAAATTGCACAGGATGATGATCGCGGCGGGAATCTAACCTCCCCGTCCACGCCCTCGTCCACGTTGTCCGCTACCTCTTGGACCTCCACGGCCTGAGCACAATCAATTAGGACCGATATGGTATGCAGAAGTAAAATGAACAGACCACCTCTGGGTGGAGCACCTCGGCCTGTGTGGAAATTACAAGCAGCATATCGATATGCCGTGAAAACGGCGTGTAGTGCAAAGATAATAAGATGCAAGCGAACAAACGCATCATGATCAGCGTGCCGAACCTGAAACTGCAAGGCGATTAAGCTCAGACGTACCTCCTCGCATTCCTGAACCCCCTCCTCCCCGCGCACTTCGGCCAGCTTCTCGTGCTCGGACTTGCTCTTCTTTTACAGTATCTAACAACGTGTCTGGTACACGTAAGTATTTTATCTAAGGGTTGTTCAGCTGTGTTGAGGGTATCGGAAGGGATGGTTGGACGTACGGTGCTACCGCGGATATAACATTCCTTCAACTTCCAGAATCTGTCCCCGTCTGCGCTTGTTTGGTAGACCTCCCGTAGTGTTATGTTCATGAAATTATCGCAATTAACGAGATGACCGTTGAATGTTTCGCCATTTTTCAACTCTACAAGCTATGATCGTTGAAGCGAATAGGGAACAGAACTAGTAGTGAGCTCCGTTTTTGTGAGATGGATGTACGAAACTATACCATGGGTTTGTTTTGGGCTGCAGTCAGCAGTGATAGAGGCAACTACACGATGAGAAAAGCCATTAGCAAGCGTACACAGATTGAAAGTGCCTATACCATCTTGTTATATGGCAAGAGTTTTATCACTTCTTGGGTCGTGCTCGATAGTCGCGAAAGACGTTGCAGTATGAAATGCTAAATACCATCTGTGGCTGTGCCACAACATAAGGACATCACGATGAATCACAAGGATACTAATACAAGTACATAAGCAAGCTGATATACCCCGAGTTCAGATCACTAATTCCGCACGACCATTGGATGTTTTGACCGTAGCATACCCTTCGATCTTTCGGTTCTCCGAGTCGCCCCAGTGGGCAGACCCTCGGAGGCGATATCTCTCTCGTCTCTGAGTCACCTCCCTCCGACGTCCTTGTCCAGAGGGATCCTCAACAGGTAACTCCTTGAACGTGGCTGCTGAGTTGGAAGTCTCTACGTCAAACGAGCCCTCGAAAGTGCTGTACAACTTGACGCTCGTTGCCGCATTAGAAGAGCGGGTTTCCGACCTGAGAATTGAGTCGACAGGTATGTCGGTGTATTCAAGGGCGACGCGCCCATTCGAAGTATGCGTTTCGACATCGAAGATACCGCCATGGCCAGAGTGTGTGACAAGATCAACATTGGCATCAATTTTACTGAAATGGGGGGTCAGATGGTGGAACCGAATTAGGATGCAAGTCACATACCTGTTACTTGTTGTCATCTTGAGCTCACTGACAGTTCCATCCTCTCGGTTGAAAAGTGAAACAGACGCTTGGATTGGGCCATTCGAAGTTGTGAGCTTCAGAGAAGAGGCACAATTGAAATGGCCTCTGATGGCACCATTGCTAGAGCGGATCGAACCATCCTCAGCGGTGACAGACTGGTCGGCAAATGTTTAGATAAGTCATTTCGATAATCCAGGAAATCAAAACAACCAACCTTTGCATTCACATTAGCATTCGATGTTCTGAGTGATATTCTATCGAAGGAAATGGTGTTCCAGACATCTGCAACATCTTGACTGTAATTGGATGTCTCCGTCTCGAATGATTTGATGTACAGAGAATCTCCATTGTTCCCGGCGGGAAGCGTGATCTTCACTTCAAATCTCAGCTGTTGTCCAATGCCAGGGAAGTACCAGGATGTGGGCGTCTACAGAGATTCATTGAGACGAAGGTTCAACGAATGAGGATTGAAGTATTTACAAGGATACCAATGCCATTCTCATTTGTCTTTCGTTCGAGACGACAGACATTGACATGGTCTAGCGCTGAGCGAGCGAGATAGCCAACCCGTACGTGGACAATAACTTTATCTGTCGGCTGAGTGGATTGCACGACATCAACATGACCGGATTGCTGAGAGCCCCTCGTGAACAGGTAGAGTGCATCAGAGTCGACGGGGAGCTCTAGGAATGCTTCGGCGCTATGGGGAAATTGGTTCAAGCCTCGGTGGGACAATGTCCAGTTGGAGCCACTGATGCATTGGTGGACGGTGCCATCTAGTGAGCCAGGATGAGGTGGCTCACCGTTCTGGAACTTGGCAAATATGTGAGCCAAAGGCATAATACTGAGCGGGAGAAATATCGTACGAGTTGAGATCCATGATTGAAGGCCATGCGGGTGGAAGATGTGAATGCAGCGATGAGGAACCAAATGAGTACAGCAACAACAAATGCTTTCCAGAAACGTTGTGCAGGTGACTGGCGATATTCGACTACCACTACCTCCGTTACGGGTTGATAAGATGTCTGGTAAGTATAAGGAGGGGGTGGCGATGGCCCCGGAATATTACTTGAGCCCTCGTGGAGTCCTGACCTCTGACCGTTGCCTTTATCGTCAGTGGGGTTTGGGCTTGCTTCAACAATTATCATGCCGGCGTTTGTTCCAAATCCACACAGCCGTTACTAGTAGTGCCTTTGCGTACTGGAAATGAAGCTAGCAGTTGGACAATTGTAAGTGTCCTCTTATAATCAAAGACTGCTGCTGCGTCTGAGTCAGTGCTGCGCAGTCCAACTGCAGTGCCACTCACGCGTGACCATATCAACCGACATAACTTTGTGCAGACTACTATGCAGATAATTTGCTCCAGGACATTGGCGTCAAGCTTGCCGCTGCCGATGGGATAGATCTAACAATTGGGATCATGTAAATATTTTAAATTCCTACACACTAGCTATAGTTGAATCTCCGGCCGAGTATACAATTCTACGCAGTCGTGCGTGCCGCTGATCCCGTTCGGTACATCTGTTCCGCTCTTACTTTCCGAAGCTCCCATCTGACCATGTAACATCTCTGTCGTCCTGTGGCAGACACTCATCACCGGAATGCCCAGTGGTCTTCCTGGCATGTTCTATTTAATAGACCAAATCGTGCTGCGCAGGTGAGTCATGGCCCACCCGAAGTTATCATATCATATGATACTGATGAGAATGCGTTTCACACCTCTAGAGCCGCCGCCGTGCCGAGGCAAGCGTCAAGCCCCATCGCATCGCTACCCTGGGGAGAGAACTTCGGGACACTTAAAGAGCAACCCACTCGCCAATGAATCATCTGCGGGTACTTGTCAGTCACTGAGTTGTCGTTATGCTCAAAACAGTTTTCATGCTCGTACGTATAAAATACCTGTATTAACTTGGTTGTCGTCGAATTCAGAAGTATTGCTCCCGGGCCAAAACTTTCAAAGTCCCTCGTCAAGCAAAAACATCCTAGCTACTCATCAACTCAGTTTTTGTGCTTCAATCTATCATTCTCTTTCGAACTCGTCATTCGCACGAGGTCTTATTGCGCAACCGCAACAAGCCTTACATATTCACGCTATCTAGGATCTTTCTATCCCTTATCTTCCAATTATCAGAATGAAAAATTGTGTCGGCGATGGACGAAACCGCATGGACACGTTATAGGGTATGCTACGATGCAACAATCAAGAAGCAGAAGGCTGATGCGATCCAGGGCAACGCGGATGACCCTGACGATACGACAGCAGCACACCCGGTTGCAGCGGGGAGGTGAGCAACCGCGTGGTCGTGATGCTGCTGCCGGAGAGCAGATCCCGCAAAGAACCACGAATAGGTTTACTCTCTTTTCGTGTGCCATGTTTTGAAGTCGTGACATACCCCAATAGTTTTTAGAGTCCCGCGGGCATACGATCCGAGTCACATACTGCAGGTTTCAAGTTTGCCAACGCCACGTACAACGATTCCGCATGGTGCCATCCCGATATATCAGCCCCTCCAGCCACTCACCACCAACAAGTACATCCTCAAGCTTTTACATGGTTCCACATATGCCTTCAGGATGTTGCACTCAAGCTCCTGGGCAACCTCTTCTCCTACTTTCTCGAGCGCCGCAACAAGGCAAAATCTCCTGGATAGGATAGGGAGACGCTGACCGTTGTGGGTGCGACGAGTGGTGATACAGGGAGTGCAGCTATTTATAGGCTACGGGGCAAGCCTGATGTCTCCGTATTCATTCTCCACCCCCAAGGTCGCGTCAGCCCTGTCCAAGAAGCTCAAATGACTACCGTGACAGATGAAAATATACACAACCTTGGAACCTTTTGACGATTGTCAGGTACATTTATCCCTCGTATTCAATTCTTACTCCAATAGCTTACATACATACAAATTCGTAGGACATCGTCAAAGCTCTCTTCGCCGACACCATCTTCAACGCAAAACCACCACCTCGGCGCCGTCAACAGCATAAACTGGGCCCGCAACCTCACCCAAACACTCTACTACTTCCTCTACTACTTTGCCATCCGTCGCACCCTCTTACCGACGCCGAGCTCCAATTCATCGTCCCAACCTGTAACTTCGGCGACATCTTAGCAGGCTATTACGTTAAGCGCGTGAGCCTGCCAATGGCTAAACTCGTTGTCGCTACAAACGCCAATGATATCCTCACCCGCGTCTGGAAGACGGGACGATATGAAAAAGTCGACTCGAATTCCTCGTCACCTGTGGTCAGGGGTGTGGTAGAGACTCTCTTGCCTGCCATGGATATCCTCGTGTGGGGCAATTTTGAGCGCTTCAAACTTGTTATGGTACCTCGCCTTCGAGAACATACATAACACTAATCCCGGAGGGGTCTTGAGAAGGCCTGCCAGATGGTAAAAGGCTGAATGGATAACGTGAAATTCATCGGGCGCATCGTCGTCCCAGATTCAGTGCACAAGCCGGCGAGGAAAGATTTTACGGCTGAGGGAGCCGATGATGAACAGGTACGCTCACATTTCAATTTCACGTCATGAACTAAGCCAACGTTACGAAATACATAGATCCGCCGAACGGTCCGGGAGTACCACACCTCTGCGCAATCCTACAACAAAGACCCACACATCGCAGTAGGGCTGCATATCTCATGGAATGGTTTGCGGTAATGTGAGTGTTTGATGGTGTGAGGGTATATACCGTGTCATGGCATACATATCTCTCCTTTGTCAGACCGCTTAGAGTCCACTCGTCAAAGTAGAAAGCGATGCAGATATCGAGGCTGGTCTTCGAGGCCGAAGCGTTGATAACGGACGAAGCTGACTACGCTATTTCACCTTGAATACATAATCGTGGTTCAAGGATACGCCCGGAATCTATAGGTGTATCATTTATTAATATTTTTAAGTTCTGGGGTTGACAATTCAATCTCGGACTCGATAAGGTCCTGCTTACTCGTTATCCTGATCCGAGTCTACGTAATATCGTCCGATCCAAGCACCATGATAGTTAAAACTTCAATGAATAGCCTAGTAAGCCAGCGCTTCAGCCTTGCATGCGCGAAGACTAGGCCCTCGACCATGTAACTATAAATCCAGGGTCAGTCTCGCTCTCTTCAATCAACTAGTCCACAATGTACATCCCTCCATTCAATACCACTTCCTCCTCGACCTACACCCAATCACCCAATCCATCCTGGACATATGGCCAGAGAGTCGATGCCACTCCTGCCGGAAAAGACTGGCTTGCAGGTGAATCTGCAGGGTGGAAAGTCTATGACACAGCAGAAACAGACAGAATGTACGTACTCCTCGACCTGTTGATCAGTCGTAATCGTGACCATGATCGACAGCAATCTCAACAAGCTCTTGAATTCAGGCGTGTTACCACGCCCCATGGCATTGGTCTCCACAATCAGCGATGATGGCGTAGAGAACATAGCACCCTTCAGGTAAGATGCTTTCATTATCTAACGTGTTCTGCACGCTTACTTGGCTTGCATCCACCAGTTGGTTCAATACAGTAAGCAATACAACACGTACCTTTAATGGTTCAATAACTTCTTCCCATAGGTCACCAACTACCCGCCCGTCATCTCGTTCGCAATCAACCACAAGTCCCCGGGCCACCTAAAAGACACGACCACCAACTTGAGGAATGGCAAAGGATTCGCCGTGAATATCATCAGCGAGGCATTCGTAGAGAATGCAAATGCAACTGCTATAGACGCTCCTCTCGGCTTCGACGAGTGGACTCTCAGCGGTCTGACGAAGGAGAAATGTGTATGCATGCGCCTTGACGATACGGTATGTGTGCTAACAATAACATGTCCAGGTGCAGATAAGAGCCTCGCGCGTCAAGGAGAGCGCTTTTAGCATGGAGTACGAGGTAATTATATTTTATTTCATACCGAGCCTGCTCGCTCGCTAACAGCTCCGCCTCCCAACAGCTTTACAAATCAATAAACATCACGCACCCAGTCACAGGCGAGCACACCAGCACGCTCATCCTCGCGCACGTCAAGTACTTCCACGTGCGCAAAGACATGCTCACAATCAAAGGCATCGTCGACCTTACAAAGTTCAAGCCTGTCTCCCGTGTGGGCGATATCTCATATGCCCGCGTTGGAGATGCGTACAGGATCGCTGTTCCATTATGGGCGCGGGAGGAGGCGAAGATACAGGAGGCATTGACGACGACTCTCGCATCAGCATGAAATAGAACGAAGGAACCATTTTTTTTGGTAACATATACCATAGATCATATGCGAGACGGGCACTGATAGAGTCTGTTGCCATTTCTTATCCCTGAACATAAACCTTTATAATTCACTAGCAGGCCTCGATATATCCTACTTTCTGCATCGTAATGATCATGACTATCCATCAGGAAAAAACAAATATCGGTGTAGTCCCAGTGACGGCTGCATAGTGCCACCTCGTCACTGTATGATATTTAGCTGAAATCAGGGCTATATAGAGCTACAGGAGGCGCTTGTAGTCATTGTGGTCTAAATTGTAGTGCTATTTTATTCCCGCTACGGTATCAATGACTTGTACTAAGGTGTGATTTTAGATCCACGTGACCAATCGCGTTCATATTCAAAAGAAAAGATTCCGATCGATTCATAGTAATGAGATTCGTTGGTACATCCTGTAATTTGAAGGTCGCGATAGGCGGGTTAAAGGTAGTACATACAAAAGATGCAAGTGTAATACAAATAATGATAATCTCCAGTCCCGCCTGTAAGTGTAATGTTGAAAGATCATTCTATTGTTCAGATCGGTTCTGGAGATGGGCTGGGGCTGAGACTAAAATCCGACATCGTAAATGGCCTGCGGGCGCGCGGCGTCGGAGAGTAGCTGCGAGTCGATAGCGGTGAGATTGGCGAGGATGGACGGAGCTTGGAGGGAGTCCGGGGTAAAAACGGGGAGCTGAGAGGGCTAACCACATATGGAGATGATGCTCGCATAGTGATTGGGGATGAGTCGGTCGAAGGCGAGTTCCGTGAACTCGCCCGAGATTTGGGAGTTGTTGGACTTGGGAGGCGAGAGCGCGCCTCAGGGCATGAGATCTGCATGTTCAAAAAATGTTAGGTCATTGAGATACAGCGAGGCGGGAATTCCTACCTTTGGCTCCATAAATCGAGTGGAGGGATAAGGCGCAGTGGCGTCTCTGCGAGCAGCTTTGCCGTCGTCGCGAGCGCGACGCGCCTTGGGCTTGTAGTCATGTTCTGACTTGCGGTGACGCGTCAGGCTACCGGGGTCAGCGGTAGAAAATGGGCAATCGGGGCACTTCTTTGAGCGTTCACCGGTGTGCGTCCTGATGTGTGTCTGGACGTTAGACCTTTGTAGGGTCTTGTAACCGCAGCCATCATATGGGCATGCGTGCATACTGGTGAAGATAGTCAACAGGTCAGAAACCATCCGGTTCAATAGAGGGTAAGCACCTACAGTTCGTCCTTGTTTGCAGCGTGTGTACGCATGTGTCTATGAAGGTCAGCCTTGCGGCTAATGACCTTGTGGCAAACAGAGCATTGGGCAGACAGCTGCAGAGAAGGTGCCATGAGTACAGGATACGTGAAGTGTGAATGATCTGCGGGGTGGGTGTAGATTCCTGGAATGAATCGATGGAGCGCGTGTTGTGGTAAGTCCACACATTTTTTCCCCGTCTTTTAAACCACTGGGTGTGCTGTGAACCTCGAGTGCGATTGTTTTTTCTGCATCGCGCGTTTCTGCCTTTAGAGGCAAAAAATGCGAAGCAATCGTGTGCGATGGTCTGAGCATAAGGGACGAGCCACTCGGCTAGCGGGGAAGGCAAAAGAGTGGGAGAGGCTCGATTGCGTCTCGACACTTTTTGTTATTTTTACCTTGTAAGGTAATTTCTAGTTGCCTGCTCGATCTGGGGATGAGTGGCTCAGTACTCAGGCGTGATGAATGGGGAAAATATTAGGGGGCCGGAATCCATGGGCCCTGCCTAACGGCAAACACCTTACCAAGGCACGTCCAAAAACATTGATGCCGCTGCCGAATTTAATTCCAGTATCATTCTCTAGATAGCTTTCGCCATCACCAGTTGTCAATCGAGCTTTCGAAGACTCGGAGGACGATAAAACCAACATGTAGTCCAGTTCAGTGCAGTAACATCGCTAACGTTATCCAGGCAGGCGTTATCGCCAAGTCTTTATGTACTTTCAGTTACCTTGTTTCCGCCATCTTCGCCGATATAACCAGTGGATCAGATGCAGTACCGGCGCTATCATTCGAACGAACCGTATACCAAAACCTGCCTTAGCCTCTGACTTGTGACCGAGGACCAAGCAAAGTGGTTGTGCAGATTAAAAAAGTCTATGGGCGACCTCGGAGAACTCGCATACATTTTGAAAGAAAGCCAAAAGATACCGCGCCTAACCTTGACATACGTCAGTAAGTAAATCCTTCCCTCCTCACCTTCCCAACCACATCCTGGGTAACCTCTCGAATATTTCTGACCCTGGGCCACAAGTTCAATGTCGCGTTGTTGTTAATTCGAATAACCTTTCTAGGAATCATGGCAGTTAGAAGTGAGCACAAAGTAAGAAGTGAAGCTTTTTTCTGCGATGCAGCGTTTACTGAGGCGAGTTTGGTAGCTACCTCGCTGACCCCCATTCTTCAAATAAGTTAGAACGGTGGGCACATTATCGTGTACTTGTGTTCGCATCCACAACGGACTTGCGGCAATGGATTCGACTATGCTTTGGATGGGTCATTCATCGCCAAATCTGTGAGGGCGCGTGGTTTGATCAGTGATAAGGATGGCAGACGCTTGTGTAAGTGGATGCTGTTGGTCAGTGCGGAAGCACCTTACGTCCACTGGCATTGACATTGACCATCGCACGTGACGGTCCAGTAGTTATCCGCCCGCTGGTTCAAGGCATGCATACAACGACATGAAGCATCAGAACTAGATTTTGGTTACGAGAATTATACACCTCACTAGCTGCTGAGTGTCCTGTAGGATTCATTCAAGATTGACGTATCGACACTTGATCAAAGGAATACAATGCGGCATCGACTAGTATGCGTAAGTTCGTGCCATTGTTACTGAAGTACTCACTACTTTTCTAGATCTTCGACCGACGCTCCATATATTATTCCACTGTCCATGCTGTGCATGATAATAAAGGCGTCGGATGTGGTCCTGGGACCTACATCGTATGCTTATAAACAACAACTTCTTCCGAGTCGACCTCGTATCGAAAAGCCAGCAGCATACTTCATGTATTGGCTTTGTTGGTTGCAAATACGTGGCATGATTAACAGCAGCAACAACTGGCACATAGTACACCCACTGGCAGCCTGCGAAACATATCGGTTATGGTTCATGACGGTAAGTAAACGCACTGCATTGAATTGTTGATTTATATTTCGAGCAAGCATAGAGAACCAGGACCGTGTGAAGAGAAGAGTGAACGGTTGAATGAAGTACTGCAAGGAAGATGCAGGAAAAGAAGTAACGGTTTGATTTGTCGAGATCCATGAGCACTGAGGAGCGCTCAGTGTAAGTGCGGATGCTCGAATCGTCCACTTTTTCTGAGACTTCAGTTTGTCTTGCTTCACTAAACAACACACCAAGATAATAATTTGCAAAGGACCTGGCTCGTGTGTGAAGGAAGGACAGGGTAGGACTCGCCTCCTGCACCGAGTTGCAAGTTCGTGATTGTGTCTGACTCTAAAAGCAGTCGAAGCAGTGAATGGATTGTACAAGTGTTTTCTGAAGACCCTCAGACAAACGAAAAGGGGGCAGCTCTGAGCTCTCGCGATGATCATAGGAAAGTATTTCTCGAAGACCAGGACTTTGTATTGTCACGGCCGTAAGTTAGAGTCTCTACGGTCGTAGCCAAATAAGCTTACTATGGCAAAATGTCACGTTTTTGTCACTTGTATCGTTGGTTCATCGTTTACTATGAGTCACCCAACAACTCTTGAAAGTACTATTATGATCCCCCCCAAACCTGAGTTGGCTTGTGCACAAACAAAGTTCCCGCGGCAATTATTCTTGTGAGGGCCAACGATGAAACCCTCTACATCCGACGAGGGCAGGTCCAAGGAGGGCTCAAACTATCTCAGCCTCTCTGGCTCCGATTTTGCCTGTGCTTCTATCTCTGGGTTCACGTTCACCCGCTGCTCCTCTTCTGCAAAAAAGAAGCGGAAATTCTGAATCCAGACTCGCATCGAAGATGGCTGAGTTTCCTAATACTATCTTAGGGTACGAGTCGAGTAAGCCAGATGATGATATATGGTGTTCGATCCCTCCCAGAATTCTGCTCGTCACAAACCTTTGTTGAGTGTTCATGGATTTTGCAGTTTCCTCGCTCAAACATCTTTCAGCGACATCCTCCAGCTAAGAAACCATCAACACTTTCCCGACTTCACGGTGAAGTTGAATCACTGTTTAATATCCAGACACGTCAAGCTCATGGTATGACCACCACCTCCATTATATTCTAATCCACGCCAGCACCTCGACCTCGGTTCCATTTCCCGCTCTCCAGCTTTTTGGACTCCATCAATGACTCAGACCTAGGACGATCTAGATCTCATGGCCCAGAAAAAGCCTACATTCAATCATACCGCTGGACAAGATGCGACAACTTCTGGCAACAGAATCGGCTCATTGTTGACAACGCGACCTTCATTAGGTCGTGACGCTTGGGATGTGGTCTTAGAAGCCATTACTCAACGCTCCCGACCGGGTGTGTAAAAGGTCAAGTTACATATCGACCTGCATTGAGGCCGTGTTGCGGATGGCCAATATTATCACAGTCATGGACAGCACGGTTGATGCCCAAGCAGAAGATGTACTTTTAGAAAACAGGAGGTGTATCGTCGCATACTTGGGTGCACCTGTTATTAATAGTTTGTCCCTTTGGGAAAAGATATACATGGTTCGAATCTATTATGCACAACCCATACATTCCATCCACGAAACTGCCAAATATCGAGGTCCAGAATAAACCTAAGGTGTCGCACGACCGGGCCATCGTGGATACAGCGAGCATTCCCTGGAAGGCATCCGCGTCAACGTGATTTTCTTTATTAGTCCTGATTGATACATACCTCACAGTGAATCGGTTAGCCAGCCATGCAAGGAACCGCTAAGCCAGACATGTCAGCGCTTACCACGTTTATGCGAAAAAATATATAAGGAGAGACTGACCTCGACACCCAGTCCGTACCCTCCATGCTGGCAAGTACCATATTTACGCTGGTCAGTGAACCAGTAGTAAGGGGCAGGGTCAATTCCCTCGCGCTTGTACGCCGCCAGTAGCTCTTCCATATCTGCTATCCTCATCGATCCGCCTATCGCGAATTTCGTCATAGGTAGTAGCGTACGGCAGTCCAGAATTTCACATACCAACAATTTCTCCGACACCAGGCATCAAAAGGTCACAGCTCTCTGTGTATACAGGGCCCTGCTCTCCCTCTTTTCTTGGCATCTTCTGCATGTAGAATGCCTTCAACTCCGCAGGGAAGCCATACAAAAAGATCGGCGCCGCAATGATATCTGTCATTTGCCTCTCCGCAGCCTCTGCGATGTCGTCACCGATTTGATGATCGACCATCACGGGCTCGTCTTTACCAGTCTCCTCGTCTTTCTTGGTGATCACGTTGCCGTCGGTGTCCTCGGCCGGGCGTTGGATCTTGTGCTCGTTGAGCCATGCGATGGCGGATGCGTAGGACATACGCATGAAAGGACGAGAAGGCGCTTTAAAGTGAGGGTTCAGAGTTTTGATGAGGGCCGCGGTAGCAGGGTTGACGAGGAGCTTATCGACTGTCTCGCAGATCTGTGTAGATGCACTGAGTAAAAACTCCGGAAGATGCAGTAGTGAAACGTACAATGGCTTCTATGTGTGTCATGAGGTCATCAAATGTAATGAATGCAAGCTCTGCTTCAAGGTGGGTGTATTCGCTCAGATGACGGCGAGTGTGACTGGGGAGGGACGAATTCGATTATTGGAATGAAAACACGTCCGATGAATGGGAAGGTAATACAAACCTGTTTTCGGCACGGAAGCTCTCCTGGACACAGAATACGTCCCCGAGGGAAGGTAGACATGTTTCAAGATAGAGCTGGGAGCTCTGCGTGAGGAATGCTGGTTCACCGTAGTAATCGAACTTGAAGAGCGTTGCGCCACCTTCCACTTGTGTTTGTACCATACAGGGCGGCGTCACTTCCAAAAGGTCGTTGTCTGCAAAGGACTGACGGAAAGCTGAGAGAAGGGCCGCACGCAGGCGAAGCACAGAAGAAGCGGTCTCGCCACGGAGAACGAGATGCCGGAGATCAGCCAGGATGGATGGGTCAGATTGCTAAAGAAACGGTTAACACATGCACAACAAATTAATTAAACGACTCGGACCTCGTTGAGCCTGTTGGTAAATGCTTCTTCGGCACCAGGAGCGGCACCAAGGACGCGCCAATAATCAACGACTAGTTCGTGTCCTCCAGGAGCGCGCTGTCCTTCAGGAACCTCCTTCAGCATACCAGTCAGCTCGACTGATGCCTCTAACTGTAACGTTACAGCATCGTATGTTTTGTTCTGAAGAAGGAATCAGATTTAAAGTCCAAAACTGTGAGCTACAAAAGTTACCGCATTCCCAGTAAGAACAGCCTGCAGATATCCTGTCCCGTCCCGCAGGACAATAAACGTGATTTCTTGCTGGTCTCGCCGTCTGTGTACCCAGCCAGATACCCGGACGCGCTGCCCGCGAAGGGATTCCAATTTGACGATCTTGGACTGTTTGATTTAGAAATAAGCAGCGTAACCACAACTTCAAGTTATCGACACTGCTACCTTGACAGATTTTGGGAGTGAAGGATCTTCAGTAAGAACGATCTTTTTGCTTTCCTGGAGTCTTCGTTCGCGTTTCTCTGCCTTCTCTTTTAATTCTCTCTCTTCTGCTTGCGCTTTTAACCGTTTCTTCTCAAGTCCCTGGGCGTCCTTTTTTGCCTTTTTTGTCGCAGACTGTGTTGGTGCATCATATGTTGCATCTGCATCCTTGCGGATCTGGTATTGTGTCGTTTCGGCTTCGGTGGTAGGCGTCGAGAAGAGGGCGAAGGCAAGGGACTGATAAGGCTGATCAACGGACCCATTTCCGGACGCGTCGACGCCTGATGCTTGATCTATGTATATTGTTGACATTAGAGGTATATCTATTGGAAGCTTTGAAGAACTAGATGGTGGTATGAGTCAAGAATCTTTTGAAGGTATCAGTACGGGATCCAGATCAAGTTAGTGACTCGTATAGATCAACGGTGTCCTGATTTGGGTTAGCTACCACATCTGATAAGATATCAACTTGGCAGCGAGCAATTACTTCCATGCATCATAGCCTAGGTCATTCGAGACACGCGTTCCGAGTCAGTCTAGAAAACAAATTGGCAGTTTGAAATTGCTAGGATATGTATTGGGCACAAGATATGAGAGAATTCGAAGGAGCCTGCAACATCACTGCAGCGAAAATGAAGAAGGATCAACAATATTAATGTGAATGCCCAGCCTTGTTGAACCAACCTGGGACACGTGGTACATCGAAATATCAGTATATCCAAGTAAAGACAGGAAGGACGTTATATACAATCGCACCCAAAATATCAGAGATAGAAGCACAAAAGCCGATAGACCCGACGCAAACACACTTTGCAGCAAGGTGGCTACCGCCTCCCACCTTTGATCATTCCTACACCAGTAACATCATCTCGTACAGTGTCCCACTCCAAATCCATTGGGTCGTCAGCGTTGTCAGATGGCACTGGCTGTCGTACTGCAGATGTTGTTTTGTTGTCTCCACACCCGCAGTCATATGTTTCATCAAGGTGAGCGCAGTCAAATGACGGCTTTCCTAATCGTTCGTTGACTTTGTTGTGTATTGAGCACAGCCTGGCCTCGTGTAAGCAGGCAAGACTCGGCTTATGAAAGAAGGGAATATTTCACCATAGACTTGCTGCCAATCTCGATCCTGTCTGTTGAATGCTTCTTAGCTGATGAAGTTTGAAGTTGAAGATAATTTACCTGTGGCGGGAATTTCGTTAACAATTCCTGAAATTCAGCTGCGCATTCGCCACAGGGGTATAGGCGCGACGTAAGGTGAAAGTACGAATTTAAAGCATCTCTTTCGTCTTGTGTTGGGTGCTATATGTGTTTTCGTCAGCATAATAGACTATAACATCAGACCCACCCTACCTCAGGGTACCGTAGAGTCATAGTATGGCTACGTCATACAGCAAGTAACAACGTTTAGCAAACGTCCTTGATACAATAAACAGAATACACACAGCAGCTTCCACGTCGCACGACCGAGTTCTGCCCTGTGATAAGTGTGTAAGACCCGATGTAACTCCATCTCGCATTACCTACTTGGCAGTTTCATTCCCCAACTTCGACATGATCACACCTCCCTGTGCTGACGCAGGCCTGTCACCATTATACAGAGGAGGACGTAGATCCTGTTCAACACCGCCTTCACCGAAGAAGTCGCCAGTCCATGGGTCGATATACGCGCGGGAGGGGGGGTGGAGGAATGCTATTGTGGCCAGCAGAAACTGAGATAATCATTTTTGAAAAGCTCTGGGGTAAAGTATTAAAGCACGTACGAGGCAAAGGACAATCGTCAGAAAAGACTTTGCGAACCGGGAAATCATGACCTGGGTACAATGAATGAATCTTCGAAAGCTTCAGTGGAACCGAGTAACTTTAATATTGGGTCTGTCTTGAAAAGGCAGGTGGAAACTCCCGGCTACACTTCGACAACAATCATATGCATATCGATGCGCTCTAATCCTTTTATACTAGCCCTTATAAGCTGCTAGATTGGTCATTGCAGAACATCCAAAATGTTCTACGTGATTGGTCTTGGACTGTGCGACGAGAAAGACATCACAGTCCGTGGACTAGAAGCAGTCAAATCCTGCTCTCGAGTCTACTTGGAAGCCTACACGTCCATCTTGATGGTGAATAAGGACCGCCTCGTCAGTCTATCATCACACCATTCTTCTCTTACTGCTCACATGCGCATAAGGAAGCCTTCTATGGCAAGTCACTTATCCTTGCAGATCGCGACATGGTAGAGCTCGAGAGCGATGAAATCTTACGCGATGCAGCCACTGAAAATGTTGCATTTCTCGTCGTTGGTGATCCATTTGGGTGAGGCCGTCTCATTTCCTTGTCTTGTACGCATTGACTTATCAGCTTTGTGGAGTGCGACGACGCACACGGATTTACTGCTACGAGCTCGCGACCTGCAGATCCCTACTCAAATCATCCATAATGCATCTATCATCAACGCAGCGGGATGCTCGGGGCTTCAGCTCTACAATTTTGGGCAGACAGTATCTCTCGTCTTCTTTACAGACACATGGAAACCAGACTCGTTCTACGACCGCATCGCAGAGAACGCCAGATTGGGGCTGCATACCCTGGTACTTCTTGACATCAAGGTAAAGGAACAAAGCGAAGAAAATCTAGCAAGGTGCTTATACTTCCCTGGTACCTCTGGTTTCTGATTTATGATGAAACGCAGAGGAAGAAAAATATACGAACCGCCACGATACATGTCCATTCCTATAGCTGTGAACCAACTTCTCGAAATCGAAAGCATCAGAAAAGAAGGCATCCTCGATGGCGATTCGACACTAGCTATTGCACTATCGCGTGTGGGAAGCATACCCTCCAGCGAAGGATTGACAGATGATGATGGCGGCACTCAACGTATCGTCGCAGGTACTCTCTCGGATTTGCAAGCCCAACCAGAGTCTGTGTTTGGAAAACCACTTCACAGCCTCATCATCGCTGGCAAGAAGTTGCATGAATTAGAGGCAATTTATGCAGGGGCCTTTGCTGTCAACAAGGACAACTGGAATCGGATCGCAAAACAAATATCTTAGGTCAAAAATAGTAATAGGCAATTTCACATTATAACGCGCGTCTCATCTGACTTCGCAAAATTTTCATAGCATGCCAGTGAGCGAACATGGTGATGAGCAGTGTCGCGGAAAAAATGAGGCCAAAAGTACTTGGAGCCATTGGGGCTACATGCTGGAACATCTGGCACCAACGAAACAATGCATGCATGTGATACAAAAGCATCGAGACAGCAGCGACAGATAACAATAAGATAAGCTTGCCAGTTGGGCTGTGAAAAAGCATGACCCAAACCTATAATTCCGCACCCTATCCAGAAACTTCAAATTACATACACATTTTCCTTCTTCATCTGATAATCATCTAGCTTGCGGAAGTACTCAAGGCGCGCTAGGCGTTCCTGTTTGTATCGCTAAGAATTGGAGAAACAATTATTAGTGAGAGGTAGCCCTCATGAACATAGCTAGCGAACCTCGCGGGTATCATCTGACAATTCCATCAAGTCATCAAGGGGCTTCGCTTTCTCCTTGCCCTTACTCCGAGGTTTCAAGGATGACTTTTTGGTCCCCTTTGAAACGGGTTTAGCACTTCTTGAGGCAGGCTTTGCATTTGATGATGGCTGTGCCTTCGATGCAGGCTTCCTCCGCTTCGGTTGCTCCTCATCACTATCACTGTCGCCTGTAGGATCGACGGCCATCCTAACCCTTCCTTTACTCCCAGTTTTCGCTACAACAGCTGCCCTCCGCATAGTCGCTCTGCGCGGCAAGAGCTTCTCTAAGTTCTTGCACGCCTGTCTGGGGCTCAGCGAAGCATCTTCTTTAGTAGTACGGACACGCTTGCGAGATTTGGGCGCGTCATCCTGGGCTTTGCCCTTCCCTTTCGCCTGTGCACGCGTAGTACGTTTCGGAACGGGGGTATGCTCCTCCGCTGTTTCTGAGTGATCTGACGGTGTTTGGGGTTGTCTAGCGGCTACGCTAATCTTTACAGGTGATGGGCTGGATACTACATCACTGGAGGCAGGAGTGGCAGCATCAATGTCGCGTTTACGTTTTCGCGGCGTACGGAGGGGATCGCGACTGCGTATTGGTTGGTCTCGCAAAATGTCCAAGCGAGGTTTAAGTAGGACTGGGACTACTATTTCCGAGCGAACAGAAGCAGGGGAGCACGATGGTGTTGGGATATACGAATGGCGCAAAAGCGGCGCAGGGACTGGAATAGATGTCGCGATTGGTTCGTCGAGATAAAGATCATCGATGTCTTCATCGTTTGTTGGGATAGGTACTGAGGAAGCGGCTGGGCGTGTTGGAGTAGGAGTAGCATAATTATGCTGTCCTCTGGTACGCGTGGAATGTGGTGTGACGCGTAAAGCAGGAGATAGAACGTGTTTGCGTTTCTGGTTTGGTAGACGTGCAACCCGGCGTTCTTTCAGTACCTTCTCGGCCGCTAAAAACCCAAAGGGGTCTGAATCACCACTTCTAGGATCTATTTCTTGAGCATGACGATAAAACGCGGTCATGTTATACTCGTAAGAATTCATATGCGATGTTGACGCAAAGTTCTGTTGTCCATATGTAGAAGTCGAAGCAAGCGGCGAACTCGGAGGGAGTGGTGAGGTTGGCTGCCAGTTGGGAGGGTCGGCTGGAAATGCAAGGCTTTTTGGCTTCTTTGGCCGTCGAGGTGGTTTGAGGCTTGTAAACGTGCCGACTGCTTTGATCGGAGACGGTGAAGGTGGATGAAAGAACTCATCAGTGATGTCACGAAGCGCATCTTCATGGGCAGGCGTGCGAGGCGGATTTTCCAGCGAGCGGAGTGGTGGCGGAATAGAAATGCTGAACGAATTTTCGTCAGTTTCAGACTCGTTGTCCCTATCACCAATATTAATGGCGAATATATTCTCGTCATTTTCTTGCTCTATCTCTGAATCAGAGTTGAGTAACTCTTTCTCGACTTGACTCTTTGCTATCTTCTCGCTTTCATGGGCCGCCTGAGCTAGTTGTCTGCGCGTTCTTGGTGGCATTGTCGACGTTGTTGTGGAAGGGGCGTGGGAATGTAAGGACAATGAGGAGAAGTCGAAATGCGCGAGGTAGCGATTACGGCATCACGTGAATTGAGTTTCCTTATTAATCCATGAGTATTCCGAAATGCAGTCTCTCGAAAAACCTTGACAATGCACCAGGGCAGATCCTTTAGGAATTCACGCTCGCGATCGTGTGCACATGGATTATAAATCAAAACGATGGTACCATATATTATTGTTCAAGTTCACAGCAGACTCCAGCAATCACTTATTCAGTCCTGTTCATCGAGGGTGCGAGCATTATACACGCGCTGCAATAACAGATCCCCTGATTTCACCATCTCAGAAATTTATCATGCATACACAGTTGTTGTTCTCTGCATCTCGTACTCGCGCAATTACCTCGGTCGCCCGTTTTCAAAACCTCGGCCAGCGCTGTATGAGCGTCCGCCCATCAAAATATGAACATTCCAGTGGTGAATCACAGAAACAAGCTCGTGAGTGATGTTTTACCTAAAATCGCAAATACGATTTTTCATCATGCACGACAGCCCGCAAAAAGGTAACAATCGCCTCGCTGCACGCTCTCCGTCAGGAACGCACCCCGATCACTATGCTCACAGCATATGATTATCCCACTGCACGTGCTTCATCTACACACGGCATTGATATCACCCTTGTCGGTGACAGCCTAGCCCAGGTCTGTCTCGGCTATTCCAGCACCACTTCGCTCACTCTTGATGAAATGCTTCACCATTGCCGCGCCGTCGCCCGAGGAACATCCGCACCATTTATTGTGGCAGACATGCCGTTCGGAAGCTTTTATGCCGGGAAAGAAGACACGGTTCGAGCAGCCGTCCGCATGCTCCAGGAGGGAAACGTGGAAGCCGTGAAACTAGAGGGAGGGAGTGAGATCGCTGGACGTGTACAAGCACTCACGAGTATCGGAATACCCGTAATGGCCCATGTAGGGTTACTACCACAACGGCACACCGCGCTCTCCGGGTACCGGGTCCAGGGGCGCACAGCGCAGTCTGGTAGATCGATTCTGCACTCGGCCCTCGCCCTAGAGGAGGCAGGAGCGTTCTCCATTGTTCTCGAGGCCATCCCTTCGTCTCTTGCTGCATACATTACATCGCGGTTGAAGGTGCCCACTATTGGCATTGGTGCAGGCCCGGGTTGCAGTGGGCAAGTACTTGTGTGGGACGACGTTATGGGGACATGGGCAGGGCACAAGGCAAAATTTGTGAGACGGTTTGGAGATGTTAAGAGCGAGGTCGAACGAGGTGTAAAGGAATATGCCAGTGCTGTTAGAAATGGCAGCTTCCCTCAACACGAGAAGGAGGGTTATCGGATGGATGACGGAGAGATGGAGAAGCTGTTAGAGATGGAAGGTGACCGAGAGTGGACGTGGAGCGGCCCTCCGGAACTGATGTCAAACTAACCAGATGCTTCAATGTAGACACGTATCTGTCATAAATAGGGGCCCCAAGGTGTAGATACTGTGATGGATTACAAGTCAGTTTATACTTTTCCGATTCAGAAGACTTGCTTCAAGATCCATTGAATAATCATGGAAAGATTGTTTTATGTTGTTATCCGCGCACGGAAGAAACAGACGGATAAAAACGTACAAGGGGTTGCCGAGTTTCACGTGCCCCAGAAGTAGCTAATGCCTTCTAGCCTTGCATCAGCACCAGCTGAACCTGTTGGCAAATTTGTCAGTACAAATGCACGCAATTTTTTTTTGGGTAGGACTCACTTTTCGTTATACACCCACTCTATATTTCCCGTTGTTCCGGGTCCATACCACATCATCTGTGGTATATGTTCGTTTCGTATGACTGTCTGCCCACCTGTCCTCTCCGCAATGTCCCTTAATCGTTCTCCCAACTTCCATACCTCTACTTTCCCAATTCCGCTTCGTCTAGCCGCCTGTCTGATCTTCGCAATTAGCCCAGGGAAGGTCTCTTCACTGGCACAGAGTCGCGTAATGATTAACGTTGGCGGGGGAGGTCTCAGGTCTATGCTCCAGCATGCATATGTGTCTGGGTCGTTCAAGGACTGTATACCCCAGAATCCGCCTGCCATAGAAACATTCGAGGCGTATGTTGAACGTGGGATGTGGAACCCGCAGACACCGTTTGTTGGCAAATACGTCACAAATGCTGTCGGGCGCTCCACCTCGTATGAAGTATCACTTGTCAATATGTTCGCCAGGTTTTTCTTGATTCGCTCAGCATCGCGATCCCAAAGCCCGTTCAGCTGCTCCTGCGTCAACCACGTCCATCCATCGTCATCCCCCTCCTCTATGCCCACGTCCCAAATAGTCGAAACGGCTCCCCGCGTCTCCCATCCATCCTCTTTTCCCCCAGGGCCTGCCGAGCGGTAAAAACATTCTCCGACATCACTGTACAAGCAAGAGAACAATCCCTCGCTAGCTTCTGCTACCTGTTGCGGTGGTGCGCCCCATGCCTCTGGGAACTTGGGGAGATTGACACGCGGCGCAATAATCCCAATGTAAGAGGCTCATCATATGGCTTGCGTAGCCACGCCCGCGCTTTGAAGGTGGGGTGAAGACACTTGCAACGGCATAACAGGTTACTTCGTGCACTGAGTTGGGCTCGGATATAGAAGAGGAAGGATAAGCGACGAGACCCGAGCGTTTAAATCTGCCCCCATCGACACGCGTCAGAAACATTGACAGGTTTGTCGAGGGTACTCAAGTAGCTTACGTCTCACAGGAACACATGAAATCAAGAGTGGTTGGATCGTCCCGTGGCGCCAGCACCCTTCCTCCCCCATTAACTTCTTCCCTTCTGGAAAAATGGTTTGCTCACCAGGTGATGAACTTTCCATCCTTTGCGTGATCCATAGATTCCATCTCAGCCTCTCGCGTAAGGTACTCTGTGTGGTTCAGAGTGCCACCCCATAGCGGCCAAGTGCGACACCATGACTCTTCAAGCTGAGCATGCGTCGCGGGAAAGATCGAAAGTGACGCAGGGTCTACCTTTGGTTCTATCATCGGTAATAGTCACAGTCTTTGATCAGGAACGTTGATATGGTGTTGAGAGAACTTCGCTAGTGGCTGAATTGAAAGTGATGTCTCTATCATAATGGGCTCACTCTGTCACCCCCACTCGCGTGACCTTCAACCTCACATTGCTTGGGAAAGTCGAAGCAAAAGCGATGAATGATTTGTCACGTGACCGACTTGATCCGGGCCGACCTTTTGTGGACAAAAATAGCTACCGGGCCTGCCTCTTGGTCACGAGACCGGGATTAGAGCCCACGTACGTCGCACAGCCGTTTACTTTAATGATGAATTTAATGCACAGCCAATCCAAATTACTACTACTGGCATTGAACTGCGGCCTGCGCTTTGGCAGACACCCAAGCGTAGTCGAAGCTTCACTATCAGTTTTCTAACTTCTTTGAACTTCTCATGTCTCTGATCCAAGTCTGCGTTCTCAGTTCGTTCTCTTTCGCTCTCTACAAGGTCCTTGCGTTCCTGCTACAACGGACCCACGGAATTGACCTCGATGGACCAGACAGGGGAAATTGGCTGACAGGTATGTTCTAAAATCAACTCTTATTGATATTCGACTACCCCGTCTAACATGCACATAGGCAACATCACGTCCCTCTTTGAAGGTGGTGTTGATTATTGCGTGCATATTGCAGAGAAATATGGTGGAGTAGTGAGGCTCCATGGGCCGCTAGGCGTGAGTACTTCATTCATGACTAGTGCACATCAACCTTCCACTCACTTGCGTCATTTAGGAAACCTTGTATGTGTCTGACCCACGCGCATTGTATCACATGGTCGTCAAAGACCAGCTCATCTTCGAAGAGCCCGACCCTTTCATCATGTCAGTATTCTCTTACTTTGTCATACTGAATTGACTCGGTAGTATCAAGGTCAAACAAACTCGTTTTCGGTGAAGGCCTGATATCGACCATCGGTGAGGCACATCTCTCTAAAATTAGTTATTCTTTTTAACCTGTGTCTCACTAGGGGAGCAACATCGCCGGCAACGCAAACTTCTTAACCCTGTCTTCTCAACATCAAACATGCGACGACTCCTCCCCACGCTACACCCCATCTCCGACAGGCTCACATCTATCCTCGCGTCCAAACTTCCCGCTGACGGCTGTATGTACCACAATCGCACACTTTGCAAATATTCTTCATTGATTTTTTTTATGCAGCTCACAAAGAGATCGACGTCCTCCCATGGTTATCCCGTTGTGCACTTGATGGCGTCTGTCAAGGTATCCTCGGGTACCCCTCCAACACCCTTTCAGCAGCAGAAAACGACCCGTACCCGGAAGCATTGCGGAAGATCGGGTAAGTCTGCACATTTTGGTGTCTGAACTCAAATGGATAATGATGCATGACAGCCCCTTGATCGGAAAGCTCATGAAGGTACGGGCGATTGTCCCGATTGTAATGAAATACTGCTCTCCGTATTGGGCGAGGAAAGTAGTTGATTTGGTCACGATGCCCTGGCTCCCAACGCAGTTTATGGCAGACGTGCGGGAGATGCGACGTACTGTAGAAACAATGGATAGTGCCAGTCGAAAGGCGTTTTTGGAGAGAAAAGCAGCCATGGAAGCCAAAGAAACAGCGGACCCTATTGACGCTGCATGCAGAGACAGCAATTCGACGACGTCAATGATGGATATCATGCGTAAGTTCCATGGGTAATCGAGAACATCCTTGCTCAGTATAATGCACAGTAAAGGCCAATGCTGTGTCATCCAACACGGAACAGCTTACAGATGCTGAGTTGTTGGGACAAATGAAGTAGGTCTCAATATTTTTCTGCGTGTTGAAAGCATTGATTGATATTGGTGCAAGCGTTATGGTATTTGCCGGCCTCGACACGACCACCTCTGCGCTTGCCCGCTGCATCTACTTACTTGCCCAACACTCCGGTGCTCAAGCGAGACTCAGGAGCGAAATTCGCGATGCTACGAAGATACTTGAAGAAGACGGTGGCACGTCATCCGCAGAACTGCCCTTCGACATCCTTATGAGCCTACCGTTCCTCGACGGTGTTGTCAAAGAGACCCTCCGTCTCTATCCGTCCCTTCCAGTCATGGCCCGAGTGTATGTTTCCCCTCCTCTCCCATAAAGAGAACTCACTTTATGCATGATACACCACAGATCATCCAAAGCAACCACCCTTCCGTTGGAATTCCCTACGCGATCCCGGTCTGGTGGATACACATCCGCCGTCGCAATTCCGGAGGGCACCCTTGCGATCATCTCCATCCTCGCTGCGAATCGTCACCGAGAGATGTGGGGTGCTGACGCAAATGAGTGGCGTCCTGAACGGTGGCTTTCATACCCTCTTTCTGCTCCCTCGCAGGAACAAGAGGCGAAATGTTCATTGAATGGGGATGCTGCATCCTTGTCGAGATCGGCGCCTGTTCTGGGTGTCAAGGATGGTGTGCGGTTTCCTGGGGTGTACTCCAACATGTGAGTACTCACAGCGCTTCCCCACCAAAGTGCGTATGCTTAAATAGACATAGGATGACGTTCCTTGGTGGTAGCCGCTCCTGCATGTCAGTTTTTCAATCCCTCGCATGCCATACCCTACTCCTACTAATCCGATTTCAATTTTTACAGCGGGTTTAAATTCGCCGAAATGGAATTGAGTATGTCTATAGCTTCGTGTGTGAGTGTTAAAAATAATACTTCTGATCAGAACATGTTCTCGCAACACTTGTGCTTCGTTTGCACTTCTCGCTCCCGACGGAACGGAATGCACAAGGCCAGGTAAAGGAGATTCAATGGAAGCTACAGGCATTTCATATTCCTGTGGTGAAGTCGCCTTCTGGAGATGGCGTAACGCCACAGGTACCGCTGAATGTGCGGCTGGTAACGAAGGATGATTTTATCTCGTAGGTATTGGATAAGTAGTGATGCCTGCGCGCCTAATATGCAGGGCATGATTTTATGCAGTCGAGCTATGCAATTGACAACCGAGTGTATGATATGTATGATAGAAAATGAAGGAAAGCATCGTCGGGGAATGAGAAGAATATTTGGACTCGACTTCATAGCATATTGTCAATGAATCCGAGACTGTCATCTCACCACCTTTTTGCCGCCAATCAAATTACATTCAAAGGTATTCTATAGTGCCCTGGAACGCTCTAGGCCATCATGCATCATGTGTTGAATGCTTTAGCCAGGTCCAGGTCTGCTTTTAATTAAAATCTTGCAAGAGGTAAAATGTTTATACACCCGATGCGTGGAGTTAAGTCAGGCTCATCTTTGATGATCTGCGCATCTATAAGGGTCCGCGGTAATGGCGGACCAGCGGAGGTAACCTTCACGCTGAGATGAAAGGTATAGAGACAGGGACTACCCGGTAATATAACCCCAAAAGACATAAGTTGCATTCCCAAAAAAAATGAAGGAAAAAGTCGCTACAGGACAAAGTTGTTCACATGGATATCGTAATTTACAGCGAAACAGTACAAATTTACGTCGTGTCTTGCGGGGGATGGTCCGCGGGGCCAGCAGTAATTCACCTACAAGCGCGATAGCGTTGACTACACCAGATATCTAAAACCAACAGGGTCCTGGAGGTCATCGATATCCTTTGCATTCTGCTCGTTTCTCTCAATCTGTGCATTCACCCGCTTCAAATGCAAATACATGACACAAGTCATGGCCGTCGACATCCCAAGGGCTATAGTGCAGATAGCGTACGAATAACGATATGTCGGGCCCCAGCTGAGAGGCCAGAGGAACCTATGGGAGATACATCGTAGGTACTCAGTGAGAGCGGAAGATCAATGGAACTCACGGTCCGGCGATGTTCCCCGCTGAAGAGACTCCACTGATCACAGCGATAGCAACAGCTCGCTTGGCAGGTTCTCTGGAAAAAGTGTTTTTGACCCATGCCCAAAGCACCATTAGTCCGCCGGCGTTCTGAGCCATCAGGAACCTGCACGTCTCTGAGTACACAAGCCATCGCTGTATGGGCAATGATACAGCTTACAGTGAAACATAGCGCGCAACCGTGTTCATCGTACAGATGGTCATAATGAATCCAAGGGCAGTCAATGCACTCGATGCAAGAATAAATATGGTACGCTTTCGCGTCTTGTCAGAATACCTGATGGTCCATGAAGCGTGATTCGGGGTAAAAAAGAAAAGTTTACTGACCTTGAAAAAACAAAAGCGCCAGTCGTGGCGAGCACCGATGGAGGAATGACGAGCAGCAAAGTCACCGAAGTATCATATCCCATGCTCGCAACGAGTGTTGGGAAGTAAAAGCCGAATGACAGCGCGATATGATTAATGGTGAACAAGATTGTAAACCACCATACCTTCCAGTCGCGCAGAGCATCCCGCAGTCCTTGCATAGTTGTCCGTTTCCCAGGCCCATCCATGCTTCCATAGCCATCGTCTTCAAGGCGGGAGATAGCGAGTGATCTTTCCTCCGGAGTGAGGCATTTGGTGTTGTGAGGGAAATTAGGCAGTATGAACATCGTACAGATCGCAACTACGATGGTCATGCCGCCATCGATGTAAAACAACCACCTGCACATATGTCAGCTTCAGCGAATGTCAGATGCGAACGTTTCTCGCCTCCATCCGGCTTGACCAAGTGTTCCCTGCATGCCTGTAAGTATACCAGAGGCAAGCGATGATCCAAACGCAGTGCTGAGCACGCTTCCCAAACTAAGACAAGTCGCTCTCAAAGCGAGCTCGTCTCGCTTGTACCATCCTGATAGAAGAAATATGACGCCAGGAAAGAAAGGTGCTTCGACAAAACCAAGAAGTAAACGGGTGAGAAGAACCTGGGTATAACTTGTATCGAACTATCAGACGACACAACGATGAAAAATGAGAATGTGTACTTCTGTGAGATCCCTAGGTACGATTAGCATTCATGATCACAAGTGGCCGATATCGACAGACCTGTTAGTATTGATACCACACCCCATAACACCATACTCCATGGAATCAGGATAGCAGGTCTCTGTAGCCAATACAGAAACATATTCCTAAAAGAGAGAAAGTGACATTGGAATTTCCCTTAGCAAAGGATCACCTTACGCTGGCACTTGCATGACAATAAATCCCACATAGACGATAGACAAGAGCGTTGCGTATTGATTCCCCTGCAGGTGCAGGTCGTTCTCAAAACTTCCCAGTCGTGCGCTACTGTAGATGACATGAATACCACACAGAACGAGTATGGAGACGCGTAACATACGTGATATTCGCTTTGTCGATCTAACCAGTGGTTAGTGCCAAGTAATGAAAAGCTCAGACTCACATTGTGTAAGGTAAACAAAAGTATGACGACGGCCATACGTAGATCGATCTTCCTCACCAACCTCCTCTCCGGATCGTCACGGGCATGGCTGGGTAAACCAGAGGCATCAGTTGTTTTCAATTTCTCATCGCTGAGAGCAGACATCGCTCAAAAACAAAGCACAGCAGGAAGGGTTGATAGGCCTTTTATTTGTGACGTGAGAAACGAAGATAGATAATGGTACAGAATTCACTGGAGCGGGAATCTGCTGTGGGTCGTCTGGAACGGTCATCGATTAAATATTGACTGACACCCAATGAGGGACCTTGAGGTCCGCATCTATTGTAAGCATTGATCATGTGCGAGGCAAGGGTCAACCGAAAGTGTTATGATAGAACAGTCTTACATAGGGATGAATAGAAGTGATGGTGAAACCTGGTACGACGATATCGGGTAATGTAGATCAGTTATTTACGCCGGGAATCCTTGAGGCCTTAATCTGACATGTCGTCAGGTGCGAATATTCCCAGGCTGAGTATCAGTTCCAGGAAGTATGATCTGCCTTTGACTTATCATGCATGAAGGTATTGGCGTCTGTGGGCTTCTGAAAAGTCCGTCCTAAGGCGGTATTGATGTTAAATTTGGCTTTACGTCAGTGAACATATTTTTGGTCGGGAAGACGTACCCAGAATAGATTCAAGTACTCCTGCCATGATACCATCACAAAATTCCCCGATTCGGCAAAGAATTGTGTCTGGAGCTGCCAGGTGATAGCGATGCTTCGCGCCCGATTGGCATGTCATACAGATTTTCTGTGGCATAAAAATTCATCCAGACCGTTTTGCCTTGGACGTGTTTAAATGCATGGAAGGCGCTGGGAAGTGAGTGGTGCGTGAGCGGCGCTGGTTAGATAGACGACCACAAACCAGTGTCAAAAGAGCGGAGGTCGTGAGTGGTGCACAGAGGCGACCGCGGACGCCATGGCGCAATTGAGTCGGTGTGCGTTTGTTTGTGGGTGATGTGACAATTGAAACAGAGGTTTGAAAGTTTGTTTCGGTTTGTAGGGGGTCGCGTGTTTCTAAAACTGAGCAGGCGAGTCTTATCAAGGTACCTGTGTTGATACCCATGACAAGACAAGATCGAGTCTGTTCATAACCACGACCACGGCTGACATTCCTTTCCAGGCACAAATCTAACAATTCAAGCATCGCGCATCTTGATAATGATATGCCGAGACCACACTTCTACCATCCCTATTCCAATTCACAACATCTGTGTAAATACATGACGATCAGCAACTTGATTCGTGTACCACCACGGCTATCAGCAACACCTCACTAAGACAAAGAAGAAATCTGGTGCGTCACGTCGGAGCAGGCACGTGCAGGTGAAGGAGGTTGAAAGTTGAGGGACGGGATGAGGGTACATCGCTGAGCCTACTATGCATGTAATTCCCGATATCAACAATAATATTGAGAAAGAGTCTGATGACGAACCTTGTACAAGACAACGGATACCCACACCCATACCCACAATAGCACTCTACTCTCATGAGACGGACTGCCCAGACACATCAGTCACGCGGCGTCTCGTCTGGTTCAAGGAGGCGCAGACTCGAGTGTGCATGATGGCCATACGCATGAAGACGAATGCAGTTTTGGACCCGCCAACTGTGGATAATATGACGCATCGATCGGAGCCAGACGCAAACTCGACTGTTAGAAACCAGACACGTTACGCTCTGAGAGTAAGGAGTTGTATAACTTGAATTCGTTCCCGCTCTGGGTTGCAAAGGAAACAAGCATTACGAATCATATTCGTAGTTCGTCAAAGAGGGATAGATGGTGAATATGACGAACATCCGCGACATAAGTGCAAGTTTACATGCATTGATTTTTCATGGACCACTCTTGCAGATTGTTATTGTTTGTTTGTAAAGTCCATTTATCTCTTGGCGCCTCAACATGGCTGACATCGTAGAAGCGGAGGTAAGTCATATCTTAGGATTTTCTGGCAAGCTGAACTGTCAAAGAACATTTATACCAAAGCAGCGAAATTTGAACTAGCAAATGACTGGAACAACGCTTTCAAGTTTTATTTACAAGCAGCGGACGCATTTCTACACATTCATAGCCGTACTGGCGATCCAAAATACCGGAAAAACGCTGCCAAGGCAGTAGATCGTGCTGAAAAGATCAAGCAATTCAAAACGCTAACTCCTTTAACAACCGACAACTTTTCACGTCGTAAGTAATCAAATAATCCAAAAAGTATTTAATCTAATCTATATACATCAGAATTTTCGATTCTCAAAAAGTCATCCATCATAAACCAGAATCAAATCCCTCTGGCAACATCATCCCCATCCGATTCATACCCAACTCCATTCAATGACCCAGATGGTCAACCGTCACTCCCTTCTCCTTCTTATACCTGGAAGCGTCCAAACTACCCAGATTCATCACTCCCACTCCTACCATCCGACGTCATTCAGAACATAGTAAACGACTGCTCAGTGTGCGCTTCCATCGCAGTATGCATACAACACAACATACGATTCAAATCAAATGTATGTCTTACAGTCCCCCCTTCCACTCGCTAACTTTCCGCAGTTACTCCTTTCCTCCTTGTCTTCTTCTAATGATGGAAGATACGAATTAAAAGTCCTTATAAATGGTGATTTTCGACGCGTGAGTTCCTATCCTCTCACTGATACATAATTATAAAATTGGCTATAGATAGGTTCGTATCAACAACCAGCCAGAGACAAGCACACGCTAAGTTCAGATAGTCATCGACGACCGTCTCCCCTTTGACTCAAATAACAAACTCATTGGAATATCAACGGGCCCCAAAAATCAACTATGGCCTTCATTCCTCGAAAAAGCAGTCCGTACTTTTCTCCCCGTCTCCATAACATGCTCACCCCCAACAGTACATGAAGCTCATGGGCGGATACGATTTTCTCGGCTCGTAAGTCACCCCTCACCGTCCATATAGTACTGACTTGGATACCCCAAAGAAACTCTGCCATAGACCTCCAGTAAGTCCCCTCACCCTACCTCACCCACTTCCTCACACCCCACAGCGCCCTCACAGGCTGGATCCCAGAACACCTCGATCTACAAAGGTACCCCTATCCACTTAAAACAAAATACTCACTGATAACCAAAAGCGCATCCTTTGAACGCGAACGCACATGGTCTCGCATCATGACTGCGTTCCCACGAGGTACACACTTCTCGTCCACTTCACGACAATACTCATACTTGTCGTAGGGGACTGTATGATGACAGTCGGAACAAACGATAAATCCCCGCTTAATTACAAAACTGCCAAGCTTCTTCCTTCCCATGATTATGCTATTACAGGTAGGTACCTCTTCCAATAAATAAGGCCTGATATTCACTTGTGCAGATATTAAAGAAACAAACGATGAGCGCTGGGTCACGCTTCTTGATACGAGGTTATGTACTCAACAGTGTGGCGATTGCGGCGGTAGTGGGAGCTGTCCCAGTAAGTCCCCTTTCCCTTTCTGGCCGTAGATGTAACAGATCGGACAGGGGTCCTCGATATACACTGGGATGATATATGCGCAACGTTCGAGGGGTTGTATATCAGCTGGAACCCAAATCTGTTTGGGAGTTGTGTTGCGTTTCATGGGTGCGTCTTCACATCCCACACGTGTGCCATACTCTTAATGAATCCACAGATCATGGCAGCTTGAAAATGCAGAAGATTTATCACGAGGTACGTCTCCTCTCAACTCACGTAGTACATCGTTAACGCGCGTTGGATACAGTTTCTACTCACCACCTCCGACTGAACTATCAAAAAACCAACGACTCCGCGCATCATACACACACAAACGAAACCAACGAAAATGGAAAGGACTCGACAGAAACAGAAATATGGATCCTCTTAACGCGTCACCTCCGCGACACCCGCCGCACAAACGAGTACATCGCGCTTAATGTTCAAGAGGATGATATGGTTTTTAGCGATCCAGAACATGTTGCGCTCAAAGTGTGTTTCTTCTCCGCGGTATATTAGATTAATAAATTACGAACACCACAATGCACAGAGCAACTACACAAACAGCACACACCTCCTGTCGCGCATCAAACCCTCCCAATTTCAAACCCAAACTTCAGGCTCGCTCTCCATATTAGCCTGCTACGATGGTCAATTCGAAGAGGTCGGGTTCACGGTCACTGCGTATGCTTATTCGTCGAATGTAGTGGTGTCTTGGGATACGAGGGTTTCCCCCGCGAAGTATATACAGAAGGTACCCCTATCATTTGTTCCACTCGATCAACAACGCTGATGGATACCAGATTGATGGCGTGTGGACTAATAAAACGGCTGGGGGGAATTGCACATATCCGACATATATGATGAATCCGCAATATCACCTGCAGGTGCATAATACCACTTCTAGTATCGACAAACGGCCGAGCACTAGCACCAGCTCCGATAAGTGCAACAAAACACAAGTTATACTCACCGCACAGAGCACCAGGGATATCTCGCTGAACGTCACAGCAGTGTGGTCGCAAGGCGAGCGTATATCAGAACTGAGCCAGAAAGAGGTGGTGGCTCATTCTGGGCCTTATACATATGGGCACGCGCGTGTTGCTGCTCATCTTGCTCGTACGTCGACTTTTCACCTCGAGGGAAACGCGACTTATTTCATCTTCTCATCTCGCGAAGCTGGCGACTATACAGTCGTATTATCAGCTTACGAACCTGACCAAATGGGAAAATTCACACTTAAGGTGGAGAGTCCCGCTCGGTTTGAGATAAAGGCGATACCGCAGGAGGGCGCGGGGATGTATGTCAAGACCATTCGTGGGAAATGGTACATCATATCAATTTCGATTTCTCCCAAAAACAAATATTGACATTTCTTAGGGACTCGGCGACTGCTGTTGGAGGACCGAGTCAACATTATCACCGCAATCCAGTGTACGAAGTAACCATCCCATGCACTTCTGAATTCGGGTACGTCCCCTACGCCTTAAAAGTACCAAATGCCTCAATTCACATTCCCACAGCGCCCGTCTCCAACTCCTCGCCCGCGTCCCGGGCGTATCTACCAACCTCTCCCTTTTCACCTCCTCAAACCTCCAACGATGGATTGCTTCTTCCGGGCCTTACTCTGATGCGCTTTCGGGCGTTGATATTCCAAAGAGGAGCATAAGCCCTGGAAAATATTATCTTGTGCCTTCGACATACCATGCTGGGGTGCATGCACAGTTTCGGATTGTTGTTTATAGTGGTGTTGCGGGGATCGAGGTCGTTTTGCGTTCGTGACTTGGCGGGCGAGGAAAGTAATTCGTTGAATGGTACGCGAGGGCTGGTTTGTGGACATTCGTTATTAACCAGCTTGATAGTTTTTGATTTGCTTTTATTTATTTACAAGGAATGAACCCCTCGTGATTGACTAGACCATCCCAATTTCTTCGTTGGCTTTGGAGCATGGTTCTTCAAGGCGTTGCGTTGTTTGTTCCTCGAGAACAAAATGATGGATATACTGTGAACGAGTTCGTGCTCGCCTAGTGTTCGTGTTTTTGAGCTCTAATCATCATGAATCGTTTTGGTCTATTGTAATTAAATGTTCCTGCATTGTTAGCATGACGCACAAAACGGTTAGAGCCGCGAAACAGGAGAGAGATGAAACGACACAGCACGACGTGGTGGACAACATGCCTCCTACAGCGTGGGGTATTAATGACTTAGTTAATCATCACAACTCGTTCGCTCGGCATACTTATATCTATCTCGGCGCAAACACTCGTATTCAGGAACGCCTTCCCATGCTGTGGAATCGGATATAAGATGGTTGCACGGAATTTATGTGGAGATGATGAAAGACAAGTAGTGGACGAGCGGAGATCAGTCAAGGATACATGCTTGGGGTGGCATTTCGATATTGGGGATTGAAAGATAGAGTCGGACATAGACAAGTGTGGAAACTACATCAGCGAACGCCTAAGTCCTTGATATTGTAGCCGTGGGAACTACATGAAGGTTTAATTATTTTACTGCCAAAGATGATCATGTACTAGATGGTCACCAGAGTTCGCGTTTTGTTTTTTGCAACAACAATAGCTCCTCAACGTCTGGGCCAAAATGGAAAATTCTTTTACCGTTGGATAGCCTGATGTCGAAAGTACAATGCCTGCTAGTTTTATTCTCGATATTTGAAGATTTGAGTCTAGCGGAGAGTTACCGTGTAGTAGTGTAGGATTGTCTCAAGGGTTCGCGTTTTTGTCACACTATGTCACACCCTGCCATCGAACCATTTCACGCTCCACACGACTAGCAGCAAGTAATAGATGACGTATGTGTGAAGTGCCGCATTTTGGCACAGCGGAATCTCAATTCATACATCACACTTTGGGTGGATTAGTGATGTGCAAGGCCCGGCTTGAAGCCCTGGGCCGGCCCAAGCCTGGGCCCAGCCCAGGCCTAAGTCACGGCCTGAGCAGGGCTTAGGCCTGGGCTTGGATTCAGAAAAGCCTAAGCCAGCGGCCCAAGCCGTGGCTTTGGTATGACACCTTGTCACGTCAGGGGTCACGCCCTACAAGTGGTCGCCATTGTGTGTTCAGCAATTGGCATGTCCTCATTACTGACTCTTACTATGACACGCGCGATTTGACTATACCACAGATTATATTCACACAAGAAAGAAAGGAAAATTCATCTGCTATGGGCACCGTGCTATTGCTCTTGCACATGAACATAACTGGGATGCCGTGCTTGAAGATACAAACCAGGTAAGTGATACATTACCAACTAATAATACTAAGCCCCTTCAAGATGTACTAATCTGGGTCGCGACATAATCCATCAGTATTCAGCACTAGTCATCTTGAGTGCCGATCGTCCACCTTCTCTTTCTCACTGCCTTCTCCTGCTCTCGTCCATCATCTGTATTCGTCTGAGCCACGTCAGCAGTTGCTGACGTGTGCTGGGCGTTTGCACATGGTGGAGCTCGGACATCAATTTCAAGCAATTCAGCATGTGGGCCACGGCTTGCATGGGCCCAAGCCCTGGCTTTGGGCCGGCTTGGGCTCATGGCTCAGGCTTGAAATCTGGTGAGCCTAAGCCCCCCCAGGCTGAGCCTAAGCCAGGGCTTTGAGCCCAAGCCGGGCCGGAACATCACTAGGATGGATTGTCACATCTGGTCGTGTTTCTTGTACTGCACCTCATTCTATGAAGAAAATAGCCTTGGCAATATTTATTTTAACATGGCCTAATCATGTACAATTACAGTGTAGCTTTTTAGAATTTCTGGTGATGATGTGCCTGCTGGAGTGTGTATTCTATGTGTAAAACTAGCCTCCAGCACTATAAAATGAACCCTGGCATGAGAATCACTCGGATTTTTTTCACAAAAAAATATGACAATGTGTATTATGCTGGGGAGAGCCTATGTGTAACATACATAAGGATTCTGTGTAGAATTGCGTGTGCTAGAGTGAAAACACAAACTGGTGAGACACACGAACCCGCGTGACCATCTAGTATACTACGCAAAATTTGATTTGTTCGTAGCTAGCCATGTATACTTACCACTAGAGACCAGCGAGGGGAGTTTGTGACGAACTCATAACATGTCTCCATTGCGACTAGCCAGGGACAAAAGTGCCCTTGTAGTAATGTCATTGGGAAATCTCACTTAGTGTCATTTATGCTTCGTATCACAGTGGCTTTCAAGACTTTCTTGAGGACAGTCATTTTAGCATAAGTCACCAAGGGTAGATTTGCCGGGTGGTTGGTGCAAAAATCGTGACATGCAGCCATCATGGCCAGGAACGGACAGAAACATAGTTGTATTGATGTTGTTGATATTTCTCAGTCACTATCATTCATTTTGTGAATTACAATGCTATCTAAGGCATTCCAATGAATAGTCGCTTTAGCACAGGAGAACAAATATAGAATTGTCCGTCAGTTCACAACAAACTCGTGACATGCAGCCATCACAGCCAAGAAGTAATGAGTGTGCACTCGTGTCAACGTTGTCGTGCATGTTCACTTACACTTTATGTTATATAGTTGTCTAAAGGATTCTACAAGACAGTCCGTTTATTAGCCGTGACGAGTGAGCAAACTTGAACACACACCAAGGGACACGAGCGCTAATACTATAAAGTTCAAGGCACAACTGCCAGCAGCAATGTTATATGTTTTGAATAAAATGTGGTGGACTCAGAATCTGTTCAAAGACGAGACATTGTGAAACTCAATGACCGATAATGTGAGTAAGAGTAAGTCGCAGAAAACGTACATACAGGCTAAGACTCGGAGAAAGTAATAGAAAACCCAACATTCATAAACGGGCAGAACTCAAAAGGACAAATGCTCGTCCTCCTCATCATCCTCCTCGTCATCGTCCATCTCCATCTTCATCTCCCCACACTCAGGATTATGGTCGTTAAACTCTTCACCATCCCACTGCTCCTCGTCCTTGTCCTCATCTTCATCGCCCTCGCCCTCACTGTCATAGTGTCAAATAGCCTCTGTTTCATCATTCTTGGTGTCCTCTGAGTCTGAGGAATTGTCCACATTGATACTATCTCTCGTGAATTCCCGCACAGCAGGTATGATGAGCCCCTTCAGTGACAAATTCTGTATTATACGGGTCACCCGACCTACATAATATCCTGTATAAGACAGGCCAGCAGACCATGAGCCGATGTTATGTATATCCCCGATGTTGACGGATGGGCCGGGAGGGATATTATTTCTGATGGAGATGGGTGAGGCCATCTATGTTGATATTATATATATCCTCGAAGATGTCGGGTGGGCCGATGTAATGGTTTATTGTATAGATGGGTGGGCCGAGGTACAGGGAAGTATTTATATAGACAGGTGGGCCGAGGGAGTGGTGGAATATGTATTATATAGACAGGGTGGGCCGACATGTAAGGGATTATTGTATAGACAGGGTGGGCCGACAGAGTGGTGGAATATTCATTATATAGATGGGTGGGCCGATGGAGGGGGATGTTATATAGACGGGTGGGCTGAGGTAGTGAGATATCTGTTGTTACAAGAACATCTAGACTGCTTGGGCCCCTACCATTTTTCTTCTGATCCTCCTCATATCAGCCCTTGCATCATACCCTTACCCTGACCTTACCCTGGTCATCCTTGTCATTCTCGCATTTCCTTTTGCTCTCTACCTGTCGCTTCAGCAGAGCCAGTACATCTGGCCGGATCCTTTCGCTGACGAAGCATACCCATGCTCCATTCCACCACCTGACTGATCCTGTGGACAGTCCCCTTTGCCCTTACCGTCCGGACGGTAACCTATGATATGATGCACGACGCATCCCCTTCGCCCTGTTTCCTTTCTTGATCTCTGACTCGATGCGCAGTCGCACATGCGACTTATACTTAGCTCCGCAGCTGCATGATCGTGCCCCTGCGCGTTTCACTTCTTATTATGACTTTTGACTCACCTTCTTATCTGCACGTTCAGGATTCACTCGTGCCTCATCTCGAATGTGCCTTCCTTTTATGGTTATCCCCTTTACCAGTTACCTCTCTTGGTAGTACGAGTTATCACCCACTAATACACTTCCTGTCCTCTATATAAACTCGCTACCATGTACTATATTCCCTAACTTGAATCTACTTGGTTCTTGACCTCCTACTCTCACCAGAGTGATCCTTTCTGCCTCGCCAGCAGTCTATATTCTATCTTCTTATCTGCTCTTCGCGGATAAGCCTATAGTCTTGATCTTTACTCATCGACTTCGTCGACGAGCAAAGCCCCTGTTAACTAGTCGGACTTCTGTCCTTCTAATTAACGACGATCTTACGATTAACCTTCGGGTGTCGTAAGCTTTGGCTGATATAGCTTATCGTCTCGCACCTGCTTGACATAAGCTACCCGATTTGGACATAGGCGTCAAATCTTACTTGCCGAAGCCTCGCCAAGTAAGACCCCTAACCTTGGGCCAGCCCAAGGACATCCACGACCATTGACAACACACGCTCTGTTTGAGCGTCGCCAACAGATACCATCCAAGTCGTAACATCTGTCTGACATTCATGGATTACCGAGTCCCAGATGCCCAAAAACCGAATCCCATTGTGCAACATCCATTCCAGACACCCGAACACCCCACCAAGTGCCAAGTGCCGAGGCCCGCGCCCCGATGTCCGAAGCCCTGAAACCTGAAGCCCAAAATCCGAAAATATGTATACAACATATCCATATTTCCCTCACTGCACAAATCACCAGGTGTCGAGTACCGAAACCCGAAACTTGACACCTGGTACACAAATCACCAAGTGCCGAGTGCCAAGGCCCGCACCCCGATGTCTGAACCCTGAACCCCAAAACCCGAAAACCTGAAAATAAGTATACAACATATCAATATTTCACTCATTGCACAAATCACCGAGTGTCGAGTGCCAAAACCCTAAACTCAAAGCACGGTACAAAAATCACCAAGTGCCAAGTGCCGAGTGTGGAGGCCC